TGTTACATACGGAAGTGACTGGCCAGTTGACCCTCTCGATGAGTTTCTCGCTTTGAAGATAGCAGTCACGCGGTCAGGTGATCCTGGCAATCCCCATTCTTCGGCATCTCAGGGCGCTCCCTATAATGGTACGTTTCCTGGCGAAGGGATTTCCCGCGAGGCTGCTCTTCGCGCCATCACCATCAATGGCGCCAAGTTCCTGAGGGCCGACAAGTACATTGGATCCTTGGAGGTTGGCAAATTTGCTGACCTGATTGTCTTGGAGAACGACTACTTCACTGTTCCGGAAGAGATGATTGGTCGCCAACGTGTACAGCTCACTATGGTGGGAGGTGAGGTGGTGTACATTGCCAAAGAGGCTGACCAGAAGTTTGGAAACATCACAGCCAAATATCCTAACGATGACAAAGCGAGTGTCGCTCAGGATCGCAAGGCAATCGGCGGTTTGGACCGCAAGCAGGTGTCGATGAAGGGAGCCGTGAATGCAGCAAGACTGAGGAAGAGGAATGAGTGCGTACACCATTGAAGTGGCGTAGCCATCTGGTAGTAGTATCGCCCGACATATCTCTGTCAATCAGACCATGTAGCCCTCCCAGTATTAGCATTGCAAATAGCGTATTGTAAGAAGGTTTTACTCAGATTACTTCACGAGTGACATGATGTGTGTCTAAATTGCGGTGGAGGTTGTAAGATAAGTCATCCTCACACGGGACAATGACCTTTTAGAACTACCGAAATTCGGCATAGGCAAAATGCGCCGGGGTAAGTACAGGCTGTAGTTCCCCATACGAATACAGGCCCATCATCATGCCAGTAAAAGGCGCGCCGATGTATGGGTGGCGTGTCATGATCTGGGTATCAATCTCACCCAGCCATGTCCATTCAGCCCTCTGCTGGGCCGCATCACCGACTTCCTGATAGCCAAACCGATAGGACGTAGCCGTACTCTCGATGGTGAGTTTTACCTCACCCTTCTCTGAGATGGGTTGCTCCACAGTTTCCATGTCAGGACGAGTAAGTCGAAGGATCCGCTGATGCTGGCCGTTGCGATCTGTGAAAGCAATGCCAATGCTAGAGTAGCAAGTGTGATTCCAGTACAATACGGTTCCGGCCTCGACGCGTGGGACGTTCGGTTGGAAATCTAGTTGGGTCTCCCATACCACCGGCCAATGCCTTTGCTTTCGCAAGAAGAGTGTCGGACATCCGGGCATCGAGAGGGTGTATGGGCCGCCATTCAAGGTAAGAGAATCGTGTCGCACCGTCATCGAGTAGTCTTTCTTCACAGGTGTATCTAAAGGTGTGTTAGATTTGTACTGTATGTCAGTTTCTTGGATTGCTTACTCTTCCTGTACCAGCCAAGGCCGAGTCTGACCCCGCTAAAGTCGTCCCTCCAAGCCTTGTCGTCATCAAGAGTGGACTCGTTCGGCCCGTTCATCTGCAATGTGACCGGCTTCCCTTCGTTGAAGATTGGCCAGTCATTCTCCCAACGAACTGGGAGTAACATTGACTCGCGTCCGAAAACCGAAGTCCGCCATTCAGCACCTTCCTTCTTCGGTCGCACGCCTAAACACATGGCCCACCATTGGCCTTGGGTGTCCTCAACAATATCGCAATGGCCAGTATTCTGGATCTCGTCGTCTGTCGTGTTGCGCCAAAGCGGGTTATGTGGTGCTTTCTCCCAAGGTCCGAAAGGGCTTTCTCGACTCCGGCTTACATATTCGCAGTGCCCAGACTCTGTGCCTCCTTCCGCCGTGAAGAGATAGTAGTAGCCGTTCAGCTTGAAGAGATGAGAGCCTTCTGCTATACCAGACTCCGACTCCCGAACCATCTTAGGCGTAGACTTCAACGTACCAGATTCCAGATCAATGATAGATATATGTATCGCAAAGTCTTTCAACTTGCCCCCAGGAGTCCGGTCAAGCTTTTTGTAGGTGGAAGATAAGTATACCTGACCATCGTCGTCCCAGAACAGGTCGAAGTCGAAGCCAATTTGGTCAAAGTACACAGGCTCAGACCACGTGCTGTCGTTCCAGATGTTGGTGGTTTTGACGTAGAAGCCTCGGGGCCATACGCGATCGTCGGCTTGCGGTCTGTATCGGTCGAAAGAGTTGGTGATGATGTAGAATGTACCCTTATGGTAACGAATGGTTGTCGCCCATATGCCACCTCCCGGCTCAGGAGTCTTGATATCCAGTTGTGACTTGCGCGTGAGAGCGTGGCCGATTAGCTTCCATTTGATGAGATCTTTGCTGTGATATATGGGCGCGCCAGGAAAGTATTCGAATGACGAGGTGACGCAGAAGTAGTCGCTACCAACGCGAACGACGGACGGGTCTGGGTTGAAACCAGGAAGGACAGGGTTGGTGAAAGCGCTCATGGCGGAAGTCGCTACCTGAATTTTGAGTTTGGGAAATTCAATGTGGGATGAGGCTCAAAGTATTGAGTATATAGGCCAATTGCACCCCGGCAGCCATCTTCCGCTATGAGCCGCATGCCGCGTCTGCTGCTGAGGCTGAGAGCATTTTGACGGCCGACAAGTCGGAGCCCGATCGCGTAAAAGTACTGTTGCTCGTTTTTCCTCGAATCAGAATATGTGTGGATGCATCTCGTGATGGTCCAGACCTTCGGACGAGCTATCGTGAGAGGAACACGGGGGAGATGGAGGATTGAGGGGTAAGGCTTGGCGGGGCCAAGGCGTTCCGCAACGGGCAAATCTCGGGCCTCTCAACAAAACAACACGCCCGTTTCGCGACACACGCGGCAGCCGGCACTGCCTCTACACTTATCCACAACAGCTCTGACAAGCGACACATCATGTTTGCACGGAAGCGAGTGTGTCAAGTATGCGCTCTGTGATCGCGATACAGTGGGTACCGCTTACATTGTTAGGTGCGCTCACAGCTACGTAGGTATGCTAACGGGCCTCAATAAGTGACCGCCATACCACCAGGAAGCTCAGTCAGCCAGTCGCCACTCACTCCTACATCCTCAACGGCCTGTTGGGGCTTCTTGCACTTCATCGCATCTTGCGCAGACTGGATCTTCAACACCTGACAGTTGGCGTTCGCACACTTGCCGGATGGTAAAGCATCCATGGCCTTCTGGAGCGAGTCGTCTTTCCAGCCAAAGAGGTAGTCACCATGTTGTCCGTAACCCGTACTGTCTCCAGTCAACCATCGTCAAAGAAGCAAAAAGAGGAGTGCTCACCCATCGCCAAAGCTGTACACGAACGGCTGCTTGTTGTTGCCGTACCACGCGTTGTTCTTGTACCGGCCGGTGTCCCACATGATCTCGTACATCACCTGCGGGATAGCTACCGGGTGCGTACTAGGACAATTCGGGGTGCCTAGACCTCCGCCGTTGGAGTATGCGACATGGCTCTTGTGATCGGGCGAATCGAGGTTCTTGCCATCCCAGCAAGAAGGAAAGATGACAGTCGCTCTGATGCCGCCAGGACAGTACTTGTTGGGCAGTTCCGCAGTATCTTTTGCGTCGCAGGGTGCGAAGCCTTCTCCGTTTTGCAAGCATCTATGGCAGATGCTTGCGCGATTGGGCTTCTTGGCCATGGGATCACCCGCAATCATGCGGAACCCAGGCTTGAAGGCCGTCATCTTGTTGTTCTTCGCGGAATACGGCATGTAGTACACCGTCATGCCACCGTCCTGCTGGAGCCCCACGTTGGCGAACTGGGGCACACGTTGAAACGTACCATTCTCGGGCGATTTGAAGTACAGCGAGGCAGTCCAGTAGTTGCTGAAGTCTTCGCTGTATGTGCAAGACGTGCAAGTCGAGCGCTTGGGAGGATCAAAGACCCCTGGCTCCATCTACAGTCCGTCAATGAAGGTCTTCCTTATGGATCGGGTAGTTGTTACTGTAAGATTGAAGGAGTTTCCTCCGATAATCTGATGCGTGTGCGGCGAGGGTCGTTGACCGGGATTTACCAGCGGATCAGCTCTCTCAACAGTGAGTTGCGAGCAGGCGAACCGGAGCATGTTCTGCGCAGAGACGCATTGCGTCAAAAGCGCGCTAGCGACGATGGTGGACCAGATCATGAAGACAGTGGTATACCTAGCTACTGGAGTGTTGCGAAAGCCATCAGGTCGAAGTTACGAAGGCTTCTTAAGTCGAGAACCATTCATGACGTTCGTTCCATGGGAAGGGTTGCTATCAGTAAGTATATTAGGATGTGACGACAACAGTACATTTCTCACCACTTATGCCAATGAGAACCCGACAATTCCTCAGTCGTACATCTTGTGACGGACATGCCACAGCGACGTTGTGGCGATTATTCGACTCGATCATTTGGATGAAGTCCTTAATTAATCCAAGCTACCGGCAGTTGCAGCGATAGTACCGAAGGCAAATCACAACAAGCTTTTCGCTTCCGGGATGCTGACAGGGTTGTAGTGGTGCACAATCGGGCATCGTACAGGTCTGGTATTGATTGCTACAACTGTCGGCATGTCTGAAGCATTGGGGAACAGATTCCAATGCAGGGTGTTCCGGCAGAGAATCTCGGGAGTTGTTACCATGCGTGGTGGATGTATGGCAGGGACATGGCGAATGCCATCACGTCTTTCGACATCATCGAAGGAAGGCTTTCATGACCAGACCTGTTCATACGAGGGGGATGGCTGTCGCCATCAACATAATGTCTTGATCCAGCGTCCGTTCGCTGAGTAGCCATGGACAGCAGCGCCATAGCAATGCGACTCTTCTCTAGCCACATTGAACTGATCTAAGCCTAGACTCGACGCACTGAATCCAAGAAAGAGGTGGCGTCGCAGTGTTTCGTTTCACATCCATCAGGTCTGAGTCTGATGTTTTCGCTCTTTTTTTCTTCCTGCCCAAATAGAGACGCGTTGACGCTGAAGAAATGAATATTTAAACAGCTAAGAGGTTGCTAAAGTAGGGGTGTCGATTTCGGTGGTTTTGCGGCCATCCGGCTGCGACTACCTAATTGAGCGTTTTGCGGGGGTGAGCCGAGGATGTTCGCACATCCGAGCACCAGCACATCTACACCATGAAGTTCGGCATCATGTCTATCGGTGATGTATCGTCTCTTCTCTGGAGACAGGTACCGCTGTCCGTCTCTAGCCGGGTTGCGTACCTGCATTGCACGCCAACATGACGCAGCAGCCGCCTTTGGCTTCCTCGTCAACATCGGGCTTCTTCCAAACCCTTCCGGTACTTCCGCCACAATATACAAATCCAATTTCACTGTCAGAGGCCGTCCGAAGTCGTTATTCAGTCTCCGGAGAAGCCTCTGATGACAACGTCGTCGCGCGGATATTAGATCTTTACCTGCCACAGGATGCAACGGCGGCTACCAATCGTGTCCACCACTTGGCACGTCTATCACTGAATCCATCTATTCTGAAGTACGCTACAGACGCGGAGACCAATCATCCCGTACTGCGACCGCTATCTACTTTCGGCGCGGAAAACAAGAACGATCCCTTGTGGACGACGACGGGATGGCAGAAGCTAAAGGAAATCGGCTATCGTGAGGGTGTCGTCTCGGTGGCTTACGACAAGTCTCATCGCCGCTTCAATAGACGTGTGGGACAGTTTGTTGGAGGTCATGTATGGGGCCCGACCGGCACCATGACCGCATGCCCTCAAAGCATGACCGATGGAGCCGCGACATTGTTAGACAAACACAAGAACGACGAAGATGGCGATCAGCCGGGTCGAGGCGAAGTGCTACGAGAAGCTTATCGGCGAGTGTGTAGTCGCGACCCACATATGGCTTGGACGAGCGGACAATGGATGACCGAGCGATCTGGCGGTAGCGATGTATCTGGCACGGAGACACTTGCTCAACGGATGACACCGCAGGAGCTGAGCGAGGAAGCCGGACAAGGAAGAGATTGCGACGCAGTTGGTATGCAACTGGGCCCTTGGAAGATACATGGTTTTAAGTGGTTCAGTAGCGCAACGGACTCAGAAATGGCCGTACTCCTCGCACGAACGGACAAAGGCGGCCTTTCAGCTTTCTACATGCCCATGCGACGACGCGTGGGCGGGGAATCGCTGGAAAGTGATGCTCTGAACGAAGAAGTGCCACCTCCAACTGAACTCAACGGCGTTCGCATCCAGCGTCTGAAGAACAAACTCGGGACAAAGTCACTACCAACTGCGGAGCTCGAGCTCAACGGCGCACGCGGCTGGCTTATTGGCACAGAAGGACAAGGCGTGAAGGAGATTTCCGCTATCCTCAACATCACACGGTTGTACACCGCAGCGGGTAGTGTAGGGAGTTGGGCGCGTGGTCTGGCAATTTCCCGCGCCTACAGCAAAGTACGCAAAGTGCGTGGCGGACTACTCCAGGACAACCCGGCGCATCTCGCATGGATGGCTGAGGAAACAGTCAAGTACAGGGCTAGTGCGCACTTCTCCTATCTGGGTGTTGCACTGCAGGGCGCTTTGGAACAGGATTGGGACGAGATGGTCGCGAACACAAAAGCTGCACAGTTGATTCCGCAAGACAGATCCACAGTAGTGGCTTTACTGAGATTGTTGCTGCCCGTGATGAAAGCTCAGGTCAGCGTCGCATCTGTTGATGGCCTGCGACAGTGCATGGAGTGCCTCGGTGGCGTCGGATACTGCGAGAACAACGAAGACGGCGGTCTGATGAATATCGCGAAGATCTATCGTGACAACCTCGTGAATCCGATATGGGAAGGCACCGTTAGCGTCATGGCAGAGGACGTCATCCGGGTGCTTACCGATAAGCGGTTGGGCGGCGGTGACATCCTGAAGAACATCTTCACACCGTGGATCAAACAAGTGCTCAGCCAATGTGTTCCCACCTTCCAAAGTGAAGTCGTTATTGTCGAGGAAAGACTTCTAGCGCTCGAAGACGTTGTTCACAATACATCAAAAGAAGAGCTATTATACCGTGGGCGAGAAATCTTACAACATCTCGAGGTCATCGCTAGTAGCGCCGTGCTCATGTACGATGCGCAGGCAAATCCAGATGCTGTTGCGCAAGAGATCGCAGTACGATGGGTTCGCCTGAAAGCGTTATCACCTCAGAAGCAAACACGGCCTCGAGATTGGAAAGACTTGTCGTCCATGGACAAACGTGTATTCCTTGGTACAGTGGATGTACATGTCGAAGTACCAGCCAAGCTATAAGGCGAGCATAATCGCGAGTTCTACTTCTGCAGCCTTTTTGCCACCAATGGTACGTCACTAATCACTTTAGCGACGTGCTGTTGTAAGCAAAAAGGCTGCAGAACTATCATTCTCGCTTCGCGTAGGCCGCGGTGTCATGCTGTTTGATATTCCATCCTGTAAAGCTATTGAAAATGGATGGGGTTTCAGCTAAGCTCTGAGGCAAGCGTAAGTGCGGGTGATGCGATTGGTTGCGCAAGATAGCCTGGAAACATCCAGCTACTATTGGTAAAATGCCAAAACAAAACCGCGCTTCAGGTAGACCGCGGAGTCGATTCATCCAATGCCTCATCTTGTGAAACTATTGAAGTGTGGTTACTTTTGCTGTCAGCTATCGAGGTACCGGATGTTGCCGCACAACTTGCTTGCAAGGTCGAACTTGAGGCGAGGCGTGTTCTCTATTATCACGACTTCTTATTGAGCTTCAAGTCTCGCATCTTACTGGCGCTATCTATCACCATCTGTTTCACGCGCATTTGACAGACTTCAAGGATTTGACCGTGCCTTTCCTCATGCGTCCTGCAGTACCCGGCTAGATACGTAGGATGCGGCGGTGCGGTTGAAAGGGCACTTCTGCAACGTAATCGGAACGTCCCGCATTCTGTAAAACGAAACAATGTCTTCTCATAGTCTTGCGCAAACGTTTAGCTTCCAAGTTGAATCCGAACAACTGTTGTTCGAGTCTTCAAAAAGTTTGACAAGTCGTTTTGCCTAATGGGGTTACCGTAGCGGGAGTCCGTCAGCGCGCATCCCCACATTCTCCGATACGACCTACCGAATGGCGCCCGCCATCAGCATGATGGGTCTCCGCTTTCAATTCCGAGAACAGTCAAGCTTCAAGTTTACCATAGCAGAAAACCTTAGAGGCGGTATTGATAAGATACTGTAACGGCGCATTATTCCAGCGGTGCGCCGAGATACCCATGATGTCAAGTTGCACCTTGCCGGTCGAAGAGAAGAAAAGAACACACTAAAGCCAATATAAAACAAACGGTATCAGAGGGGAACACTACTCCAAGTCGTGGCAACAGTCTACTGTGATCCGGCAGAAGCCAGGGTAGTATGCACCATACCCTAGCTTATTGATAAGGTTCTTCCGATGCCAGCCTTGTACCTCGCATCATGCAGCCCTGCAGGTAGTCGGATTGGTGGGTTGGCCAAGTGCACGACAAGCAATTTTCCCTTCCTGCCGGACTCAGTATATGAACTCGGTAGCGTCAAAAGCACATGCAGACTCTCCATCAATCAGCCAGCGGTTCGCCAATGGTCATTCAGCAAGGATATGGGAATGCACTACGGAAGTGCGAACAGGTGCAATCTCCTTGACGGCTCCAATGTCATTGATTTCACGACACCATCATTCGCTAATATAGCCAGATATTGCGTTAGCTGACACTGCTAGCTAGATAGATGGATCGATGTTGACTGTTGATCGTTCAGCAAATGGTGTCTCGTTACATGGCACTGTAAGCCGAATGATGCATCCGCCGCGGGAACTAGAGATTGATGAACCACGGAGCGCAACTGTGCCGGAAACGGAGGGGTGTATAAGATGACTTGCCCGCTGTAAGTTCGTGTTGAATTGCTCAAGACACGAAAGATAGATCGCGACGAACAACCTTCAAGATGGCGACCAACCACAGCGATGTTGAGCTCATCCCTGGTACTGAGATCATTGACGAGAGCTCCGCGCAAAAGACGCTCATACCAACGCCCTCGTCTGATCCTCGCGACCCTTTGAACTGGACTAGGAAATGGAAGCGTATGTTGACCCCTCATCAACACCTGAGTCTTCGCTGACGGCTATCACAGTCATGGCAATGGCCTCGCAAGTGTTATTCACTTGGATCTCCGTTACCGGTGCACTATCCATCGCGCCGATGTTCCCTCTTTTGGGTGCCCAATTCCATCTCAATAATAATCAGCTGGCTATGCTGACTGGCATCACCGTTATCACACTCGGTTTCGCCAACTTCATCATCGTGCCGCTCTCCAACATCTTCGGGAGACGCGCTATCAGCTTGACCTTTTCTGTTTTCATTCTTCTGACATACATATGGCAAGCAATGGCGACCAGTTACAGCAGTCTGCTGGCCGCACGTGCCGTCAACGGTCTGGCTTGTGCGACGAGCGAGAGTATTCCTGTGCAGATGATCGCCGATGTCTTTCATCAGCACGAGAGGGGTCTGTGGACGGGTGTCTACTTGTAAGCGATGTTTTTTCTCGCGGTCGAGCTCCTCATAACGTATTTCACAGCACCGGCTTCTTCATGGGAGCATTTTTGGGTCCGATCATGGCTGGTTCCATGGCAGCTCACTATGGTTGGCAGTCATTCTTCTGGCTAGAGACCGCATTGTCTGGTGTCTCGGTTATTCTGATCGCGCTCACCTTCCCTGAAACCAAGTATCATCGCGGCAACACAGCTGTCATCCAAACCGCCAGCAGCAACCCCAGCAACGAGGACCAGACCAAGCTCGAAAAGCAAGCCACGGAGGCTGGAGTCCAAGACTCTGAGCGGAGCTCACTCGAGCAACCCATCACTGTGCAGGGACGCCCATCCCGTGCGCAATTCATGCCGTTCATGAAACCAGATGCGAGGTGGAAGATGTTTGTCGTGCGCGACACTTGGACGCCCATTAAGGTCTTCTTCAACCCGATCATCCTGTGGGCAGGACTGATGCTTGCTGGCCCAGCCGACATCGTCCTCTTCTTCAATCTTACCGAGTCGCCTGTCCTCGCTGCACCTCCCTATCTCTTCAGGCCAGACCAGGTCGGATACACAAACTTCGCGTTCGCCGTTGGCGCCTTGTTCGGGCTGGCAACAGCTGGTCCATACTCTGACTGGGTATCTGCTCGTGCAGCACGTAAGAATGGCGGCGTGCGTGAAGCGGAGATGCGACTGCCGGCGCTGTTCATTTACGTAGTCATTATGATGCTCTCAATAATCCTCGGCGGTGTTGCATACCAGCAGCAGTGGGCGTGGGGTCATATCGTGGTTTGGGGCTACGGGCTGGCTGGCCTCAGCGTCACCACGGTGCCCACTATTGCCATCGCCTACGCGATCGACTGCTACAAGCCCATCTCCGGAGAGATTATGGTGGTCGCTACAGTCTGTAAGAACTTCATCGGGTTCTCGTACAGTTACTGGGTTTTCGACCTTGCGCACGTGAGCAAGAATGGTTGGATCACTCCTACCATGGTCATCTTCGCTTGCGCAACGGGGCCTGCGCTATTCGTCTTTCCGTTGTACTTCGGGTTGGGCAAGAAGATTAGGCGATGGACAAAGGACAGTGATGTTCACCGCATGGAAGAAGTGATCTAGATGGTTAGTGGCAGTACGTTGGTGCATGGACGCGTGGGGAGAAGCTCCGTTTACAAAGGCTTTTGGAAGACATGGTCGTATGCCATGGCTCCCGCAATAGGCCACAATACACCCATTTCTTTTGTGAATCCTGTCTTCCTTTCCCTTTGTAGTCTGTTGTGATGATGGGATTGGGTGCTGCGCAAGAGGACGCCTTCTAGAGGGTACCGCCAGAAGTGGGTCTCGTCTTCGCGCTAACCGTTGACGTCATCCTAAGTTTTCCGCAAGCGGGCGTCGCCAATGGGGTATGATTCATCTACTACGTCGCATTCATACGCAATCAATATCAACCGCCATCCAACATGTCCATTTCCACTCTCCAAGACAAAGTTGCGATAGTGACCGGCTGCAGCTCCGGTATCGGCCTAGCTACAACTCGTCTCTTTCTCGAAAGAGGCGCCTCGGTCTTCGGCATAGACATTGGCGCACAGCCGCAAAAGCTCGCCGAAGACTATTCGACATTCACCTTCTACCAGACTGATCTTACCGAATCTCAAGCTGCTGAGCATGCAGTAGCAAAGTGCGTTGGCAAGCACAACCGCATTGATGTGTTGGTCAACTGCGCGGGCGTGAGCGATGGCTGGAGTAGTGCGGACACGATTCACGAGGAAGAGTGGGAGAGGGTGATGTCGATCAACCTGACAGTACCTATTCGTATGATGAAGGCAGTTTTGCCGGCAATGAAGGAGCAGAAGGGTGGTGCGATTGTCAACGTGGGTAGCAAAGCGGGCACTTCGGGGGCGAGTGCGGGAATCGCGTATACTGCTAGCAAACACGGCCTGGTAAGAAAAGACCCTTCTAAAGTGATAGATCGTCAATGCTGACGATTGATAGGTCGGTGCTACGAAGAATGTGGCTTGGCGCTTCCACAAGGAAGGCATCCGGTGCAACGGTGTGCTGCCCGGCGGCGTTGCAACCAATATCGCATCATCAGTGCAAATGGAGCACTTCGATTCCGCTGGCTTCAACGCATTCTTGTAAGTTCTTCTGGGCTTCACCTGTACGTTGTGGTCATTGCTTACTCAGACAGTCCTATTGTGCAAATGCACGTTTCGAAAGACAGTGAGGGTGCACCGGTTCCCTACATCGGAGTAGACAATGTTGCGCGTGGCATTGCTTTCCTCGCTTCGGAGGAGTCAACAATGATTAATGGCGCAATGATACCGATCGATAATGCCTGGTCTACTATATAGCATAGCATCGCTTCGGTAAAGCAATAGCAATTCGATGACGACTCCTGTATACATGGCTACGGCCATCTATTGTGATAAAGACGGCTTCAGATTCGTTTCTTACAGTGATGGACGTGGATGAGTCTGTTGCTCAGGTTGCCTTCGGTACATCGCTGACCCAAGGGTAAGCCTCGGGCATAGCCTTCCACGTCTTCAAATCGTCATAATTCCGCGTTGTGCTCTTATTCTGTAGCACCTTTTGCACAAAAGGCAAAACATCCGCGTATCCACTCATATCGCAGTGACCACCCGACGGTATACTTATACCCAGCTTTTCGCCCACGCCTAACCAATTGTATACGACCTTGGCCGCAGGAAAGGTCACTTCGGCGGTGCCTTTAGAGTCTGTGAATTGATCATTCACGTTCTGAGATAGGATGACTGCGCGTGGGGCGATGGCTGCGACTATCGTATGGGCGTCGAAGGGCAATTGGGTGGAGTGGCCGACGAATTGGGAGATGCCGGAGGATGTCCACCATCCTGCTCCAGATTTCTGTGAAGCCATCAGTACGTGAGCCCTCAAAGCGCCTTTTATGTCTTTGATGAGAGTGTTTGCGTACAGCGTTCTCCAGGTTCTCCCCTTGCCCACTCAGGCTGTATCGGTAAGGCCCTGCACCCTGCACGCCAGAACACATTGGCATAGTGACGGTGATGCGCTTGTCAAATAACCCAGCAGCCAAGGCAGCTTTTCCGAGACGAGAGCAACCGGTGACACCAGCTTTAGTGGCGTCGATCTCTGGAACCTTGAGTTCAATGCCGTCAAGAACGCGGTGGAAGCCCCATGCCCATGCAGTGAGTACCCCTGTGTCAAATGTAAGCATGAACTGGAATAGATGAAAAGCAGTATTTACCAATGTCTCTACCACTATACAACGTCCAGAACAAGCCAGTCTTACTGCTGCTGTCTGCAGCGACCTTGGTATAATCGAACGTGACTACCGCGATCCCCGCGTTTACATAACTCTTAGTGTCCATGCCGCCGATCGAGATGACCACTGGGAACGGCCCGCCTCCACTCGGCAAGTTCAACGAAGCTGCGATGCTGGCGGTCTTCTTTCCTGTAGTAATAGTGACAGTCAAGGTGTTGCTGCTCCGCGCTGCTGAGACAGTTTCTTGCGAGTGATCAGGGTAATACCCGTATTGGTATTCCTGGAGAAGCTTGAAGATCTCGGGTTGACGGCATTGGATCCATTCATCTCTGCTTTGAACACGTGTCTTGCCGTCGAGATACAGAAACGGATCTGGCATCGTCTTTACGGAGGGGAATGCCGCCGTTTTAGGCATGGGGCTCGGTGTTACTGGACATGTCACATTGGTCTGGCGAAGAAAGATGTCCGCAAGACGCTCGCTGTTGTCTCCTAGCGGCGTGCTGCCGCTCATGGCCGCTAGGGTCACAGCGGTGATAAGAGGGGTGCGCATCTTACTGAACGCCGTCAAAATGATGAAACTAGACAAAACTAGATATATATAGGCAAGGAGGTTGAGTTTTGAGAGAAAGTTAAAGTAGGAGAGGAAGTCAAATTGGTAGGTATACTCCCGGACCAAGGGCTACATGCCCCAATGCAACGGGACACATCTTGAGCGCATATTGCGATGATCCTTGGCGACGGTCAATCCTCGTGGCTGTATCACACGCCAGATAATCTCAAATTCACTCGGTTTGATGCTGTCGAGTTGTTTGTGGGGCCCTTGTATAGCAATATCGACGGATAAAGAGTAGATCCATCCTCGCAGCAGTGAACGAGGTCATGCACATGAGATTACCCGATATTTTGTGCTTTCGGAGGTTTTCATCCCGACACGATGGAGATGAACGTGCTAGCGGAGGTAGTTGCAACTGTCGTAGTTCTGTGCCCAGGTGCCAACCTTACCCTCGCACGTGACAGCGCGACAACGCGTCGACGCGCGCGCTTTTTGAGAAGCTAACACAGACTGAGCTGCAGAGGAGTACTACCATTCAGTAGGGTTTCATGTATTCAACCCCTTTGATGAGCATCAAGATTGGTTTGGAGTAAGTGAGTTGAGGTTGCATCGGCGATCATGATAAGCCGCGAGGTCCAAGCTCCCCTCAGTGCGGGGAGCGACATGCCGCACATCTAGGCATCCTCATGTCAAACTCTATCATGTAGTTCTCCCAGCTCAACACCGAAATGGTGCCGCTGTCTTCCTTTCTGCTAGTCGCTTTGGCCAGCGCCAGATGCTTCGAACCTACCATCGCGCATCCGCCGCCTTGGTACAATGTTGGCGATCCTCTGCTCCAAGACGCGTTCGAGTCCATCAACAGGGCGCTCACGGCGGCTGTCGCAGCGCCGGAGTTCGACCGATCCTCCTTCTCTGTAGAGATAACCTCGTCGAAAGACACGCTATGGTCGCAACACCATACGGCGCGCGAACGTAATGCCTCACGCCCAGATATCCCTGAAGTCAACGGCGACGCGCTGTACCGCATCGCTAGCATCACCAAGACCTTCACCGTACTCGGGGTACTGTACCAGCATGCAGCAGGCAACTTGAGCTTGGATGCTACCGTGGATACATACCTCAGGGAGTTAGGAGACAAGTCGAACGGCGGCATTCCATGGAAAGACATTACATTGCGCAGTCTGGCTAGCCAGCTGAGCGGCATTCCCCGTGAATGTAAGCTGCCTTCTGGGAAGAAGCAGAATCTGTTCGAAGTGTGCCAGACAGAAGAAGGTACGCGTGCTGATTTCTTCAATTAGGGGCTCAAGGTGATCTGATCAACAACTACTACGATGAGTTGGATCCAAGCTCCCTGGGTCTACCTCCTGATGTGTCACGGGAAGGGTTGCCAAACTGTGACGAGTACTCACCAAATTATGAGACACCCTGCACAGCCAAAGGTTCGCTTCTCACTAATTGGACGTGAGAGAAGAGTGCTAATCTGATTGTGCTTAGATATGTTTCGACAACTCAAGAAGTTCGCACCGTTATTCGCGCCAAACCAAGAATCGTCATATTCCAATGTCGCTTTCGAACTCCTTGGTCTCGTCCTCTCGCGGGTGACAAACCAGACCTACGAGACCTACATCGATGAAGCCATCTTCACGCCCTTAAACATGTCTACCAGCACTCTCTCCAAGCCTGCCGATTCTGCTGGTGTCATTCCGGCGGGTCCACAATTCTGGGACGTGGACGAGGGTATTCAAAATCCTACCGGTGGCATCTACAGTTCGTCGAGCGACCTGTCCAAATACCTCCGCTACGTCCTAACCCACTACAACGCCATCACCCACGCGATAAACTGGCTGCATCCCGTCTCTTCGTCCCGCGGATTGAACTCCTTTTATGGCATGCCGTGGGAGATCTACCAAACAGACCGCATACTTGAGCAGTCGAAACGCACAGTACGCTTTGTCACTAAGAGTGGAGGGTTGCCAGGCTATACCTCCATCATCATAACAGTGCCAGAGTACGAGTTAGGTATTACCATTCTGGTCGCGGGCCCCAACGCGATCTTGTTAAAGATCATGGACATTGTTCCCGTTAAAATAGTGCAAACAGCCGAAAGGCTTGCCATACAGCAAATGCGCAACCGCTATGCGGGCACCTATAGCGCCTCAGAACCGGGATTGAACTCTACAGTGATACTGGAAGCTGACTACCGCGGTCTCGTTGTCACAACCTTTGTTTCTAACGGGACGGTTGTCTTCGAAGCACCGATCACGAAAGGCATGACGACTCCGCCCCGCTATGCGCAGCTTAGCCCAACGCTTCTCTATCGCAACGAGAAAGAACAGCAAGGAGAAGAGTGGCGTGCAATGATCTTCGAGGAGCGCGCGGAAGGGCTGGGCTCTATTTGGGACGACTTCTGTATGGAGAACTGGGACACGTCTAGTTATGCCGGCATACCTTTGAACACAGCGGTGTTCTGGGATGAGCAGAAAAATGATCATTTTGAAACGCTAGAGCTACCGGCTTTCCGCGTGAATCTCACAAGAGTGGACCAGAAGAGGGGATCGAATAGGAAGTATGGTCAACAAGAAACGATGGAGCTCTAAGGCCCCACATTGCAGACCGGCAGGACGGCTTGTGGTCATCTTCTCCACTGCGTGAATCATGGCCGAATGACGAATTTATAAGTCGCTGCAGCTAGTACAGATCACTTGAGCATATACCACATTCCCCTAGAACCGCTGCGGAACGAAGGATTCGCGAAGACTCGCCAATCTTCCTATGCACGGGGCTTGCATCTGCCGTACCCAAAGAACATTCGGTTTAATCACAGCGACCATGGGTGACTGACTAGCCTAGTGTTTCCGAGCTTTATTAAAGACCGTGCTAGACTAGATCTACATGCGAAGCTAAACTCTAAAACTCACATGCAGGGCCGAACCACGTTTTCACCAAGAGGATTGCCTTTCTTGTTAGCAGAGGATTACCGTTCTTCACCGGGTTCATGTACCTCCGATGATCGTCGCTGCTGGTGTTGGAACTGTCCGAGGGCTTTTGCACTAGCGAAGCCTTATAACTATATACACTAGACAAGCCTTTGTGGCAATTGGTAGAACGCCAGAATGATTGCCACGTCAAACGCCGATCAGGTTCGCATCATGTTCACCTCCTCGTGATGCCTAACAGGGCCGACATTCAGTACTGTGAGAACATGGGTGCTCATACAGCTACCAACCCCGATAATCTCGCTTGAGCGCGTCATACATATCTTGGCACAATCTTCCTCACTCACAAACGTCATACCTCACACAGAAAGTATGTGAGTCCTCGACACGTTCAACGTGTGAAGCCAGCAAAGGTAAATGCCAGACATCGGAGGGTTTGTCGCTCGTTGGGCACAAGATCCACGTGGAATTCGCCGTAGCAGCGGCACAGCAACGAACTAAAGTCAGGGCACCGTCTAGCTCACAGACTGCCGATTGCGGCCGAGCACGTTTTGTGTGACGCGCCTTGTGGAAGACACTCCGCGACGAGGATGGCAGCTGCACTACGTGGTGCTTGTAACATACTAACGGTGCTTTGATGTCGGGAAGCTAGGATTTTGACGTCTATTCCCGCCTCTGGGAAACTTGTATGTGCCGTGTATAAGCCCCTGTTCTTATCCTGGTTCATATGGCTTTCTGTTTTACCCTGTTTGATCCGCAATCCGTCGCTTAACATAATTCTCCTTCCTCTTTTGTTTTCTCGCGCAGCGCATCTCGTACGGCGTTGTCTCGATACGTACAGTCAGAAACAATCTGGGGTACAACCTCGCTTCATGCGGGTTCCGATATGAAGTTCTTCTCCGCACTGCTGTTCCTTGTCTTTGCGCCCTTGTCATTTGCGCAAAGTCAGAGCGGAAGCGATGTACTCGCGTCTGCAGTCAAGAATCTGCCTCCATGCGCGGTATGCAAACCATGTCAATATACGAGACTCCATACTGATTTCGCTCATACAGTTAGATTGCACGCTCACAATAATCTCGAAATCAACATGTCAGCTCACAGACATCGATTGCATCAAAGGCAACGAGAAACTTCTCGATGACTTGACCAAGTGTGTCAGGGCTAGCTGTAAGCCAAAAGAAGCACTGAGTAGGTTCCTTTCCAGTCTCTCTCATCGTATCGTTTACTAATCATATCTACAGCCGCGAAGAAGTTTCTCTCGGAGTTGATGGATGCGCCCATTCGCAATAAGACGGATCAAGGAACGGTGACTACAATAGTCTTTGGAGTACTGTCCTTGGGAGCCTACACTCTACGCGTTGTCGCGCGACTTCCTTGGTTCGGCGGAAATTGGGGCATCGATGATTGGGTTATGACTGCGGCCATCATACTCATCATCCCGCTCACGATATGCGCGTACCTTCTAAACCTTTTGGGGTTAGGTACGGATATGTGGCTGGTGTCTTTCGAGAACATCACCAAGATTCTCGAGGTATGTGATGAGTTCTGCAAGTTCCAAGGTCCCGCACTGATGAGTCTACGATGATAGATCTTCTACTACACCGAGCTTCTCTACCTCGCGTCAATCGCATTGACCAAGATAGCAGTCCTGCTCTTCTACCTCCGCATCTTCCCTCACCAGGGCCTCCGACGCGTCATTCACATCACCATCGTGATTTGTATCCTGTACATCATCGCATTTGTCACAGCAACCGCGTTACAATGCATTCCGATACGCATTGCATGGGAACACTGGGACGGCGAGCATCACGGAAAATGCATCAACCTTAACGCCGATGCTTGGGCGTCTGCCGCGGTCAACATCCTTCTTGATCTAGTCGTCATCGTCATACCTATGAGAGAGCTCAGCAAGCTTGCCATGACCCGTCGGCGCAAGTTTGGCATCATGTGCATGTTCCTCGGTGGAGGCTTGTAAGTCGAACTCCCGCGCCTCATTCTTGTTTCTGCTAACACACCCCCAGTGTCACTATCGTCAGCATCCTCCGCCTAAAATATATGATCCAGTTTGCCCAAACCACCAACGTAACTTGGGACTATCTACCCATCGGATATTGGTCCGCTATCGAAGCACACGTCGGTGCCATCGTCGCCTGTGCACCCGCTATCCGCCAGCTGCAGCGCTCCATCCGCGAACGGATCTGGCCCAAACAGAAGACACCAAGTCAATACTACTACGCAGAAAACTCTGGCAACAGCAGCAAGAAGAACAATGGCAGCAAAGACCTCAAGTCCCGCATATGGCTACCGAAGACCGATCGCTCTCAACTGAGCACACTTGGTCGGAGTAAGATGGATAAAGACGACTTCGTCCGCCTAGACGAGTACGAAATGGGCGTTGGCATGGGCGGAAAGGACGGCGTCCTCACAGATAGGATTTCGCCGCAAAACTCCTCAGAAGGGTCGCTGGATCGGTCGTTCAAGTCGAATGAGGATGTGCAACCGTTGGCCGATACAGCGGCGCCGGCGCCGGTAGTTGGCTCGCCATTGGGAGGTATTATGGTGCAGTCAGAGTACAGCGTTGATAGGGGGAGCTCGCATCCGAGTTTGCAGGCTTTACCACCGATCCAACATAAGAAGGAGAAGTCGTTGGATACAAGGAGGTGGCTTTGAAGCGCGATGGTATAGCGATGCGACTTTCTACGATCTATGAAATCTGGCAGATACCCAATATTACATCTTAATGCATCGAATCATGATCATCACACATGAACGCGCGGCAGCCTTTTCGCAATGTTGTCGCGCTTTGCGGACTCTACAAAAGACGTCCTCTTCACACCTACACAATCTCAACACGAAACCACACCACGGCTCACCAACTCGCAAACCCACACCATGCCCAAGCAACCAGCCCCACTGCATCGAAAAGTTACAAATACCATAGGTAAGGAGAAAAGCCAAGCCTGCCAACCTCATGACGACAGCAGACGATTCAAGCATCAGCAGCCTGACGCGTGCCGGCACGCCTCGCCCACTTGCCGCACCAATAATACCAGCCAGGAAAATAAGGCAGCTACGGCAGTTCTTGAATCGTGACATCGCGCCAGCGTAGGAAGTTAGGGTGGGGTGGGTCCCTCGACCCACACCGGCTCGGTAGATCATGCCCCACTATGTGAGCCTAAGGGTCGGAGCAGAGAGGGCTTTGGTGTCTCGGTGGAGATTCGGGATAGTGGTGGGCTTTTAAGAGAGTGTGAGCTTGTGCTTTTTGTGTAAACACTGTAAGTTAAGAGTGGAGAGTAATAGCGCCTTCAATGTCTGTGGATTTGGAATCTGTTGCGTTCTACTCGAATCAGGGAGTGTTGTTCTTCGCAGTTCGTGCGATTATTCCGTCTCGTCCTTCCGGGCTTCGCGCTCAAGCTTCAATTCTTCTCGGGAGGGAATTTGGGAGTGTACATTGTTGGGTTGGTAAGTTGATGAAGGTGGTTTGCCAGGGCTGTTCGTCGAAATGGTCATCTCCACCGTCTGGTCCTTTTCGTCACTCTCTACACGCTTTTCATCGTCATCGTCCTTCTTCTTGGTATCCTTCTTTGCCTCCTTTTCATCCCAGATATAAAACGTGGATAGTACCGCAGCGCTGATTGGTATGGCTACCACGAAGAAAAGCCAGACGCTGCGGCTTGCCTCATCGAAAGGTACGTTTCCGGCAATACCGTTGAAGAAGTTCATGCCGAAGAATGAAGACACAAAGGTCGCGGGAAGAAATGCGATAGTGACCCAGGCTATGCCGCGCATGGTTCGACTGTCCCGTTTCGTCTCTTCGGCAATTCTGATGCTTTCTTCGAGAAACTTCTCTTCCCTTTCTGCTCGAGCATCTTCTCTTTGTTGAAGCTGCTCCTGTCGTTTCTGCTGATTTTCCGCAGCGATGTCGGTAATGTGCTGGCGTACCTCCGCAATGGTTTCTTGCAAACGATCTGGATGGTTTCTCTCCATCCCTCGAGTGAATCCCGGCAGGTCCCGCCGCATATGTTTGAGTTTTAGTGACCTCAGAATATTGTCTGCCCATTCTGCAGCATCGTTACTGAACGCAAACTGTGTCTTTAGGTTTGAAACCCTGATCTTATGGCTGATAGCATTGAGTTCGCGAAGTAAGTCGCTTAAAGTCCGCTCAGATGCTATGGAGTCTTCTGCATTTTGGATCGCTGTCATGAATCCCTCCGCCTCTTTTGCAACAACGCGCATGTACAGCATTATAAATCCTTCAAGCATGTAAGCGAAAGCGTTGAAGGATGCTGCTTCAGTTGTATTTGGGTTGAGATCGTCTGTGTATCTGTACTTGTCCATGCGCTCTTTGCATCCTGCAATTTCATCCTCTGGCCACTTGCCTGCCTTGTCATAGGCTAGTACCGCCAGCCATCGTCTTTCAGTGCCCTCATTCTCGATTTTGTCGAGCGAGAGATTCAGAAAGGGCACAGAGTCGCTGGGTGTCCGGAATAATATTGAATACATGTCTGGCGAACAGAAAAGTCTTCCATTTGTTGAGGATTGCTTCTCCCCAGTAGACAATGATTGGGACTGGTCTGATCTAAGGAACCTCAGGGCCACTCTCAGTGCAAACACCAGATCGTCCCCAGGACTATCGAACGAGAATTCAAGGAAGTTGATACTGGTGATGCAATCAACAGTCTGCATCAGAGACGCCGGGATTTCCTTGCTGGTTTGCGCAGCAGAAACTGATTTACGACGATAGGGTTGTGGCGCACGTTGGAGGAAAGACATGATATCTGGGACCTCCTTGAAAGTCGCAATCCCAATCTCCTGTTGCCGGAGACCTTCTAATTTCGCGTCGTAGACAAACACACTTCCGCTCGCGAGTTCGACGAGTTCGACGAGGTTGGACCAGAATTCACGCCCGAAGCTTCGTTGTGGGTACAAAGCACTGATTTTGACAATGAATTTGTCAAACTCCGCGTTCGACAATGGTTCCGCCATAGTCGGTATGCAACGACGACTAGATTTGTGAGGGAGAAGATAGACAACCACGACGCAAGGCTGGGCTGCTTGGAGCCATATAAGCCTTCAGCTCAGCTGCCAAGCGCACAACACCCATACGTCTCTGAAAGACCTGCACGACAACAACCTTGTCCCGCAGGGTAACAAAACCACACAGTGCTCTTGAAAATCGCCCCAGGCGCCAAACAGTCGGCTGTGGGCTGTTTTGAGAACATCATGCAGGTAGGCAGCCACTACAAAACGACCGCGCGGCAGATAGGGGCCAGCCTTGTCGCCTAACAGCTTGAGCGACCACTACGTGGTTCCGCATCGTACCTAGGTGTGATCACATATATCTCAAGGCAGATAAGAACCTCAGCCTTGTGCGCTCGACCGCACGACTGAAGATCTGCGGAAACAAGAAATAGATAAGGCAATCGCTCCACAAGGCAGCCCTTGAAGAAACACAGTCGAACCACGGGATTGTCAAATAGGCCGCCCGATATGGGTGAGTTGACTGGTAGAGCTCGAAAGATCTTCCCACGCCTTTACAACTTCGCCTCAGCCTTGTGACCCCCTGCTGCAGCAAGCAGAAACCGAGCAAAGTACCTCTCCAGCTTCTGCCCCGCATCTCTGTCCAATTCAACGACTGTGCCCACCCACCCATCAGGTCTCAACACCACCACAGCGCCTTTCTCAGTCGCAACACCATAGCGCATATGCGCACTATGATCTCCATCATAAAACACACGGCCAAACGGTATACCACCCAACGTCTCATACGCTGACGGTCCACCCAGTCCTGCGATGACGGAAAGACATGATATCGGCGTATCCTCATTATTCAGCCAAGGCACTGCTGACATGGCTGCGGTGAACGCCGACAATGATAGCTTTGTGCGCGGTACGTCACCAGCAAACAGCACAATGTAGAACATCGCAGTATTCGGCGTCTCGCTCTGTAATCGCGTAGCTTCGAAAGTCGCGGGTTTCTGTAGCGTGACATCAGGTGCGCGTTGACCGGGCTGTACTGACGATATATCAGAGCTCTGGGTGAGGTTGAGGTAGGAGTCTGGCTCGTAGTAGATACCCAGTCCGCTACTGAACGTCGCTGCTTCGGCCATGACAACTCCTAGTACCTCATTCGGATCTGCGTTTGGATCGCCCGTCCATCCTTCAGGTAACTGCATGGTCATGAGGCGCGAGATGTCTTTGTCGTAGTTGATCAGTCGCTGTACATTGGGGAGACGCTCTGCTTCGTACGAGTGTAACAGATCAGGTTTGGCGAGACCTAGGAGGACGAGAGAGAGCTTCCAACCGAGGTTGACGGCATCATGCATGCCGGTATTCATACCTTGGGCTGCACCCGAGCTATGTGTGTGGCATGCGTCGCCGGCGAGAAATATGCAGTCGTTAACGAAGAACGAGCGTGCGATCCGCTGCCCAACGACGTAGATGGTCCACCAATCTACTTGCTTGAACTTGAGGCTGAACGGCTTGACGGATGCGATGGCTTCCTTGACGGCGGCTTCTTCGTCAAACACCTTGTATGCTTTCTGACGTTCGGCTGTGAATGCGAAGCCTATACGCGTTGCGCCTCGGTCTAGCGCGGCCCATAGAACGTTTCCGTGTGTAGGTGACTCGATTGCGCAATACGTTCGCGGTTTGGGGAGGTCGGTTTCGATGACACCGTCGACGCGTACCCACTTGTCTTCGCTGGATGAGCCGTCGAAGGGGATGTTCATAGCTCGTCGTACGAAGGACCGTCCACCGTCTGCGCCAACGAGATATCGACATCTGACTACGCTCTTCACCTTCGTCTCGCCATGTTCGATTGTAGCCAGTACACGATATTCACCCATCTCAGCTCCTTCTATCATCTCAATACCCACCAGGGTGTATGGCGCATCAAGTTGTACCCCCTCCTTAGCCAACGCTTTCCTAAACACCTCTTCCTGGTACTTCTGACGTAGCACCAACGCGAAATCCCACTTGGTATCCTTCATATTCTCCATGAACGCCCAACCTCTTCCTTCGGCCTCATTGCCATGTTTATCGTAGTTTACAGTCTCGCGACATGCGAAACATTGTTGGGCAAGGGCATCGGCTAGAGAAAGCTGGTCTAACATCTCAGTACTAGAGGTAGAGGTACCAGGTCAGTATATGTCTTACATGCACTTCGTACAGGCAAAACTTACCTGCGAGGGAAGAGGGTGATGGCGCGTCCATAGTTGTCTTGAGAGGACTTGGGATGTTGTTCTATGATCTTGATGCGATGCGTAGAGCGAGGGAGGTTGCGCGCGAGTTGGTAGGCGGTTACGAGGCCTGGAGAAGTGTATTAGTACCTAGGTATGATAGTACATGTGATGGAGAATGGGATTGTGTACCTACTGGTCCTCCACCTACCACAAGCACATCTACATTCTCTACCGGTAGATCTGAGGTCGTCATATTTCCTAGAAAATGGAGATATTCAGCTTGAGCGCATGGTAAGCTTCCTCAAGCTCATGTACGCCCGTGTTGGCCAGCTATAAGCCTCGTGGGCCTGATAGCTGCATCGGGAACGGCAAGTAGGAGCTGCTGTATTGATAAGAAGATAGCATAACATTAGTCATGCATGCTCGATGTAACATGATGGAGATATGGGCAACATACGTGCGGTCGCAAAGGAAGGTGGAAGCAAGAATGGGGTGGGACGCGAGGTTCACAGGGGCCGATAAGATAAGGATCGAGCCGCGGCAAACATCAAGCTGCAAGCCCAGCCGTTCGCTCAAGACTACAACACCGAACACATTCTGGAGATGTCAAAGGAAATTCACACGTTGCAAGCGACATCTCATGTCACGATAGAACCAGGAACGTTTAACGTGTCGATGACAAATCTGCGAGTCCGATTCTACGGCGCACGCGCATCAGCTCAAATCACACCTACAGCGGCAACACCCACTCCCCCTCCCTCATCGGCTTCGCAAGACTACTCGTATCCCTTTTCGTAAACCGCCCATACCCCTTCTCTCCCAACAGTCCCCCGTTGTCCCTATCCCAAACCACCTTGCCCCTCAACAACGTCCACCGCGGCCACTGCTTCAACTTCCTCCCCTCAAAAGGCGTATAATCAACATCGTGATGCAACATACTATTCGTCAACTCAAATTCCTTCATCTTACCATCTGGATACCAGATATTGATATCAGCATCCGACTCGCCCTCAATCAACGCGCCTTTCTTCGGATATAACCCATATAGCTTCGCGGGGTTCGCAGATGTCACTTCGACGAATTTGGTAAGCTTGAGACGGTTTGCGCTAAGGGTAAGGGAAAGGCGTGTTTCGATGCCAGGGCAGCCGTTGGGGATGTATTTGAAGTGGCCTAGCGGGTATTCCGCGCTGATACTAGACTTTTTACCCATCTCAGGGTCGTCATAGCGGAAGGGACAGTGGTCTGAGGAGAGGATGGTGAAAGTGCCGTTTGCGAGGCCTTCCCAGATTACGTCGCAGTCTGCTTCGCTCTCGCGGGGTGGGGGCGAGCATACGCATTTTGCGCCTTCGAAGCCTGGTTGGTCGAGATCTAGCTTTGTAAGGAAGAGGTATTGGGGGCAGGTTTCGGCGTAGATGGGTAGACCGCGGTCTTGCGCTGCCTTGATGTGTGCGGCTGCTGCGGGTGTGGATACGTGGACGATGAGGATTGGGGTATCCATGAACTCTGATAAGCTGATTGCGCGGTAGGTGGCTTCGGTTTCTGCCATGGGTGGATGAGATGATCCGTGGTATTTCGGCGCGAACAGCTTCTTCTTCTCGAGTTGTGCGGTCATCCAGTCGATTACTTGTCCGTTCTCGGCGTGGATCATAGTCGTTATGCCTTGCTTCCTGGCTTCGAGCAAGACGTCTAGAATCTGCCCGTCGTGCAGTTGAAGGGCCTCGTAGGTCATGTAGATCTTGAGTGAAGATATGCCCTCCTCTCGCAGCGTCTTGAACTCTGAAAGTGCCTTATCTGAAGGGTTGCCGACAATGATATGGAAAGAGTAGTCGATGTAGCAGTTGTCCTTTGCTCTTTCGTGAGTAGCCGCCAGAGTGTCGAGAAGAGTATCCTCTGTCTTCTTCTGTGGCGCAAAAGTCACCATGGTAGTGGTGCCACCACACACTGCTGATCGACTACCAGTCTCGTAATTGTCTGCCGTTGAGCCATTTCCAAACAATGGAGGTTCCTGGAGATGAACATGAGCGTCCACGCCTCCTGGCATCACATAGCCGCCTTCAGCATCTATCGTTCTCGTCGCTTGTGCATCTTTCAGACCTCCTCTTGAAACTACCTTTGCGATCTTCTCGTTCTTGATAGCAATGTCCCACTCTTGAACTTCATTTTCGGACACAACCACTCCATTGATGATGATTAGATCGTACTCCATCGCAACTTTTCTCAACCTTGTTCCGAGCAGAACAACAGCAACATTAAACAGACTTCCCAGTCATAAACGCTCACGGGAGGATACATCTCAGCGGTTATCGTGGTAGTGGAAAGAAGGCTAGTCCAGGTTTGTGAGGTGCGTATCTCGACCCCTCTTTCGCGCTGCCCCACCTTCCTCCCATCGTCCTTCTTATCACCCACGACGCCTATATGCGGTATAAACGCGCTCGAGAGGGATACAGATATTCTGCACAGTCATGGATATTGGTCATAGATGGAGAAAACGCGTTTTTCGCAAGCCGACGCGTCGGATGTACTACCGCAGCTGTGACGCTTCCATCTACCATGCCTACCTAGGTAGCCCTCAGAATCAGTGTTCAACCTACCTTACATGTATATCACCATGCCTTCCAACCCTCTCAAGATCAATGGCGAGAGGCTAAACAGCACACTACAAGAAACATGCACTTCATACGGCGCTCTCCCCGCGCCATCGACAGGCATGTGCCGCCTAACCTTAACCCCCTCCGACAAAGCGGCTCGAGACTGGCTAGTCCGCGAATGCAAAAATCTGGGATGTGAGATCAAAATCGATCAAATGGGAAACATATTCGCCATACGCCCAGGTACCGCTACAGATAAAGCGCCAATTGGCATGGGCAGTCACATGGACACACAACCAGCAGGCGGGAGGTACGCGCACCAACACCCAAGCAAACATCACAATTATCAGAGCCTGATGGGAATATAGATACGATGGCATCCTCGGGGTTCAATCAGCCCTAGAAGTCCTCCGCACGCTCCATGAAAACGACATCCAAACTCATCATCCCATTGCCCTGATAAACTGGACAAACGAAGAAGGCGCGCGGTTTCCCGGCGCAATGATGGCATCTGGTGTTTGGAGCACGCATAGTAGCACGGATCTATCTGCATGCCATGCTCTCAACGATACCGACAAAATATCCATGGCAACTGCTTTACAAGAAACCGGATACCTTGGTCCAACGCCGTGCGACTACCGCGAAAACAACCTGTCCGCGCATTTCGAACTACACATCGAGCAAGGCCCCATCCTCGAGCGCGAACGGAAAGAAGTAGGCATCGTGACAAGTGTACAAGGAATGAAGTGGTTCGCCATCCGCGTCACGGGCCGAGAAGGGCATTCGGGAACGACTCCCATGGCAGGAAGAGCAGATGCTTTAGTCACGGCTGCGCGTCTCATCACTGCTGTACGCGATACGGCGATGGAGACCGGCCTGGGTGTAGCTACTGTGGGTGTTATCAACAGTGATACAAGTTCGCAGGCTACTATACCCGCTGGCGTGGGGTTCGTCGTAGATGTCAGATGCGATACTGATGACCTCGTCGATCAACTGTCTGAGAAGATGTTACGGGCATTCGATCAAGTCATCAAGGAAGAAGACAATGCGACCGCGTATGCTGTGGAGCGTACATGGGGACTGCCCGAATCGAAGTTTCACCCAGATTGTATTGACGCTGTGAAGACGGCGGCGGTGGGGTTAGTGGGCGAAGATCAGATCATGCAGATGAAGAGCAGAGCAGGGCATGACAGCGCGTGGACGAGCAGAGTGTGTCCGACGAGTATGATCTTCGTGCCCAGCAAAGGGGGGATAAGTCATAATCCGGAGGAGTATACGAGTCCCGAGCATTGCGCGTTGGGAGCACAGGTTTTGCTTGACGCGGTGCTGGGGTATGATGGGAAGTTTAGAGATGGGAAGTTTGGAGGCTAAGTTAGTGCAGTGAGCACTTGAAGGATTATTATGGTATCGTATCGCCTCATTCTAATACACAAATCAATGTCAACTATTTACAAGAAAGTTCCCATCTACAACCCCTTCCTCACCACACACCCCAACCTCTTCACATCCACTCCTCTTACCCCCTTCTCAACCAGAGTAAACAGCCGGCCCAGGGCTAACATACTTGAAACTAGAGTCGTAAATCGCCTTTGTGAAGATGGGATCACTAGTCTTGTAACCTCCCGGAAAGCTAACACCACTAGGCGTCGCACTGCCTCCACCCGTAACCTTAACCTGGAAGCAACTGACATACGGCTGCGGGTTGTTCGCACCAGCATGCAGCGCAATCGCCTCGGCGCGGACCAAGTAGTCACCGCTCGCAATGTTCTTGGGGACGGTAAAGGCGCGCTTTCCGCAGTTTGCGTTGAGGATCTCAGTGCCCCAGGACGCTGTTGTGCCTGTGTACCCGTCTTCGGCGACTTTGAAGAAAGATCCCGAGGTGGCGGTTTTGGCGTCGGCGACTTTGGCCATGTACACGAAGACGGGGCCGTAGTGGTTGCCACCGATGGCGGGTTGGGAGCAGGAGCGTGCGTTGGGTTGGGCGTGCATTTCTACAGTTAGGGAACTGCCGGCTGTGGGGGTTTGTTAGTACGTCACATACTATACGATATGTTTTACGGGGATAGGGCGAAGAAGGTGATGGACATGGGGGGACGTACCAGCGACTTCGCAGACTCCAGATGTAGAAGCTGGGCCGCGTCCGCAGAACATATCGGAGGAGGTCACACTAGCGATGGGGCTGTTGTCTTTGACAGTTCGGACGCAGGTACCAGCCTTATCCTCACTGCCGACCCAGAGTTCTTGCCAGGTGGAGTGGGCAGAGACGGTCGCCGCGGTGGCGAGGAGAACGGTGGCGTACTTCATGCTGGATGTCGATGGGATAAGATGCGAAAAGAGTGAAGGGTATGAAGGTCTGTATCGATTCTTCTTCGACCAAACTCCAGCGCTCCCAGTATTTATTCCCCTTCAATTCTCGGTGTCATGCACCATAGGACTGTTTACCAGAGCAATCTAAGAGCGACGACATGACTCCACCCGGGCCGCTGTACCTACTCCTCCCTCGTCATCTCCGCACCTAGTCGTGGCTTCCGACCACTATCTTCATCGTTTTTGCCTTGATCACTTAGATAGATTAATGTCACTGCCATCAAGCTTCCTTGGCACCTGTCGGGTAGCGCGTGCCCCGTCAGGCCGTCAGCACTCAATTTGCACGACACGCGCTCATTCGCCGGGAAGACAAAAAGCGGAGGCGGAGTGTAAATGGAGAGATTTTGAACTTGCATGTTTGCATGTCCACCCCAGGTTTGAGCGTTTTACCTGATTGGGCACGGCATTGGTGTTTTGGTACCGATGTCACATGGCGCAATGTGGGCGGATCTTGGATTTCGGTTTGCAACGGTGATGCTTGGCTATATGGAGGTCGTATATTATATGCGTCATGGTGGTCACTGGGACGGCTGCGTTTGGGCGGTGCGCGGCCTTCGTGTAAGCGTTAGCATCTAGCCTGTTTTAAGGTGTGGTATCTTTGGGCTCTGGTGTAGCATTGTCGATTCTTCGTGCCTGAGGTATCAGGTGCGTCTCCAAAGGTCGTTGTGATGATCCTCTCATGTTCCTGTTCGAGAATGCCGATCTTTCGGCAATTTGGGCCTGGAGCCGCTCAGAAGGCTAGTCCTCGTTCAATCCGAAACAATGGGGAAATGCTAGAACGTCCACCATTGGTTTGGGCCTGTCAATATCCACAGTCGTTTTCTTTTTGTTCGCCAGGAGTTTGTTCAAAGAAATGAGTAACGAAGGCCAATGGCGGAGAAAGAGGGTGGACGGGCATGGGTCTGAACGTTATCGACTCCTCCGTACAAGTTCTTCTCGATTGCGATCTGCGATAGATTGGGAATTGTTTAATCGTGGTCTGAGCGTAGGATAGCGTAGCGTGTGCGAGGCAGTCTCAGCCCGGATTCATTCAAGCCTCTTCCGTGGTGGCATGATCGACATTGCTTGAGATTCGCAACAGAGGAAGCGTTTGGCGTCGTATCCTGTCAAAATCGACGCCAATGGTATTCCCGCGACGTGCGACACACACTTTACCGGGTTCGCATTCACGCCTCTTCCGTGCGTAGTCGTAGATGCCAATCCGCTGGTTCTTCTCGAAGGAAAGAAGACATCTGATGTGCTATCGCCGCTCAGGGTCTAAGCCCCTTCCACCTTTCCACCCTTCTCCTTCTTCCCAAAGTAATTCGCCAGTGTATTCTTCTGCGTCGGCTTCTCCTCCTTCTTCCCATCCACCTTCTTCCTCCCCCCCTCCCCAACCCCCATCAACTTCTTGAACTCTTCCCATTCGTCCTTCCCCACAATCCCCCCACTAGCTTCCTTATGACCCCTCGCAAAGCTCTCCCCAAGCCTCTTCCTCAACGCCTTGTCACCTGCCACAATACCCTCCAGCTTCTTGATAATGTCGACTTTCTCCTCTCCTTCGCGCGCTCTCGCACACTTGGCAACGCGACACGAGAAGTTGACTTTGTCGGGTAGGTATCCTTCATTTGCGCACATGACGATTTCAAGTTTGTTGGATTTGAGGGTGCCGGACCAGCGGGTTGCGATGACGGGGTGGATTTGCGCGGCGGATGAAATGGTGAGGACGGCGATTGTGGCGTCGGCGGAAAACTTTGGGGCTGTGTGGGTGCAGCTTTCGGTTTCTCGTCGTACTTCCATGCTCGCGTCTTTCAGCTTGTCGGCTTTTGAGATGTCGACGGGACTGCTCGCGGAGATGACGGCGTCCCAGGCGTCGCGCACGTTGTATGCTGCTGATCTGCGTGGTGCGTTGGCTAGTGCTACGGCGTCGTTGATTGACTTTTTGGGATGTTGCTTGAATGTTGCGACCATATCTGGAAAGGGCGGCTCCCATTTAATGCTGCTTCCTAGGTCGCCGTGCGTTCCCAAGGCTGCTAACCAGGATATCTTGTTGTGTAAGTCTGGGTGGAGTGGTAGGCAGATGGTGTATGTGAGTAGTGCGCTGGTTGCAACAGGCGGGCAGTCATGAGCCGTCACGTAATCGCTGCCTTCTGGGAAGCCGCCTTCATCTGCAAAGTGATGGTCTACTACGAGGCATGTGTGGGGTGAGTCGATGACAGGCGGTGTCTTCCGGCTGCCTTGATCTAGAATGAAGATGTAGGATGGTGATAGTGCTGTCAGGGCCTGCTTTGTGGTTTCATCATGTACATTGGAGCCTTTTGGTGGAAAGTAAACAGATATGAGGTCAGGTGATAAACCTAGTGCGGTGAGGGTATGATGGAGTATGGCGCCAGAGGAAAGCCCGTCTGCATCCTTGTCGGGTAGGATGACGGTTGGTTTTTGCGCTTCAGCACTGGGGAACATCAGTGTCTACATACTCATCTATCGAGTCCGTAGTGATGTACCATTCTCTAATGATCTCTCGCGCGCGTTTAATCTGCTCTTTCCTTGCTGGCCAAACATTCTCTCCAGACTCGTCTTGTCTTGATGGGGTGAGATGGTATGCCGGGATCTCTGTCTTCGCCTTTGTTGTCGGCTTTGTTTTCTTCGGCTTCGGTAGTGATATGTCTTTCTCGGCTTTACGTTTTGCTGGACTTGACATCATGGTAGATGCGTGGAGTTGCCGGGCTTGTATAGAACAGTCGAGTAGTAGCGATGCTCGTGGCGAATGTAGACTTCTTAAAGAGGCTTCTGATGATTGCGCTAATCTATAGACAAGAGCTTTCATTATACACACGCGTTACCCCGGCTAGAATGAGAGGAACGAATGCATTCAAGGACGTAGGACGGGGTGAGAGGTATGGAGGTATCGATGACGTCGTTGACACGCTAGTCCCGTTCTCGCCCAACCACCAAAGTTTCGAGACGCGTTCACGCGTTATGGTGCTGGGAGGCTGTTGTGCGCCTCGCCTTGGGCCGTACAGTTATCAACTTCCTTCTCCTCTTTACTAAGAGGGAACTTCTCGTAGCCTGTGTACATATTATCGTTAGTAGTATTTTGAAATGATAGAGCTCATTTACATACTCAATCTAATACGTTCCACGGCAGCTGCAATGTGCTCGCCCGATTTGATGGTATCATTCATAGTCAACACCGCAGTGATATACTTAACTGGCTTCACGAACGGCCGAACCTCCTCGTCATCTGGAGGAGGGAAAAAATATCTGTCGAATCGAGCGACCTGCCTGAAGGCATTGCCGTTTTCGGGCCTCATATTATTTGATGAAAGCCATTGCTGGTAAATGTCCATATCGAAATATGCAGAATCTAATCCATTGGGCTTAGGTATCTCCGCGAGGATTAACAGTTCTGTTGCTACCCTCGTCACGTTATTGCGGCACGAAATCATCTTGTTGATGCCCTCTAGGATCTCTAGGGCATGGTCATGGACGTCATACTTTCTTTTAAGAAATTCTGTTATACGACCGCTAAACGCTGTGTTGAAGGCAAGGCTTTCTCTGCCCGGGAAGCTGTCGAGGTAGAATTCGCACTCGGACTTCAGGGCGTTGATCTTCATCGTTAACAGACCGACGCGTTCTTGGTGAGCTTCCCTTGTCGATTCGGAAGGGGATGATTGGTCTTTCTGTGGGGACTGCATAGTGGGGGAGTGTTGGGCTCAATGGGAGAGGGTGGCGAACGGAGGTTTATACCCATAGTGCGCTACCTCCGCCTTCACGCTAAGCTAGAGCTTCTAACCCGGGTTCTCGAATATGGGTAGATATGATGCATATCTCGGAAGTCGTAAGTGGCTCGTCTGCTCCGCGTCACCGCAGTACCGTGGAGGGAAGTGGATTCAACCATGCTACAGCTCCAACTTAACCTTTGTCTCCGCGAGTGTCCGTCCATCAAAGCCAATCCCCACGACCTCAACCTCAACCTCTTGTCCAGCGTACCGTTCCACAAACCTCTCGTTCACAATATGCTCCAACACATACGCTTTAGCCTCCAACAGCCCTTTACTTCGAACTACAAAGTATGCAAAAGGACCCGTGATTACACTCCATGGCATACCCGTAGTTTCCCACTCCGAACTTGCCGCGCTCACGTAGTTCCAGTACAGTCTAACGTGCTTACTGTCTCCTTCACCGCGCTTTTCGAGCCTTACTTCAGTGATTCCGAGAGAAGAGCTCGGAGGTAAATCGGATGTAGGTGAGATGCAAATCTCCTTAATACCCATCAATCTTACAGGCCCTTGTACAGTATCCCTCAACGGACCTTTGATATGTATACCCAGCTCCCGGATGCGAGTCCCACCCAAGTCGTCCACCAAAGCGATCGGCTCGCGCGACATCGGCATGCACGATCGATATTGCGTAGCCTTTTCCGTTTTAAAGTATAGTCCAATCGTCATGCACTCCATTTCCGGCGTCCTAGGATCTTCGTCGCTGTCTAGCACCATGGAAAGTTGCAAGGACCCATCAGCCGGCATGTCGAGCTTGTACAGAGGAAGCCAGGCTTGTACGCCCCAGTCACCGGTCGCCTGTTTTTGGATGAAGTCGATGACTAGGACGTTTCGGTTGTGTTCGTGTTCTATGTGATGTGATAGAAGGGCGTGTTCGCCTTCGGGGAAGAGGCTGGCTGGACGTGGAAGAACGGATTGCGAGCCCAGTTGTGAGTGCGTTTCGCTGTTGTTGAATAGGTGTTTTGCGTCGTCATCATGTGTTGAGAATGCGCGAGTGAAGCTGGTGTAGAAGAAATGTTCTGAACCCGCGACGCGTTCTTTTGCCGTTCGTAGAATTGGAAGCTCTTTGTTTGGTGGGTGACGCGATGCACAATCTCCGCAGGTGCACTCAATGCTCTCCGGAAGTGGTGTGCCTTCCCAGACGGTGTGTTCGACATCCCGCTCGTGGCCTGGAAAATGCTCGAATGACCATGCGGGCGCGAAGACGCCAACCGACAGACCTGTATCTGAGAGTCTGGCCAATGCGACTCCAGTGTTTGTACCACCGCCCCCATATTCAGGATATGTGACGCGAGGATGGGTAAAGCTAGACTTGTTTTGGGCCCAGACGTCCACGCCAAAGTAAATATTCTTCTTCTTGCCTTCAGCGTAACGGCCAAAATAGCCAGCGTATTGTCCGAGCTTTATTGATTCAGAAACATCAATATCCGTCCAGCAGTAGTTAGTGAGTAGATTTTCGCATGCGTCGGCAAATTTGAGGTTGGAGCTGGTCAGCGCATTCTGATAGGATATTTTGTTGGAAATGGTGAGCGCATCGTACCTAAGGTAGAGTCATGCGTCAGTCATGGTGAAAGTGGATGTGAGTTCATTACCATATGAGCCGTTTGGTGGCTCCTAGTTCGGCCTTCAGCTGGCGTAGAAACGCTTCTAGGACCTCTGGATCCCACACATCGCTTGGGAACGGCTTTTCAATGTTGATCAGCCAGCCATCGAAACCGAAGTGCGTTGCAATGGAGACCAGCTTCTTCACCATGGGAAAGTTCATTATCCCAGACTCTTCTGTCGTATGCTGCAACACCCGTTCCGAGCCTTCAGTCTGTGGCTCGATCAAAAAGGTGCCCAGCGCTTCCACACCGTTCCTGTGAAGCGTATTCGTCCATGTGGGTGGTGGCACGCAGACCAGCTTATGAGAGAAGTAGACAAAAGTATCAACAAACTGGAGATATTCACACGAGTAGAGTTCCTTGTCTACACCGATGGACTGCACGCTTTCGTAGTCATGGTAGTTGCCAGAATAGTCATGAATCAGCAGAAGACCAGTTTTGCGGTCTTCGGTCGGAACTGCACCGGTGGTTCGCAACAGCGGTGTATTGGCTCTTTGTAGAGGGTCAGAGTTAGCCTCGGTCCACGATTCCAATTGATCAAAGGTATCGAAGTAGGCGAAACCCTTTAGTCGATCTAATGCGCGCTGTTGGCGTCTCTCTTCCGGCGTAGGCCCAGTGTCCGGGGTAGGGAACAAATGACGGTACCCATCGCGAATTGGTCTGAGGATGTCTTTCCATCCAAGAAGATAAGCCATGTCTGACTGCTGGTGAAAGTGGTGAGTGTGTCGCGACAGTGGTGCGAACTGCTGCGGGAAGTAGCGGCGATCGGGATGACGTTGGCGGCAGGGGCAGTTCCTTGGCGTGCAAGGCTCCACAGCTCCATCCCTACGTGAAGCAGCTGGCGGAACGTGTCTTTTATGTCAGGCACTCAACAACCACCTCCAACCACGCCTCACGTCGCCAAACCTCTGCCGCTCTTTTCGCCGCGACCAGCGACCCACGCACCGCCATGATGAACCTCTTCCGACTGCTGGGTAAGCCTCGCGACACGAGCACTCCGGGGAACTGTCAATAATGCTAACACGTCTAGGGGATTTATCCCACCTGCTATCCATCCTGATTCTGCTGCATAAGATGAAAGTGTCGAGCGTACGTCTATCTGAATTGCACAAGTAATGCGCCGCATATACTAACACGGCATAGAGCGCGTCCGGCATCTCGTTCAAGTCACAATTCCTCTATCTGATGGTCTATCTCACGCGTTACGTCGACCTGCTGTGGACCTTCTACGAACCCAAATCGCTCTACAACACCATTTTCAAGATCATCTTCATCAGCACATCCGCCTACACTGTCTACCTCATGCTCAATGACTACAAGCCGACGCACGACCCGAACCTTGACACGTTCAAGGTGCAATATTTGCTGGGAGCGAGCGCGGTGTTGGCGATACTGTTTCCGTACAAATACACATTCTCTGAGGTGGGTAGTCGTATGATCTGCGAAGGAAGACGAGGTGCTAATGAAATTAGATTCTCTGGGCTTTCTCCATCTGGCTGGAATCAGTAGCCATTCTGCCCCAGCTCTTCATGCTGCAAAGAACCGGCGAGGCGGAGACGATTACGACACACTACCTGTTCGCGCTGGGTGCGTACCGGGCTCTGTACATTCCCAACTGGATCTACCGCTACTTCTTCGAGGTGCCCAAGTTCTACGACCCGATTGCGGTGATTGCTGGCATCATCCAGACGATCCTGTACTCTGATTTCTTCTACATTTACTACACCAAGTAAGGCTTCAACAACTACTGAAGGCGCATCAGCATGCTAATTGAACCTTCAGGGTCATCCAAGGCAAGAAGTTCAACCTGCCCGTATAGACCGCGCGCGCATGGACGCTGCTCCCTTCTGCTGTTGGCGGCCGAGTTCGGTCCTACTCTGCTTCGTATCTGGGCATATTTGTGTTAGGTGGGCGTTTTGTGGCATTTTTATGGAAGGAGGTAGCCTTTGATAGTTGGTTGGCTGGGCGTTGCACGAGTTGGACGACATCACACGACGGGTGAATGCGCATGTAGGAAGATACCTTGAAATGAATAGACGTGAGATGGTCATGGTGTTATGTCGAGCATGCAAGCGATAAGGCTGAGATACGGAAAAGCAGTGCATGCATGGGTGCGCCACCGACTGCAGCCTCGAGGCATCAAGGGGAGCCTGGAGGTGCGCTGCCAATCAGCGGACGCTAATTCGGAGGCCAGGACTCCGCAGCATCTCACAGCCGTCAGCCCTCGCAACCTTTGATACTTTGTTATCCTAATAAACCCATTTGCTATTTGTTCGTCCGCTCGCTCTCTTCACTTTACACATTTGCCCTGCCGATTTATCGCATTAGTCAGCGCATCCACGTCCGCCGTCGACGATTATCGCCTCCGCCTCAGTTATCGCCGTAAAGTGCGCGCCTCACACGACACCAAGGATACGTCAGGGCCATTAGGGCTGCAGCGTGCGCACGCGAGGCTCCTTACATACACACAAGCACACCACACACACCACACACGCCAACCCGCCATGTTCTGCCTCCGCAGCTGGATCCCCGTCCTGTTCTTCTTGTAAGCACCCACCCATCCCATCTCCCTACCACTCCACGCGCATTCCCTCCCTAACACCCACGCGCAGATTACGAACGCACGCCTCGCCCGTCTACCTCGTCCTCTTCATCTCAGCGACCTACTTCCTAAACCGACCGTGCGTGTACTGCTCGCTCCTTCTCTTCATCCTCGTCGTCGCCCTCTTCGACTTCCACACTCCGTGGTTCGATGCGCCGCTGTCGGATAGCGCGGAACTGGCGCTGAATGGCACCGTCGCGGAAACGGCGGGTGTGTTGGCGCAAGCGGCGAATCACACGGCCAAGGCGGTGGTGAGGGGGGCTGTTGAGGGGGTTAAGGGAAGGGTTGGACTGGGCCACAGTGAAGGGCAGAGCTATGAGTGGGTTAAGGGGTTGTTGGGGAAGAAGGAGTGGAGGATACAATGTTTGGATGTGTTGATAAGGATTTGAATGGGTGGGATTGGGAGACGGGAGTTGGGTCTGCAATGTAGAGGGATGCAAGGCGTTTGTGGCTATTAGGCCTGGATGCGCGGGCAGGCTGGATATCGTTGCATGGCTGGGGCGTATACTGAAGCATCTGCAGGCGTCAATGGCATACCACTTTCAGGATTGATATCCACCAGCTTGTGCGTGATAAGCATGCTACGAGCATGCGAAGAAAGCAGAGGGAACTGCAGAGACGACGCGCCACACACTCGATTCAACGCCGCATGGACAAGCAACAATACCAGATATAATCCTACGCATCTTCGCATCTGGATCTAGATAAATGCATATCTAAAAGACCCCGCGCTAAAGCCGACGCAGGGATTCTACGTAGGTGGGGCGCTTCGGCGTGCCGCACGCGCACCTTCCCCTCTAAGCCTACACGCATCATCTCATACCAGACCAATTGAACCATTGACCCCCCTCTTTCCTCTTTCGCTCAGGTTATCTACCCCGCGGACCTTCGCCCTGGCTGCTCTATCCGCCTCTGCGAGACTTTGCTCTCGACAATTGACGAGGTGTAGAGCTAATACTTCGACGCGTCTCTATTCTGCTGTATCTACCACGCAGCCTGCCCAGCGCTATTCACTCTCCCCGACCCACCTCAGCCGCTCTAGAAGCTTCTCTTCTGCAGCTAGAGAGCTTGATTCTGCCCCACGTACCCAATTCCGTCTAAGACCGAGGCTTGCCGTAGCAAACACAAACACCTCTGCAACACAAAAGAGATTCTGCCAGAGCGAAGTCACCAGCAGTTTCGTCAACATGGCTTCAGATCGCGATGTCCTCCCCGCATGGTTAGTTGATACATCTCTAGTTCCGTGACCAAGCTAACATCCCAGGGCCAAACCCTCCCACTACGCCCTCTCCCTCCACGACCTCGAATTTGGCGGCAAGTTTGGCTACAAGGGCACCGTCAACATCACCACCAAGATCACAAAGGACGATGGCTTCAACACCCTCGTTCTCAACGCACATCAGCTCAAGTTACAAACCGCTGAGCTGAAGGCCGGCGACAAGACACTGTCAGCAAAGGACATCTCTTACGACGAGAAGAGGCAACAGGTCACACTCGACTTTGGCGAGAAGATCAGCTACTCTGGCGAGGCTCAGCTGGAGATCAAGTTTGAGGGCTTCGTCAACAACATCATGGCCGGCTTCTACCGCTCCAAGTACAAGCCCAAGGGCGACGTCCCCGCTTCCGTCGCAAAGGACGACGAGTTCCACTACATGTTCAGCACCCAATTCGAGGCCTGCGACGCCCGCCGCGCTTTCCCCTGCTTCGACGAGCCCAACCTGAAGGCTACCTTCGATGTTGAGCTGGAAGTGCCCAAGGACCAGGTCGCGCTCAGCAACATGCCCGAGAAGGAGATCAAGCCCAGCAAGAGGGACGGCTTCCACACGGTCGTATTCGAGCGATCGCCTATCATGTCTACCTACCTTTTGGCGTGGGCTATCGGTGACTTTGAGTACGTCGAGGCTTTCACCGAGCGCAAGTACAACGGCAAGAACATTCCTGTCAGGGTCTACACTACGCGCGGCCTGAAGGAGCAGGGCCGTTTTGCTTTGGACAACTGCCACAAGATTGTCGACTACTTCTCCGAGGTCTTCCAGATTGACTACCCTCTTCCCAAGGTCGATTTGTTGGCCGTTCATGAGTTCTCGCACGGAGCTATGGAGAACTGGGGTCTCATTACCTACAGGTGCGTCAAGTGCTTGAACAAGCTGGACTTTATGTTAACGTAACTAGGACTACTGCCGTACTCTTCGATCCCGCTACATCTGCCGACAGCTACCGCAACAGGGTTGCTTACGTTGTCGCCCACGAGCTTGCCCACCAATGGTTCGGTAACCTTGTTACTATGGACTGGTGGAGCGAGCTATGGCTCAACGAGGGTTTCGCGACATGGGTCGGATGGCTTGCCATCGATCATCTATACCCAGGTACGTCTAGAGGAAACAGTATAAGAACTTCTGCTAACTCTCACTAGAATGGAACGTCTGGGGACAGTTTGTCGTACGTCACAAATCTCGAGGTATCTACTACCAGCCTATTGACGATTTCTTCTAGACTGAATCCGTCCAACAAGCTTTCGCCCTTGACGCGCTACGAACATCGCATCCCATCGAGGTACCCGTATACGACGGTCTTGAGGTCGACCAGATCTTTGACCACATCTCCTACCTCAAGGGTTCCTCAGTCATCCGCATGCTGAGCGCTCACCTTGGCGAGAAGGTCTTCCTGCAGGGTGTTGCCGACTATCTCAAGGCCCACCAGTACTCCAACGCCACTACCAACGACCTATGGTCTGCCCTGAGCAAGGCGTCTGGTCAAAACGTCAACACCTTCATGGACCTCTGGGTTCGCAGGATCGGTTTCCCAGTCGTCACCGTAGCTGAAGAGCCTGGTCAGATTGGACTACGTCAACAGCGCTTCCTTCTTGCGGGTAACGTCAAGCCCGAAGAGGATCAAACTACCTGGTGGATTCCGCTTGGCCTTCACACTGGCGAGTCAGCTTCCAGTGCGTCTGTTCACGAGACCACTGCTATGACACAGAAGGAAGACACAGTCCGCAACGTCAGCGACAGCTTCTACCTGCTCAACAAGGACCTCACTGGCTTCTATCGCACCAACTACCCTGCGGACCGCCTGAAGAAGCTTGGAGAAGACCGCGATCAGCTCACCGTACAAGACAAGATTGGCCTCGTTGGTGACGCCTACGCAAACGCAGTGGCAGGTTACGGCTCCACCGCTGGTCTCCTCGCACTGGCAGAGCGCTTCCAGGACGAGTCTGACTACCTTGTATGGTCTCAGATTCTGACCAACATTGGCAACGTCCGCAGCGTCTTCTCCGGCAGCGAAGACATCAGCGAGGGACTGAGGAAGTACCACCTCAAGCTCATCACACCAGCAGTCGAGAAGGTCGGCTGGGAGTTCAAGGATGGCGAGAACTACCTCGTCGGCCAACTTCGCGCCAGCCTCATCCTCTCCGCCGGCATCGTCGGCCACAAAGCCACTGTCGACGAGGCACTCAAGCGCTTCGACGCCTACGTCAACGGTGACAACAAGGCCATCCACCCCTCTCTCCGCCGCGCCGTCTTCGCCACCGCCATCAAGAACCGCGGCGAACCAGCCCTCAAAGCCGTCCAAAACGAATACCTCCACACCACCTCCATCGACGGCAAAGAAATCTGTCTCGGCTCTCTCGGCCGCGTCCAAACCCCCAACCTCGCAAAGCAAGTCATGGACTTTGTCTTCTCCGACGCCGTCGCCATGCAAGACAAGCACAGCTCCACCATCGCCCTCGCCAATAACTCCAAGGTCCGCCCGGAGGTCTGGCACTACATCCGCGACAACTGGGATAGTAAGGTGCATCCCGCGCTTGCTGGTAACCCTGTTGTGCTGGAGAGGTTCTTGAGGTTCGGACTTAACAAGTTTACGGATGCGAAGGTGGCGGATGAGATTCAAGAGTTCTTCAAGGGCAAGGATACGAGGGGGTACAATAAGGGGCTTGAGGTTGTGGATGATACGATAAGGAGTTATGCGGCTTATGCAGAGAGGGATGCAAGCATTGTTAGGGAGTGGTTGGGTGCGAACGGGTATTTGTGACTGGGTGGGGTGAAGTTGTGAAGGGAAAATGTAAAGGGATTCAAATAGTTGGATGATGAGACAGGGATGATTTGACACGAATTGAAAGCATGAACTGTCATTCGTGTATGGATTGGTGTTGTTCTGGAGACGCTTGTGGTCTCCCCATGAGGCTGGCTTTTGTTTGGGTCTAGCATAACGGTGTCACTGGCACCACTTTGAGAGTGAGCCTCAGTGCTGTTCTTGATCATAGTCCTTCAGTCCAATATCCGTCGTCATACCCTTCGTTGCAGCAAGTGTATGATGTTGTGATCAGACGACGAATGTGTGATCGCGCCATCAATTGAGAAACCAGCATCGAGTTTCGTGTACTCCACGAGCCTCACTAGCGAACCGAACATGGCGTTTGTAAGTGCTGCCTAGGTCGGTGGAACATTGCCACACAGAGCGACTGCGACCCACGCAAAGTCTTAATCTCTCATAAACTGCTGTATAGACGAGATGTAGAATCTGTACATTGGTTTGACAACATCATGTGCACGAAAGGGATCACCGGAGACTGCCTTTGAGAGCTGTAAGCAACTTTGCATAGATGGATAGAGTACTTTTGCAATACGAGCCGCGATTGAACTGGCTTGATGTGTTTGGTCACGCACAGTCCTTCTGCATGATGCTGCTGTTGTCGCGTGTTGGCTGAGCGAACTGAATGTAGCTTCTATGGGGGCTGGAGTAAGGGCGATGGGTGGGTAGGGGAGGCGGAGGGAAGGAACAGGGGAGAAGGGGGTGGTGGAAGTTATCCCTACCTAGGTATCCTAACCCGATCTCTTGCTAACAGGGCGTATACGCTGCTGTAGAATTCCAAGGCCGCGCCTAAAGCTTCTAAGACGATAGCAGAAAGGATCTGTCAGCTACCTATCTAGACAGACTCGCAAACACAGAGACAGTACGTTAGAGATGCTCGGCCCAGTCAGATTGATTTCCGAGGTGACATTGGATGAGAGCTTGAACAACATCTTAGCCACAATCAGTGAGCTCAATAACACCAAGGTGCATAATGCACACTAATACATATTCAAAGAACGATTTCTTCAGCCTCTTTGAAGACTACACAAACGGTCTGGTCTCGCCTATAGTCAGAACCCTGAGGGAGCTAATAAATTCCAACGAACAACATCGTGAGATCGAGTTACCAGAGTGTAAGAAAACATTTCGATACCTTCTTCAACTCCTTTCTATCACAGAAGCCAACTATCGTCAAACCCTCCTCGACAAGACAACCTCATCCAAAATCTAGAAGCTGCGAACACGCTCACGGAAGCCGAATATAACCGTCTCGATATGAAGGCAACCGCTTCCGTTGCTGCTGATGCGATTGACAAAACGCTTCACTCGCACAATGTCGACGTAATCATAGGCCCAGCAGACAGCCGCCTACCTGACGTTCTTGCCGTAGCCAGTAAATCTATGTCATGTCTCTTGACAAGCTTTTTCTCACAACGTGCACAGAGTATCCTTCGGTGACTCTGACACTTGAATATCTAGATTAGAACGGACGGCCATTCGGATTACTCGTCATTGGCTCCAAGTACCAAGACAGTCTCCTTTTGGACGTGGCTCGCCTATGGGAAGCAAATTTCCCGCCTAGAAAGACGCCTGACTTATATTGTGGTGGCGCAGGCTGCTAAAGACGGGGAATGGAACTGTGCGCGGTTTGACAAGCATTTGAAGGGAAGGGTATATACACGCTTTGAGCAAACTCACCAGGGTTTTCAGGGAATCAAAGGTAGTTTGAGGAATAGGCAGTGCGTCTTAGTTTTATGGACAGACAAGTTGTACAAAACAGCAGCCAAGCGGTTGCTTCACCATGAGCGCCATCACCAAGGAGAGCTTTTGCTAAAGGAGGAGTAGGAGGAGAACGATGGCAACGAGGAGTTTGAATCTCATAATGTGAGAACATACTAGTAAATGAACAGGCACCCAGTAACTACACTGGTATGAGAGAGAACGTCATATCAGTCGTCATGTCAGAATGAAAGAGGGATCAAGTTATAGTTTTCATCATGAATGTTCAGATGGTTATTCTTGCTGACTACCAACTAGATAGTCCTTCTTCCTTGGAGAGGGTTGTAGGAACAGAGCGGACAGCCACTACTATGACGACGGAGAAGTGTCTTTGTATTCGGGGGCATGGTCATTGTGAGGGTAGATGTGTAGGTTGAAGTCAGTTTCGTTGCTGCTTACTTTGCGCTGACGATCTCCTTCTCGATTATCGTAGTTCTCCGACCCACGTGTCCTGTCGTCCTGTCCCCCTTTCCGGAGTTCCGATCATAGCTCCTCCAGATCCTCATCCCCCATGTCGAGGGCGGGGAAATCGCCGGCCTCGCAACGTTCAGGTCGTACAAAGACGCCGGAATTGCTGCCGCACTCAAAGTATCGCTTGCCTTTGACGCTACCATCGTTCTTGCCTGTCGGTTCGTCGAGGGTGACGCCGATCCAGACGCCTATACCCGGTATCTCAGGGACAAGGCCAATATAGGAGATGGTTCCCCGACGGGCATCTGACTCGGGTAGGAGGCGAACACGACCGTTTACAGAAAGACCTGATAAGGGTTTGCGTTAGTTGAATCGATTCGCTTCGCAAGTATACATGCGGTAAAGGAGACCAAAGTGTAAGTATGAATGCAGCCAGGATAATCGTACGAGATCAGCTCCGTTCGCTGTTCAGTGGAGCCCAACCTATTGTAACCTCGTATCCGTCCATGGTTTGGGCGTAGACAGGAGGTTTACGCGAAAGCGAGCAAAAGAAGCAAACATATGCCCAGGCGGAATGCAACGGGTAAGTGGGCAACAACGTCCCGACGGCCGGGCGGGCAGTTTGGCAACTAGCATCGCGTATGCGCGGAAACCCAAGATCATTGCACGCCTAATCTGTCCCTCATGCACACCGATCACATCTTACTCGAGATGTGGTGGCGACAGCGAGGCTCAAGCGGGGAAGGCGGCCTGATTGTTCGAGACAGATGCAGGCGTTGCCCAAAGCAATGCTATAGCGAGGTAGTGATGCGCGAATATCGAGACGTAGTGCGGCGTTGGATCCATCAACACAAATCTCCAATACATCCTCCGGGGATAATGGCATTCAGCGGAGTAAACGATGCGTAACGTGCTGATGTGTTTTAGAAAGCAAGGAAAAATGCGGGCCGCGCCATCCGAGGATCTGATGCCCTAATCCACCCTGACGATCTCGCTCGGGCGAGCAGGGAGAGGGAGATTTCAGGAAATGGACCATGTCGTAGTCGAAGTGTATTCGCGAGAAAGTTGGTCGACGAATGAAGCTGGAGGATGGGGAGAATAATGAGGCTGGGTGGCAAGGAAGGCGTCGATCGCTTATTTTGAGAATTGAGTTTAGGGTTTCGGCGACTTGCACCCTTTGCCGCTGCCCGGTCCCTGCCAGAAACGGGTAACCTAGCGGAGCGACGACAGTCGTTGGAGGACGGCAACACTCGAAGCGATTTCCTAGGGTGCTAATCGGTTTACTATGGCATGTTGCCTAACAGATGTGCTTCAAACGCCATACGCTCGGCTATGGAGGTCTGGGCCAAGGGTTGGATGCAGGGGGCCGAAAAGGGTAGTCGTGTATGACGGGTTTGGTCAGAGGATACTCGGTATGCGAGATTGCCTTGCCTGTCGCTCAGATGTCCTTGTCGGAGGGTAATGAACAGGCTGAGACATAGTGAATCCTGTTATGATGAGGCGGCAACCTTGAAGGTATGCAGCAGTCCGGTTTGGGAAGAGTTTGAAGCATCTCCGGTTTGCACATTGGAACGACATGGATGACTACAAGGCTGCTATGCGATGGTTGACGCCCGGATTCCGGTGTTCCCTTTGCCGCGCAAACGTACGGCTCAACGGTGTGGGTGAAACATGCGGGAGATATACGGCTTACCTCGTTCCTCTACCTCCCGTTCGGAGGCGCGGATCTTTTGCTGCTCGATGCTGGGAGCATCGGGGTCGAAACGACCCAGCTTTTGCGCCTTCTTCCATGCGAGGACACTATCGGTCCGATGCTCGTACTCAGCAGCGGGCATTTCATACTTCTCAACGGACGACAGGTCGGTGAAGTCCGTCCTCGCACCCGGCGGACGAGTGTCAACGACCTAGACGTGCCTGTCAGCTCGGGAGCATGTTTGCGAGGATTCATTTGCTCGGGGATGTCAGTTGAGATTGCTCTAGCAAGGTGGCCGGTACAAGGGATGATTCATGAGGCCATGTAAGGCATTGGGAGTAAGGCCGAAGCGCCGAAAAAGAAATGGCAAGACAGCAGCGAAAGGCTATCCGGTATTGCGAAAGTTTATACCGTCGGTATTGGATGCCGAGTACCAGCAGACTCCCGGAGTGCCCAACGCTTGCAGGCGATCTGGTAACTCAGATGAAACGAAGGATGGCTTCCGCGCGGATCGCGTGCCAAGCCGCAGCAATTGGGAAGAGAGGGGCAGTGCGGGGCATGCAAATATGCAGGCATGACCTGACTGGAGCCGGCAGCCTCAACGTCGGACCTGACAACGAATGGGGCAGTCGAGGAGAGCGACGCATGAAACTGCTAGGCGTGGGTGTAGAGTAGATACAAGGAAGTAGAGAGGCGAGCCGGGGTGGCAGAGATGTGGCAGCTCGCGAGAGGACCGCAGCGTCGACACAGCCAGGACAGGGCTGCGGCGAGCGTGCAATGAGAAGGCAGAAGAAGCACTTACGGTTATCTCCGCATACGGCTGCAGCGGGAAAGCAGCAAGACGCGTCTGCTCCTCGTCGGGGCCAGTGATGGCGACGGCATCCTGAGAGCCCACGCGCAGCGACAGCTGTTGACTGCTGGCGGGCACACCGGTGATGGGCTCCAGACGGGCCTTGAGCTGCGCAATGGACCACGACGGCGATATACGGCGCTCTGACGACGAATTCGGGGAACTAATGAGAAGCGGCACGTCTGCCGCGCTCTGGAGTGACATGTCGAGCGAGGGGCAGAGCCGAGGTGCACTAGAGGGGTAATGTATGTATATAGGAGGACTCTGCGCTGTTGGTGGTTGTGATGGTGTGCGGTTGACAGGTGACCCGCTCCGTATGCGGGATGGTTACGAGTGGTGTAGGGCCGAAGAAAAGCATTGGAGAGGGTTGCGCATGGCCGTATCGAGTATGCTAAGCGATGCCAAGGCCGTGGTTGTTAACCACAGTGAATGTCTCAGGGCCTCACGAACCGCGACGAACGCCCACCACCCACGCCACCCCACGCGCTCTCACATCAGTTGATGCGTGGGATCTAGCAGTTAGATACACTCCCACGCCGTGCGCTGGCATCGTTCGCGCGTGGGCGAGTTATTTCTGATGATCTTCGTCGAGGTAAGGCCTGCTCCGGGTCGAGCTGCCTCATCCAACTAATGCAAAACCATGCGCTCGTCAGCCAAGACGTGGTGATTGCACTTAATCACATACAGCATTTCGCGGGCGCCTGCCAGCGTCTGCACGCGTCCCTCTGCACCAGCGTCAACGAGACATGTCATGTCCTCCAACTGCCTCCAACCGACTCCAACTGCGGGCCTTCACCGCTCTTGTATGCGATGTATGCAATGCAAGTCGTCTGTAAATATAGAGTGCTGCGCCTTGTAGATTCATGTGTACCCAGAGGCTGTGACACCTGCAAGACATCTACAAGACGACCAAGCAGACCAAGCACACTCCCAGAGCCGCAGACCCTACCAGGGCCGCGGAAGTGCAGTTCGCATGCCGTCGGCGCGGTGAGATTTGTCGCAGACGTCTGTGGGGAGTCTCTTGATCCTGCACTCACTCACCAGACCGTGGGCGCCGCCGAGGAAAGGCCCTTTGCCCTAGCGCTAGCCAGCGCACGGGGATGGTTCATGGCTAATGCACCTGCATGTCGGCTCCCACTGGCCCAAGGCCCTGCTATATCCAACCTCATTCAAAACATCCATCCAGTTCGGCCTCTCCTCACCGCCTCATGCGCATCATCGCGAGCCCTGGTCCCGTGATGCAATCCGCCATGGCTATGACATGGCAGGGCGGCGCCTCCTCGTAGCTTCACACAACGTGGCTCGCGAACACGAAGACAACACAGCAGCACCGCCGCCGCCGCCGCCCCTCACGTGCGCGGTGCACAACAACCCGTGAACACGTCTGGTTGCGGATGAGGCCGAAGCCCCATCGCATAAACACCAGCGTGCCAACATCGTGTCAATCGTGTTAATGCCATGGCGCGCCCGAACAGCTTAGGCGCCAGAGCTAGACATCACGCCCACGGCCGCCGGCAGTTCACCGCAGTTCACCGCTCCTCTTGCGCATGCAGCGACTCTGCTAGATCGCCGCCTACAGTGGGGTTCTTGACCGGACACATGAACGCAGGAATTGCGCAGGTGGAGCCTGTCTTGAACGTTGTCGACGTTGGCGTGAACACATCACCACCTGCACCGCCTTAATGAAGTCAGCCGTTCGCAAGGCTTCGGTAGCGACGCTTCTGGCGTCAGATAGCCGGAGCAGGGCGAGCATGCTGCAGATCTTCCATGTCATCGCGCTTGTGCTCTTCCGAACCATCAGCGAATCCCTGAGACTGTTCACCGCTCATGCAAATCCTTGATTCGTTGCCTCAATGACTGAAAACACGCTCCAGCCGCTTCCTCGACGATCGTGAACGCGGCCCTGCTACCTGCAAACGCCGCAGCCCCGTCTTGGGCGCATTGAGGCCTGACGGAAAGGAGGGCAGCAAATGACGCCCAGTACACCACGCCGGCGAGGCCAATGTCAAACCGCAGTAATGCAAATGCGCCGGAGTCGTCTCCCACGTCAAAGAGTGCGAGTAGGTTGCTGATAGCATCTACCACCTCTCCCCAAGTGGGGGACACGTCATCGCAGTACCTCACCACGCAAGAACGGGTGTCGTGCTTTTTGTGTCAAGCTAACGCTGCCAATTTGGCCTGTCCTTTTCTTTTTGGTCTCGCTAAAATCTCCGGCAGACATGCTTCCTTAGATCGGATGAGCTGTGGTACTGCGGTGGTCTGTGGGTCGTTAATGTGGCGCGCCGCCAGCACGAGTCGAGAAAGCGTTAAGCGCACAAGTAGTGGGTGTCAAGTCAGAAACGCAAAGGGTACATCCTGATCCCAAGCCCCCGGATCCCTACCGCGGCGGACGATGAGGCGGCGCCAGGCCAGGGCTTCAAGGGATGCCTGCTATTAGTATTACAGTCGCACGCTAACTCTCTCTACTGGCACATCCATGCTCACTCCCTCTCAGACCCTACCTACCTTTGCTCCTACCAGTCTGTATCCACCACTCCCCTACGCTACGCTTTCCTACCTTCTCGACCTGAAAAGTCAGTGGCTAAGCACGCCCGTCATTCATCAGACCGAGTGGTTGGCCTGTTTCACCCCCTGCTCCGAAAGCCCCGGCCCATAGCCCAAATAGCTCGAGTCGATCGACCACTTAGAGCGTGAATCATCCAAAGTACCTCGCAACTGGCTACTTGGGTCATCGTCGGCACATTTAGTCTATCCGAACCTCATCACCTTACCACTGTCCTCTCCTGTTCATCCTCATACACAGCTACCCACAACACGTTTCGCCTCCTTGTTGTTGTTTACCAACTTCACCTGCACATCAACACCTACTCTCCACGAATACAACCTCAGTTTCTGCCTTGCCTTTGCCCAACGCCACACCTGGGCTGATCAAACGACGGTTTCCTGTCAATCATCTGCGAGGCTACCTTACGACAACGCCCGACCTGATCGGTAAACGTTCAACGTATAGATAGCCATCTATCTGCTGTACTCCACACCTTACAGCCACCTACCCCAACACCGCTACTGACTGAACGATTGTACATCTTTCGGCAACTTGAGCTTTCGAAGGACGCAGGTCTCTTGACAACTTTCTCCATTGTATGGGCTGGCTAGAAGCTAGTCCCTCACCTTCATCCTGGATATCAACCTCCTCCTCGAGCCTCGCGCTCGGGGCTCAGAGTCACCCGCGAGCAAGAAGAGCTCCATATCAAATGTGTCCCACTCGACAGGAGCGACCAGAGGATACACAACCGCACCTTCAGCCTACACACAGTCACCTTCGCAAAGAGCGTCGCCGGCGTATGCCTCTGGAGCACCCGCGTACCCAGGCCCCCCGCACTACGCGCCGATGTCTGCATACAGCCAGGCACCGACATCAGCACCCCAAGGACCCGGATCAATGCTAGGAGGACCTGTTCTACCTGCCATCTCCGAACTTCACCGACACGCTGAACCCGCACCGCTCCCACACTTTCGCCCGCTCTACTCCGGCCCACATGGACCATCCCCACCCCGTCACCCGCAAAATACTAATGGCTCTCCCCCTTCAACACTCAAGCGACAGGCATCCCAAACCCCGCTACCCGATGAGAGTCCGGCCAAGAAACAGTCCAAATGGACGCCAGAGGAGGACAACCTGACCATCGAGCTGCGGGGTCAGGGAATGAAGTGGGACGACATTGCGAAACGACTACCCGGAAGAAGCTCCATCTCCTGCCGACTTCGTTACCAAAACTACCTCGAAAAGCGAGCCATCTGGGACGAGGAGAAGAAAAACAAGCTCGCAAGACTCTACGCTCGGTATGTACCACTCGACAAATCCGGATGGCCAGACTTCTCCATCTTGGTCATCCGTTCCTTCGTTTTGAGCCCACATCTTTGGTTTCAGATCTACCCCAGCACACTCTGCCGCACGCGTATGCGACGCTTTTCCGCGCACTCTACTCAAAATCAATACTGACTCTTCTTAGATTCAAGGACCAAATGTGGCAGAAGGTCGCTACCGAGATGGGCATTCCCTGGCGGTCCGCCGAATCGATGCACTGGCAGCTGGGTGAGCAGGAGATGAGCGCGCGTGCGAATGCGCCGGTGTTTCAGCTCCACCCATCTGCAACCGGCACAGGCATGAGCTCGCCATCGCAAGTGCCCGTTATACCAGCCTCTGCCCCGCATGGCTTCACGCCTGCCAACGCCCCTCAGTTGATGCCAAACCCGCCGCCGATGCCGCCGCAACTGCATCAGGTGCCCCCGCCAATGCCCCAAGGTCCAATGCATAGCTACCACCAGCGGGCCGACAGCGGTTCCAGCGCGGGCGGACGAAGGAGGAGGAACAGCTCATTCAGTCGCAGGCGCGCAGACCCTCGCAACCGGTCCAGCGTGCCCCCTCAACTAGGCCAACCTCTTCCCCAGATTCAACCACAGTCGGAAGAAGACTTGATCAGCGGAGCCAGGACAGCACCTGTACCAGGCATGCAGTCCATTATCAAGCAAGAGGGCAACATGCCCAGCTACATGGAGGCGTACCACCAGAGGAGAAGGGAAGAAGAGGCCGCAGGCCCGTCACGAGCAGAGCACCACGCACGGAGCGAGGGCATGAGGAGTCCGGACAGGATGTCGCAGCGCAGCGGAACCGGCAGCATCAAGAGCATGAAGCGCGAGGAAACGGAGCGAGCATCGGCCCTGCCCTCGCCACCCCAACCGTCGACACCTTACGAGCGACCAGCATCGGCAGTCGCATAGACACGTCTCGCACTCGCATTAATCAACGATTTCTTTACTTGTAGTAGATGGGATATAGACATATTTCGGGATGCATGCATACAACATTCGGGCAGGAACCGTAATGAGCGTGGGTATACCCAGGGTTTCGGCGCAAACAAAGAGAGTGAGGGTTCAGGAGTAAACGGGTATACCACGAACGCTTAGAATAGGGAACCGCGCTGCAGAGCCTGGATGAAGATCAACGCAGGAGCATATTCCGCACGACTGTGGCATTTAGCGTGGGTTGGTTGTCAACATCTTTTTCGCATTGATATCAATCTCTTTGGCATCTGTTTTTCCGCATTGCTGAACATCATAGCGTTTGTTTCTCCCTCTAGACTCGCATTTGTCCATTATCATGGTTGCTTTTTTTTCTTCTCTCGAACCGTTTGTCACAGCACTGTTTAGTGTGGTTCATTGCATTTCTCTATTCAATCATCTATCTCAACACAAGCACCCAGCGGCATAGCGTGGCGAGGATACCTTTACACCGATGTTTTCCCCTCTTAGATGTTACGTGTCGAACTACGTGTTCAACCAGCTAGTTTACGGCCTCGAAGTGTATCAAAGACAACGTTAGAAAGACTTTTTCGCGCTTCACTGCAACCTCGCGCCACCTGTACCCTGCAAGCCAGCATAGCCATGGCCAGCACACTGTCACAGTAGTAGCAAGATTATAATACAACATGAACCAAACGGTTCCGTTCATCTCCGAGAAGCAAAACCCGCCCTCCATCCCTCCCTAATTACGTTTCTTTCGGACGGACGCTCAAAGTTACACTTTACGTGCAGGGTCATGCCGGACACGCCTGTTGCTATGTTGAGTGTGTGTGTGGCGTGGCGGTGAACAGCAAACGAAATTCCCACCGCCGGGAAAACAACGTTCGTCTACCCCGGATCATCGTATGATGACGTAGCGGCCATGGGTGCCACACTTTCTCATGCCTGAGCAAAAGGTCGGTCAAACAGGTACCTACGTGGCCGACTCAGCGTGCGCGGAGCGCTGCGCTGTCACCGCTTCAGGGTGTGTTCAGCAAAGCTTAGCTCGAGTCGGAAATTTTTCGCCTCCATCCCTCCAGGTTGCCTCGCGTTCGTCAGGAGGGTGTGGTAGGGTGCGTTGTTCACGACCATGACCTTCTGCTCCACTAGCACAGCCTTCGTAGCCTCACTTGTAGGCCACGCGATTGGATGCGACGGGGGAAAAGAGGGTGCCGCTTTGCATGAACTTGTCCTTAGAACGGTTCGCTGTCCTTGCATGGTCTGCAATGCGTAAGTCGCATGCAAACTATTTTAGGGCTTGGGCTGCTGGGTGTCGTGTCATCGGTTCTGCTGTGCAGGCAAGAGGGTGTTGTGCCCCGCAAAAAGCAGGCGGGGCACGTGATTGGCTCGCAGTCGTGTTTGAGGATGCCGTAGGGCTGCGTGGCTGCTAATCGATAAGCCTGGCCGAATGCCCATGGCTGCCGCCTTTGCCCACCATCCTCGCGCGCTTACGCTGCAGTTGCCAAAGCTAATCGGCCTCGAATTGGTGCCTTGGGCGTAAACCAAACTTTGTTGCTGTTGCGCGCACTCTCCGCTCCCGTCCCACTCGGAGCACAAGGCTGAGATGGTCCCAGCCCTCACGAACCGCTTTGAAACAGCCTAGTTCAACCCGCCCAAGGCACGTCCGCCCTCTCACCACCCAACCTGCCCAGTGCGTGGCTTCGCAGAGCAAAAAACAAAAACCTTCCATGGTGCTTCTAGAAGGCCCAGCTTAGTCCAAAGTCTATGCCCATGACATATTCCCCTTGCCGTCGCCGTCACACCCACCTACCCGCCAGTTCGTTCGCGCCAATCTTCACGACATCGCATTCAGGCAGATTGTGTCATTCATCTACGTGCCGCCAGGCGTCGGCATAACACTCAGAACACGGCGCAATGCCGAACTAAGCCAAAGCAGAGAGACCTGGCGCATGGGACGAACTGGAACCATGCAACATGACACAAGCGGAACGGTAATTGTCCAGGCAAGCGCAGACGAACCAGGACGGCGACCATATGAGTGCCCTGACGTTTTCTTTTTCCGGGGGTCGGCCATGCGACGCAATAGGTGTTCGCATGATCGGGGAACGGATGGGTGAACTATTGTCAAACGGCCGAGCCGCTCCTCGGCGCTGCTTGTGTTGTGTTGCATAAACAAATCACGGCGGAAAAGAGGTTATGCATGAACAGTGTCGTTATTCTCACGGCGATCGCCTTTCTTCGAGAAGCCTTCCCGATGCGGCATGGAGCATGGCTAGTCGAGGGCCAAATCTCCCACCTGTTCGCCAAACGCGAATCATGGGCGCTGACATGCCACTGCTCGCACACACCACTCACACATGACGACACCCTTTCACTTGACACATACACAGATCCACCCCAGGGCCTGCCACCACCCATCCCTTTCTGCGTTCAGTGCAGACTAGGAGTGCCTGCCGTCGCCTTACCCGCGCGAACCTTCTCATCGGCTTTGCCACATCGTACGAGAATTATGACATCTTGGTTCTGATATCGTTGTCGCAGGATTGCAACTATCCTGCATGCTGGTTCTCTGATCGCCCGGGATCGCTGCCTTAGGCCGAAACAACTGACATGGGCGAGCATGGCAATGATCAATCGCGAGAGAAGAAAAAAACCGTTCCGTGACATGTGTGTGGGCCAGGCACGTCCACGCTTGCATCAGGGCTGTTCCATGGAAACAGTGTCGAGGGCGCTGTCCCTTACTTCTTGCTGCCCACGCGTTTGGCGGCTCCTGGCTCGGTCCCATGTCATGCGACATGGGGGCTGGTCCTGAAGCTGGCTAAGCCGTGCGGGCGGGAAGACCAAATCGAACGTCTCAAGAATGTTCTTTGCATCATCCCCTCCCACGTGCCACGCAATCTAATTTCGGCGTTTGGCTTGCGAGCGCGCGAACAGACGAGATTAGGCCGATCGGAGGCTTCTCCGTCCCTCGAGATGCGCACGAAGACATTGCGATGTGGTCATACCGTCATTTTGGGGATCAGAACGATGGCCGTGTGTCATCATCCCCGACAGCTGAAAGAACCTCGGGATGCTGAGACGTTGCATTAGCCAGGCGTCGTCTGTTCGCGCAAGCTGCATGGGGCTTTGTCAAAAGTAAATGGAAATGGCCTCACATCAGCTCATACAGCAAGCCACCACGCTCGCCGCCTCCTGCGTCAAAGAAGCAGCCCAATCAAAGCCAATGCAAATAACGTGCAAACACTCGCCAATCCATACACCCAATAAGCAAAGTATTGCACTACATGCAGTAGTCCATGGTTCAGCACCCGAAACCCACACATCGGCATCCGACACATGCCCAACGGCTTTCCCACGGTGTATCCCGCAACCGCATTCCTATTCCGCAATGTGAAATTCAACGCGCAAATCGCGATTTCGTGACGATCGCAAACCTGAGACATAGCGCCCAGTGGACACTCCGCACCGCAGAATTTCGGTGCTGTTGAGTCAGTCAGTCGAGGGAAGGGGAAAGGACAGACGAATGCGAGATTAGTGGCGCCGATCGAATAGTTCACGCCCTGTTCACCCAGACATGCTCGCCCGCCCTCCCCCAAAGGGGAAAATGAACGAACCGCCAGCGCCCGCTAAAGGACCCGAGACCACCACCAAGACTAAGCAAGACCGAAATTTCTTTGCTTTTTGGACAAAGCACGCGACAGGCGAGCGAGTCTACACGATTCATGTTTGCATCTTTCGGGCACCTGTCGCTGTTTGCTAATGCTGCTTACCTATGCAACAGAAACCTTAGTCTATTCGCGAGTGACCATCGCGCATTCGCTTCGGCATTCGCAGCCGACTTTCTTACTCGTCGTTTTCGCCGGTCCCACACCGTTCGAGTGCGAGAATCGCGACTGCACTAGGTTAATCCCTCGTCACGAGACAAACATGATGAGACACCAGGAATGCGCGTATCATTCACACCTCGAATCTGGAGAGAATGGACATAAGCCCACAATTCCAGATTGGCAGGCATGGGATGCCTTAAAAATCTGGTGCGTGTGTTTTGGGTTGTACCCCGCTTAGTTAAGGTCCTGAGAATCAAGGCTGCGACAATGACAGTTGGACTGTGGCCTATGGCTGGCCAGCGGACGAGGCGCATGTGAGGCTGAACACGCCATCATGTGATTGTTCGAGGTATGCCGATTGGTTCACGGTCCTTGTTTGGGAATGTTTTGAAACGTGGTGTTGCATTCGCCCTTGAAAGTTCTGGAGCTTTGCACGCTTTGCACCGTCCATCTACCTCATTACCCCACTAAGCTTTCAGGATGCGCAAATGCTAAGTGGGGTGATGATGATGATGAAAGAGATGGCAGGGTGGCAACGTTCAAACACGACACAGATGCCATGGAGGCCTCAGGCTGTGTTGCAGCTGAACGCGATGCGCAAAGAAGCGGTGTCACGGACACTTCTTTCACGCCTTCAATCTCTGTGTCAACGTTCTGGTTCGCCGTTACCTCGCCTCGAAGCCAACACGCTCACATCGTTGCCCTTGTATGGTGTCTAGAACGGATGAAACTCCATGACATTTTGTTACCGGCCGAGATATCTTCTCCGTCAGGAACGAAACGCAAATACTCTCTACTCTTAGCGAGATGTTGTAGCGCGTAGTGCAAGGTACGCGTAGTATCTGTGGTGTTGGTGTGTGTGTATCCATCTTCACCGGACGTCACAGGTGTTGTGGTTGACGACTAGTTCGATCTGTGGATGGCGGCGCAGGGTCTATGGTCTACACCGCTCCACACCGCTACAACCACTCGACCTGCGACTACCAACGGCGCTGGGCGAGAACTGTTGTTGCATAGTGGCGAAGGGAAAGTTTCCGGTAGTAACCTGTACACCGGATTGTGGCAACGACAATGGCCATAAGGTCGTCGGCCGCTGCGAAATCTTATTTTGGCAGAATAGATGGATTTGGGTACACCGCTTCTCACCGCTTCATCTTGATATCGCCTTGGGGAGGCTGTGTAACAACAATACATGCAGGCTGCGGTAGTGGTAGTGGTATCGTGGTGGTACTGTATGCACGTCTCGGTACTTCTATCATGGTAGCCGTATTGTACTGGGAGTAGGGGAGGCATGCATCTGAACTACCCATGAACGTTTCGCTTGTAGACTACACTTGTGTCTAGGTTGGAATCGATGGGCAGTGAGATGGAGAAAGGCATGGTGGAGGGCGTACAACACATGGCTGGTACACCGCTCAGATGCGCTGTTGTTGGTAAGCTTGAATGGGGTGGACCTACGTTTCGATGGGTTTCTATGCGTGGTTGTGGAGATAGGGGGGATGGGTCGCGGTGGCAGTGATGACAGTGAGGAATACAATTTACGGGTGACCATTCCAGTCGAGTTGGGTCTGATCCATCACATCATACCATCATCATATCTTAGAACTGCCTCAACTGAAATTTCCACCTCTCGTCTCTCTCGGCTTTCAGCTGCCCAGATCCAGATGCAGCGATCGGTACGTACCTCAAGACGAGGCTGACAGCCAGCCGCTTGCTCACAGAGTGACACGAAGTAAAATGGAACCCACATATATACATGGCATTGCGCATTTCGGGGAAAGATGATCATTTAATCTTGTGTAACGTCTGGCCGATTGGCTGATATCATTTCGGCGGACAAGCCGCACACCTCAGTGATGCAGAAGTGGATGTAGATGCAAGATGAATTAGAAAGACCCGGTGGGTAGTACAGTCGCTCGAGAATGAGACTGGAGATGTCGAAGTGGGCTAGGCGGAGAGTGTTGATGTAGATAGATGATGTGATGTCGAAGTGCCACTCCACTCAACTGAACTGAACTGAACTGCAGCAACCCCTTCAAGAAAAACTACAACCCTCCTAGAAGTCTACATTACCCTGGGACAGTACTGAATTTCGCTATATATACTGGTGTATACTGCAGCGCCCTTATTTAGTTCCTTACTCGACTTGAGGTGGCAGTGTCCTTTGGCTCGATAGAGAACGAATCTCGTCATGTCAAGACAAGATGATGGACGCGTAGTGTACTTCAGTACTGGGTCATTAGCCCAGCTTTGCCACACAATGTACTGCTCTCGTATCTCTATCTATCGACCTGAAGCATGTGTTCCGTGTGGGCGAGACAGCATGCAGTGCCTTGACGCAACTCACAAGTCGACGTGCACGCAGTCCATCAGGCCATCACTGCGTCGTGATAGCACAATTTGCATCTATCCATCATCCCACATCTTGCCCTGCTGATATCTCCCTAACAACACTTCTACCTACCCGCTCAACGGCAACTCGCAGCACACCAATTCCAGAGCGCCCGCAATCCCCTCCTCTCCCAAACCACCAAAAACAAAGCAAGAGAACCCGGCAGATGAGCGGTGAACGAGCGTTCTCTTCTCTCATCCGTAGCGATAGATTATGCGTACGGGAAGCCGCAGTACACTCCCGGGCCCCTCTTCCGCGGAAGCAAACAATTCCGAATTCTCTAGAACACGCATAATCAGATCCGTTGGAGCACAGAGCATGGGAGGACAAATCGATGTATGTCATCAGTCACATCCCTGACTATATTCGACGCGTACTCGTATCCATTCCCCCAACTAAGCCTATCCCAATCGAGTCACGATATTCTGCAGCACTATCGTGTCCATACTAGAGAGAGGCAACCGCGCTTCACCCGGTTACCAAACCCTCACTAAAACATAGAAAGAGGAAAGTCGTCCCCTACCTAATGACCCCGGCGCTTAATCGCTCGAAAGTATCGCCGGACGACAGCTGCAGCTGCGCCCCACACACACCATCTCCACCGTGGCGCGAACACGTCGACATGCGCGAACATGCAGGGAAAAGAAAAGAAGGGAACAGAAAGACCATCAAGGTCCTTTTGCATTATGAACCAAAAAAGAAGCTTCGTGAAATCCATGCTGCATGCATGCAACGTTGACCGCTACATAGGCGAATTCTCGCTCTCTTTTCGCATGTTCTACACACCGCTACTGATTCAAACTCTGCATGCAAACATGTCCAACAAACAGCGATGTGGCGAATTTCTTTCCATAGTCATCATTCCGCCTCTTCGATGTGCAGTTCCCTTGCCTGAGCGAAGAACACACGAGCCGTCCCGCTGCCGATGTTCTTGATACTATAAGTATTGCCTGTGTGATTGACACTCGTTAGCTCCGTGTGCTTTGCGCGCGACGCTGCGACCAATGAGAGCGCGAGAAAGGGGTGGAAGCAAGGAAACAGCGGCAAAATGAGCGTCACGCAGATAGGTGGTTGGCTGACGGCCTCGAAAGGGGGGTGATATGCGAAACAAAAACAAAAAACTGGGGTAAGAGAGCGAAACGGATCGAAGAGGCGTGTTTGTGTCCAGTGGCCTGTCCCTTGGCGCGCCGTAACTTCCAATGTTGTGCACCGTCGGTTGGGTGAGGCGTCAAGCGTCAATTGTTACACAGCGTGCTGCAGCCAGCGCCACGCTGATGCGGGTGACGAGAATCGGGTTCGCTTCGCCTGTGTGCTCGCTTGCCCTGGTTGCTGTCGGATACACCCCTGGCCCCCAATGTCGTGCCATGTTGCAGAGCAGGAGTGCACAACGCGAGCGTGCAAGTGTGGTGTGAGATGCGGATATGCAAACACCCAGATGGCGTGGAGCATAATACAACGGCCGTCGTACAGAGACGAGGGAAGTAACAGGGAGGCGGATGTGGTTATGCAGGAAAGGATGTGAAGGAGCACGGCGACAGATCTTTCCATGCTGCCATGACTCTTCGAGAATGTGCTGAAGTGACAGAGAAAAATGATGAGAAACAACGTACCTCGAGGGACTTGCCAAACACCCTGCTTGTGGACTGTGAACTCGTTCTCATGAACACGCACTTCCACAGTACCAGACTGCACGTTAAAGATCATGTGCATATACCGTGAATTCTTCGTGCGCTTCATCTGATCAGGACCGAGTTCAATGAGACCCCAGTTGAAGAAGTTGCCGATGGATCCAATCTTTGCGTATTTGAAGCCGCCATCTCCGACGGCTCTGGGCTCGACACCCCTTTCGTTCCATGCGATGGCTGTGATATAGTTAGTGACACTTGATCGTTCTTGAGATTTGAGGCCACTTACTGTCTTCGATGATGTCGTTGGAGGGAACCTCACCAACAGGGTCAAAACCTCTAAAGTTGCCAACGAGAGTGCCTTGCTCTTCCCAGGGGTCAAGCTCAATCTCTTCTTCTTCAACAACAGTGAGCGCCCTCTTTTTGCTCTTGTAGCTGGACTTCTTCGTTGGTCTCCTCTCTTCCTCTACTGCTTGACTCTTCACAATCGACGACATGCTGCCGTCGGGGTCGTAGGAGATGTGATCGTTCTTCCAGAAGTCGATGGGCGCAACACGATGTCTGCCTGTCCGTCCTATGCGAGCGACATTGTCAGGATCCATCTCGCGGAATACTGAAAGATGTCGTCCCCGTCCGAAGCGTGAGCCGGCGGATGTCGCAGATATCTGATCGATGTCCTTTTTACTGAGAGGGTTTCCATACACATCTACCAGCTTGCCAGCCTCCTCGCTCTCCGCCTGTGGAGTCTTCGATTTCGACACTGCATTGGCCCTTGGCTCTGCACTTGCCGACTTCGCTTTGGACTCTGCGTTCGCTTTCGGTCTGCCCACAGGTTTCGCGGGCTTTGTGAATTCTGCATTGGACTTCTTCGCTGGTTTGGCCGATGCCGATGCTGAAGATGTTGCTTTGTCGCTATTTGGCTGCGCTTTCGCCGGTCGGCCGCGCTTCTTCGGTGCAGGCGCTTCCTCAGCGTGTTCTGATTGCTCTACTGAGTCGTCGACCGGCGCTTCGACAATGCTACTCTCTTGTTCGCTAACCGGTTGTACCTTGGGTGGCCGTCCTCGTCGTTTCGGCGCAACGGGTGCTTCCTCAGCCTGCTCAGATTGATCTATCGAATCGTCCACAGGTGCCTCCAGTTCGCTAACGTCGGAGACACGTTCTGAGCGTCGGCGCTCAGCAGGCGCATTCTTCTTGCCCTTCTGTGACCCCGAAGCTTGCGCTGCGGCAGGGCGGCCGCGTTTGCGCGGCTTCTCTGCTGGTTCCTGCTCCTCCCCTTCTGAAACCTCCACAACATCGCTCTTCCGTTTCCTACCCCTCTTGGCCTTCTCTTTTGGTGGTTCTGGAACAAGTTCAGACTCTTCCTCACGATCCAACTCCTCAAGATCCTCAATAACTTGGTCATCGGCCATGCTCTCATCGCCCCCGATTTGCGCAACAAAACTCTCCTCAGCGGCTATCTCCAACTCGTTGGCTGTGATTTCTTCCTGCACAATGCTCTCTTCAAATATCGCGCTCTCTGCCGGGGCCGGCGATTCTTCTTCAGGTATGTCGTATACGTCTGATCGCTTTCCTCGTCGCGCGCCTGAGCCGCTCAGAGCTGGCGTCTCTTGTAGGCTTGATTCATCCTGTTCGAAGTCGAGGCGTCGCGCAATTGGCTGTGCAGAGTCGCGGATAGGGCTGGATGGGGGAGGAGAGCTTCCCCTCGGTGCCATGGATGATTGTCGTCGCGGCGAGGATCCGAGGTTGGTCTTCTTCGGCGACCGCGATCGGGGTGGAGGGAGGAGTGTTCGGTTGTTGCGCAAGATCTGGTGGGATGTGGTGAGTTCTGGCATTGAACCTGTAGTAGTACTCGTTAGTGGATATTCTCGCGATTGCTTCGATATCTGCGCACTCTCTTGTATTTCCATCGAGCCTGATCCAGTCGCATCGTCTCCGCGCTTAGGTGGGGATCTTTCTGGGGATGAGAAGATGCCGGAAATCGGTTCCAGACCATGTTCGTCGTAAACGCCTTTGTCTGCGAGTGTAATACCAGTTTTCCTGCGCAATGTTAGTTATTGTTTACGCGCATGCTTTGGGCTGCTTACCTTCCCTGCACACCAACATTGTAGTAATTGTTTTCGCGCGCTTCGCGTTTCTTTGTGGGCGCCATGTTCAGAGTCTTGTCCGCAAGGAATGAATGCGCGTGTTGGTGCGGGTGACGCGTCGGTGATGTCGCGGTGGGATCGCGAGGGCGCTGTCGATAAGTTGTTTGGGTTTAGGCGGGATGTAAACTAACCGTTAACGGGCGGGAAGGCACAGGGTCTTGGCGCCTTCCCCTCCAACTCCAATACATCGCCATCACACAAGTCATCACGAGACGTCGTACTACATCTACATCTACTTTTATAGCTTATTGAAATTCTGGTTCTTGTGACTTTGGCATATCCTTGTCAGTGATGCAGACTTTCGCCAAGTTGTCTGACAACACGGAGCCACACAAGAGTACATGCATGGCAGTATCCCACCCACCTTTACAAACTAGTTTAGCGCACATCCATCACGGTGCATGAAAACGGCGCGGTATAAGTTGAGGAGCCCACCCAATCGTGGGGACTTTTCCGGTTTCTTCATTCAACCTCAGCCGGCTCTCAGTTGCTAATTCGCATCCCAGACACCAGTCATCCGCCAAAACGAGAACACCTCGCTCTCCTACAGCCACAGTCGTCGTGCAGACCACGCACTGCTTCATTCATTGCTCGCATCAAGCATCCGCTCTCCCATCCACCCACATTGTATCTCCCACTAAACGTTCTTCCTGGATCAAGACTTTTTCCGATAACCAACTCTCTTGACCTGAAGCCAAAACGGGAAAAGGCCGTCCAATCATGCCCGGGCGACGATGTGCTTTTCGTGAAGCGTCGAAAAACGGCAGCGAGCCGCTGAATGAAAATATACAAGAAAAGAAATCGTAATCATGTCGATGATTCGTCACATCGTGGGCACAATGTCCAACATCGCTCATGCTATCAGAGCGACTTGGTAGTTCGAAACTCGTTCCAGATCAAAACATCGACGGCATCTGGAACACCCTACTGGGGGCAGGCGCTCTGGACGTGGCCGGGCTGCTTGCAGCGGTAGCACACGCGCTCAGATGAAGTCTCCTGGGGGCAGTCGCGCGACAGATGGCCAACCTCGCCGCCTACAAAATGTTAGTTATGCTCTTCCAAGTTCATCGCCATGTACTTACAGTTGTAGCACTTCTGTCCCTGGGTGCAGTCACGGCTCATGTGACCGAAACCACCGCACGAGTAGCAGGTGGTCTGGCGAGCACCTCCGTAGCCACCGGCACCACCACCGTAGCCTCCACGACCGCCGCCGTAGCCGCCAGCAGCGCCGCCGTAGCCACCGCCCTGGGAGCAGTTGCGGGCAATGTGACCGACCTGGCCGCACTTGTAGCACTCTTGGCTGGGGGCGCCACGGCCACCCATCTGGGCACCGCCGTCCTTGGTGCACTCGCGCGAGATGTGGCCGGTACCACCGCAGCGGTAGCAGGTCTTCTCAGCCTGGGGAGAGGTGCACTCGCGGCTAACGTGGCCCTTCTCGCCGCAGTTGTAGCAGGTTGGGGTACCCTTGGTGGGGCACTCGGCAGCGCGGTGAGAGGAGTCTCCGCCTGGACATGGTCAGCGCGTGTTCAAAGTGATGCGCAGCAGATGCAGTTCCGAGTCAGGAATGGTGGTCTCCGCGCTTGAATATCGATCTGGACCTGTCGCTGGACCCTGAGGCGAGACGCTCTCGCGATCTGATATACAAAGCGGGGCCGCATTCGGACCGTGTCACCGCATGGTGGGTGTAGAGTCAACTTACAGTTGTAGCAGCCACGGCCACCGGCAGCGGGAGCAGGTGCTTGGTAATCCATCTTGTAGAGTTGGAAGACTGGTGATTGTTAGATGCAGTCCACACGTGCCGTGGTCTCGGGCTTGTTCTTACCGAAGTATCGAAAGTGTAAGGGAGTGACGTTAGAAGATGATTGTCTTCTAAAAAGGTATTCAAAGAGCCGTTCAAAAGTCGCACAACACCAATTGCTTTGTTATAGGAAGCTGAGGGGTTGAATCGTTGGAGAGAGAGAGCGAGGGGCACAAAGTCGACTGCTGAAAATATCTGTTCGGGCTGGGTTGTGCTTGCCGCTAGTCTAAGCGAAATAGGGTCTAGCTTCACCGTTCTTGCCTTCCATCAAGGTGGGTCTGGTGTTTGCGCAAAATGAGGGACGGCTGCGCTGTGGTTTGTGTTTCTGTAAGGGTCCGGAACATTATGGCCTTGACTTCACGCACATTGCAGATACGCGCGTGATTGGGACTGCTGTTCATGGTACCTAAGTCGGCTTCAACGTCATTGGAAGGGGAAGCATCGCTTGACAGGCTTCGTGCAGATCTCGGGATGCATATGCAGCTAACCTGGCGTGGAAAGATTGAGTAACCGAACGATCGCACACGTGGCTGCATGTAATATTGATGCCGAGGCACGAACAGGTGGTCAGCGGGAGATCTAGAGATCTGGTATCGGCTGAAGATGTCAGGATGAGAGTCGGTTCAAATGGTGTTGCGAAGTGCTCTCTGCCGACTCCAATGCCAACCACCAGCGTACACATCAAAAGCGTCCAAGCATGCAGCACCACCGTCAAACAGCATTCAGAAAGTAATGTTCGTGTTCCTAACGTAGACCCTGAAATCTCGGAAAGATATTCGATGTTCTAGACCCGTACAAAAAGTTGGGTGGTGCCGTGGTGTTCCCCACTTCCGTCGAAAAAAAAAAAAGCTCCCATCCCATGTGCCCATGTCCACCACAACCCCAATCCATCCTATACAACGACGAGCGCAGCAAAAAATGGACTTGCAGGGAATCGAACCCTGGACCACTCCCACACGTTAGACCTGCTCGAAGTCCTGATGCTAAGGGAGTATTATACCACTAAACCACAAGCCCGATTTTGGAGATGTTACTGAATGCACGAGCTCCTTGATGGAACGACGTCGAAATTGTCCGTAAATATCTCAAGGCATTCGACGTGTAGAACAGGTTATTAGAATGGTGTTGATAAGTCGGGAGGTCTAGTAAGATTGTGGAATAGTGTCAGACATCGTGGATGGGTATTCACGAACAAGACCCACTCCCAAGGAGATTGCCCCCTCCACTTCGCTCCAAGAGAGGTCCTGTTCCGGTTCTGTGCATAATTAGAAGCCTACGTGTCTGTTATTATTATTAGCAGAGGACATATCAGTCCCTCAATCCACTTCCAACGACGTAGACATTACCACCTCTTTATGAAAGAGCTTGACCTCGTGCCTTGAAATAATCTGGAAGTCTGCAATGCTCTTCAATAGGCCGACGTGGTGAATCTTATCTACACGGTAGCTAGATAGCAAATCCAGATTTGCATTGCTGATACCTAATCAGAGTCCCCGTGCTTAATCTTGGTGCGCTGTGAGTAAACTTCCTGACGCTGGTACAAAGACACCTTCCTATGCGGTTCGTTACCTCCAGTATGTAGATACTTCCTTCGATCTGCTCCGCAATACTGCATTGTGTAATGGCGGGGGTCCTTGCCAGTGTTGTATTGTCGATCGAGACGAAGTCTTGAATTATGGATAAGATGCTGCGATAAGTATGGAATACATGAGCCAGTAGGTATCATCGAGAAGGTGTTAAGACTGACATAGCCCTCGAACAGTATCAAAAGGATTGTGAGAATTTGCATCTGACGACTACAACAACCCAGTTGCTTTTGACCGTGATTGAACTGCGGAGGCAGGCGTATACAAACCAGTACCTAGTGTACAAACTAAGTAGCATAGTCAGACTCAAAGCATGCATAGTAGTAAGAATTATATCAGTTAAATCGTACGACAAGTTTTAGAGTATACATTGTCTTCTGTCATGCTAGTTTCTCGAGGATAGATACGGCGAACACCTCTAGGACAGGTCATACAGAATTCTCCTCCTCATCCTCCTCGTCCTCCCTCAACCAAAGCTCCTCTCGATGATGATGCTCGGGGTGAGTCAGCCACTTCGCTGCGGTCTTGTACGACTTCGGACACGAAGGGCATAGCGCGCTCCCTGTACATCCAGCTGCCTTCAACTTGTTAAACGCCCTTATGAGCTCTTCGCGGCGCGCGTGTACCCTGTCTTCTATATGTTTCTCGAGTTGCGCACGGTTCCATTACCTGTCTTTGGCGACATGCGACACTGTTCGTTCGAGCTGGCAGTGCCAAGATTTCAGCCTAGAGACAGCCTGACTCATATGCTCGACGAAGGCCCTGAGGAATACCATGCGTTATTCTTCTATAGCCGCATCGCCGTCCTCAACCCCATCAGCAAGCTTCGCTTGAGTATCCTCTTTTGGTGAATCCTGTTCATGCAGCGGACCACCTCGTGGGCATTACTCACCGTCGTCTTCCTCGAGTGACTCCACGTCCAGGCCTTCTTCCTGATCAACATACAGCTTAGGCATCTCATCCTATTGATTGTACCGCTACGAAGCCTCTAAGACGTTCATGCGTTCACTGTGGAGACACTCAAGCGCAGCCCGAACACCTCTGGCCGGTTTGCGGATCAATTTCAGTGCGCTACCTCTCTTGGCGGTTAGCCCTGCAGTTGCGTATTTGGTGGAAGATTTCAGTAGAGATCGTATCTTTTGAGCAGGCTTTTCCAGTATAGCGTTTCGTAGACTCTTGCGGATCTTCTTCAGTACCATCCTTCCCTTGTAGAAGACATCCACAAGCTCCTTAAGAAAAGCCCGAGCTGCAGAGTCTCCGGTCCCTCAACATGCCCTTGTAAACGCCAGTGATGCTGCCATTATATCCTCGTCGCACGGGAGACTTATCAGCGCTGGTTCGTATCAGGGATTCGCGTGTATCGTTGATTGTCGTCTTAGTGGACTGGGCTATCTCAATGGATTCAGAGTGCTCTCGCTCGCGTTCGTGCAACTGGTCTTCGACTTCGGCGAGAAGCGTATTCTCATAATTCTCGTGTTATACATATCCTGTCTAAGCTGCCTGGTCAAACATCTTCCTTGCATCTCGCCAGCTCATCTGCAAACAGCTGAAGTCAGTATACGTCTCAAACTCATGTCGTATATACAGAACCCTAAGTCATCCTCTCCATGCCTAGTATGTAGGACTGAATGTCGATATCGCCGACGCCGACCGTATCGTAGTAGTCGTGGGTGGCCGAGTCGTCGGCATGAGCTGCAATTGCTCGCACCGCCGCCTCTCCGTGTTCACGTTTGGGTTTGATGATATGTGTTCGGCGAAGGTAATGCATAGTGTTCCGTTCTGGCGGACCCGCATCGGCACACGCCTCGCGCAGTCGAGGATTCGGCACAGTAGACTTCATCGGTTTGTCCGGCGTAGTGGTGTCGTGGTTGGCAGTTATTAGCAATGCTGCTTGGTTCCAAACGATGAGATCACTCTTGAGGGAGGCATCGTCCGTGCGAAGTATAGTAGAAACTGGTCGCGCCGAGAGGTACCTAGGTAGCATAGCTACCTTCGCAACATTATCAGGTGCTAGGAATTTCTTGCTAAAGTAGCGAGGAGGTCGTCAGCTATAAACAAAGCAACGCGGCTCTTCCCTCAACACCTGTGTAGTTGGCAGGCTAAGTTTGCAATAGTATTCTTATCGATGCTATGTTTAGACGTAGTCAGCACAGTGCTCTACTGAAGTGTTCTTGTCGATGATGGGAGTTGATGTAGTCAGCAGGAGGGTTATACGACTGCAAGGTTGTCGAAAACAACGTCGATGTAGCAGCCTGCGGATCACATTTTTACTATCCTTTAGCATCGCTTAGCAAACCCCTGACTGGAATATAGCGCCGGATTTGATATTTTACCCGGCGTTCATTTCCTGATAGCCGATCTGACTGAGCTTTGGCGCCAAGCTCGTCCCCCTTGACTTGGGCAATGTCATTGCCTTTGTGAAGGCGTTGGTGGAGGAAAAGCTTCACAATAGGTTTTCCCTTCATTATCTCGATACTGCGGGTGTCGTTTCCTGTCATTCCATGAGTTGCGAGCGACATATTCGTTAGATTTGCAGTCTCGACTGCCTTGGCGATGAGAGTAGGCATCTTCTTGTATTCACACGTGTATACCTCTCCTGGACCCCATGCGGATTTTACGCGGATGAAGTCTTTGGCGCAGCTCGCGACATTTAACCCAACTTTTGCCTCATCTAACCACTCATCTTCTTGGTCTCGCTTAGCTTATGCACATCAATTTCCTCTTTAATAGTACCTTTTACGGCCATGTTCATGATTACGGTGAGTTTTGGGATACCGCAGTCTGTCGCGAGCTTCCTTGTCTTTTTCCGGCACATAGTAGACGTGAGATAGCCACATAGATGTAGGGGACGGAACTGACATGCGTGATCAGCTGTACGAATCCAGGTGGTGACGTCCGGATCGTCGTCCAAAGCCTTCGCCTTCCAAGGTATATGACATCATACTGGGTGAAGTGTGCGCGGCCGGCGGCAAAGTCTAGCTAACTAATGTCAGTACGTACGTATACATGCTTGTATCATCAATCGGGTCTTACTCACGGTGCGCTAAATGTCTTCGGTGGTGACATCCCAGATTCGGTACGTTTCTGCCCTTTCGATTCTCCTCTCTAGCTCCAGATCAGTATTTTGGAAACTAGAGTTCTTCTTCCTCTCCTTTCTTCATCTTTTCCAGGTGGGTCTACGAATAGAACCAGTGGTTCATAAACAAGCCGTATAGCGCCAGATCTTTAGGTACTAGCACCGCCGTTTCAGCTGCTCTGCCCTACATATGTTTATCCGTTAGATCCAGAAGTCTACTTTGCTCCTCGATATTCTACTTGTATTATCCTTCGCTATTGCAGTCTGCAGAGCAAGCATAGCTCTTTTCGATAAACGTCTCCACGTCATTGTGAAGGGAAAATGGACTGCGAATGACCAGACAACCCGGAAATCGACATTACTCTCCGATATTGCAATTACCGTGTTCTACAGGGTTGTAGGCTCCAAAGCATACATGTCCATTCCGACAAATCTATCCATCTCCTCCGAAGATAACCAGAGCGCGTATCTGCAGATGGCCCAAATATTTACATCGCTCTATAATATTATATTCTCGTTTGTATACGCTGCTGTATGCGGTAGAGTGTACTGCAGAAGGAGTACATCAGTGCGAGTGCTAAGGTGTCAAAAGGCATATTGGAGAGTAGTGTAAAAGGTCAACTTCCCACTACAGACATACAACATCTTGCCAACCATTCCAGCCGGAACACTATACGAGATCAAGTACTCGTTCTACTTGTGGAGTACTCAGTTTATCGAAGGTTTCGCCATGATGTTTCTCAAATGGCACACAGAGCTGCTCAAATGGACCCACCAGGTCGCTACCCATTTCCAGTTGTTCAAGTCTCCGTATGAGAAGAGCCTTTTGACCGACACTGAGTTGCTGTTGCTCTATCAAACTGTGGCCACAGCAACTACAGGTGTGGATAACTCTCTCCAACACTACAACGCTTGGCTCCTCTCATGGGGCACTGGTGCCTGGCCAGGCTCTCTGACTGTGGCTCAAGGCTATTGTTGCAAGGACACTCTTCAAACGGAGCAGCTCGTGGAGTCGATGAGACTTTGCGATGATCAGATGTGGAGTTCTTCAAGCGCGCACGTCACCATTACAGACAATCGCACCGTGCTGATGTCGATGTGCGCTAAGCGCTTGCCAAATGTATATCTCAGGAGTCGATTATTCTAATCATGTATTGTTGAGAATGTAAGACTGCGCCGTGGCCTTGGTGTGGTGGCGCGTCCTGATTACTATCGTTCATCGACACCTACTGCGGATCCGAGGGAGGTGCGTCTTCCCAGCGCATTTCGTCGCGGGGTATTGTCCGATTAACGTACATTGTGTCTTGACACTGAGCTTAGCAATTAGACCGGGTTTCGTTGTTGTCGAGATGGTGTTGTTTGTCTGTCGCGACGGTGTTCAGGACACACTCTGATGCCTTCACCTCCGGAACATGGAGTAAAATGCTGGTATTACTTGGGTGTTGTACCTTACAACGTAAATTATATAGATGAAGGAAGAGAGGAGAAGCTGTGTTAGTAGCCAAGGTTGCATGTACCGTTGGAATTCTCTTTTGCTAGGTGTCTATGTAGTAGGCAGGATACGTAACGCTTATGGGAATGCTTCGTAGGGTATGCTTGTAGTAGGCAAGAGTACCTTTCCCCTTGAGAACTCTTCTGAACTGCGTCTTTGTTCACGTCTAGCTTATGCGAGGACACCAGAAGGCGCACATCACCTACCAGTCATAAAGAAGGCGGAGCCGGGTCCTCTCCGCACATGTATTGGTAGAGTCGCAACGTGGACGCAGGTGTAGGTAACGTAAACACGCGCGAGGCTGTTTAGTGCCCACGTCCGTGCTGTTACGGTATCACGGTAGCCTCGAAGCCTAGCGAGAAGAATGGTTTTTCTCGATAATGCGGAAGCGAAGGAAGAAAGTCACATCATTTCCACAGGATGCGGATGTGGTTCAGCTACACCTGACATTGTCGGCTATCATCTCGTTTTCGTGTAATGACATCAGAGCTACCCATGAAGTACCTTGCGCAACATGGCTAGGTAATTGCCTTGATCGCCGCGCAATACGGTAAGTACGACAGAGTTTCGTTCGCGACAAACTTCAGGAAGCGAACCATTGGCCCCTCACCTAAAGCTGCATGCTTATTCTCTTTGCCTTTTCGCCAGACGCTTTGGAGAACTGTAGCAACTGAGATACTAATCAGTAGTCCTGGGTAAACCGCGGGAACTCTGCATCAGTTCATCCGAACCCAACATCGTGTTTCGAGACAACGGCGCCGAAAGTAGTGACCGCTGCAGTGTGCCCAGAGAATTATCGCACCGAGGCCGCACATGTCAGCATCGCCGCGTCGATCTGAATCCGCTATGGGATATTCAATCGAAAGCCATCTTTCTCTCAGCGACATCAAAAAGTGCTACACATGCGATCAAGGCGGCCACATGCCGACTGTCTTCTGTCAGGCAACCCGCCGGGTTATTTAAAGAGTCTGGAGTAGAGCGACGGAATCTGGGCCTTCCCCAAAGGCCAGGACCACGGGTCTATCTACGCGAATCTCGGGCGCTAACGTGATCTACACGCCCGATTTGGCAACGACACAGGGGTATATCTTGGCTTATGGCCGCCACAAAGCCTCCGAAGCGAAGACAGCACCTGCATGCTCCTTCGCGACATTGTGCCATACGCGCGTTGCGAGCTGAGATCATGAACGGATTCCGAGAAAGGCAGATGCTGTGGAAGCCCGCATGCGATTGAATGTCTACCGCAGGCTCGATCAAAGACCTCATCTTACTCGTCTTTTCACACAGCACTCTCCCTGTCAAGACTTACATTATTAACTCTCCGCTAGCGGGCTACCTCCTGTATCTCAGTCTCAGTGTCAGCCTCGACCAAATCTGACACGCGCGGCGGCTGACCCGTCCCATAGCCAAGCACACTACACGCTCCACGGGCGTCGTGGGTATCTTTTTCTAATGTCTGGGCATGCGGTAGTCGTCGCCTCTTATATGGAATTCGCACCCACATCCCTTTGTTGCTTCTTGGTCTATCTTTTTTCCTTGCTCACTTTGTGAAAGGTCAAAAGGCGTCTGTTCACTCTTTACAGTGTCGTCTTACCTTTGTCGGACTTAATATCGGTCGATCTTTTGATCTTACACTCGCTTCTAACACTCGTTTATTCTTCTATTATATTTTGGCTAGACTCATAGTCACGTTATCATAATGCGCTACACCGGACTATACGCTGCGGCTCTGATCGCACCCCTCGTGGCTGCTCACGGCGACTTCCCTGTACCGAAAATTGTTGGCCTTGGACCTCGCGAGATTGGGCAACTGAGGAGCAGGAACATTCTTGGTGGACATGCGGCGCACGTCGCAGGGCCCAACCTACGTTTGACGGCACGTCAAGGTGGTATTGATGGTCGGTGCGGACCGAACAACGGCGGTGCGAGCTGTGCTGAGGGCTACTGTTGCTCTGTGGAAGGCTACTGCGGCCAAGGAGGTAAGTTGTTTTGGTACAACTTCGAAAGACCAATGTTAATCCTCCATAGGTGACTACTGTGAAGCACCCGACTGCCAGTTCCAGTATGGCCCTGGCTGTGATGCCAACAAACTACCTACTGGAGGCAGCACTCGCAACATCGCTCGTCCCAAGCTCGGCAACCAGCCGTACGGTGGAGAGGGCATCTACGACTGCACTGAGCCAAACACGATCGCTATCACGTACGATGACGGTCCTTATATTTACACTGAAGGTGTGTTGGATCAATACAAAGCTGCCGGAGCAAAGGCCACTTTCTTTATCACTGGTGTCAACATCAACAAGGGCGCAATTGACGACCCGAGCAAGCCGTGGGCTGCTACCATCAAGCGTATGATCGCCGAAGGACATCAAGTTGCTAGCCACACATGGTCGCACCAAGATCTCAGCGCCATCACCAGTCAACAACGATACGACCAGATGGTCAGGAACGAGGTACGACGTTCTGACATGAAATACCCATGATAAGTCCTAATCAATTTGTAGATGGCCTTCGCCAACATCATGGGCAAATTCCCGACTTACATGCGCCCACCATACTCCTCTTGCACAGCAGCTTCAGGATGCCAAAAAGACCTCGCTGATCTAGGATACGTTGTCTCGTACTTCGACCTCGACACCGACGACTACAACAACGTCACCCCCGACAAGATCCAGAACGCCAAGGACAACGTCAAGAAGGCCATCGACCCCAGCAACCCCAAGGTGGACGCTTTCCAGGCCATCGCACACGATATTCACGAGCAGACCGCCAAGAACCTGACTGGCTACATGATCCAAACCATGCAGGCGAAGGGATACAAACTGGTCACTCTGGGCGAGTGCTTGGGCGAGCCTCAGACCAACTGGTACCGGGACGCTTCTTCCGGTCGCGTAGCCACCACGTCTGTCTTCACACCACCTGTCGCGGGTCCTACATCTTCTGGAAGCGTTAGTTCCGCTGCACCTGCTGCCACTCCTACTGGTGTTTCTACCGACGCTACCTGCGGAGGTACATCTGGCTTCACCTGCCTTGGTACGACCTCTTAATTTGGACTACAATCAACCCCGCTGACATGCACGCAGGCTTCGCCCAAGGCGAATGCTGCTCTCGCTACGGCTTCTGTGGAAACACCGACGGTCACTGCGGAGTAGGCTGCCAGGCCGGTTTCGGAAAGTGCGGTAACTCTGCCTCTGCCTCTCCCTCTTCAGGTGCCCCGGCATCATCATCTGGAACCGGCGCTGCATCCCAACCCGCATCTACCGGCGCATCTTCATCCGCATCTGCTCCTACCTCTGCACCCAGCGGTCTCGTAACCACCACAGACGGTTCCTGCGGAGGCACATCTGGCTTCACCTGCGTTGGTTTCGCAGACGGAGAATGCTGCTCTCAGTACGGCTACTGCGGTAAGACCACCGACTACTGTGGAACGGGCTGCAACCCTCTGTTCGGGAACTGCGCAGGATCCTCTGGTGCATCATCTGCCGCCCCAGTATCTTCAAGCGCTGCGGCTTCCACTGCGGCCCCTTCGACCGCTGCCCCAACTACCGTAGCCACATCTACCCGTCCCGTTATCACCAGCACCAGCACCAGCACTCGCGCGACTGCCACCAGCACACGCACTTCGTCCGCCCCCGCTGCTACTTCCTCCGCCGCGGGCCTCAAGGTCAGCAAGAACCGCATGTGTGGCGCGCGCAGCCAGCAGACGTGCAAGGGCTCTGCTTGGGGTAACTGCTGCAGCCCAGCTGGCATCTGCGGAAACAGCCTGCTGTCCTGCATGAAGATGTTTGGATGCCAGCCTGGTTTCGGAGACTGTCGGTAGATGTGTTTGGATGTTATTGTCTTCAATTCTTATGTATTCTAGTTTTGGGGAGTAGATGGTAGATGGGGGTGATGGTTAGCTGAGATTTATTGTTCAAAATGCATTGTTGGCTGTAATGTCTTCTATACAAATATTTCATATGATAGTTCAAAATTGCAGACTAAGACATATGTGAGCATATGCAGGGGAATAGATGGCAAAAGCAAAGGTTGTAAAAGAAATGAAGTTTGGCATGTGCCAGTTCGCGTGCGTTGGACCTGCATGGCTATTTCCAGTCCAGTCTGCACGCATTGCAATCAATGCGGAAACTCGAGCGATATCGAGGTGAGTGATTCGTAGATGGCAGGTGGTAGATGTGACGATTGATGTGACTCGACGATGAGCTGTCATTTATGGATGATGTGGTGAGTGCAGGCGTCAAGTGAGTGGCGCGGTCTCCACAAGTTCCCAATACGCTAGCCTAGCTTGTCTGCGGCGCCAGCGATATCACGTCGAGCTGTCGCCCTTCCTCTTGCATCGCCAATTGACCTCTGCGCATCACCGCAGCCCGTCACCACAATCCCCCGTCTGCTCGTCAGCTTTCTCTTCGTCCTACTCCTGTTTTCCCACGACAGCTTCGCGCTTTCCTCATCTGGGCTTCGGCCGCGCACTCGAATTTTGGGTCCTGAGTAAAGTACGTTTGTCGGCCCATGGCGTCACTGTGCTGTCCATCGCGGCGGTGACAGCGCGCCCATATCCACCCACCCTCACTAACGTCGCCCAGATCTGCCCTAGTCTCCTTCACCATGTCGGACCTGCAGGAGCTGCTTGCCCGTCTCAACGGCGGCGCATCCGGCAACCAGCAGCAGCAACCACACGGTTACCAGCACCCGTCTGTCTCTTCGCCTCTCTTCTCCCCCCAACCCGGCGGCGCACAGCCTCATCACCAGTCTGCCGTCATGTCGCCCAACTCGTCCATGGCCAACACGCCCGCTCCCGAGCCGGTTTCGCAGCCTACGCCGCAGCAGCAGTCGACCAACCTGCTCAACCTCCTCCGCTTCAACTCGCAGGGCGGCGGACAGTCTCGACGCGTCTCGCAGCAGTCGCAGGCGCCCGACATTGCCACAAGCATGGCCAGTGTCATGGGCAGTAGGACGCCCTCTCACAGCGCCGCTGCCCCAGCGCAGTCGCCTGCAGCCGCCCAGCAGAACCCGCAGGACCTCCTCCTGCGCCTGCTGAACCACCCCAAGCCCGCCCAGACCAGCGGCCGCTCCTCTCGAGCTGCCTCCGTGCTCTCTCCGCCAGTCGCGTCCAACAAGCCTGAAACGGTTGTGGACGACCTCGCGCAGGATCTCGCAGACGCTGAGCTGGAGCATGTCTCCTCCGACCCCACTGTACACACCCCGGGAGCCTCTTCCCCCATGAGGATGTTTGGCTCCGACAGCAAGGAGCAGTCGTCTCGTTTCCAGCCCGACGCCGCCTCACTTGCCCCCAAATTCACCTACGTCAACCCCTTCGATCAGCTCGAGGCCGCCAGCCCCCGCAAGCACACCCCGATCCAGCAGGGCTCCAAGCCTCCTGCCCCCAAGATGGAGATTCTCAAGAAGAGGGCAGTCGATGCTTCTTCGCCCGCTCCCCAAGACGACGCTCCTGCCCATACACACGAAACTGTGGCTGAGGCCGTGAGCGACCTGGGCGAGCAGGTTGGTCAGCAGATCGAGGATGCGCTTGCTGAGGCTGAAGCCGAGGCCTCTGCTCTCCCCAAACCTGAGGAGCTCGCAGAGGTCCAAGAGGTCATGACTGAGATCGCAAACGAAATCAAGGAGGAGTTTGCCGATCCAAGTACAGCCAAGGACATCGAGGCCAGCATGCCCAAGCCCATTGCAGCTGCCCTCAAGGAAGTCGCTACCGAGATCGCTCAGGACAACGTCGCTGAAGACTGGGAGACCGCCGAAGCCGAGGAGAGCCTCGCAAAGGGTGAGGACCAGACGGTAATAGTCTACAGGTTCCCCATGCGCGCCTTTGCCTCCATCCAGGTTAACCAGATGCCGCCTCGTCGTCTCTACTTCGCCAACGAGCTCTTTATGGATATTGCTCGCTTGAAGAAGGACTTTGACCAGATCGACCGCTCCCTGGTATCCGCCAGCAAGAACTTCATCGTATACGCACTCGTCAAGAAGGGCGGCTTCCGCATCATTCGCCAGGAGAACGGTCAATACCGCCAGGTCTTTGAGAACCACCAAGAGCGCATCTTCAACATCGCCCTGTGCACTTCCGCAGACGACTCACAACAACCTCTCGAGAGCATCCTGGGTATCGGTATCAACGGCACTGTCTTCTGGACCTCTCTCGACCCTGCTCGCGAGGACCAGTTCGGCGAGAACCTCGATTCTCAGGGTCTGATGCTTCCCCCGTCGCCATCTCAAGATGATAACACATCTGGAGGCCAACTCAAGACTCGCGCGAAGCCATCTTCGCGTCACCCAGAGTTCTTTGCTGTTGGCAGGGGCAAGTCCATCCATATCGTCTTCCCCAAGGTCGCCGCTGAGTATGCTCGGTCTAAGAGCCGCATCTGCCACACGGAAAAGTACCTCAAGGAGCGCTCCCTCAAGATCCTCACTGGCAAGGCTGGTAAGGACTTCACTTTCAGCGAGGACGACACCATAATTGTCTCTCTTGACAAGGCCGGCCGCATGCGCTTCTGGGATATCCGTACCCTCACCGAGCCTGACCTAGGCAATCCTCACAGCCCTCCCCGCCAGGTCGAGGTCTCCGAGACTCTGCTTGAGTTTCACACAACTACACCCAATGCCAAGTCGTGGCCTACTTCCGTCTTCTTCTTTGACAAAGACAAGCCATATACTAAGGGTATTGCGCTGCGTTATGTCATGGTCGGTATGAAGCAGAACCACGCCTTCCAGCTGTGGGACCTTGGCCTCAACAAGGCCGTGCAGGAGATTCACCTGCCTCACGAGAACGAATCGGACGCCATCTGCAGCGTATCGTTCCACCCCCGCACTGGCATCATGGCTGTCGCCCACCCTACCAGGAACTCGATCTTCTTCGTTCACGTCTCCTGCCCTAGGTACAACCTTCCTGCTCTTAGCCAGGCTGCGTACATCTCCCGTCTGGCAAACAAGGGTGACAGGGGCCAGAACACTCTACCTCCAGTCAACGCTACCGCCATCATGACTAGCATCACGGAGTACTCTTTCGCTTCCAAGGGACAGATCAGGAGCCTACACATGCTCAACGAGCCCGCTGGACCTTCTGATGTCGACGACCCTGACAACGCAGCCCTCTTTGAGCTCTACGTCATGCACTCCAAGGGTGTCTGCGTCCTGCGCATCCGCCGGAGCGATCTTGGCTGGAAGAAAGAGGGCGAGCCCATTCACCCCAAGGAAGCCGAGGAAGAGGGCGTCATCACCATCTCGCAGCTCAAGCCACCTCAACCTGTCACCGATGAGTCATCTACTGCTGGTGACACTCCTGCGCCCAAGTCTGTCTCTGATCGATCTGCGCGTGAGCCACTGAAGAGGGAGAGTAGCACCGCATCCAAGCAGTCCATCAACCCCGAAGCAGCGATGCGCGCATCTACTCTCGCTAAGGTCGAGAGCAAGCAAGACGCAGCTCGTGCAGCTATCATCAACGGTGGTGAGAAGTCAGAAAAGAAGAAGAAGAAGCGCTCGGCCGCCACAGAGACAGCTTCTCAAATCTCTACAGCGCCTTCAGCTGTGGCTTCTACTGCACCTTCCGCTCGTGCGCCTGCGCCTGCACCCGCGGCTCTGCCTCCGTCTTACGCGCAAGCTGCTCAAGCGACTCCGCAGTCCAAGTCTCCGGCACCACCTGAGCCATCCGTTGCGCAGGAGCCTGCCAAGTCCAAGGCTGTTGACACCACCGAAGCACCGGAGTGGGCCAAGCAGCTCATCAGCAAGCACCTCCAACGCCCAAGTGCTGCACCTACCGCTGCTCCTTCCGCAGAGTTTGATGCCAAGAAGCTTGAGGAAATTGTACAGGCTGAGATCACCAAGGGCTTCTCGCGCGAGCTAGACATCATGTACAAGCGCTTCGACGAGGACAAGCGTGTTATGAACGCAGCCAACGGTGCCCATCAGCAGGCTATCCTGCGTCAGGTGTCTAGCACACTCAACGAGAACGTCGAGGGCGTGATTGGAAAGATGGTCAATGACAACATCAGGAACGTTGTGCTTCCTGAGGTACTGGCAAAGACTACTGCTACCGTTGAGCAGGGTCTGAGCGCCAACCTCAAGCCCATCCTGGCGCAGCAGCTGTCGAAGGAGATTCCTGATGCTGTGTCTCGATCCCTGAAGCAGCCCCAGATGTTCCAGTCACTTTCCGACCAGGTCGCGAAGAAGATCGCCGGCAACTTCGAGCCTATGATCGCCGCCTCAGTCGCCACAGTCGTCAATCCCGCTATGTCAAACTTGACCAACATGATCGAGCGTCAGATTGGTGGTGAGCTTCGACAAGCCCATGCTCAACGCCGCGAAGATGCTATCAAGATCTCCGCGTTGACCGAGACTGTGCAAACATGCCTAGAGACTATCCAGACTATGGCTGCCAACCAAATCGAACTCCAAGGTCAGGTTGCAAAGCTCCTCGAGGCTCGTCAGGCTCCAGCCCCTCGACATGTACAAGACTCGCCTGCTGCTACACGATCCCCTCCCAAGCAGAAGTCACAAGAGGAGCTTGAGATCGAGTCTATCCACCGTCTCATGTCCGAGGGCAACTACGAGCAGGGTACCATGCAGTGGCTTCAGTCGCCCCGCAGCGCAGCGCTCTTCGACTCTGTCTTCGTCCGCTACGATCCTGCCTACCTCAGCCAGGTGAGCCCACTGCTCGCGCTGTCGACTGGTGCGGTCGTATCTGAGCATCTGGGACGCAACCTGACGGAGCGCCTTGTCTGGCTCAACGCTGTATTTCAGAGCGTCAACCCCAACGTAAGTACACTGCTGCAAAACCATCATGCTCTTGCTAATGAGACATCACAGGACCAAGAAATTCGCGACATCATCCCTAAGATCATGGACGTAGTCATCCAGCGCTTGACCGCCGCATACATCCAACTCAACGAGAGCACCCCTGGCAGCCCGCTCCTTCGCGCCATCTCTCAGCTGGTCAACAAGTGCAACGAGATGACTCGCGCCGCCGCACCCTTCAGCCCTCGTGGTTGAAGACAAGGTGGCATGGCTGGCAACCTCTTCCTACAGTAATGAAATAGTCCTGTGCTGAGAATGCCTTGACATGTATCATTACTCAAGGTGTTTGAGCTTCTGCTTGCGCCTTCAGTATCTTCTGATCTTCAACCTCTTCGCAAGTCTTCATTGCCTTGTCGTCGACTTCATGATCACTCGTCACAATTGGGGTACGCATATACCACGACAAGCCTACGACACCAGATACTTTACACTTTCCTTTTTTATTATTCAATCTTTCTTTCCTTTCTTGTTCAATGTACACATAGATTCCTTTCCTTTCAGATACCCACTCTCTTTACCTTCAGCGATCCACTCATTGAGCGTCTGTCAGTGCGGTCTAGTGATGCTGGAATGCTCACGTCTTTGACTGTTTCTGCCTCATGTTCTACGACGAAAGCGCTGGATTTGGGGATGATGTGGTGTGGCGGCTATGATCTTTCACGATCTGGCATGGATGAGCAGACATCGGATTGACGACTCTTTATGAGATGTCGTCCCTTAGGCTCAAACGTTAGGGAGGATGAAGCATGTGTACGATATTTATTGCGATGGTAGATGCTTATAGTAACGGAATGGTTAATGGCTGGAGTTATACACCGGTTACTGAAAATTGGTCTTTGATGATATTGCGGCGTGGCGTGGCGTGGCGTGAACTACACCTTGCAACAGGATGAACTTCCCCATTGACAATTAATACCCATCACTCTGCGCACACCCATCCTTTCCGTCCACGCTGCTCCTCGCGTGCTCATGGGCGTTCGTTCGGCAGTCAGAGCAAACCGCGGCGATCACGATGAGACAAGCCCCGCGATCCGCCCGCGTCCGTCGCATGAATTGTCGCAGATTATCCACCCCCCATCCACTTTAACCACGCCTGAAACACCACTTGATGCCAGTCACAGCCTTGTATCGTCGTGCCGCATAGAGTTTTGCTCGCTGGGAGTACGTCGTTCCGTGCAGTGCGTGAGGTGTTGTGAGGGTGCATTTTGCATTGTGCCGCAACGTGGGTGTCAAAGAATAGGTGTATGCGTGTCGCGTGGCGTGTTGGCATGTTGGGGCGGTGGGCGAACAGATGCTGAACGGACGCGCATCATTGAAGGCCTTGGGAGATGGTATATGCCTGGCTTGGTTTTGTTAGGAGTGGAGGTTGAACTGGTTTCCGTTTTTTTCTCGCTTTCTTTCCTTCTTTCTTACCTCGTGTCCTCAGTTTCCTCTTCTTTACCCTAGGTACATACTGATTATCTTTCTTGACACTCTTTTAATAGCGATTCTACGAACGAGACTATTCAACGAACTACGCCACACATTATAGTAGACGGGAGCTGCGGCACGACACCATACGGCACGCTCGTTATACTATACACATACGCCACTTCCTTCCGAGAAGATCGAGGCAGGCCAGGACGAAAGCGGAAAAAGAGTAGTAGGGAGAAGAAAGGAAAAGAGGCACAGTCGCAGTCACAATGGCGATCAACTGGATTCTACCCGTTCGCGCGGCACAGGCTGTACTTTCTATCGTTGTACTTGGGCTGATGGCTTATGGTACGTCTACTCTCACCCTACCATTCCTCCACCACCTCCTCCGTCCAAAGCACTCCTCAACTAACCTTACCCTCAAGTATCATCATGGTGGTCAACGCACTGGCGCCAATCCTCTCCAATGGAAATAAACTACCTCATCTTCGCGCCGTCATGGACCATCCTCAGTCTGATCCCTCTCCTCCTCACTTCCTTACCCAAGTTTTCCCATCTTTCCGAAAAGGGCAGTGTGAAGTGGGCGTTGTTGGGTTTGGAAGGATTGACGATGTTATTCTGGTTTAGCGGGTTTGTCGCGTTGGCAGTGTTTTTGAGTGGGAGGATTTGCTTTGGCATGGTAAGTTTAAGCCGAAGAATCGTAATAAGACAAGGCATTGTGGGGCTAACACGACGACTAGGTCTGTGACGTAGCCCGCGCGAGTACGGTTATCAGTTCGGTTTCGTGGCTTGCATGGGCGGTCACGTTTGTCTTTGGCGTCATTGGTGTTGTTAAGGGACGGAGCGGTGGTATGAGTATGGGCTTTGGCAGCAGGGCGCCGAAGAATAAGGAGGTGGATATGCATCAGGGTGTATAGAGATGTGGTCACGGTGGTGGGATAGGTGTGATGTGTATATGACTTGACCTTGCGATCATCAGGTATGATTGCGGCGCGTGGTGACTTTTTGGATATCCTGCTTTGCTTTGAGCATTGGTTTAGTCGTAATGCATACTTATTTTGAGTATAATGTCGTGTTCCGATGTGCTATGGACGGTTCTTGAATGATTTCCTTCTTTTTGCGAACCTTCTCACCGAAGACCTTTTAGTTCGAGTGTTAGACGAACTTATAGAAGTTGTGAGTGGCTCGCTGTCGATGGTCCATTAACGTACTAATAGTTAGAGGAGGCGATGATTAAGATACGGCTTCGTGCGTTCGATGGTCAATGTCCATTGATACTTGTCCTGATGCTACCAGAGTTATCCGATGATAAACATCGTCTCGTACATCGCGGAGCATACAATCTGGGCACAAGTTCAATGACCAGCGTAGACCAAGATCAGGCCCAAGTTCGACTCAAAGGCGCGTGCTCTTGCTCGTTGGGCATACAGTCAGGCGCCCATCGCCGGTACAGAGACAGTAAGTATTGGCATTCAGGCATTCAGGCGATAAGAGCAGGAAAGCTCTTGGCAGCTGTGTCGCCATCTGTCACTTTGTAAGTATTCCAGATAATCCTGATGGGCCCTAGGTTATCAGTACTCTAAATGACTGCATTAACGGCACATTTGTCATAAAAGCATGCGATGCCTTGATTATAAGGAATTGAGGATGTCGACATCCGACCCGCGTGGTCGATGGCGAATTCTAGCCTCGTTTCGAAACGCTTGGTATGTAGCAGTGTGCCGAGGAGGAGATTTTGTGGATGCCTTATAACATGCGTTGTATGCCTGATGAAGCCATGCTGAAACGTAACAGAGACGCAAACCGCCTGGGACGGCAGCCTCGTCCGCGATGTTCGATGCGGACGGCAATAAGAGACTTTTTTTCTTCGATAGATGAGAGTGACATCGTGCAGTACGAATGCGATGGGTCGAAATGCTGCGTGTTGTAATTGATGACCGCGTTGATGAATGCGTTGGCGAAGCTGACTGTCATCGACCCCTCAATAGTTCATTGCCACTGCTTGATTGGTCATAGCGCGGGCGCTAGCGTCTAACGTACCTGCGGCGGATCTGCTCCAGGATTCTGATACCTGCAACACCACGCCACTGATGCTCGTCACAGAACAAGAACTTCTGCATCTCGGCTGACACCATCTGACAGCGTTCTACTCGCGTTTCTCGGTTCTCGGCAACGCGTTTTCCACGACGATGCCAGTAAGAGCATGCTCTGTCCACTGGGGCCCGCATAGAAACAAAGCGGCCAGATGCCATCCGACTGAATATAGCAACGATGGCAGGGAACATAATTCCAGTGACATACCCCAAACGGCAATGATGCCGTTCTCGACTTGTTGGCGGGGAGCTTGGCGGGGAGCTGTCAGTTCCCAAACCTTCCGCAAATCTGGATGCAGGGGCTTTTTTCAAGCTACGCTCGAGCGCTCGCCTGATACGTGTGCGGAGCGTGTCAGCGTCCATGGCTGGATGGATCTGATGGCCTGCGAAACAAGTACATCTTCTCTCGCTGCTTCGCTGTCCAAACATTTTTCTTTCCACTTCTCCAGCTTCACGCGCGCGTAAACATTCATCGCATCCACAGAGGTTTTCTTGAAACATCCATCCGGAGAAGGTCGACTCGTATCTCGAGAGAAAGCAATCATGCCGAAGACCGCTGTCTTCACCACCATTACGCCGTTGCCGGCGGGCATCACAAGAAAGAGTGTGCTCGACATGTACCGCGATCATCTAGCCATGATCGATTTAAACCCATTGGTTGTGGAACGGTTCAAGTGCAGGCCACCTAGCTATGCGCCAACCGACGAGTACTGGTCGATGTGGTATACCATCAAAGGTGACTACTCCTTTCCATCTGCACTATGCAGTTGCTAATATCTTCTAGACAAGGTCTCATATCTACCGGGTGGCCTCGCGACAGGTTCTGTATCCTACCACGCTTGCTTCAACGATACAGCGGAAGGTCTCAACACACACGTGTACGCGCCGCTTGGTCTCGATATCCAAGGGAAGTGGACCGTGGGAGGAAGACTGCCTGGCGAGCCAAAGCCTCCGGCCGAGCCTGGCCTCAAGACTCCAAGACACGGACTGTATATCCGGGAAGATGTCAAGATGACCTGTTCATCACTACTATTAAGCTTTGTCAAGAGGACATTCAAAGACTCACACGGCAAGCTTGTGGACAAACTGGTCGAGAGAGCGCACATCCTGGAGTCAAACTTCGCGAACGAGAGGTTACAGGCACTTCGAAATGTCGCACCTGGGGAGCGAATGGGACACGGAGACATCTTCATTGCGCCACCACCAGACTACGACTACCAGCCTTCTCCCAGACACCTGCAGGTCCCTTCCCCTCGTTTCGTATCACACACGCGAAGCCAAAGCGACCCGGTACTTTCTCCTGGCTTTTCTTCTTCCTCGACGCTCAATGGTTCCAACGACAACTCCCCTAACTCAAAAGACCGCCCGATGTCCTTCACCTTCGTACGCGAAGAGAGGGAGGTAGCTTCCTCCGCACCCGAGCAAGGCTCCTTCCTGCTACCAGCGACGACATACGATGGCGGCTTTTCACAAGTGCGTGAGCGATCGCAATCTTTGTTCCCTGGTAATGCCCCGGACGAAGACCTTGAGCGCATCTACTCCGAGCGCATGATCTCTCTGGCACCGCTGAGTCCGACTCAATCACCGGAAGACTGGACCCCAGAGTACCCACCAAGGGTCTCATACACACCTCAAGAGCGTCCCATCTCCTTCACATTTCCTTTCGACCCGAAGCACCCTTTTGACCGCAAGTCGACATCTGAGACGTCGCAATCGGACCAACAGAACCTTCTCGATGATATTGACGACGCGATTGACGAATTCATGTACACTTTACCCGCAACCACATACAAGACGCTACCAGCGACTACGTACGACCCCAAACCGGCTGCCGAACCCACACTCTCCAGCGCAACATACAACCCAGAACCGACGCTTTCCAGCACTACCTACAAACCAGAGCCAATACTGTCGAGTGCGACCTACGACCCAAGGCACGCGCGAAAGGACTCCGTCATGCCGTCGCAGTCTTACGCCGACGAACCACCACCAGTGCCGCTGAAGGACGACAAGTACAGGAAGGGTAGCATCAGGGGATAGGATGAGACAAGGCAGCTGGTGATGTTTGATGACCTTTTTGTACAACATTACTTCTGCTTCGATATTTTGATTTGGGAAAAGCGTTTTTTGGTGTTTAAGCGTTTGGATTTTACATATACCCTCATGTATCAGGCTACCGGATAGGCTGGATGGAGTACCTTGCACCCTTTTGTACAAAACAAATCATGACGGCGGAAACGCAACTTTACAATATCGCTCTTCCATCGCCCAACTTGACGTGAAAACCCTGCTCAACCATTGCAAAGAGTGACTATAGGGCAATTTCCCACCTCAAGCCTGTTGTACCCATTGCTGTTGAGAGACGGCATGCGTAACCGCAGCCCCGGAACAGACCTGGACCTTAGATGCCATACGCAAATCCCACCACGCCTATTGCTCCGATATCGAGCGCGGAGACACCAAGCCCAAAAGAAGACACACTCGATTCGACCAATCCTCCTTCCACTCCCCCTCAAACCCCGGCAAAATATCTTCAGTTGGCCACCCATCCGCCTCATAAACCCACTTCACCTGCTCCTCCAAAACAATTTGCAACAATGCCTCCAGCCTCCGCAGCTTCTCCGCCGTCAGAGTGCCCGAGATATCCGTTCCCGTATTTATTGAAACGGTGTTGACGAAGGAAGTCACCATGGTCTGTGTCGTGGGCAGATAACTGTCGACTGGAATGTACCAATTAGGAAGGCCTTTCCCCTCTTGAACGGCTTGCACGGCTTGTGAGAGCTTGGAGCGGTACGTGGAGAGTAGGTTCCAGACTTTGTGCCAGATTGTCAGGAGGAGATCGTTTATCTCCGTGGGCGTCATTTGGAGGCGTAGTTCATCGCGGTAGAGGTAGATGAGTGGGATGTCTTCATTTTCATCCTCGTTCTCATCTCCATCATCTCCTCCTCCTTCTTCCCCTTCCCCTCCAAAATAGTACTCAATGCCACCATCAGAATCAGTGTCGAAGTCTATGTTCATATCGTAGTCCACCTCTTTATCTCCATAAGCCAGAACAAAGAGTTCACATCTGCACAACGGGCAGGAATTTGTTCCTTTAGCGTTGAGCCAGGCGACGATGCAGGTTTCGCAGAAGATGTGTTTGCAGCTTGCGCTGTCGGAAAAGGTTACTGCCGTGTGCGTGGTAGTGTTGTAGTCTTCCTTGCAGATTGCGCATTCGGTGTCTGACGGAGAGGGGTTGGCTGGTGTAATGCTTGTGGCGAGGAACTCCTCGCGTGTAGTTGCATACATCTTCCTGAAATTAAAGAGCATCCCTCTTTGTGGGTGGTAAATTCTTGTTATGGTGGATTGTAGTGAGATGTGTCAAGGGGCTTGAAGAATGGTTTGGACTAGGAAGATAATTTAGGGAAGAGATGTGTTTTAACTCACAATGCCTACAATCACTGCACTTTGCGGCTGTTCCTACTCGTTGAGAATATTCCGTATAATACTATGGTGCTCGCAACACCTCTGGTTGCAATGGTCCTGTACCACGGATCTCGTAGCGCGGAAGTCCTACCCATAACCACTCACAACCGCGTCTTACTAACGACCTACTCATCTCTAAAGATCCACTTTCCACCTCTCCTGTGTGCATCCAACCAGCGCTCTTGTACGATCGCCTTTTCTTGTTCCTTTGCACGTTCCCTGTCTTCTTGCTGTTCCTGTGTCGTCGGAAAATCAACTCGCCAGAACCCTGGCGGTGTTCTTCGTCGCTCGTAGGCTTCACGATGCTTCCCGGACTCCTTCGCCATCTTCTTCGTCCGAGCTTGCAGAACGAGTTCTTGTCGCTCTTCGGATGACATCTGCGTGAGCTGCATATTGCTGTATGCATCACCCAGATAATCCTCGAGCAAAGCCTCCTCTTCCGAGGGGCTGAGAGGTCCTTGAGCCTCCGCAAAAGTTCGAAAGGTGGAGCCACAGCATTGCGGGTTGGTACAGCCCGGGAGACACATGCGATCTCCTCGCTTGCGCACAGTCTCGGAAAATGCGTAGCTGTAGCCTTGGTTGTACTCAGGATTTGGTTTGAAGTCATTGATGCTCAGCTCGCCCATCGGCTTATCTCGGAGGCGACCCTGATCTTTTAATGGTGATGCACGACTTTTGCGAGCACTAGAGCGGGTCTCGGGAGCCCTCATGGACCATATAGGACCATCAGGTGTCGGATCTTCACGAGGGCTCGCGCGGCTCTTCGACTTTGCGCTGCGCGCACCCTTACTGATGGAGCGTGTGTCAGCAGTCCGCGATGAGCTTGCCGTAGGAGTTGCCATTTGCTCGGTTTTGATCTTTACCGAAGCGGACTTTGGTGTCTTCGGCGATGTCTTTCCTGGCGTCTGAGGACTCTTCAATGCTTGTAATCTTTGGTTCATCTGCGCTCGAGCAATGTGGGGCGGCAGCCTCGGCCTACGATTACTCGCAGGTAGTGCTTCGCCCGACTCTGCGAGGAAAGAATGCTCGTCTTGTTGATACGCTTGGGCTTGCCGTGAACGCTTCGTGGGAGGCTCCTCAGACGCACTGTTCACCACGTTGGGATCAAGGGGTCTCAACACAGCGTCTCCTGCTTGCGTGGGCTCATTCGGCTCACTAAAGGCTCGTGCTTCGATACTCGCGACGGCTTGAGGCTCGCGCATCTGATCGTAGAAATGATGCAGATCAGTGTCATCCAGATTCTCGTTCTTAACAACCTGCGTAAGCGGAGCGCTGTTACGCCTCTGCTGATGAGGCGTTTCCACGGGATCTGTGTCATGCAAGATTCGTGTCTCGGGATGACGAGGAGTCTTAATCCCATGGGGCGCAGGATCGTCCAGATCCATCGTCTCGTTCTGAGTCATGTTGAAAGCAGGAAGCGGAGGACTACTATGCGGCTCCTCTTTCACGCGATGGGGCTTTATTGGCGTGCCGTCTGAAGAATGATCTGCGTATATTTCGAATCTGGATTTTGACGGCTGGCCTCGTTTTCGTTTTAGCGACCTCTCGGAAACGAATTCGGGGAAATCATCATCATCATCAGTTTCCATAACTTGCTCGAATATGCTCCTCGGCTCGACCTGCTCATCCACTGTTGTTTGACTAGAGCTTGGAATCGCTGAACGATGGCCTTCGTCCTCTGAAATTATCCGCTGGACGTGCGACGAAAGACCGGCATTGTGTTCTTGATGCTGTTGTAGCTCAACATTCGCTGACCGAGTGCTGGTCTTTGGAGTGACGGTTGTGGTAGGGCTCCGGGCTTCCTCGCCGCTGACCGTGGTCGGAGACGCCAACCGACTCATTCTCCCGAGAACTGAACGCGGAAGCGGGGCCATATGAGCAGGAGAGGAGCGGTCCGGATTAGTGATGGATCCGGGAGTTCGCACAGTGGCCAATGAAACTGGACTGGAAGGTACATGAGGCCGCTCCTCGGGAAGAAGATGAGTATTGGCCGTATGTGATTTGCCAGCCCCGTCTCTGGCCTCGCTCTTCGACTTTTGCTTTCCGGTCTGCCGGTCTGCGTACTCTTGCCATGCGCGCACGCTTTCCTTCATATCTTTGTTCTTTTGCATGACGTTCGCGTTCTTCTTCTGAAGATACTTCACCTGTTGAGACATATCCCGGTACTTCCTGGTCAAGTCGCTAAACCGTGCAGCAAGATCGTGATACTCTTCTTCGGTGGCCTCATTTGCAACCTCAGGATCTGGTAATGGTGCAGCTGCCTCTTGTAGAGCCGAAAGTCGTTGCTTCAACTGCTCATTCTCGGTAGCGAGGTGGCGATAATCTTCGGGCGCACCTGGTGCATCAAGCTCAGAGACATGCTGGTCGATAGGCTCCCTAGTTTCGAGCTGTTCTTTCAGGTGCGCGTTCTCTTTGACAAGACGCGCTGATTTCAGAATCTCGTCATTCAGATGTTTGAACAATATTTGTTGGTTCTCCTCCTCTACGACGGGTCAGTAAATATCTCGATGGATAAGACAAAACGCGTACTTTGGTCTAGCTCCTTCTTATGTTTCTCTTCTCCTGATTCACTCTTAGCAAAGGTCGACGCGTTAGCTAGCTCTACATACTCATCTTCCATTCTTTCTCAAGGTCAGGCTTGATGACCTCATCGTATACGCGCGTCCAGAGCCCTTTGTTCTGCTCTATCCAGGCTGAAAACTCCGCCATATTGGACCAGTCCGACAAGGCATGAAAATGACAGGTGTGACAAGAGATGACCTGATGTTTGCATGTGTCCTGACATCAGTTGCCATTAGGCGGCAATTACGAAAGAGGCGCGCTAGTAGAACGCGCAGTCACGCGTACGCACAGACATTCGGCGATAACGATAAGACATGGTGTCGTTCCGACATCCCGAGGCGCATTCGCCGCCGACACCACAGCCATCTCTAGATATTATGAAGCGCGCGCATGGAGGGGACGATGACGGCGAGCATCCAGCCAAAGTACAGCGGCTTTTGAATCCAGACAAACTCTCTCGATTAAGCGAGGAGTTACTTGTGCGCATACTGTCCTTCGTGCCAGTACCCTCGCTGTTAGTATGCCAAAGGTAGGTAAAGTTGTTCCCGTTGATCGCGACATTCACTGACTGTTACAGGGTATCAAAGAAGTTCAGCCGCCTTTCTGTCGACTCGGAGCTATGGAAAGCCGCTTACTACCGCACATTCGTCCTCCCAAGAGCGTCGCGCATACCAGGCATCAGAGGCCCTGCCAACCCTAATCGGCTACACTACTCTTCGCGGCTATCGAAATGGCTAGAAGATGGCTACCTAGTCAAAGACGGGACACAAACGAACTGGAAACAGCAATATCGGTTACGGCATAACTGGACCCAGGGACAATGCGCTGTCAGTGAGATTGTGGTCGCTGAAAGGCCTCCAGACCCACCGCTGCTTGTCATGATGTCCAACAGCATCATCTATGCTGCCGACTCCATGTCAGGCCTGCGAGCGTGGAATTCCAAGAATGATAGGGAATTACTGGCATCTACGGAACTATCTGGTGAAACAGATATGGCTCGGTTGCCGATATCCATGGCCATAGATGCCTCGAATACGGACGATGGCACTGAACGAGTTGTCATAGGCTTTGAAGACGGCTCATTCTCTATCTACGTACTCAGGACGAATCGCAAGAAGTTCTCGAATCTCTTTACCCATCCGCCATCGACGAACGGAATGTTGTCGGCTCTCGCGTACTCATCGCCTTACCTCCTAACGATGACCGAAGACCACCTCCTCTCACTATACGCCTTTGAAGAGGTACCTGGCACTTTCGGGTTGCTAGAGGCCCCGAAACTCCTATACTCCCTGCGATCGAATACAGCATGGCCACCTGTCTCGCTATCGCTGCGCACAACGGCACATACCATGACCGCCGCGATCGCATACTCCCTGCCAACTTACTTATCCGGCTGGACTGTTGGTGTGCAGGAACTCATACTCTCACATAAAGGCGACCTGATTGAGTCGCGATTGGCTACTGCGGCAGATGAACACTCGTTTACGCTCTCCACATATCGCGCGGCCTCTTCCTCAGCACGCTCGTCATCACCTTTACCAGATCGCGCCGATGAAGCCCTAGCACCGAGTGGGCCGAGCAGATCGAAACCTACCTCCATGTCCTACTCCCATCCGTATCTCCTCGTCGCGCATCCCGACAACACACTATCGCTTTACCTTGTCAGATCGACATCACAAGCACTGTCCATTAGCTCTGGCAACCGCCTCTGGGGTCATACATCTTCGATATCTGGCGCTCATGTTGGCATGCGCGGCAAGGCTGTGTCCGTGAGCAGACGAGGAGACGAGCTACGGGTATGGGACCTAGAGGGCGGCATGAACTCCTCCGTGAACCGCAAGCGCTCAAGGAACGGACAGTTAAGCGTTCGCGTACAGCCATCCAAATTTGGTGAAGATAACATACAAGACGGCGAGTCGGGGCAACAAGGGGGATTACGGTTTGCGCTTGATCAAGGCTTTGACGACTCTTCCGTCAGCCGTGGTTGGGTTGGCTTTGACGAGCAGAACGTAATAGTGCTGAGAGAGAAGAGCGAAGGCAGTCAGGCGTTAGTTGTCTATGATTTCACATGACCTGTCAAAGATTCTGAGGCGTCAGCATCTGTTAACACATATACCCCAATAGAGCGCTGCTTACCTGAAATGTAGAGAAAATCTCTTGCACCGCATCGACTCACGATCGTACGGTTCCAGAAACTGGCATTAAGAAACAACACGAGCATATTGAAACTAGCTAAGAGACTGACATGGATCTAAGACCAGCTAGAAAACTGACAACAAGTCCAAAGTTGCGACTTGATCATCCTACTAAAGAACCCCAATGGATACGGACCGAGCGACTTCGGCACAAGGGTGTCGGTTCCAGCCGTACGTGTATCGGTGCGCTCATCTGAAAGGACCCCTATGTCATTCCACACTCCCGCTTGCAGCATCTCTACGCCAAGAGTCTTTTCGCTGGTTCCATGATGGAAATCGACCTGCTCAGCATTAGACATCGAAAGAGGTCGCTGACGATGATCTCGCGCCCGATGATTAGTACGCTCCTCCTCCTTGCGCACCTGCTCCGCTCTCTCCCAACGGCATCTCCCCAAGAACTGGTCATGATCCTCCAATCTCCATATCTTCCTTTGTACCTCGTCCGCACCAAAGACTCAGTCCGACGTTCAAGAATATATGGACAAATAGGCAATTTGGTACTATTAATGGGAAATATCTTCTTGAGTTTTCGGAGGAAGGGGGGTACTATACTGAGACGATAGCGGGTAGGAGACCGATGGTTCAGTCGCAGGGAGTTAGGTCGGTGGTTAGTGAGCGGTGGTTCGAGAGTAGGGGGTATACGAGTAGGGATAGTGGGTAGCGCTTGATGTATGAAGATCTCGTTCTGGTAAAACAGCACGGTAATAGTTGTGTGAGTTTGCGAATGCGTTCAGACCGTGTCTTTCTTTTTCCTTTCTCGTGGCGCCAACAATAGCGGGTGTGTTTCGTTCGTCGCAGCGTGCAATCTGTCAATATGCCGTCTGGCGCCGTCAGAGGGCCAAAAAAATGCTTCGTCGACATTTCTACTTCAATGCGCGCAATCGAAAGACGCCAATGGACCAGAGCTCTTTCTTCGACTCTCTGGGTTAGTCCCCAACTTGTACGGACTTATTACCCACCCCACCCGAAGCGCCATGGCTATCCACGGCTACATCGCAGACTACTACATCGACGACATCGATGCATTCACGCTCGAAGAGCAGTATCGTCTGCTGTACGATTTGCCAAACGGTCGCTTCGTCGCGTTATAGGTCAAGCGACGGATATTCTACAAAGGCGAAACAGTATCGGAAGCCCTAGAGCACGTACGGCGGTTCCTACCTTCGCCATTCAGCCCAACATCGCTGTCGCCGAGTTTGGATGATATGCCAAGCCTGATTGACGAGGAGCGGTGGCACGAGGCCCGGGTAAAGCTGAGGAGCCAAGGTGTGTTTTACAGGTTCTGAGGGAGAAGAACCAAGAAGTTGACGATATTTCAGGAGCAATTTTGCCTTGCGATTATACGTTCGGTGTTGAACGCAGGATGGTGCAGTTGTTTGATAGCAACGAGACGATCCGGCCAGCTGATGTCGTCGCACGGCGTTGGGACGCAGACATGTCGGCAGCAGAGAATTTGCCTCTATTGATAACAGACCAAGAACATATTACTGTCCAGAGCGATGAAATCATATTGTGGCAGTTGCTTGTTGACTTTGACAAGGCTGTTCGAAAGATCATGGCCAAATTGTTGACGTCCCAATGCGCGTATTGAAAAGAAGGTCAGCGATCCTGTAATCCTCTCTTACTCCAGTGGATTCGAAATTCTAGCGTCGTTGGTCAGGCCACCACAGCCTTGTTCAGTGTATACCTATTACCCTGTCATATTGCAGCGTGGGTCCCGATGCAGGCGATGAGGTGGCGTATTACCCGTGAACGCATGCAGTGCCATGACCGAGCCCTGCATGGGGCGGCTCACCGACATGTCAGCCTCGGCTGATACAAGCCCAGGCCCTGGCCTCAAACAAAAGCGCGTTCTCTTCTTCGGCGATAAATACACAGGTGTAGAGGCATTGTAGGTGCCGGATGCTGTGTGGCATCGTGGCTGCTTCCTGCGCTCAGCCAGACCCCGCTTTCTCTTGGCATTCTGGGGCACCACGCCATTATTCATGGCTTCCATCATAACCTCGAGTAGCAAGAGTGACATCGCGATCTCCGAGCTTGATGTCGCTTCACTCGCTGTCACAAATCGCCAGTCTGGAAACGATGCTTGGCCAAACACCCTTCGCGGGACAACGAGAGCGGCGCGTCGCCGTGGAAAGCTCGATGGACCTTTTCAACTTCGCTTTCTTACTGCGACAGACCCTACTCAATTCAAAGACGGGGAGGCAAGACGAAGCGTCCGTTCGCAGGCGATGAGGTACCATAGGAACAAAATAAACAACGGCAATGCAGCACCTCGGGAACGGCCCGAAGCAGTACCAACTCTTTACACTGAACCAATAGTCGCCGAGCAGGTCAGGCTTACGACGACCCAAGCTCAGCTACGTCCCACAAAACGAACATCGAGGGCGCTTGTTCCTTATGAATATGATCAGCAAACTCCTTATCATGTACCGACTACGAGGTCGCCCATGGAAGCGAGCGGGGTTCGGGCTGATGATGCTGCATCTGAACGCTGTCAGTCAACTCGGTCAAGCCGACGGCAGAGTAGAAGCTTCCAAAAGGTTGTTGAATACGAGTACACCGAGAGCCAGGAAGAACGCAAGATTCGTTTGCTCGCGACCAATTTCTCTCAGATCGGAGACGGGTTTGACCCTTTCAAGGTGCTGCCCCAATTCGAGAACCCTAGTTTGAACAGCAGTTTCATCTTGCGTATATGTAGGTGTACATAATTTTCCAGACTATGCACGTCATATGCTCTGGTTCAAAGGCTGACACATACAGGTATGCGCGTGTTTGGAACAGAAGCATTTGTCAAGGCATGGGGACCCGAAATGATGGCTCATCCCCATGTATTGCTCAGTGGCATGTCCGTGACATGTACTTGGCTCGATATGCTCGCAAAAATTCCAGGCGAAAGTACAAGGACTAGGCTTGTCAGAGATGAGACCTTGGTCATGCTCAGGCTTCGACATCAGTCGTTCACCCGGAAGCACGCCGTGTCAACTCTCCTGGTGATGCTACATTTGATGGGAGGCGAGATATGGAGCTGTGATGAGCCCACGGTACGGTGTCACGAAAGAGGCATCGAACAGATGATACACCTGTGCGGCGGCATGGACAACACCGGCAGGGTGATAATCGCGCAAGTTACCGCTGCGTAAGCTTCACGACCTACTAATGAAGAGTACATACTAATGATGCTTTCAGGTGTTGTTTCCACTGCGATCTAGTCTACGAAGCCCAACCCCTGCGGACCTTTGCGTCGTGGGAGCCTACAAAGTACGATTCGGTCAACGACAAGGAAGACGTCGCAATCCCAGAATCTCCATTGTTCTGCCCATGGTCTGACTTCCGAAATCTTCTCAACGAAGAGCGTTGTTCATCGACTACATGTGGCTTACTTCGAGATATGCGCGACTTGACCGACCTATTCCTGGCGCAAAGCACAGCACTTGAGCCCGCTAGCAATGCTGCAGACGTTCATATAGCCTATCCGCCCTCCAATGAAGTCTCTTGCAAGACAAGAATGGCTGAAATTTGCGATCGATTAGCAAATCTGCCTTCGGCTTACACTCCAGATCACCCAAACTCCTGCGATTGGGTCTATGAGGCGTGTCGTCTCGCTGCCACGATCTACACGACTGCTGTCGTACGCTGCCTGCCTTTCTCTGTTACTGCAATGTCGAGTCGCTACCCATTTTGTGTCCAAACCGGAGCTCTGAGCGAGCCACATAGCAGCCAGATCTCGCTTACAACACATATCTGCGAAGAGCTAATGCAGACTCTAGAACGTACCGACCTCGCAAACGTGTGGAATGGTATGGCTGGAGTGCTATATTGGATATGCACCATTGGCGCTGCTGCAGCTCGTTCGCCTGGCTTGTCCGACATGTCACAGCAAGTTCCGTATAGCACGACGTGTAAGTTCCGGGTTCGACAGTGTCTTACTATATTTTCCGTCCGCGCGCAACTCATCTTGGTCTTCAAACATCCAATACCAATTCTCTTATCACAGAAGAAACTTCTCAGAGTACAAGAGCTTATTGGAACATATCACCAAGGTCGCAACACCAAGCAGTCACATGGAACCTCTCCGAATTCCACAGGCCTCAAATGCGACGACATCTGCACCTACTGATGGTCGAATTCAAGCCGAGCGATACATCCATCTCTTGTGATGAGCATTCAAAGCAAACCAATCTAAGCTAGAGTCAGCAGCCGGCTGCTGACAAAAGATGGTTGCGCTCCCGTAAACACCGAAAGCCGTATGAATCAGAGTAGAAGCGCACTTGTCCACGCCGCCAAACCTGGTTAGATCTTTGATCGCTCATTCAGTCACTGCACATCCGGCTTTGAATGAATCGTCCAGCAAGTTCTTGTTGCGTGATGTGCGGTTGGCCGAATACTCTGGCTTTCCTACTCCGCGCGCATCACGAGAGGCCGAGCTGAAGTTCCCGGGCGTCTCGGGTCGCGACCATCCGCAAGATCCGGTCGCGATGTGTTCTGCAGTTCCAGAACAAGCGATCGCAGTTGCGGACAAAAATTCTGTCCCTTGCACTGAATTTTATTGGTGGTGTTCGGAGATCTTCGGTGCCTACCGATGTGGGTCGACGGAGCATTTCGCACCCTGGATCTGAGGGGGTGCGACTCACCTGCTAAGCTTCGAGGCTCCCATCTTATCCCGACCTCTTATGACGTCGCAACTATGCCTATCTCCTTTTCCATCAAGCACGGTTGTTTACATCGCATTGAAACCTGGGAAAAGGTAATTCGCTTTGGCCATTTCGGCGCTTCTCCAACCCAAACCTCGTGGGGATGCCATCATAGAAGGTCTGTGCGCCAAGACCCTCTTCGTCCCTTCCTTGTCCGACGCTCCGCTGGCCACGATGATCCTGTAGGGCAGAAACAGTTGCAACCGTGTAGCCAAACTCTGATTTGACGCGTGGGGTTGCGCGGATATCAAGATCTGCATCGTTGGAAATCACGTTCTGATCTCACAAGTCTGCCTGCTGGGCTGTTTGAGACGGCATCCAAAAGCGCACGTTGTTTTGGACATGCAAACATCCAGACGTGGCTATTGCAGGCATTCCTGAAGCTTACAGCGCCCGCGAGACACGTGCGTGCTTTTTGACTTGACGGTCAGCGTGCTGCCTTCGCAGGAAGATGACTGCTTCGATGACTATCTGACAAATGAAGCGAACCACGGGACAGCACGATTCGCGCTGACGGATGATGGATGACTCCTGGCCGCCTGGGACCATCTTCACGAAGGAAGCGGCTGCCAGCATGTCCGAGACAGCGACCCAGGGATTAGTGGCAGCTTCCCTGCATTCCGATTGGGCGACAAGGTTACTTCCTGTCAGACCTGCCAGGGTCTAACGGCCTACTAACAACAAGCGACATTTTGTATAAGAGACAACACCCGCCGAATCTAGAATGCACACGAACGAAATAGTTGCAGCGAGCGTCGTACTTGGACTCTGCTTTGTCGCTGCCATGGCACTCGTTACACGCTTCCTCCTGCACAAGCAGCCCAAGACCACTTCAACAGACGACATGTTTACTACGGACGGCAAGACTGAGCGGCAGGTTCAACTCACGCAAATTTCCAGCTCGTGGAAGAGATTCTTAACTCCAAAGCAAAGTTCTAGCAAAGGACATTGGGTACCAACATTGTCGGGCATCATCAAGGCTGGCGACGAGGGTTTGTTTTCCTCCGCGTTGTTTATCAACCTCCAAGGACATCCTGGACAACTACCCCTCGAAACCTTGTACGATGCGTTCGCGAACGAAGTTCGAAACCGACCAATCTCGGAGCGATCATCACACCCCGGAGACATGACGAGATTCCTTGCTCGAGCAAAGAAACCTGCGAGCGGCGTGGGGCGGTCAAAGTCGATGTCCAATGTTCGGCGAGCAGACCCTAGCCCAAAGACTGCGAGGAAGAGCTTGGATTTATCGGTGGTTGAGATGGGTTTGGCTAGGGGCTTATCTGTGAAGAAGCCGTCGTCTACCTTGGTGTCGATGCACAAAGGACTGCGAGACGACGACCAGAAATCTGTACAACGAGCTTGGGCCAAGGATGGTCAAACTGCAAAGTATGAGGATGGACGGTTAAGCGTAAAGGTTTCTGCTTCCGAACTTGCGGCGCTCTCTGTAATTCTTGGAAGTCAGTTGAGCAACAGTCCTGGCCAACAAGATGCGTCATCGGAGAGCAGTGCCTATGGCATCTCAATGGGTCTTTCGCCAACGACAGACTCCAAACACCAAATCGCGCTCACACAACAAAAGCCCAGCAGATCACAACGGCATGCGCAAGGCTCAGGCACTTCACCACTCTTCGCAAAGCACCTTGCGGCTGGCTCCCTCCCATATTCACAAGATAAGATTGGCGTTCACAGTATTCTCATCACAGACGAGTCTTTCGAGGCATTGCAAGCAGGAGCTTCTCTATACATACACCCATATGTCGCAAGAACACCACAATCCAAGTTCCTCGCTTCGCTACCCAGTTCCCGCGAAGCACGATTCCACATCCTCGCCACATCAACCGAAGTCCATACCTCAAACACTTTACTAGACGCCATCGCATCATTGCCGTTCTCTGGCGGCCTTGTGCCCCTCGCCTCAAAACCCCTGATCAAGACCGTCCAGTTCATCGCCTCCGCCGGTCTCCCTCACGCACGCCTACTTCAGCGCCTCGAGCAACTCGTCGACAAGGTTCACCGCCACACACCCCATCTCAATATCCTGGGGCCTCTCTACGAGCCTCAAAACGCCAGTCTCCTCTTCCGCGAGCGCGAACGTCTCGGTAGACTCGCCAGCGACCCAACAACCCTTGACACTCTCGCCGACAAGACAGCCCGCATGTCACGCTACACAACCCTCCTCGAGCGCCTCATGGCCCTCATACCAGACCTGAAAGCGCCAGATGTTCTTGCTGCAGTCCAGGAAGCAACAAAACAAGAGATGCGACGTGCATACCAACAAGCCGTCGCGGCGCACAGTTCCTCCACCCCAGCCAGCAAAAGCGCAGAGACGGTCTGCTCTCCCGTATCAGCATCGTCGTCCGAACCACAACAGCAGCAGCGCAAACGAATCTCTACATCTTCACGCCGTAGTACTCGTTATTCGAATCGCTCTAGCACATTTTCATCTGACATCACGGAAGCGAGCCCAGCGCTTACAACATCGATGGATGATAAAGAGAGGAGTCTAGCGAAGCAGATAGAGCATGTTCTCAAATCGGAACTACCGCTGGATGTTAGTACAATTGCTTTCGTAGCGCGGATGGTGATTGTTGCGTGGACAGTTAGTGTGGGCGTTGTAGCTTGGGAGGAGGGTGAGGAGGGGTTCCGAGTGCCCGATGTGGATGCATTGGGAAAGTTAGTTCTGGTTTAGATTGGACACCCGAGCACTTGCAGTGCGCGATTGTACGGACATGGAGGGCTTGGGGGCGTTTTTGACTTGTTTTAGACGACAGATTTGGACAGATGCATGTTTAACGAGATACCATTAACACTTTTATGATTTAGACTAGTAGAGGATACGAATATGATACCTCTACACACTTCACAACCAACTGTTCTCTGGGGTGTTCTATGCACCTTGAGACGCAGCACGCATGTGGTACCCTCGAAGCTCAGATCCGCAATGTTCCGCATCCAGCTCCACGTCCAGCACATGCCACTCGCCATGGCGAGACTAACAAAAAATATGAGATCACACATCTCGCAAATCACAAGCAACGATGTCAGTAGCAACAGTCAGGAGACAATACATTCCTGGGCTCGGTCCTCGGTTTTATCCGGTATCCGGTGATCTGCATATCTCGAACGACTAGCCGGCGGATCCGGGGTTCTCGCGGTATGATATTCGTCCCGAGCGACATTACGCACGAGATATAGAATTTACACCGCTCGGCTAACGAAGTATGGGCTGCCGCCTTTCTGTAATAGTGTCGGTGGGGTAGGCGGGTGCGTTGGCAGGGTATACGGGTGGATGGATGTGACTGTTTTACCAATTGTAGTAATTACGGGGTTTGAATCATGGATCTATGTAGCGTATACCGTATTCCACCACCGTGTACCTTCCGTTCCCTTTGCGTTTCTATGCAAGTGTGTTTCCCACCCAAAGTGCCTCCATTACCCATCCATACACTCTACTCCGGACCCATAACCTCCAACCCCCGACAAACACCAACCCAACCATCCCTCATGCCCTCCCAAACAACTTCCATACTCTCTTCCTCTAACCCATCTCTCTTCCTTTCTTTCCGCTCGACCTTGTCACCCGTCCCATCGGCCATCATGGCGGTAACGCGATCCCGTTTCCTGTCCTTATCTAACAACGAGCTATTCGTCTTGAGACCCTTGCCGTCTAGTTCCCCTTTAACTTCCCAACCCTTGCGCACAGGCCCGTGAATGGTAGCAGGTGATATGAGAGTACTATCCAGCAATGCGTTCCAGCGTGATAGATACATACCCGGACCATGCGTCGTGCCTTTCCCGTTTTGTGATGAAGGGGCGGGCTTCATGATGGATTCTAGACGGGTTTGTGACGTCGATTTCAGGGTGGTGAGATGCTTTTCGTGTTGGTCGAGGAGTGTCTTTAGCTCTTCTTGTTTGTCTTTGCTGAGAGTTTCGAAGAGCGAGTGTAGGGGTGCTGTCATGTTGCCTGCGCCGCCTTCGCCTCTTTCTTCGGCTTCTTTGGCACGCTCATCGACACGGAATTCGGAGAATATTCGTTTGGCGTAGACGAGGTAGTCTTGGGCGAGGTCGGGCGCGTTCTTCGTGACTTGATGGAGGAACTTGTGCATGGAGGGGGCGTGCTTTTTGAGGAGTTGGACGAAGTCTTCCACGGTAGGGGCGTCGCTTGCTTCTTGATCAAGGATGCTAGCTGGGTCTGGTGAGCTCGGTCTTGACTTAGAAGTCTCGCGGCTCCTTGTGCCCTTCTTCTTTGGCTTGGCAGTCTTGATGAGGTCGGTGATGAATGCTTCTGCGTCGGTTATAGTGCCGGAAAGATCAACGGCGTTGTGTATGGCTCGGATGACGGGATCCATGCCGGTGACGGCGTCACGTATGGTGGAAGTCAGGACATCGGGGTTGGATTTGCAGAGAACCTTAGTGAGTTCCTCGCGATCGCGAATAGAAAGGTATGTGCTGAGGTATTCCATGGCTACGCTGTGCTGGTGTTCGCTCAGCGTCTCGGCATCGATCTTGTATGGAGGGTCAGATGTTTCGAGGATGACGGCTGCGATTGACTTCGACTCGGATATTGACTGGCTTCGCGCCGCTTCATGTTTCTCCCGTGAAGAGTAGACGTATGTCTTGAGTGCCTTGAAGACCTTTTTGTCGGGCGCGTTACGTGACGACTCTAGTTTCGTTGCCCGCTTTTGGAATTCGGATGTGTCCCATGCTAATACTGTCGACAGAATTTGTTGTAGAAGATTCATGCCGTCGTTGGTGTTGTTGGTAAGGCCTATCCAGTTGGTCATGGCTGTCACTGATAGCTTTGCCAGTACTAATCGGACCATGCCGTTGATCATAGTCGCTGCGTTTCCGACGCGCAATGTCTGCTTGATGACAGTGTATGGTATGAGGCGGTGGAGGTTCTCGAGGAGGCGGACGAGGTATTGGCCGTCAGGCGACATGACGAAGACATGGTGGAGGAAGGATGCGGCACTGAGGCTTTTAGTTCATGAACAGACTCCCCACCTGAACTACTCACTTCAACAGCATATACTCGTGCGCTGCCTGCAGACTGCTGGAATGGTCCTCCAGTCTTGGCGTTGCCTTGACTTTCTCATACAGATCGTCCAAAGCATCCCCATATATTGCATCCTTGACTAGTTCTTCAAAGCCTTGTATGACGTCTTCTGGCTTGCTCGTGTCGTATTCCTTCTTGCTCTCCTTCTTCTTCGCTGCTGGGTATCCACCCAACATACCTCTCGCGACGTACTCAGCGATGCTACTCGCCGCCGTCGCAAGGGCCTTCCGACTTCCAATAGCGCCTTTGTCGTAGCTCTCACTCAGTTCCGCCTCGGCCATTCTCGCAACTAGCGTCTGGATTTTGTCGGACCACCAGCTCTCCCCAAAGTTTCTTATGGCGGGGTTGCATAGCGCAAACTTGTTGAGCATGTTCTGTAGCAATGGGCTTGTCGACTGGACACCGTCTGCCTTCCGGAAGGGGTAGCCATATTGATCGATGGTAGAGGGGTATTTGAAGGCTTCGATTTCAGAGTAGACTTGGTGGTGGATTAGGATGTCGAAGAGGGCGTGCGTCTGCGCGGGCGTAAGCGGTTTGGTGGTCGACATGGTGGTGGGGAGCGAAGTATGTCAGAACCAGAATCTGGTAATGGCTCCATAGTTGGCTACATGAGAGATGGTTGACGCGGCTGCGCCTGCGACGCGGGGTACGTCATCGCGCTTGCGGTCTTGGCAGATTAGCGACATGATCACCCCCACATGGTCGCCAGAATCTCGGATAATACGGCCACCCTAGAGGTCTACATCAACGTAGGATCTCGTGAAGTTGAAGTTTATATATGCAATTACACCCCACATCCTCATGGGCAGCTTCCGAGAAGATGCGAACAAAAGCCCCAGATGCCTACAAACCTCTCTAGAACAATTATGTACAAAGCGTTTTCATCATGTAAGCGTCAACCCCCAAATACCCAAATCACCCACAACATCTGTGTCCAACGTAGGCCTCAAAAGCTGTGTGTGAGGCCCTGTGACAGGCCGTCACGAAGGAAGATATGGTCTGGAATGACGTCATCTTGATCGCTCAAGATGACGGTTTTGAGCTTACACTCGACCTTGTACTCCTCGCACGCCTCGCGGAAGAATCCAAAGAGGCAGGCTGCGACAAGGCGGCGAACATCATCACCATCTTCATATTCGAAGAGAGGACCTGTGTTATAGTGGATCTTCCATGTCTTCAATTCTCGAAATTCGGCGGCCAGAGTTTCGGTGATATACGGAGCTTCGTCGTCGAATTCGCTCCATTCGCCATCATGTATCGGAGCACCGAGAACAACGTCGCGAGAACCAAAGACGTCAATTCCAGGGCAGTAGGAGGCGAGGCTGTCCATGTCGCGGAGTGAAAGATCGTTTTCATTTCCGAAATCTACATAGTAGACCCGTAGGCCGGGATGGTAACGCCAGATGTCGATCAGCCTCGGGTATCCAGACCTGGACCCAACCCAAGGGGTGCATACCTTCATACACACTGACTGTAGGCTATTGAAACTGGTAATGAAGTTCGTAAACGCCCAGTCGTGGGTTCCCCACAAGAGGGGCTCGTCCCAGTCAAGTATTTGGATACGCAGGTCTTCGATATTGATCTTGGAATTATAATCCGATTTCATGGAGAACATGAAGAGGTCAGTGATGTATACGCACTGGATAAGACGAAGCGAGCACACACTCGAGAGGTCGACAGAATGGGCGACGCTTCCTGGAAGATCTCTGAAGCTGACATCGTGGAAAACGAGCTTAGTGAGTGCGAACGTTTGTTCCAAGCCCAAGTCCAAGAAGGGCTTGCGATATGTCCCAGTCTGCTCGTCGGGGGCAGAACCGCGCATGTAGAAGGAGTCGATATGCGCTCCTACACCGACGTATTCGAGCAGACTCTAGGCAACTCTCCTAAGCGCCCCGGTCTCCTTTCTGCCTGCGGCTGCAAATTGGAAGTGCTTTCCGGGTCGCAGTAGGGTGGATACGGACTTAACGACTTGAGTGCCTCAGGGGGCTTGGAGCTGCTGCCTTCTCTGATCGTGACCACCGGCCCTTAAGCTGTTTACCGTCACCCGCACCGTTGTCGCGAGGCGTAGTTGCTCGCTGAGGAGCCATGGCGGCGCTGAACTGATGAACAAACTGGGTTGAGTTATTGGAAGGATCGGAGTAAACAGAAGGCCTGCTCAGAAATCAGTTCGCCTGTCGAAGGCAGGTCCATGCGTCAATAGTGAATACTAGCTAGGCTGCCTAGACTACTGGAGCGAAGAGCTTCCGCTCCGAGACTCGTCCCACTACAAAAGCCCGCCTGCTCTCTTCTACGTTCTCTTCCACAAATTCTGCACACAACTGCCAGAATGCGTGCATGGTTTCCTGCAGGAACCCTGAGGAAGTTAGTAAAAGTTCACCCCGAGCTCATCGTTATTAGAGAGAGAAAAGTCTGGAATGGTAACGTTGACCCCGTGAGAGCCATCTCATCCACATTATCTGAAGCCGGGTACGGGCTTCAGTCACTTTTGCTAACACGTCTTCTTCCACTCTTTTAAAATAGCTTCTTCAGTCTTTTCGATACCTCGGCTCACAAGCGTTAAGAATTAGGGTGGAGACGTTGACGGACGCTTACGACCCTGGTCTCATGAGGTGTCGTTGCGCTGACGAGCATTATGTATCGGCACCTCAACGCTCAATCTCAATCCCCGGCTGGCAGAGCCGCTTAGGGGATTGACGGAACTGCGACAATCCACGCACCCCAGTAGCGCCGGTGGGTGGTGAGCAACGGTGTCCTCCGGGATCGCTCATCTCAAACGGCAGAAGCAGGCTGTCTCAGCAATGGACTTTGGTCCAGCTTTTGAGAGAGTGGATAGTCGAAGATGCGGGAACGTGAGCCCGGTTACCACAACGAAGGTCTCGAGACCTAAGGTAGAGGCTTATTGGGGCCTTTACTGACAATCGAACGGTGGAACCAACACCCTCCCTTTTTTCGTTGACATCGCTGCTTTACGCAGTCTGTTGAAGAAGATACAGTAGGTTAATGTCGAGACAATGAAGCAGAACTGAGGAACGCGCTTTTCACTATGAACATATGCTGTCCCAGCAATCACCGAAGTGTGAGAGTTGCGATGATGTCGGCAGCTCTTTCTCCAACTTGGCCGCTACGCCACCTACTAACCGCATTCGGCGTAGCATCGCGCGTCTCCATATGCCCAGCCCAGCACTGGAGGATACCGTGAGCATCAAGCACCTGGAACGCGCCTCATAATCTCTCTCTTACTCGGACATAGCCACAATGTCGGAAAAAGGGCCCGTTAGCCAACAAGTACGGAACCGAAAACCACGTACACAGGATCAGGGCCCGCCAGTGCCACCAAAGACTTCCAGTACCGGAAACACCATCCGATCCATCAAACGCGTCGCAGCACCAAAGCCCCTCAGCTTACAAAGTCACTCCAAACCACTCCCATCAGTGCCTCTATTACCGGTAGCCAATTCAGTCACGAAAGAACAACAAACAAAACCGCTCCCGGCACCACCAAAGAGCGCCACACTGCGATTGACTTTGCTCTGGGTGGTAGCCTTTTGTGTGTGGTTTTTACTAATCGTGGTACTGCTACCTGTAATCACAGAGAAAGATGCAATGCCTGGGTTCAACAAGTGGCTTCGTAGATTGCTATGATTGAAGCTGCTTCTATAGCCTCCTCAAGAGGGTCTACAGCTTCGACTCCGCCTTCGTGGCGTCCACCAAACTCTTCCTCCCACCAAAACCAAACAAATACGCAGCAACCTTCCGCATCTGAATCTCCTCACTACCCTCAGTGATCCTATACCGGCGATGGTGTCTCCAGATATGCTCAAACGGATAGTGTCGCGAGTATCCATTGCCACCATGGACCTGGATCGCCCGGTCTGCCGCCTGCGTACACAGCCTGTTTGCGTAGTAATTGCACATGGACACCTTATCGCCAATCTTCTTCTCAATCTCATTGTGTGGCATAGAGTCCATCTCCAGCGCAGTCTTACGTATCAGCTGTCGCAGCATCTCGCATTGCGTCGCAAGTTCGACGAGCGGGAACTGAATGCCTTGGTTGTGCGAGAGAGGGGTTCCGAAGGGCGCGCGTTCGTTGGCGTATTCGACGGATTGTTGGACGCAGTAGACGGCAGCGCCGAGCGAGGATGCTGCTTGGCGGATGCGGTTCTCGTGGACGAAAGCTTGCGCGACACCGAGGCCGTTGTGGATGGGACCCAATGCGGCGGTCTCGGGTACCCAGACGTCTTTGATTGAGACGGTGGCGTGGTCAGTGGGCATGTTCAGTGTCCTAGGCGTTATTAGCAAACAAAATCCAGCGCTGTGGGACAACGACGTACCACTCATACGACTCTGCCTTGAGACCTGGCGTCTCTACCGGTACAACAAAGCACGAGATACCCTTTATCTCGCCATCCTTTCCAGACGTCCTCGCAAAGACCGAGCAGTGTGTAGCGTGGTGCATGCCAGTCTGCCACCGTTTGTATCCGTTCAGCAGCCAACCTTTCACGCCGTCCCTTGTCTCCGGCCGCCCCTTTGTCGCCATGTGTGTCGCATCCGAGCCATGACCGGGCTCCGTCAAGCCGAACGTCATCCTGAACTTGCCCTGCAGCCGCAGCGGTATGAACTCCTTCTTCTGCTGCTCGTTGCCAAAGTTCATGAGCATGATAACATCAGGAAAGTTGCCAACCATTGAATGCTCCGTCTGCAAGTCGTTGAACAAGCCCAGCCCTTTCGCGGCGAGATGCTCTCGGATGACAGCCATCCAGAGATTGCTCCCTCGTCCGTCGGCACTGTTCTGTCCACCGTATTGCTTTGGCAGCGACAGTCTGTAAAATCCGGCTTCATCAGCCAGTCGCCTCGACTCTGCCAGCAGCTCCTCCCATTCCTTGCGCGGCAGGCCCCCATTGTCCCAATCGGTTCGAGCGTGCTCGCGGCGGTGGTCGAAGAAGCGGTTGTTGTCGTCTTTGTGTTGGAGCGGAGTGATCTTCTCGTCGATGAATTTGTCAAGATCGGCGAGGTATTGTTTCAGATCATCGGGGATCGAGAAGTTCATCGTGTGCGACAGCGACATCGTGGAGGTCTCTCGATGGATGCAATTTGTTAAGGTTGGGATTGATGGCACCGGCGCTCTATCAGCGTTCTGGATATTTGTCGAGTGCGGTCGTCAAGCCAGAAGCTTGCGGTATAAGGGCAAGCTTCGGGACGCGCATCTTGATGACTCGCTTGCTCTCAGTCGTGGAGTTGCTGTTCCAGAGAGCTGCTTTGCGGGGAAAGAAGCACAGGCCAAGCGGAGTTGACCTCGGCCTTAGCAGGCGCGCCTTAACCCTACGCTCAACACGCCAGTAACGCGCACGACAGTCATAGTCAATAACACTATGACCAGTTGCAAGGGTCGCGTTGCCAGACCAGAGTACTGTCCCACTCTCACTGTCTGCCAACTGCCGTCTCCCAATCCGCCGTGATGACCTGGCACCACGATGACCCTTAAACCAGGAGGGCGCGGATTGCGTTCTATCAGAGACGCCAGATGTCCAACCCGCCATGGCCTTCGTGCGATGCACAGCACTATTAACAAGCCGAGGACGAAGTTTGCAAAGCTGGAACGTCCACAGTTCGCATAATCTGGCACGCCATAGCAAAGTTTTGGAGACGAAGAAATTGCTTCATCTTGAGCTACATCCAGTGCTGATTCTATGTCTACCCACATACGATGCCTTTTGTTGTGTATGTATCGCAAACGAAACTGCATCAAACACCTTCTTGGTACATTATGCTGCTACATTCCATCCACGGTTCAGCACAGGTATTCTCCCCTTATCGCACTTTCGCTACCATCGTATGGGCTTTGATGATAGCTCGTACGCATATAAACCGACTGTTACTAAATCAACTTTTTCTTTCATATTCTACACTGTCATCTAGTCTGCCATAAATTCTCGCCTTCCCGCTGTGTCCGAACCAATGGATCCAGTTGTGAGCCCCTAATCACCAGTCAAGTCATCTACCAGAAATGCCGGCTCGGAACACGATGCCAAAGACACTGACACTGCAAAAACATAATCTTTTACGAGATCATCGAGGTACAATCGAGTGCATGGCAAGCAGCATTCTGCGAGAGTGCAAGCTCTATGTTAACGGCTTCCCAAGTAGGGACAGTATGTCCAGCAACTACACGTTTCATCGGAGTATTAGGGGATTTATCATTGGGAAGGTCCTGCCAACAGAAGAGAATCTTGACGCCAATCACGGCATGATCAGCTATCGCAAAAACTTAGAAAGGCTAGCGACACACCTGCTAGACGCCACCAACAACCCTCAGCCCAAAGGGTTGGACATTCTCGACTTTGACAACGTCGCTTTCGAGAAGCGTATGTCGGCGGTGACTGAGTTCAAGTACATTGTTGCCTGGTAGGATCTCAACACCGGATTGCTACCTCGCCCTGTTGAAGATAAGCAGGAACCACAAGGCCTCCCGTGGCAAAAGCCAAATTGGTACATTGCTGCGGCCATAGCGCTTGATACATCTGTTAAGACTAAAGCTGATATTCAAGGTGCTGTGGACCGTATGAGGATTCGCAAGTTTCTACCGCTATGCTCCTCTAGAAGTTTTATTAACATCAACACGCAGACTACGTGGACTATTGCCAGGATTTCCAGACACTGCTCCACTACGATGGTGAGCCGACGTGCAAAGAAGAATCTCAGAAATAAGGAATCTACCTAAAAAAGGTATCATCTCTCAGCGCGGGGAGCTAAGAAGGCGGAAGCAGCAGGAAATATACAGTAGTGCATACATGACACAACCTGGAGATACCAACAAGTGCAGTTTATCTGCAGTTTAATCCCAGGAAACTCGCTTTGAACGTACTCTCGGGATAGCATACCAAGGAAATAATACCACACAAGATGTCGTATACGTCTAGGCTAAGATTTCGACTCAACCAACAACGAATTTACTCATCTCGTACACTCCTACTACCTCGCGCATCACACTCAAACCTTCCGAAACCCCCTATACCACCGCCTCTTCACACCATTCTGCTCCGTTACAAGTTCATCATCCGCCCGAATCTGTTCGTAATCATCCGAAGAAACCGTTGCAAACGATTCAGCTGACGAGTTCTCCTGCGACGTTCCCACACCTGCGCTGCCTCTCCCAGTACCTTCATCCGTCGCGTTGATAACTTTTAAGAGCTCCGCCTCCGCCTCCGCCTCAAGCACAGTCCGGTCGCCTGACTCCTTCGGCTTTGGCTTAGATTCATCTCCATCCTCCGACCCATCTTTCCCCTTTCCAATCTTCCCCACATTCAACCCTACAGGCACGGCACTCATCCGCTGGAAACTCATCTTCTTCGGCGACGGAGGCGGCAGATCCTGAAACGGCCTCAGACCCGCTATCGCCTTTGTCAACTTCTCAATCTCATCTTCCTGCGCATTATTATCGCTACTATACACACTGCTATCCGCATCCTCCTCCTCCTCCTTCGCCCCAACAACCGGATCATCCAACATACAAAGCCCCTCCCGCTCATTCAGCCCTGTCACCTTCATAACCGGAATGAACTCAGAAGCATGACGTTTCTCTTCTCGCGACGTGACTCTAGGGAGACGCTGGCTTTCTGAGTCGCTTATCCTTTTGACTAGTTCCCGGGGGATATGTTGTTCGCTGTCATCAGTAGGCTTGTCTGCAGAGATGTCACCTTCGAGTTCCGCGAGCGCTTTTGCTTGTTCTTCCGTGCGGAGTACGAGGACAAGGTCGAGGGTGGGTGTGCGGTCGACACTTCGTCGCTTGTCTGAGGTGGTAAGCGGAGACGGGGCTTCGTCGATTGCGGAAAGAGGTTTGCTGTGTTGAGTCTCTGCCTTTTTCCTGAAAGAAGCTGTCCTAGACTTTGGAAACTTCGGCGATGTTGGGTTCTCTATATTGAATCTCGGCAAAGCCGGGGTTTTGGTAGGGACTGACGCGCTGTTCCTCTTCACTAACATCTCTGGCTCATGTTCAGTCAGCGGCGGCAACGGATGCTCCACTTTCGTCTTTTCACGCTTTTCTGTCGCTAGCTTGATGGCATCGGTTGTGTCCTGACGCAGCTTTTGATTTACGTCCTTCGTTCCGAGGAGGATGTATTTAGTGTGACTTCTCAAATCGACATGGTTTCGCGGGTCTGCAGCGTCAAAGTACGGCGTGAAATCTCTCCTATTAGTCTTTTTCCCTTTGTCAACAGTCCTAGATTCGTTCTTCGGTGGCTTGGATGTCGTCTGAGTCGCTCGATTTTGTGTATATGGTCCACCGCCGACGATTTCTGCGAATGGATGATGCCATTGTTGTTGACCATGAGTTTGGAGATCAGAATTCTGATTCTGCTGTTGCCAGTCATGTGTAACTTCAGTGCCAACACCAAAGCTATTCGCGTATGCTCGATCTAGATTTCGGGGTGTTGCATTGGAGATCTCGTGGATTGTACCGCTTGAGTCGTCCCAGTATGACATAGTCTGCGCATCGTATTGGAATGGATCGCTGTTCCGCTGCGGGTTCTGAGTCGGCGCATGTTGACTTTGAGGCTGAGTAGTTTGCGGGGCAGAATTTGGATCACTCGATGCTAGATTGTGGCCTCTTCGGTGTGGGTGTCGGTTTCTTGGTCCGCGTGGCGGGTTCCAGTTTGGGTCTGGCTGTGTCATTTTGGAGGTTGGGAGTTAGCTAGTGCGTGGGAGTTGAGCTGAGCAGATGAAGTAGTTTCACAATGTAAGAGGACTTAGTCTTTTGACGTGTAGAAGGTGGTTCGCAAAGTATGGAGTACGAAAAAGGAACGAGATTCCTGGGGAGGTGGCGGCTAGACGTGTATAGCGTACGTGAGTATTGTGTGAGTGAATGAATGCGGGTGTTGTGCGCTGTGTTGGCCGCCTGTTGCTCTGGTGATTCAAGCACTGATGAAAGATTGTAGTCAAAAGCCCGCGCAGGTCTTAAAGTTAGAACACGTAACAGAAAAAGGTCGGAAGCCAACGCCCTGGTAAGCCATGACGAAAGACTCCAATAGTATCAATGTAGGGTTGAGCTGCCCTTCAAATCATCCACGCCAGTCAAATATTCAGTCTGATAGCCAATACTCGTCACAGCTGGGTATTGACATTTTGTGTTGAATCGAAAAGACCTATACACCTTCAGCTGCCCTCAATTTGGTACCCTGCCATTGAAGTTCGTCGGAATGTCTCGGTTCACCTCTTCAAAGTCTTCAGTCAACTCATCCTCATACTGTACCATTCCAAAGCTCTCACCTAAACCTCGTTCTTCGTTATGCAATGTCTTCAGCCTTGCGCGTGATGCGTACGGAGATGTCGACTCGTCAGTGCTCCCGTTCTGCGTCTCCTTGGTATCCATGGCTTGTTCATCACTGCGTGAGTAAGCAAATACCTGGCCGAATTTATCGATACCTTGAAGAGGCTTATGTTGCCTATGAGCTTCACTCTCGCCGCTGTTCCGTGATGATAGCACGGAGTTGAGACCGAAAGTGATGTCTTCCATGTCCCCGATCCTAGGTTGACGTCTTTTTGATCCATCTCGCACAAGTGTGTCGTATGTGCCAAGCCGAACTCCAGATTTCTGTGATCGGCGTGACATATCTTCAGCAGTAGGCTGGGGAACTACTGGCTCATTTGGTCGCAATTCTTGTGTGCCGTAGTATGTCCTCGTGCGAAGGCTGTGCCGATCTATTGGAGTTTGCGCTACATCGGGCGCTACAGCGCTTGAGTGAGGTACGGACGTTCCTAATTCAGATATGGATGAGAACATGGAGAGGCGAACGAGCTGCCTGTGACGGGCGCGAGCCTGAGCAGAAAGATGGCTGCGTTGGTTAGGAGGTGACTGATCTTGCGACATGTTGGGGAATTAGTAAAGCTACTGTATTGTTGAGTTAGATGAGATACGCGAAGTATTTGGCTGAAGATGTAGGCTCTCAAATAGATGAAGCGCGGTGTTGCTGACGGTCCTGCTACGGCGATGTTTTGGCAGAATTACACGACACAGCCAACTCAGACAAGGCGCTTTCGTGGCCATTCAATCGACATCGTCGTACGCGACAATTGCCATCGAAAGCGTGGCCTTCCAGTAAATCTGTCTTAATGCAAACGCCACCGACGTTGAATATTTGCCATGTTATCGCCATGTGCTGTTATGACTTCGCGGTCTGTGAATGCCTTCTTCAACGCAGCCGCCGATAAACAGGTGTGCGCCAGAACGTGCGATGGCGACCGATGTATGCGGTATACCTAGGTGATTACCGACAAATGGTAAGGGGCGAAAATGATTACTATACAGGAAGAAAGCTCATCCTTCAGTTGCCTCAAATGCGTGGGAAGGTGGAGACGTGCAAATTACAGGAGAGACGGGTGTTGTGGCGCGCGCCACGCCCGGGCAAACTGCGCGGGTCGACTTCGTCCGCGCCATCGTAGTACTTGCTTGCCACACTGCGCGACCCTTGGTGAGCCAATTTAAACATAATGGCGAAGTTTATCTTACACATTGTGCTCATGCATGTTTACTGGTTGCGTGGTGATGAACAGCCCTGGAGCTGGCCCGCGAAAATCACGTGGTACGCTAGCTACGCGAATCCAGCCCTATCTGATGTTTCATCCTTCTCACATCTCCACTGTTTCCACCAACAACTCCTTGTTCGCGACCCGACATATCCTTGCGCCACACCACAAGATCTTGCGAACGCTCGATCTGGCACTGAGAAGCGCGCTGATGGAAACGATGTCCGGCTTAGCGCACGCGTGGCAGGATAATTGAAACAAAACCGCTGTCAAACGGGCGCTAGCATCATGACACGCTTGACATTGGTTCATGCCATTACGCATTTGGCAAGATGACCGTTACGGGAAGGATCGTAACTGATATGGATACGAAGCAGGTGTATGCGGTTACAGAGCGGTAGGTATAATAGGACTTGGGCTGCTCATTATATCAATTATTGTCATTCGCTACACTCATTCTATCTATTACCTTTCTGATATCCCCTCATTTTCTCTCGCTGCATACTTTGAGCGGAATCTTCGGCTGGTCTGATTTAACGTTCTTTACCTTCTCGCACGTACTACAAGACTTTACCTTGTTTGACCCTCCTTTGCCAAGTTTACAACATGCGTTTCGAGTTTATCGCACTCCTGGCAGTGGCCGCCTCTTCTTCAGCTCAATCTGTTATCGGTACAGCTTACGGCTACGGTGCCGGTGCGACTGGTGGAGGAGATGCTGCTGCTGTCACTCCTACGTCAAACGAGGAACTGGAGAAGTACCTGTCCGACGATACCGAGCGCGTCATCCTTCTCACCCAGCAGTTCGACTTCACCGGTAAAACTGCATCCGGCGCTGGTTGCGATAAGAGCACTTGCTCAGCCAAGAGCGGCGGCGGACAGTACTACTTGGGCGACCTCTCCTGTGGTGGCTCGGATATGACCCCCGTCAGTTCCATCACCTACGACGCAGCCGGCACAACCGCTTTGAAAGTTGGATCGAACAAGTCCATCCTTGGTGTTGGTGGAAAGGGCGTGATCAAGGGCAAAGGTCTCTCCATCGCCAAGGATGCCAGTAACGTCATCATTCAAGGAGTCGAATTCACCACCATCAACCCCGGCATCGTTTGGGGAGGCGATGCTCTCGACATGCAGGGAGGAAACACAAAGATCTGGGTGGACCACTGCAAGTTCTCGCTTGTCGGTCGCATGTTCGTCGTCAGCCACTACGACGGCTCCGAGGCTACCCTTTCAAACAACGAATTCGATGGTGTAACTACCACCTCTGCTACCTGCAACGACAATCACTACTGGACAATGATGATGATTGGAAAGACCGAGAAGTTCACTCTCGACAAGAACTATTTCCATGACGTTTCCGGTCGCGCTCCCAAGCTTGGTCAGGATGGTGTCAACAGCTACTTCCACGCAGTCAACAACTACTTCGAGAACATGAAGGGCCATGCCTTTGATGCTTACACCGGAGTCAATGCGCTTGTTGAGGGTAACGCATTTGTCGCCGTTGACCAGCCCAACACCGAGCACGCTGCTGGTATTGCTACCTTCGTTAGTAAGGGCGGTGACGCCTGCTCATCCGTCTTCGGCCGCGCGTGTCTCGAGAACAGTGTCGACTCTTCCAGCGGCGAGCTCTCCCCAGGCTCATCGTCTGGCTTCATTGCTAAGCTTGGAAAGATTGACATCCCTGAGCCAATGGAAGCCAGTAAGGTCGCCGCTTACGTCAAGGCCAACGCTGGTCCGGCAAACCTTCGTACTTCGTCTTCGTCTGTTCCTGCTGCGGAAAAGGTTGTTGATTCCGATGCCGCTGCCAGCGTCACCAAGCCTGTCGTATCCAAGCCTACGTCAACTAGTAGTGTCATCAAGCCCAAGCCGGTGGCTACAACTACCGCTGCTGCTGCGCCAGCACCTGCTGCTCCTACCGGGTCTAACTCTTCTGCAGGCGCTGCCAAGCTCTACGCTCAGTGTGGTGGTCAAGGTTTCACTGGTCCTACCAAGTGCGAGTCTCCTGCCACATGTGTGAAAAGCAATGAGTGGTACTCGCAGTGCATCAACAGCTCTTCCAAGTTCCGTCGCGCCCTCGGACGCTACTTTTAAGCGTTGGATTTTCCGACAATGCGGAAGACATATTGGTAAGAAGACTATGTCTGGAAGACTATGTCTGGAAGACTATATCGGGGTCTGGAGATTACTGTTCTTGTGTAAATATTTCTATTACAATTTCTTCGGTGTACATGCCGCATCATATACATCTGTTCAATCATATGCCAAAACGGTAGTATATTCAAATAATTGGTTATTCTCAATCATCGCGCAGCTCGTTGCGCTATTGTCATCGGAAGTCAGACACCGTATACTCCTACGGATGACGACCGTTGCTTTCTTCCGAGCGATCGCCCCTAATGCAGACCTTCAACGCCACGCTATGCAATGTGTACGAAGGACAAACTACAACCCACTTCAGAGCGAGCCAATATGCCTCCAATCATGCTGCGCTACTAAACATAGACGAACGACCCGTTATTTATGGAGGCATGACTATTCTCCTCCTGGTTCCGGTCCCATGGAAGCTTCACGGTCGAAGTCGCTTCCGTTGTCGTGCATGTGACTGCTATCGTCCTGCGGCAGCCCGTTTTGTCTGTCATTAGGGCTTCTCGACACTTTCATCTGGATCGAGGCTGCTTTGCGTGTCGCCGCTCTCTGCTTTCGTATCTTCCGCCACGATTCGCAAGACTGCGAACTTGCGTACCATGCTTTCTGGACTAGCCGGTAGCTGTGGCCCCACAGTCGGTTCTGCTGTTGGCTGGTGTTCCTGGAAGCGCCTTGCAGCTGGCTTAAAGGATGTCTTCTTCAACTGCTTTCCACTTCCCTCCTGGCTATGGTCATTCTTATCGCTCATTCGTTTGATCCAGTTCGTGTTAAAGACTGGTCGGTGTTGTTCATTCACCTCCGGATTGCGCACGCGTGCTTCCAGCTCCGGATACTCGTTCAGCTTAGCCAGCATATCTTCATCAATCCCCGGTGCCTCTCGATCCTTGCTATCTGCCTCCGATTCGCGTAGCCGCTGCCCCACAACCTTGATCGCTGCGTAGGTGTACCGGCTATTTTTGCCGAGGCAGTTCCAGAGCGTCTCCAACTCTACAGCAAAGATTGGTCGAGCAAGATGGCACTCGGCGATGTAATGATCTACCCTTAATGCATCTTTGTGGAGATCGAAGAGCTCCATCGTGCGAGCCAATGAGCAGGCGACAAACGTGTTCTTTGGGACGCGAATCTGCTTCATCAAGCTCATGGTCTGGTAGTTGCATGCCCGCAGCATCCAAGCTACGAGAGCTTTCATAGCAGCCTTGCTAGCTACTCCGCGAGGTAGATTCATCTCTTGACAGACTGGTGCGCCCTTCCAATTCACATCGTCCTCGCGGTGCGTTGTGCGGATGAACTTGTTGACCACCTTACGACCCAGGAACAGCACAAGCATCTTCTTTGGGACCTGATAAGCGAGCGTGACTCCCGTATCCTGTTCTACGATGTCCAATACCGGTCCGTTGAGCGCGTTCATTTTTCGCTCAGGCTGAAGATGAGGCAGCAAACTCTGCAGGGTGTGTAGGTGGCGTATATCCTCAGGATCCGGATACAGGCGCTCCATACCTGAATACGTCGCCCAACCTACCCAGCCGAGTGTACTGAACGCCTCGACTGGAGAGGTATCATACCCTGACAGTTCATCTCCATCGCCCGGCCGGTAGCTTTGGTTAGCCATTTGGCCATCTATGCTGCCGTTGAAAGGTTTTGCTAGCGGGGAATGAGTAGGACTATAACTATGCTGTGCTTCTGAGGTACCATGTGCGGGGTAGCCTATGTCACGATGTGCAAGATAGGCTCCAACGACGTCTCCTTTCCGCTCGTATGCTTCCGCATCCGGGTGACCAGGCGTAAAGATCGCAGCCTTGGGATGCAGCTTTGATGCAGTGACGGTACCTTTCGAGTCATAATGATAATACGTCGTCATTTTGGGTGATGCTGCTCCCTTTTGGTTTTGCGATGTGGGTGATGGCTGACTGTCGAAGCAGAGCGTCGAGATAGCGGAGTCGAACGAGCTTCTGCGGCTTGAAGCAAATTCGAATATTGAGTTCGCCACCGAACCAGTTGAACTGTCCTGATTGTGAGTGTGGTGGATACGAGAGGCGGGTTGTACGCCCGCTATGTAGTCTATAGCGAGAGAACACATAGCAGCGTGAAGCGACAGGGCTACTGTGGATTTTTAATGATTATTGACAATACGACGGCGGTGTTGCGAAACAGTGTTGTTGATAGAGGGACGTGGAGGGAAAGGGTGAAGGATAGTTGATGCTGCAGGTCGCTTGCGCCAAGGCCGCGCCTATACCTGATTCAGCTGTACTTACCGGAACTTAGGTGAAACACCGCGCCAAGACACTATCACGTGTAGTTTCCAGAGCTTACCTAGACGGACGGGTGGACACACATTCAACGCTCATGCATACTTTAGACCATCTGTGACTCACAAACCGTGAAGATCGTGACGTCAATGTAACGAAAGAAGGTCTCATTCAGTCGACATGCATCCAACATCGAACAATGACCCTTGACACGCATGTGGCTACAACATGGGTCCTTCAGAACCTCACAGCAGCACATTGCTAGACTTCACAAGTATCCTTGCGGGAGACATATATTTGGGAGATAGTTCCATTGATCGCTAGACCCTACCATCATGAGAAGCACAACACGCGCTTCCATGCGTCTCGTTTCCGACCCTTCCTCTCCATTGAGATATCATACCTGATGGATGTCACATATTTGCCGGAGAAGTATCCTTCTTCACGATCGCCCAGTCCATATTGCTGGCCTGTCAATGAGAACAACCCGCTCTTCTGCCAATCCGCTCGTCCGCGACGCCGCGCAGCGAACACGGATCTGCGAGCTGGTCCTCCGAGCCAATGGCCAGATGATTCGCGAGAGAAAGCCTCACCAGGCTCCATGTGAACCCCAGCTAGAGCCGAGAGTGCGGCGGATCGTTGTTTTCCATAATTTGGTGCGCATGGGTTATATTCTTCCAAGCGCAGCTCCGATGGAGTGTTCAGAAGCGACTTCGCACGTGGCCTAGGCGTCACCGGTGTAGAAATACCACGGGTAGCTTCTGAGCCGTGCGCGTCTCCTTGCAGGATGCATTCTTCAGGCTCAATGTCGCGATCCGATTCCCCTATCATTCCACCGGAATCAGATGATGATAATGGTGTCTTCGATATGGGCGCGATGCGTGTATGTTGTGGTGGGATGTCATCAGTACTAACCACGCGGAGGCGTCGACCAGAAGGCATCGTATGTCGAGCGATAGATTCTTCATCAGCCTTGTCTTCCGACCGATATCCACTGGTGTGCTCTTTTGCAGTAGCAGCACCATGTTCCGCGAGAACCTGCTGCATATATCTCCTAGGCTCGCCCAAAGTGGTGTCACGCCAGTTGGGCTGCTCTGGCTTTGCCTGAGCTGCGACTCGGCGACGGCGCTCTTCAGCTTCTTTCAGCGTCTCAAAGCGGTACGCAGCGGTATGACTGCTAATTTTATTTCGGCTAGGGCTCGGTTCGTTGTCTGAGTTCAGAGTGGCGATGTCTCTTGGAAGTGACACAGTTCATGATTCTTCGCAGGTTTGCGCACTCTCATGGCGAGTACACTGAATGTTAATTTTCGAATCCGACTCATTGGGGGTCCACACGTCCGCCAGATTAAAGTCCGACTTGTGCTCATCGTCGCTATACACAGACGACGAATCTGAACCGACGGAAAGGACCGTGTTCTGCCTAGATGGGTTCATCGCTGTCGATGCGAGGCACCACGATCTTGAACAACAAGCCGGTTACAGATGAAGCAGCGCAGCTACGGCTAATCAGACAAAGGAAAGTAGCCGATGGCGTAGAATTACATCCGTTTGCTTTGAGGTGGGTCGAAAATGTGGCAGCAAACGGTGTTGATTGTCGCATCGTTGTTTGTCGAGTGTCGAAAAGGATAACGATACTTTCAAGCGTGGCGGATTTGTATCGCGATGTCTGAGAGCATTTCCTAGGCTACCTCCGTGCGCTGATCTTTGTCAATGAAACAAGAGTATTTCTACTCCGACTCACGCGGCATCGCATTGAATATCTTCCCAACCTTTGTTCAGCCCGCGATATACCCAAGCAATTGCATGTGCAGGCTAGCTAAACAAACCTTCACCTCGTCACACATGACTCAAGCGGCCAACAACTCTACATAATACATCTTGGTGACTTGGCCTGCTTATCTTCACATCCGACATATACGATCCGAATCGCTACCATTTCGAGTCAATCCGGCAGCCGGGAAGCATGTCATCGAAGCACCCGAATATCAATCCAGCCACTTCATCAACAGCTCAGAAAGGGCAGAAGGCCAACGATTCCAGCGTTGGGGATCTGAGCGAGCGGCTTACAGACGTCAAGATCGGCATCAGTAAGAACGCTACCATGGAGGGTCTGACAAAGGATCTAGCTTCCAAATGGGAGCCGTACAGTGCTCATTCTTCGCAGCCGAAAGGTGATGGTCGTGCACAAGGCACCTCGTAACCAGCAGATGCGGCAGCGAAGTCTAGCCTTCTAGCAAAGACAACAGGAACAGCTGAAGCGTTTTGATGGAGTGTCATGTCGACTTTGGCTCAATACGGTCGTTCATGCTTGTATGAATGTTGCGACACATGGCCTGGTACAAGTGGTCGAACGCGTATGACAGTAAGCTTTGGGGCGTGGAGACGATGCCGTCGCGAAAGCGAGGATGATCCGAATGGTTCGATGAAAACATATGTAGTAGACCCAACGATGCAATGCTCAATAATGCGACACCTGTTCTGATGCTGGCAGCGAAGTCGTGCTATGGTGGGTGGTCATGGTGCAGCTGGAGGAAAGAGGGAGCGACGCTAGCGACACGCTAAATTACGTGATTACGTCACGCGTACCGCAGCTCCCCCGAGGCCGTCTTGAGCTACTCCATCCCAGAGGCCTTCGCTCTTCTTTTACTACTAAGACTTTCTATCAAATCCGCATGCCGTGTATCACGTTCAGAGCCATGGAAGACTTACTCTCGCGCCACGACGGCAAGCCCGGCACACAATGCGAGCCCATCGAGAACGCGTCAGAAACGCCTGCCAGTATCTAGCATAACGCATCCGGCGGTTCTAGTCGCGTTATGCTGATGGACACACAACTGCGAAAAAGAAGCAATGGTATGCAGGAGTCCGGCACGCTTCATCTTGAGGCAATGGCGCGCTCCGAAGTGCATTGCCCAGTTCTGCTAATGTGTGGACTGAAGGACCTATATCTGCATACGAAGGGTGATGGAATTTCACGACATTGACACTTTACGGTTTATTACACGAGACGCCGCATACAATCTATTCAAACACTCTTCCCGTGAAGGGTTCGACTATGCTACACCGATACAACTCATTTTATCTTGCTTCGGGGCAAGGCGCTCACCGTCTCCTGGAGCTTACTTGCTAAACCAGCCCTTCAACAATCCCTTCGTTCCGTTGATATCGTTACCTGCCTTTTCCGTCTCTGCTCGCTCCGGTGTCGAATGGCGGGATACGCGTTCCCAGTCATTTTCGTCGTCAGAATGTGGTGGAAAGTGGACAAAGCCGGTGGAACTCACCTCAACAGGTGCCATCCCATCGGTACTAGTGGTGTAAGACCCCTCACTTTTCTCGCCCTGAGACATGGGTCCCGATGATGTAGCCTTTCGACGAGACCCTGGCGTCTTCGGCTTGTGGCAACAAGGAGACTTGTTCGAGATTGTAGCGGGCTGTCTGACCTGCTCAGCAAGCATGTCCCGTTGCAGCTTTATCTCGAAGTCGTGCACCAGTCTTTCGATACGTTCGCGTGCGATCTCCTTGACCAGCTCGGAGTCTGGGGATAGGAAAGCTTCTTTGGCAAGCTAGAATTCGTCAGCAATGAAGTTTCTTCGTCTTTGGTATGAAGCCTACAATGTCTCGCCGAAGAGCCGCCATTCCAGATTTGAACTCTGCAGATTTGCAAACGTCGTTTAACATTTTCTTCTCCTTTGCGAGAGCTTTGGTGGCATGTCTGGACATGGCTGCGTCAACCATCTGGACGGCGTCTGCAACCATACGCTCGGCTTGCCCGACGTCTTCCTTTGTTATTAATGGACGAGATGGATCCCTGGGCTGACGGCTCGCATGTCTACGTTCTTCGTTCATCTTGGAGGTCGGCGCGATCGCTACACTAGAAGCGGTGGGCGAGTTGAAGTACAAGTAGGTTTCTTGGTTGATGTATACAATTTCGGTCTTGCTGGTGTGGGTTTTAATATTGAATACCTTACATGGAAGCTCATAGTGAAGTAGCAACTAGGCCATTCGCGACTCGGAAGCAGACACATAGTCACTGAGTTCACGAAGTTTGTATCTATCTTCATCCGGACCGGTAATGTAAGCGCTCGCATTCACTCCACTGTCCGCAACATGGTTCACTCCAAGAAGGAACAACAAAGAAATAGAGCACGAAGGAAGTGAACTGGTCTGAGTTTACTCCCTACTGCACACGATAAGGTTCCACTACCTCACATCGGCGGCGTACTTGCGACCGAAAGCACGTCGAAACCAACGGCGAACTTTGCCCCACTTCTTGGTCTTTCCATCATTTTTGCTCATACCTCGCGCCCAAATCGGCTTTGTGTTTTTGTTGACCACATTCTCTTCTCTCGTGCTTGACATGGGCTCCGCTCGAGGTATCGTGCGCTGGGTTTTCATATGCTGCGAGGGTGTTTGTAGATGAGGTCGAGCAGTTTGGGAGGCTATGTTACTCACTTGCAATGGCGATGGGCTGCATAGCATCAGGGTTTGGGGAATTGGCGGTCGTGAAGCCCCTGCTTTGGAGACAAATTGTGAGTCGCTGGCCTCTTTGGCGTCGTGATTTACTGTCATCGAGACAGCCTGCGGTACGACTTGGGAATCTTCCGCGTCAGTACGTTCGATGAGTCCCCACACCGGTACAGAGTCCAGGTTGTCGCTGAACCTCCACCTATCATTCTTGTGGCGCGGTGACGTGAAATCGTCACTGAAACGCCAGCCAATGGCTTGTGGAACGCCGCTGCTTCGGTGCCGCAGCATGCGAGGCCGGCCAGTCGTATTGCGTGACTGGACGCCCTCTATAACCACAATTCTATCTCTATTTCGCTTCGCATCGTCGCCAGATACCGAATCTTCATCACTAGAAGATTCCCCAAGAAAGGTGTACAGTTGTCTGTCATCAAGTGCTGGGAAGCTCGATCGCATCATTGTCAACCATTCAATTCGCAGTTCATCATACGCACAGCACAGCCTTCGAAGCTTTGTGCTGGAGTTACCAAACGAATAGCGCTGATGCTCGCGGCCAAACACGATGCCCTCATTCCGGAGAACTCTCTTTAAAGTACGTAGGTCAGACCATAGTTGTCTGTCTGCATCTCCGTGGTCGGGAGGCTCATAGTTTTCGATGAAGAGACTGTTCCACTGTTCTTCGTACATGGGGCCGAGACGTAGCATGGTCCGGAACTCCGAGGATGTGTATGGGTTACCGTAGGTGAGAAGCTCTCCATTGTCAGTAAATGTAGCATCCATCTGTTGCAAACGACCACGCAGGTGTAAGACATCTAGGAGTTCATCCAAGATCGTCTTACGCTGGGATGTATCGCACGTCTCGTGTGTTTGGTCGCAGATCTGTTGGGCGCCATATATACTCAAGAGATGCTCCATTCCCGTCACAGTGGCCTTTGCTGGACTTCCCGTGAGTAGGGCCAAGGCATCTTCGTGTGCTTGCATTTTGGGTTGTAAGGTTGGAAATTGTGGACGTTGGCTTTTGAAAGGTTGCATTGTAAAGATTGCTACAGTTGCGGTGCTAGGTGGTTTGGTGTGGTCGTTTGCAACAAAGGAGAGTTGATTGGGACTAAATGAGAGCCCAAGCGCGCGACCCTCCAGCATGAGTTTAATTCACCAGATGACACCGCCGCGAAATGACCTCCGAAAGGGTGGACTTGAACAACGATTTCACTCCCCACATGCATGTGCAGCTGCGCAAGGCGCAGAAACACCCTGAGCACGTGTGGTCTTCACGCTTGTACAATATAACAACAGCTACTCATCCTCTTCGCGCAGCTCACCCACTTCGCTGAAGGCACTTGTCTACCAGGACTACAGCGCCCTTCCACAGGTCAAGAGACCCATTCCGCCAATCGTGATCTCGCGTCTCGTTGCCCAGGTCTTGCTGTCCAAGATCATCACGATCTTGACATCTACCAACCCCTCTTGAAGCACCTCCCTTTATCTCAAGCTTACGCTATGTCTCAGTCCGACAAACCATTTGCTAGCGCCAAAAGTCATATACATGATATAGCTGGTCCCGTGTCATGCTCACCACTTCGGCGTCGTCGTGCACGATCACTGTCGAGCAGCCTACCTCCACGTGGTACTGTCGCATCGCTGGTTGATAACACCAATATGGCTAGCCCACCGACCGAAGTAGCCATGTCCATCGAAAGTGACTGCGATACACTGCCGTCTCAGGCAAAGACCTCATCACCCACGACAACTTCTCGCCCTCGCCCCGGTACACGCACGACTCATAGCTCACCGCTGAAGCACAAGTGCAAGATTGACGACTTCGTTCTTCCGCCGCCCCCACCGATCAGGTCCGCAAACGACGCTGCTCCGGACGCTATACTGGCTGCATCGAACCTTGTCACGTCTAATGACAAAGGCATTGTCCAGGACGAGGCCTTGAACGACGAACCCTTCAAAGTCTTAGGTGACTCAAAAACGGGTAGTACACCATTTCACCGTTGCCATCGACGGAACAAGACAAGTCTATCGCAGGTGGTCTCACGCAGTGACCCGCTGAAGGGAGCTGCATATGGTACGGAATCATTTCGCGTGACAGCAGGACAGTACAGCCACTGGACTCCAGGTCCTTATGGTACTTCCTCTCCAAATGACGACTTAGGTGTGGATGGCTTCAGCAATGTCACATCTTCCGAAGCCAGCGCTATCAAACGGGAGTTGGTTCCAGGCTCCAGCAGCCCTAGCTCAATCACGGCGTTAACCAACCCGAACGAGCCCAACAATCACACCCGGCCTCCGAAGACGACAGCGGGCGAAACCGAAGAAAAGAAGCGCACTCCGTCCATCTCCTCTTACAACTCTAGCTCCGCCGCATCTTCTCCGAAAATAGGAGGATCACCACCAGGAGCTGAGCTCGATCGGCCGCTTCGTCGTACTGAGAAGTTCAACTTCTATACTAGGCCTTCCTCACAATATGGATGTGCACTCACGCTCTTGGAGGTCGATACTGACGAGGCACACCAACTCTACCCACTTGAGACCTTTGCCCAAGCAATTGCGGAAGATGGCTGTCTCGTTCATGACTGGGCGTGTCCCTGGCCATCGGAGCAGCCTGTTAAGAAACTCCTCCGCTTTGCTTCCCGACCAGACTTCGCCCCCTCCGTGCACTACGAGTCAGAACCGGATAACTACCCTTCTTTGCAGAAACTCCTCGATATGGACGAGCATGATCCTGAGCCCCGAAAGAGACCGCTTAGTGTTGTTAATGTCCCCGATCAGACACAGGATGATGGGCTTACAACTCTCGCACCAGTTTCTTATTACCCGGATACTGGATCAGAGATGACGATCCTTCTCCCGCGAACGTACAATGCGACTTCTGACGACGATGAAATGACTTTTCCTCCACGCACATACAATGCGACTGGTAGCGATGGACTTATGTGTCTCCTCCCGCTGAAGTACGACGCAAATGCTGCCAACGCGCTGGAGAACGCGTCGTCGATCAAGCGGAAGCCGATACCGCGGCAGGCCAAAGACAGATCGCTTCGATTTCCTGCATTACCTCCCGACTCTTCAAACTGGGTGGTACACGATGGATACGAAGCTGACGAGAGCGTCTGGACGCAATCCTCTGGCTGTTTCTCGATGAACACGGAAGCCTCGGACCTTCGCTACAGCGATAGCTTCGTCAATCGTGACGCCGGCATAGAGCCAATCCACATCGAGAAGAGGCACAAGTGCAATGGCTCGAAGACCACACTTGATCAAACCGCGAACCCAGTCGGCAACTTCATCGAGTCGCACTCAAACGTAGATTCCATCAAGGAACCCGCATCTATTGGCACCATCAAACGTCGCACACTTCCATCCATTAGCGTTATTTTAGATCCTCCGTTCCCAACCAATACCGGTGTTCTGAACCTCGACTTCCAGTTCCCAGCTCGCAAGCCGCAACAGCGCGGTGCCAGCATGCCGGTCCTTCCTCCACCTTTAGCCAAACTCAGAGAAGAGAAGAAGCATATGCGACGCAGTTCGTTCGGCAAGTTGCTTGGTGCTTTCGGCAAGAAGGGCCAAGAGTCTGCGGCGGTAGAGGCGAAAGAGAAGCCAGAGAAGTCTCTCGGTCGGCGTATTAGTAAGAGGTTCTCGTCGATGTGGTTGAAGTAAAACAGGGATGTATGTATGCGCATCGTGGACAGATTGGGTTAGAAGCATGGTAGTGCGACGTGACCGGCACATTGGATAACACATCTGTCACGATTGTTTGACGATCCCTCGTTGGCAAGATCACCACAATATACGGTGACGGCGGCCAGATGCGCACGTAGCAGATGCAGTATCTATGATGCATAATCAACGGGGGCTCAGTAGAGCGTAAATGGAAATTAACACTTAAACCATCAGCTAGAACAATCTCAACGAAAGACTGCGAAGAGACAAATAAGAAGCATCATTATAATAGCTTCGTCAGCCACAACCTCGTAGCCCAGTCCAAAATGACCCCAAACCCGACAAGCTAGAGCATCCTCATTGCCTACTGGCAAACAATAACCCCATTATCGAGGTTCGTGGCGGCGAAGTTGGCATCATTACCACCAGGTCTGTAATCCCATTAGCCCTACCCATAATCCATCACGCAAGCCAACACTGTAGAAGCAGGCAAATAACTTACACAATAGTAGCGACCTTCTTCGTAGCCTGCGCATCACTAAAGATACTGCAGCTTCCACTTCCCGAACCTACAATCAACGCGCGGTTTGCGCGAATGGGAGAACCTAGATTACCGAAATTGGCACGGATGGAGGTGCGCATGCCTAAAGATTGGTGTTGGGAGTCAGCGAATGTCTCACATCAGTTCGTACACGGATATCTCCTACCATTTGCGGGAATTTCGCGCTGGACAGCCGTGTCGGTGGCGTCGTTGGAGAGTTGCACGCGGAGGGTGCGGGCTTGGCGGGTGGACATGTCGGTGGGGGCGGCGAGGGCGAAGGCCGCAAGGAAGGGGAGGAGGAGGGTGAGTTGCATTTTGGGCTGGTGGTGGCTGGACTGGTGGAAGGGTTTTGTGATGGGTTGGGTGTAGTGTGGGAGATGTAGAAGAGTGTGTTGACGGTGCTGTGGGTGAGAGGGTTAGGAAAGATGTAAAGTTGACTTTATATCTTCCTCACATACCGCTACTGTATATCCGTACACGGTGAGTTCTTGTTCCGTTCTTTTCTTAGACCTGCTATCTGGCTGTCTCTGCTCAGCCTACCTAGGCACTGTTGCTAACATTTCCATTCTTACTCATCAGTCCAAGTTGTCCAAGCACCAACGACATCACCCGCATCAATTCGCGCAACGCGCAACGCGCAACGCGCAATCCTACGTTTTCGTAAGAAACATCTGCTGTTGAGACTTGGTTAATAACTCGGTACTACATACATGATGACAAGCATGTCAAAGTGGGCAGATTTGGAACTCGGGATATTAATTTAGTCATTGTTTGCACTATTCCGGGACGGAACGCGTTAGTTGTTAGGCGGCTGATGTCAGACCGCAAGTGGCAGATGTGGGGTACATAGGGCTGGGCGCGTGAACATGAGAAGCCGAATCTTGGACTGTGTCTGGGATCCAGATCGCGTTGATGAGCCAAGTGATGTGCTCAGCATGTAGTACATGTACTGCCCTAGAATATGGCGCCATACTGCAAAGCTGCGTTGCCAGGGCGTGCATAGCGATGCAGCGGTGGGGTATATGCGGCCTTTGTGCGTGGCATGACCATGGTGACCAACAAACGATGTGGTACACTGTTTGCAGCATTAGGCCGCGTAACCGGCTTGGTGGCTGTATGTCAGTAACAGCTGCGAAATAGACTGCTTCCTTTGTCAGCGTTAGCCAAAAACAACTCTTCTTGCACCGGTAAACTGCTCACGGCAGGCACCATTGGAGCTGGTCTTGTTATCCCATGCACGTTGATAAGATTGAAGAAAATGAATGCTGATGTGAAATTATTCATTTGTATTGATACATCGTGAGCAAACACAGGTTTGTACACGTATACGGCCGTCGCAGTCTTAGCCAAGGTCGTCGCTATAATCATGCTCGCGTCGTGAAGATATCCGTTTATCTCCTGGGGAGGACATCCTTCGCACCGTCCTTTACCCGTTGTGCGGCATCGGCGACGGCGTCCCTGGTGAGGTGGAAATGCTGACCGAGACGGTCCTGCCAGTGTGTTAGCAACGTGTCCAAAGCAATGGATACAGCTTGAAGCTTACCTGCTCAGCTCCCATGCCGCTACCGGCCATCAGCTTCGCCCTCTGCTGACCATCGTATCCAAGGCCAAAGTACTTGGCGTTCTTCTCCCCGTTGGCGGCTACGCTTCCCGCAGCTTGTATCGCCTTCGCGGCATCAATGCTGTGCAGCGCAGGGCTGAAGTGTGCGTTGTATCGGTCTTGTTCGGCGCCATCGCCCTTGTACTTGGCAGCTGACTTCATGGCGTTGTAGCCACGGTCACCGATGCTCATGTGGTCGCCGTAGCGGTCCTGCTCAGCACCCTCGCCCTTGGCCAAGGCAGCTTGTTGCAGCTTGTTGAGGCCCTTGTCCACACCGCGGCGGATGGCATCTGTCGAGGCGCCGAAGTGCTCGCCAAAGCGATCTTGCTCAGCTGCGGAGCCGTGCTTTGTGGTGACATCGAGGTTGACGGGGTGAGTCGCGAGAGAGGACTTCTCATCGGAGCTGAACCAACCCATTGTGATTGATTTGAGGTTGTTTATGGTGGGTGAAGAGGGGTTGAACTAAAGTTGAAAGTGTTGGAATTGAGTTTGCAATCGCTGTGTGATGGTGTAAAGTGGAAGAAAAGATGTCGTGTTATGTTGCTGGGTTGCGGAGGATGATGACGTAGGGGCTAGCGAACTGCGCTAGAATCCTTGTCTTGTGCCTGATCGTCATGTGAAGACGTCGCCTCGGCCCACTAATCATCATTGCAATGTCAAGTTTGCGGTTCCTTCATGCTCCTGTTTGCTTTTGCCATGTCCGGCTCTCCGCGTTATGCATTTTATCCCAGAGGCATTCCTGCTATTCTCTTCCGGTAGCGCTGCGACTTTGATCCATGACCCATGATAAACCGTTCATCCAATCCTTCACCTTATGCACTCGTAGCTTTAGGGGATGTGCACCTACGTGAAGAGTCGCAGACCGCGCCAAGGCAATGTTTCTGCAGATGTTAAGGTCGTGGACGAGAAAAACGCGGGCCTCGAGGGGTGTTTGCCCCACTAGGAGCTATGCAAGGCCTGATTGGCTATTCAATAACGCGCACCACAGACGTTCTTCCGTCATCCTTCCCATCCACCTTACTTCTGTCTACGTGGCTCACAACACTCTCATGCCGTTCGCACGTACAGTCGGTATTTGAATATTATTTCATGCTTTTTATAGTCATCTTCAGTTGCCTTCTTACTCTATACCTTTGGCACCTTCACCTGTGACCATTTCGGACGCAGCAGTCTTGCCAAAAATCGCTTGTTTTGTTCCGCGTGCTTTGCGATCCACGTTGTCAACGCGCTTAGAACTTTACGTTGATAAAAAGAGCTGAGAGACATAATTGATCTCTCCCCCTGTCTTCCGCAATAGTAGAAGAGCTGGGATCTGCGAAGCCCGTGCGCGCGAAATGCGCCGTTGCGAGCATCAGACCAATACCGCTTCCTGAACTTCTGATATCCTAGGCCACGCGAGAGCAGACCGCTCTCTTGCAAGGACATATCTAGGACCATTAACGGATGCTGTTCAGCTTGTTCAGACGTGTTGAGATGCCTGCGCCATCACGTCCGCTTGTGGCAGCGAAGAACCTACAGCGCAGAAAGAGGTAGATATTGGCCGAAGTCAATCTCTGGGAACTACAGCACCTAGAGAAGCTCTCATTAGACAGTATTTCTACGCTGTATTGCAATACTAACAGCCTACGGACTCTCCTTTCGTATCCCGCATTGCGCCCGCGCGCCCGCATCAGCCTTCCGCATTACAACTTTTCACTTCTCAAAAAAAAAAACAGCAAAAAGAACCCTCCCATCCCTCCTCTACCCAGCCTCGAACGATTGTCCTCGAACAGCAAAAGGATACCATGGAACCTTGTATTCTATCCAGGTACGAAACTTGCTTCTTTTATGGCAGTTTATCACGACTAGCTTGATGTTTCTTCTGAATGGCTTCTTGTTCGATTCTGGTTTGTGGCCTTGAGCTCAGCTCTTACAGGTTGGCATGCTCACACAGAGCGGAACGGCTTTCAGGCGTCATCACGGATGGAAGCAGCATTGCTGAAATTCTTGCAGCAGCATGGAAACGACTTATCCAATCTTCGTAAGAGGATCATCGCAGACTCGACAAGCTGGACACAACCGTTGGTTGAGGCTTTGTCTCAGGCTCTTCATGGGTACATCTCCAACTATAATGTTAGTGGACTCATCTCAGATCATACATGAGCCAGAGAGTGTGACGCGAGAAATGACGAACGAGGAGAAAGCGAACCGCCCTAACGTGACTCTGGACCTAGCTCAGAGAAAGCAACAACATAAAGGCCCTGGCATGGATATGGTGGTAGAGGAGTTTCAGTCTCTTTAGTCGGCGAGATACAACCAGAGTGTGTGGCTATGGCCGGTGACCAATTGATGTGAGTTACACATTCATCTCTCGATCCGAATCAAACATTAGCTTTCGCCCTTCACATGTCTAGTTTTGAGTCGCTTCGCTTGCGCTTTGGCACCAGAGGCGGCAACAACACGTGTCGTATTTCTGAGGATTGCTACATACACAATATTATATCTTAGTAAGTAGATAGGTTCTAAGATAGCGTGTATTCCTGGCTACAAAGGATCCATAGTCTTTTTCAGAGTCCGACGCGAATTATTACCGCCTTTAGCGCATCTGGAAGCTTCCAAAGGCGCGGCACTCACCTTCACCTGGTTATTAGCGTGGGACCGAAACGTATAGTGGCCGGCTTCACCTGAATATCCCGCTGCGCTCACTCCACTCTCGAAGAGGACAACCCAGCCCAACATAGCCCAATCCATGGCGCCAGAAGTACAAGCGGCCTGCGTCGTTTGCGGTGAGCCGGCCAACAACAAATGCAGCGCCTGCAAGTCAGATACCACGTCCCGTCAATACTGCTCCAAGGTCTGCCAGGTAAAATCTCCCATAGACGAGCTGCGTGTGAGATATACACTGACTTTGTATATGCTCAATTTAGGTGAAGGATTGGTCGGCTCACAAGAAAGCATGCAAAGACGCCCAGAACACCAACTTTGAGAAGAAGCTTGCGCGCGTAGCCGAGATCGTCCAGCAGGCCTACTACAAATTCCGCGAAAACACTTGGGACACGCCTGTCATCAAAATCGATGACCGAGATGACGCGTTGCTCATCTATGACGATGTCATGCTCAACAAGAAGAAGTATTCCATCGACTTTCCGCACCATCTTGGTACAAACGACCGGTCTAAGAAGGCGATTCTTTGCGCATGGGCGTGTAATGAACCAATGGCTTGGCTACATGATACACTTGTTGGTCTCCTTGAAGGTAATGCAAGTTTCCAGTCTATCTTGGGTTCTCATGCTGATCTCATTATTTCAGGATTGAACATCAAGGTCGAGGAAGTCGCCGTCAGCCTAGGTGCAGTCTCCCGCAAGATCACCTTCCACGACCCGTTTGGCAACAGTGACAGCAACTGGCCCAAGTTCTACCACGACGTAGTCCGCATTACCGCAAACAAGACCAAAATGCAATGGATCATGGACCTCAGCGGTGCGCAGTATGGGATTCATTGAGCTTTCTGGCGTTGGAAGGAATACGAGCACGAGCACTTGGCGAAGACAAAGGACGTACAGGCCACCGGCACGAATAAAGCTCGATTGAAGATTCTTGCAAAGATTCCCGGCAACCCATCTCTGAACTACGGGCTAGTAGGACTTGTAGCAGACCACCTTGAAGAAATGGTGCGGAAATGGAACACGGATAATGGCTTATCTCTGGCGGTTCTTCTTGACCTTAGCAAGGAGACGTATAAGCAAGCTATTTCGAAGCTGCTTCAAGCTACGGACGTCGCTGTCCGCGTCTACATCAACACACATGACTTCAAAGCGGAGTTCAAGGCCGCTCAGTCTTACGAGCGAAGGCATCCAGGTGCCAGCGGCAAGATGGCCTGCAAAGTCAGTGATTCATTCTTCCCTCAACCCGCCCCCGCGAGCAACTATATCCATATCGCGATATGAACTGCATCTCACGAGAGGCGGTCATTACCATGATCTTGGAGCGACGTCAGCGAGGTCGATTGTTCATACGGCCTGGCATTACAAGCATGATGAAGAGATGGATTGCACACGGTTTTGGAAATGTGGTACTTCATCCAAGTGGAGCAGAGTAACTTTAACTCTAAATATACGAGCCGGAAAAGACTATTTGAATAATACTTTCTGCTTTTACCAACCACTTCGTGACGCATATAATTTTGAATAGTACCAAGGGTAGCAGCAACTCGTGTCGCATTCTGGAGACAATTTTCAAGGTGGGCGTATACTTAACGTTAGGCACTGTCTAGTTGTGAAGATAGTTGAATGCCGAGAAGCTGATGTGAGCTGACATCAAGCCACCTCTCAGTATACACAAAGCCTACTGCGCGGTGCCGTCCTGAAAACAGTCCGACCTGCATCATGGAGCTTGCTGTCTTTATCCTCCAATTCATCACTATCTCTGTTCTCGTGCAGTACCCACAAACTAATCGAACGATATTGTCTCGAAGCTCCGGTTTAGACAAACCACCGGGTCTCATGTCGAACATGCAGCAGCGACATCATTTGCGACACACCTATTAGAGCGAGCCTGAATCTTACGTTGGCGCCGCGCCTTGGTGGCCATTGCCTTGATTTGGTAAGCTTTATCGTCTACAATATCGGAAAGCAGGTATGTGTTCATATCCTCACCACCAACGCTAGGGCTACCCGCACCCATTACTGCGCTAATTTCTTCACTTTCCAGAAAGATGTCATTGACTGTCGTCATCGCATAGATGCAGGATGTCACGACGTGTCGTCAGTTCACCGCAATGAACTCGGAAGGAAAGAGACAGCGTTCCAGTATCAGGCGCCATAGCCTCAAGTATAACCAAGAAAGGTTTTTTGAGTGTTTGCGCAGTGGCGGGTATGTCGTCTCAAACGTATGCATGAAGTTAGGAATGGTATATCTTGCGCTGGTGTCAATGAGCAGTTTTGAAACCTCTAGGAGCAGCTGCTTCATACCTTTCATCGATGCACTGAAGCACATTAATAGCTGATGTAACATACCAGGCTGCTCTATGCCGACTCGGACAGCGCTCGGGTACAAAATCACGGTAGCAGGCTGTTCATATGTCGCGCTCACCCAGAGATGCTGATAATCAACGCAGGTAGTCAGTCCGTCCGTAATGCCGTTAATGGTGGTCTGAGAGAAGCCCATATCTTTTGCGACATCAACTACATCCTCGATAAGACTTTTCAAACGTCGATTATCGTTTATGCGGTAAGCAGCAATATCTTCGGGCACGCTAGGTACGAAAAAGTGCTTCGAGGACGTTATCACTGTGATGTCGCAACCACGAGCGCGCATCATTACCGGCACGTGAGATTGATAGAATGTCGGAAAGTTCGGCAAGATGATCTCAGTCAGTCTTGAACTACGATGCCTGATCTGGCCAGATTGAATCATCTTTTGATGTTCGCATAGAGTATACGCGAAAGGTGTATAGGTTGTGATTGGTGTCGTACAGTTCCGTCCGCACAAGGATACCTGCTTAGTGTGGATGATATGGCCACATGCTAGGCGATGCAAGTGTGATGAGCCGCCATAGCAAGGCTCATTGTGATCGTTGATGCTCATGCGGAGCGTTGTCAAGTCAGGACGCCGGTGATCTTTCTCTAGCGCCTTCTCGTGTTCTGCGGCTGCACGACGCAGTTCTTTACGAGACCTTGTATCTTTCATCGTGAAGACTGCGAAAGACGCCAGAGGAAAATCTCGTGAGCGAGTGAGGTGTGAAATGCGGGTTTGGTTTGGAACTACTTATAGTCGCGGTTTTACTCGGTGGTTCAACAGTGCTGATATGGTATGATGAGAAATCGCTTTACTCTCCTCTGTGGAAGTAACCCATCACATGCGTTGATGGTATTAACAACCGTAGCAGTTGCGCCAGCCTCCAACATAAACGAAATGCAAGGTCATGTTTTGTTCATTATGATGCAACTGTTCTTGAGACATTGTACAATTTACTCAATATCTACAAAGTCATGTAATCTTTCTCTATTTCGTCTAGTAGTGACCCTTCTTGGCCTTGATTCCCTTGAGGAAGCCGGCGTAGGCAGGCTTCTTCTCGTAGTTGTCGTCCCAGAGAAGGGCAGCACCCTCGTTCTCAAAGACACCAGGGATCCAAGAGTACTTGTCGGAGATACCCCAGACGGTCATACCAATGCATCGCTTGACAGCCATGCAAGACTTGGCAACACGCTCGAAAGCATCAGCTTGGACCTGGAGCTTCTCGGGAGTAGCGGGGGTGTTCATGCGGAGATCGATCTCGGTGTAGACAACGTCGACGCCAAGGTCGGCAGTCGCGCGGAGAGCAGCCTCGAGAGTAGCTTGGTCGGGAGCGGCACCAGGAGCAGTGGGGGTTGACTCGCTGGCAAGATGGGCCTGGTAGCCAACACCGTCGATGCGGACGCCGTAGGACTTGATGAGCTTGACGATACGCTGGGCGCCCTGGGTCTTCTCCGCGTTGTACTCGAGGTTGTAGTCGTTGTAGAAGAGCTCAGCCTTGCCACGGTACTTGTTGGCGAAGCGGAAAGCAATGGGAAGGAAGGCATCGCCGATGGTGTCGTACCAGACGCTGGAGCGGTAGGTACCGTTCTCGTTCAAAGCCTCGTTGACTACGTCCCAGCGGGTGCAAACGCTCTTGTAGCGGGTCATCACAGTCTTGATGTGGTCCTCCATGATGCCAATGAGGGTCTTGTTGTCGAATCCGCCCTCGGATACCCAGGCAGGCAGCTGAGAGTGCCAGACTAGGGTATGGCAGTGAACCTCAAGCTTGTTCGCCTTGGCGTATGCCGCATATCGATCGGCATCCGCGAAGGTGTAGTTGCCCTGGTTGGGGTGGACAGACTCAAACTTCATCGCGTTCTCGGGGGTGAAGGAGTTGAAGTCGGCCTTGATGATCTCGCCTTCGCGAGTCTCATTGCGGAGGGTCAGGGCTGTGCCGATGAATTCCCGTCCTGCCTTCTTCATGGACTTGTAGAGACTGTCTTGGTCCTTGGGCTTGCCATGGCCGTAGGTACTATCTCAATGTTAGCGAGTCATAATGGTGGCGAGAATGCAGGTAACATACGGGCTGGCAATAGCGGTGCTGGCAACCGCCAAGCTGGCGACGATGCTGGAGAAACGCATGGTGATTGAGACTCTGAGTGTTGACTGATTCGAGGTTGTCTGCCACGGATACCTTTAAAGACATGGCGAGTCTGCCATACTATATATTCTTCGACGGTTATTCTAGAAGTCTAGCGTATGCATGCTCAATCAATCTATCCGCTCTCGCGGTTCATCTTCACCCCAGTCGTTTTGTTTAACCGGGCTCGTGGCTCCTGTGCGAATTTGCCCTTCGCCGCTGTAAGTCCTTTGACCTGGCTGCATGGCGCCACCTGCTTGCGGGTTGCGGAGTTTCTCCAGACTAATCCACAAATCAACCGGCTTGGACCTCGGGATCATCGGGGTCTGGTCCTACTTCTGGGGTAGACGTTCTGGGCGCCGCCGGCCATTGCCTTAGCGAAATGCACATCCGGGGTAGACAAGCACGTGAGATGCAGGTCCCACTCATGTCGACAACGCAGGTGCAGATACGGCTGCGTTCATGGAGACTGGCCGGTTAATGTCAAGTAATCCTCAGCCTCAAGCATCCACTCCATCCATCCGAGGGTCTGATGCACTTGTTGGTGGTGGTGGTATTGATGGTAGAAGAGATGGCAGGAAATGAGGGGAAAATGCCTGGTTGCTGGGTTTGGCCGCTCAGGGTCCGCGCTCACGGTTGATTGACGCGACCCACAACACTGTCAACTGCGATCAACATGCACATCAATATATCGCGCATTCTGTCTACGTCAATCCAACATCTTATTTATTACAATGCTTCGTTTCCTCGCGTCTTGTCTATCACTGCATTCTCTGTCCCCCAACCTTACACTTCAGTTCTCCGGCAGATCTCATATAACTCGATGACGACAGGAGAAGCCGTGGAGATTTAGCCCACCCGTAAAGCCACGATCCACCTGGGCATCGTTTCCTGTTTTAGCGCGAATGTTTACTTTGTGCGCGTCCCGCCCCAATGACAAAGATCGCACTTTAGCCATTTTAACCGGCGCCGCATCAACTTCCTCAGATCGCATTCTGGGCGTCTTTCAGTAAAATGACACCGATGACATTGAGTTTGCCTCAGTAAAGGGAACTTGGTCGAGAGCCAGGTGCGGAAGAGCCCGTAGAAGTGGCAACCGGAGTTATGGGGCCGAAGTCATTCCCATGACTCGACGCGCGTCGCCGCTCCATCGTCGCACCAGCGGGCAGCATGTTCACGAGCACCATCCATCTGCCTTTCGAGGGGTTTGCTTCATTCCCAGTCAAGGACCCGCGTTGTACGATATGCAGAAAGCACACGATCGAATATCCCTTTTACTGAGGTCCATCCGGCCAGTATACTTTTTACGTCGAATGCCCATGACGCCTTCACGATACCCGTCATGAAAAGGGTTGGAATTTTATACGCAGAGAAGACGTCTGTTCGATGATCTGGACCGTATCTCCGTTTATCCTCACAGTCGTTCAAGACATCCGAATGCGACAAACCCTTTCGAATCCATGCGTCAGCAGATTGCTACAATCTATTACTACAAAAGCCAAGTCGTCCCCTACACCAACGACTCATATAATCGACGGATTGATATCGGATTGCACGGCATCCCCTGTGCTGGTAAACATTAAAGGTTCAGAGAGGTATTTGTCGAAATTCCATCGCTGCTTCGCATGCCTGAGCATGTCGAATGCACACTGTGAATGTAACTACGGGTCACACTGCTTTGAGGCTCTCTACATGGATTCTCTCACACGTTCAGCTCCAGTATCGACCTTTATGTACATTGATCACTTGAGTTAATCACTTCGCACCAGTAATCAATAGACAACGTTGTCACTAGGCTTCGTGACAAACATGAAGGACTTCAATATGAGGATTTGGTAAGTATCAATGTTGCTTTAATGAATGTCGACTTCTTTCTTCCTCCACATAATCGGTCCACGGATATCAGCGAGATCACCAAAATAGCCTCGGAAGTCCCAGCATTTTCTTTGTTGTACGCGCAACACTCAACACCCTCATCATCACAAATCAGCAGTCTGTGCAGACGAATGACCGAGTTATGCCGTCGAAACCCAGCTTCCCTTCTATGCTCTCCTGGTTACCGAAACCTTCAACATCGAGCAGTGTTGGTGGGGATGGTAGGTCACGCTCACGAGGTCCATCCTACCATGACTCGCCCCCAGCTTACCGTATTGCAGTTGCGCATGCGGTTCCATACCACCAACTGGGAGGACCCAAGACGAGATCTACAAACAGTCCACCTGTATCGGACTTCCCGCCAGCAAGACTCTACAAAGCCGCAACAATACGGAAAATTCTGGCACATCTACTGTGTTCGGTACTTCGAGCATAACACCGAGCTTTGGTGAATCAGGACCTACGTTTTCATTCAGGTTAGATAACCAAGCGCAAAAGCCACATCTTTTTGGTGACGAAATTATGAACCCTAGCACGCCACATTCAACGCGACGGAGTGAACCGGCCTGCGCTCGCCCGTCAGCAAGTCCCAGTTGCCACGGCAGATGTCACGGGTGATCTGAAGAACGCGAAAAGGAGAGATGTGAAGTTAAGTATCTTCACGTCGTGAGAAGATGCTCAAGATGCACATCAGGATATTGAGGGCTGAGGGCTGAGGGCTGAGGTCGAATGGCGATTTATGGGACATATCACTAGTCATATAGCGAGCTGGGCTTGCTAGAATTTTCATACACTTACTCAAGATCAGGCTTCCATGCGTGATGCAGACTCTTGTAACGCCAAAGGTCGGTGAATGTAGATTACGAGCCCGTTGAGTATAACGCGACGCGACAGACCTCTTCTTATGGGACTGGAAATTCTTGCCTTCCAATCACAGTGCGTCGTCCAAATATGATGCGCGACCACGGTACCCACCTCCGGTCTCATCGATCAAATCCATCGAGGCTCGAACACGCGAAGACAGGGAGAGGCGAACTTGGGCATGTACCCCGACCGTGAGGTTGGGCACACGATCGACGGAGTTATCAGAGAAGCGAGCGAGATTTGCATACGCGAAACATGTCCCCGAAAGACGCTAGCGAGTCGGCAGCTGCTGATTGGCTCGATGGACGGCACAGCGCGTGGCTGAACAACGTTCCGACGTCAACGGTCCGAATTAACATTTTCCTTCGCCGCAAAAGGCCCGTTCTGTCAGGAGAATTGCGACACGAACAGCAAGATTCCTTGCAATTGAAATGAGGACGACTCGCGGATGTCAACAAACCAAGGTCTGCGCCTGCACCTACGCTGTGACGTCACCACTCTACGAAGAGCATCGACGGTGTGCGGAATACTTTGAGAATGGCAATGAGTGTATTCGTTGCGTACCATGGAGTAAGAGAACGAATCGAAGCTATGGAAAAGCGCATATGTCTCGTCGCTCAGGTACCGACCATTCTGAGACTCTAGGTAGTATGTACCCGAAGTACTCATGACGGACTTATCCAATAGGGTTCTTTTCCTTACCCGAGTTTTCAGGACTGCAGCTGTCGTCAACGCCCGATCCCCATAGCCTAGGTGCCCATGCCCAAGCTTAGCAGATCATCCCCTTGTTAATGCGTCCCTGCAATCCATATCAGGGACAGTCATGGCTGACCCCAAAAATACCCATGCGAGGCTGACGCTGTCACAAACACTCAACACCAGACTTTACATTTTCGGAGCATAACCATCGTGACCTAGGGACGATGGCTTGCGCAAATGGCTCCAAGCCGTTGCTCCTGCCCTGGGCAAACAACACTGTCTCTGCTGATGGTACTGTTCTCACCAGAGGGATTTCTTTCGCCATCGGCACTCCTCCGCAACCCTTTTCCTTGACGCCATCGACGCTTTCCGACAATCTCTTCGTCAACAATGCAGCGGAGTGCGTGGCAGCTACGAACACAAGCTGCATTGGCCAACTCGGCGGCATCTACGATAGTGCAAAGTCGACTTCGTTCAAAGAGGTAGACTACGCGACATGGACAGGCAGCAGAGAGTCTATCGATCTTGCATACGCGAGTTCTTACATCTTTTTCGACGATGCTGCGGCGTTTGGTCTCAAACCGGATGCGAACAAGTTCGCGACCTTTCCCATGTATACCAACGGATCCACCGACAGTAAGTCCATGAGAAAATTGGGTCTTTGCAGCACTGACGCGTTGTAGCAAGCGCAGACGCGCTCATGAAGAACGAGCCAAGCTATCGAGCAACTCTGCCTCTAGGAATGGATTCGAGCTTCTTGAATTACCTCGTGGACGCTGGCCAAGCTTCTTCCCGAACGTATGGACTATGGGCCGGATCAGAATCTGAAGAAGCACCTCAAGATGGCTTGATCGTAGTTGGTGGCTACGACGAGAGCCGTCTCAAAAGTGCCGCCACTACCTTTCCTATGTTTTCCGACTGTCCAACATGCGCGATTCTCACAGCCATCACTTATGATGTTGGCGGTAAGAGCACCACGCTCTTCGCGGACGCGAAGGACACTCTTGTCGTACATCTAGACCCTTTCTCATCCAACATTAGACTGCCAGCTGCGATGTTGGACAACCTTGCTGCAGCGGAGACTACTGCCTTTTGGAACGAAACCTCGCGTCACTTCGAGCTTCCTACCGACCCAGCTCCCGCAGGCACCATCACCGTCACGCTATCGGACATGGGCACCCCCGGTGGCGACGCATCCAAACCCTCAGTCGCAACTTACAAGTCCGTCATTCCGGCAACTGAGCTCTACAGCCGGCCCCGGGCATATAATGCAGCAGGCCTGTACGAAGTGGACAATGCAACAGTCTTCAACATGGCCGTGACAAACCAAACCGGACCCAGCACTATGACTATCGGAACCTTGGGCCTACCCTTCTTCACGCAAAACTACCTCATCGTCGATCCCGACGCGCAAAACTTCCAGCTCGCCCCTGCAGTCGTCACAGCAGCCGACCCCAAAGGCGCCGATGCGAAGGTCAAGCAAGTGTGTCGCGTCTTGCCAGGCGCAAAGCCCAAGTCTCAAATCGGCCCTATCGTTGGAGCAGCGATCGGTGCCATCGTCGGTACACTCCTAATTGTCGGTCTGGTCTGGTGGCTGCGCAGGCGCAAGAACAACGCAAACGGCCAACGGCACTCTCGTGGCGAAAGCGACGCACCGACCGCGACATCTCAGAACCCAATCGTCCGACGCATGCCTGACCACGTGTCTTTGGATAGTAGCTCTCTTGACTTACCGCGCCAAATGCCCGCTGCACCACCCTCCGCCATGGTGCTGAGCGACGGTACTACATTCCCATCACCAATTTCTGGACGTTCAAGGAGCAAAGTCACCGGTAAACAAGAAGATCCTCGAAGGGGTTTGGTCCACGACAGTTTCAAAAAAGTCGACGAAGAGAACGATGGAAGGCTTTTGGACGAAAGACCCATGGGACTGAGCGAGACGATCCACTCACGAGGAACTCTACCGAGGTTGGCAGCGGAGCATACGGTTGAATGATTGCGTTTGATAGCGTTTTGTCGTTGCGCATACCCACATACACACCAGCCTGATTTCCTTTGTGTCCTTACGACATTGTAATACCCAACTGCAGAACAACGAATAGGAATACGGATATCTACACACACCATGTCTGTACAGTACCTTCGCCGATGAAGCTGGCTTCAACATAATACAACTAGTGCGTCTTGCAACTGAGCTGCTACTACTGCGCTTCTTTGTGTGAGCCCGAATGGTCTTGCCACTGTGCTGAACTTGCATGAGCCTTCAGCCCTCAGCCCAAGGCCACCTACCTAGGTATGCAGGCTGACTCTGAGCTTTGACTGTGGCGAGCTGTGGTCGAAACATTTTTGACTTACCCCGTAGATGCCCAATATGCACAACAAAAGTAGCTCGCGAAAAAACTTCAGCCTCGAGGTCGAAGCCCAGATATTTCGTGGATGCCGATGAAGATGCACGGAGGTCTTTCCGCGACAAGCCTTACCCCTTGGAATACATGCGCTAGGTCAAGTAAGCTTAGCGCAGCCCCGCAAATTCAGGAAGAGCCGCCTCCCAACCTCGTGGGCAGCGCAACGTGGTTTGCTACACGATGCGTCCAGCCTCGGCTTCCCCGCCATCGAAAATCCGTCTTCGATGAATCTCGTGCGCTCAGCTTTGAAGAAGTTGTGCTCTTCGTGGCATCGTGCCCTCAGATCAACGACGCATTTGCAGATCTTGGCGAACTCGACAGCCCTCTCCAGCAGGTCACAATGTACCGCCAACCCCTACTTTACTCATCACGACTACTCGCGAGGCTTTTACTACGTACGCAGAGCTGTTCCGCTGGGCTCCCATGTTGACAGTACGCGAGAGCAGAAATCTAGCCCTGCAATGACGTGTACTACCGGGTTCACGTCTGCAGTGCATTATAAAAAGAGCACCTTCGAAAGTTTCCGCGGGCATCTGCAGCATCGAGATACAGTTTCGCCCCCAAAGCCCATGCGCTAGCCCCGCTGCCTCGTGGAGGCGCGTCATTCCATTTGGTGATCGTGTTCCCGCCGTCGGTACGTTCTGGTGAAAGCTGGCATGCCTTGTACAATTGCTTATGATCGGCGCCGAATCTGACTTTCACCACAGCGCAAAGATCTAGAACATGGAGTACTGGATCGGGGAAGTAGCTATGGGAACTAAAGATCTCGGATGCTCCATTCGCATATCCTACGAAGCCGCTCACAACATCGCGTACAGCACCAGAGACTGATAGACTCGTACGTTGGAACTGAGTTGGCTTGTGCAACGCTCTTCGAACAACCGGCATGGGACTTTGATGGGTACAGCTGCTTCTGTGCTTACCCACGCGAGGGAAACATGCGTCACCATCTCGCATGTATCTGCAACGGCCTTATTCGTCGAACCAGCTTTCACGTGGTAAGCGACTACGACTTGCCTCGATCGTCACGAACGCGAAATTCCATTCGCACGGAACATACTAGGAACGAGATGGCGGTTTCCTAATACTAACACTGCGTCTATTCCAGCCCGAACTGGCCTCAGTATCCGAGTATGCAGTTAATCCTTCTTCCGCAAAGTGGAATTTTGACGGTGAGCCTTGGGTGCATGGTCCTCGCTACCATGAAGCTGGTGGTTTCCTAGGAGTGAAAGTGCTTTGCCGTTGTCTCTTAGGCCATGGCCGTTCACAATGAAGACCCGGTGGCACAATCCATATCCTTCATGACATGCCCTGAGATAATAGAAGATCCACCGACTAAACGATTTGATAACTCACACCAGCTGTATCCAAGCGCCCACATATGGCCACAAACTCAACTGCTCCCTTGGAAGGCTACATCCAGCGGGCCTTAGGAGATCCCACGGCTAGCATCTTCGCGCGTAGCGATCTTATGCCACCGCCATACTTAATCAAGGAGAAAATCAACTACATCTTGACCTTCAGAGGCTGCTTCAATCCGCCTTATCAAGGCCACAAAGAAACATTGTGCCACGGCTTTTTTCGCGGTGGGGAAGGTATCCACCTGATAGCCGCCTTCATCTTCCCTTTGGACGATTATTCCGTAGCCTGGAAGTACAATCGCGGAAAATCGTGCTCGAAGGACCTAATTCTTACCCTACAACAGCGTATCAACCTCATCAACAATAGTGGTCTCTATGGTGGTTGGCACTGGTGTCATCCACATGGTGAGCCAGGCTCCGAAGCATTTAAGGACCGACTTATATCAGAGGCCGCAGTAGATGGCTTCAACATACAGTACATCACTTTAACTGGACCTGATCACGTTGATCGAGGATATGGGTCCTTAGGATACTACGGGCCTACTATAGTCGTTGGTACCGGGGACCGAGAACGCACCAGCTTACGCATGGAAACGGAAACGGGACTCCGCAAATTGACACGTTACAGCGACTGGCGTGTGGAAGCACTCGAAGAACTGTTCATCCAGCAGCTGGGAGCGGGCGGTAACCTGACGTGGCTGGAGCAGAAATTATCAATGCTGTTTCCGCGTTCAATGACGAACCTTCCGGGCAACCGTACGTACGAAGCCTTCTCTTGCAAAACCATAGCTAATACTGATCTAGGCGACGAGAGGCTCCAGATGATCAAGGATCGACTACGCACTGGTATGTGGCGTCTTGGACAGACGCGAATGTGTCACCGCTCCAAAGCACCATCTACTGAATGGCTGCGGTATGTGCCTACACGTTTCTTCGGTATGACAGGCGGTGTCTGGTTTCTCGGCTACAAAGAGCAACAGCTATCATCAACGCGACTTCGCCGCGCGCTTGCATCCTCCAACGATGCAGAACAGCTCAAGAAGTCTATAACGGGCGTTGCACTCAGCCCACAGCTGCTGATACAGTACCTAAGGCCGCACCAGCAGCGTACAACCCTTAAACGCAAACGTACTGCGGAAGAAGGGAAAGAAGCTGAGGTGAAGCGTGTAGAGCGAGAAGGACAGGCACGCAAATTCAAGAAGCTAAAGCAAACCTACGAGCAGATCAAGGGTGGATATCTAGCCAAGCAAAGGACTGCCTGGCGGGGCCGACAGAAGAAAACTTACCATGATTGGGATCAACTCAGCCGGCAGGATCGTCAGGATATTCTGCATGCAGAGAAGGCCATGACTCGGAATTGGCGAGCGCTCAAAGACCCAACTAGGAAGGAAGATATATTGTTCCAGCATCTTGACAAGATGCTGAGAGACAAGAAGAAAGGTGCAGCAGTGCCTGCGAAGGTATTGCCGCGAAAGCCAGGCCCTGCGTAGATGTATCTCCGAAGAGCATGTAATATAGTACATGACGTTCCCCGCTTCACGGGCTCCCGCTCTACGGCTTAGAATTGGTGATGTGAGATGCAAAAGCTAGATTCCGCTTCCACGACGGCGCGATATGCATAGTGACACAAGGCTGATGGTGCGAGACGGTCTGTATGGCTACACAAAAGCGTCAATATCGCATTGTGAACGATATTAGTACCCGACCATTGTGAGCCTCGCGAGATGTAACTTTGATTGGTATCGCGACAAGGCCCTGTAGACGCTGCCCCGGTCAGATCATGTGGGGCCCGCTTATGTAATCCACGTGGCTTGCTTCTGAGCACCCGACGCGTCCGAAGCGACACCCCTCTTCACTCTCCCATCTCCGCTTTCACCGTCGCACGTGCCTTGAGCATATGCGCATCAAAATCTCGCGACATCTGCTCAGATCGAGCGTATCAGCTCTCCGTCATGCATCGGAGTTTACCCAAATCAAGGTCCCCATATTGCGATGAGCAGCGTTTCCCCGGGTATCCATGTGTGCCTTGAACGGGCGATACCTGGATGACACAGCCCCACCTCAACAAAACATGCCGTCATCCCCTTCGCCAAGGACGATGGAATGACCTTTCCAGAGCTTCCACTTCATCGGCAGAGGAGGCTCCAGTGGCTACTACACTAGCTAGTAACTAGACGCGCATGCCAAAATACAGGTCCAGCGGCACCTAAACCTCAATACGAAGATTGGGTCCGGCAGATGACAGCGCGCAACGTGTTTGGTGATCCCAAATAACCTTCTCTGTACGCGTAGGTCCTCCTGGGTGGTCAGACACTTGCATGTACCGACAAAATCCGTGTTGTCCTCCACCGATCGTTTTCACGGTGGCTTAGCTTCCCCGCACTTCCGGAAAGCGCTCATCAAGCCGTCGCATTGGCACCTATCATTGGCATTATCAACAATGCTACACACACCTCTAAGCTCCGGCCCGACGCGCTGGGCGTGCTTACATCGGAGTACGTAGATCGACGCTGGACCATGATCTCGCGTTGCCCCAGGCTCGGCAATGACGATTCTGCCTTGGCCAGACATAGCCTTCCACTGTACGAGGATGCTCACGCGTTCTCAAGCGGTGCCACAGATCGCCTTCTTTTATCAAGTCTGGGTGGTACCAAGACTGTGGCAAAGTACGTCGCCATACTGCACGTGTCTTTCTACCATCTCATCGTCGTCTGCTCTCGTAAGCAAAGCAGCCTTGGTCGTACCCTACCCACCGGATCTTATACCACTCTTGCACGGGACCAGGATCCAGGATTCATCGTAAACAGCCCCGAGCTTATCTAGAAACTTTGTAAGACATGAAAGGTGAGCATCACCGGTTTTCTCGGAGTCATCCGGGAATCGCGGCGTGGCTGACAGCAAGTCTTGGGCTACTTTGTCTTGTTTCTTTCCAACATGAGACCGCGTTTACCAAGGCGCAGGAAGTCTATACCCAAGGTCTTGGCTTCCACTGCCTTGGTTCAGCTTCCGGTGGCAGTATGAGGGACAGGATATAAAGAGATGTACTCGCTCTCGTCACATCCGTTGTACATCTCACTCATCTCAGTACCGTATAGCCTGATTGCTCTACCCAGGGCTGAGATCCCCTACAAAAGCTGTAGGCATCTATTCTGAGCACCAGAAAAAGAGCAGGTGAAGACTCAACATGCGGTACTTCACAGCCGCGAAGGCATCTACATATACCTTGCTTTCGTTGTCGTCCTTGATCAGCATCACTTCTGCTTGGCCAACGTACAATCTGCACAACTCTCAGTTCGCGAAACGTCAGGGCCCAGGAGATCTTCCTTCCCAGGGAGGTCAAACTGACGAACCAGTCTTCAATGAAGAGTACGACTTCATCGTCGCAGGTGGTACGTTCATCTCTTCGGTCAACACACAGGCACTCGAAAACTACGCCGCACTCGTGGCTACTTCCCGAACGATCGTATCATTTTAAAGACCTTGCTAACACCAAACAGGAGGAACAGCTGGTCTTGTCTTGGCCAATCGCCTCACTGAGTCTGGACACTTCTCTGTACTAGTTCTCGAAGCTGGTCCCAGTCCTGAACAAGTTTTGGCATACGAATCACCCGGTGGCAACCAGTTCATCAAGGGCAGTGTAATCGACTGGGGTCTACTTACCACTCCGCAAGAGCATCTGAACAACCGTACACTCCAATATCTCCGAGGACGCACTCTCGGTGGCTCAAGCACAACGAATGGTCTCTACTACGCACGAGGCTCCGCCAGCGTGTACGATCATTGGGCCAGACTAGGAAACCCTGGTTGGGGTTGGGACGATGTTTATCGCCTGTTCAAGAAGAGTACGAAGTTGAATGCGCCCACCTCCACGGCAGAGCTTTCGGCGTTCAGCCAAGAGTACAAGACGTTCAATGAGGATGCTTACAGCGATGGGCCACTTCAGCTCGGCTTCCAGGGATACGTTCCACCGTCCACCGAAGGATTTGTCGTTGCTTGTAGCGAAGCTGCTGATATTCCTATTGTCGAGGATCTCAACCTCGGAGACGGCGAAGGTGTCAAGCATGGAACGACGACGATGGATAGTATGCTGCGAAGGAGCTCCAGCTACGACAGCTTTTATGAGCAAGCTCGCAACCGGACGAACCTCAAGGTACTGCATGACGCCCCTGTAACTGGTATCGTCATGAGTAAGCCATCATCAGTGAACTCCACAAGCAAGCCACGTGCTATTGGCGTCAGCTACATCAACCAGATAACTGGCTTCGTAAGCCAAGCTAGAGCGCGAAACGAAGTCATTGTCAGCATGGGTGCCTTCCACTCGCCTCAGCTCCTCATGGTCTCAGGTATTGGTCCCGCCGACGAACTCAAGAAGGTCGGTATCACGCCTGTCGTTGTCAATGAGAATGTTGGCCATCATCTCAACGACCACTCAGTCTTCAGTATCATGGCGCGTGCCCAGGACAACGCTTCCACGACGGATATGTCCCGCACACCCCAGAACCTGCGCGCTGCTCAAGAAGCATTCTATCAAAACCTCACCGGCCAATACACTGCCCCTTCCGGTGTCACGAACGGCTTCCAAAAGCTCAGCGAGCAGCAACTGCGCGACATCGGCGCTCAGGCCGTCATCGATGCCGGCCTGGCGAACCAAACTCACGTCGAATATCTATTCGAAAGCGTGTGGTACCCGTGGATTCCAACACCATACTGGGCGCCGCTATCAAACGACTCCTACATCTCAGTCACCGCATCAAGCATGGTTCAGCTCTCCCGCGGCACAGTGAGCCTCCGCAGTGCCTCCATGTCTGACAGCCCCCTCATCAACAGCAACTACTATGCCGACCCTACCGACAGCGCCATCGGTATTGCTTCATTCAAATATCTCCGCGCTATCCTCCGCCACCCGGCTTTGTCGCGCTTCACTATCGGCCCGAATTCTGGTGAAGTCAGCCCTGGCTCTGCGGTTGCTGATGATGACGACGAAGCTATTCTTGAGTACATCAAGGCGAATACTATTCCCAACTGGCATGCTACAGGCACGAACCAGATGCTGCCGCAGGAAGATGGCGGTGTTGTTGATAGTAGATTGAGGGTGTATGGTGTTGATGGACTAAGAGTCATCGATTGCAGTATTGTACCGGTACTTCCGGATGCCAATATCTTGGCGAGTATCTACATGGTCGCTGAGAAGGGTAGTGAGATGATTAGAGAAGATTGGGGTGACGCGATCTATTAACAAGCATGGAGGTGAGAGGACATTCTTTGATATTCTACAAAAAGAAGTATGAATCGTTATGGCCACTGAACATCCATTGTCCTTTGCGCACGTGCTCTCGACCGTGGTACTTGTTTCCATGCGTGTCTTCCAAGTATCTAAAATCAGGGTGTTGTATGCCGTCGCACGCACCCGGAGATGGTCACAGCTCTCCTACATACCACGTGCCCACATCACGATGGCCTCCGCCTCCTTGCGGACGACGGGGTCATTCGGTACAAGTGACATAGCTCCACGGATAAGATCCAGGGCGTTGACAGCTTCCCATCTCCCACCCCAAATCCGAATACTCACAGCTTGGCAGTACATGATCTTTGCCCCGAGCATAGTAGGACATACCCATGTATATCCCTCTTTCCAGTATTTTGGCTGAGTACACTAAATAGATGCTCTAAGGCCGGTTAGGGTGATGTCCCTGTGCGATTGCCGAACAACCAGCGGTATGGACACGTTCTTCGAGTCGGGGCCCCACAACATAATGTTGACCAGTGCTGAATTGAGTCCAAGTGAGCACTGCAGCTCAGCCATCTGGTCGATCCAAGGCTCGCCGCCGATCTTGACGAGCTTATCCCAGGAGCTGCCCTCGCGCATACAATCGATCTCCTGCATGCTGCTTACCCAAGCGGAGAACGCCTCCATCAGTCGACCCTCGCGGTAGAGTTGCGCACCGCGGTCTTTGCTTGCCTTCATGAGTTCGATGATGCTATGTGGATCAATCCATTTTGCTGACATCATCGCCTCTTTCAGGTCTGCTACGACATCTGGTGCGACAAAACCATGCACTTCGACGGTTTTGAAGTCTCGCATGCTAGTCAGTGGCCCGAGCAAGTCCTTCTGGGTAGCCTTGGAGAAGAAGTCTGTCAGGTCATCCTGGTACCATGGGCCTTTCTGAGCGAGCATCAGAGCTACGGTTATGACGAAAGTCGCTGCCTTGGCGAGCCCTAGTATAACAGTTCTTGCCATCTCAAAGCTGTCGCAGAAGCTTAGCAGTTGACGCCTTAGGATGACTACGCTTGCTGATTGGGCGGCGCCTGCGTGCCAGCTGAGCTCGGAATCTGCGGAAGGGACAGTGACATCGACAAGTTGTCTGCAATCAGGTGTTAGAAAGTTGAGTCATTATGATAGGCAGTGTAATCTTGACGGACTCGTTGAACTGCCCTGCGCGTCGTCCACTCGTGACGACCGGAACATTTTGGCTAGCGATAATGTTGTGGAGAGTGAGGCCATCCTGGGAACTGATCCGTACGAATTTGCTGGTCTTGACCATGACGTCGTAGGCTTCACGATGAACCTGGCTGTTTACACGAAGAATAGCAGGGTCATTCCACTGCTGAGCGAAGAGAAGTTTGAACTCGAAGCTTTCCTTGCTGAACAGGTCCTCGGGAATCTCCCGGATGGGAGCTGGGGTGGGTCCAAATGAACAAAGCAGCAAAGTGTACACTTTGTTCCTGAGCTCTCCAGGTAAGTCCATGAAGCGGAAGGGCGCGTTCCTGCCAGTAGCATCCATATCGGCGTCGACTGTAGCAGCCATCTTCGCGAGGCTGGAGTCGGAGTCGAATGAGAATTTGTTATGCAAAGGTCAAAGATGAGGGCAGTCTATGGTTTGCTCTCCCACGTGCGCGCAAGGCGGCCTAGCGCTCGATACACAAACCGTGGGTCCGAGCGTGGCGGTGACGCAGTGGGAGCTCACTAAAGCGCACGTCAGAGGCGAGAAAGAACTGAACGAGCATTTACTACGTCATTACTGTGACATTAATCCGCATTGCACAAGCCATTGTATGTAGTTTCTAGTTTAGGAGACATGAAGAACGGTATAGACCGGTATACGATTAACAGATGGAGTAGACGAATACGAGAGAGAGAGTATCACATCAACTTCAAGCGAGAGTAAGTAAAAGGTTTTTATGCATACATGTATCTGCTAGGTAGAGTTCTGCCGGAGACGCAGCAACGTAGGTACCAGAGCATCTCGTGAGGAAAGACTGCATATGGGCGCTACCTTGATATTACAAATCGACTGTAATGTCTCCATTGTCAGACATATGGATGCGAATTGAAGCCCCATCGGCATCGAAGTTGCAGCCAGAATCGATCCATTTAAGTATGGCGCCATGTCCTTTCATAATATCTCTGTCGTGAGGCGAAAGTTCGAGGGCAATTTTGATCAACTCGAGTGCGTGGCCTGCGTTGCCAATACTACCGTCTAGGAGAACGATTATTGCTTGTCGGTAAAGTAGCTTAGCAATACGAGCATCTGAGGGCGTCCATTGGCGACCTTCCTGCCAAAGATTTGGCTCCATGCATTCTTCCGCGGCAGTGAAAGTACGCCTCCACATCATGTCGAGAGTGTCCCTAAGCCTCCCAACTTTGCCGCCCTCCATCGCATCGATGAGCATCGCTATGATAGCATAGTTATTGCTGTGGCAGCATGAGAACCTTAGCTCAATAATTGCATCGACGAATGAATCCGCTCCCAATGAGACAAGATTGCTCCAGGACGACGACTCGCGGATACGGCCAATCTCTACCAAGCACTCAAACCATGCCCCTGATGCTTCCATGCGAGAGCCATGGTCCCACTTCACATCTGCGTGATCTTTCAGTCCTTGGAGTTGGTGAAGCGTTTCGATAGGATCCGACCATTCATCCTTGCACATGTCCGCCGCCGTCGCGATCGCAATTTCGGACGAAACACGGCCGTGTACATGGACATTCTTGAAGCCTCGCATGCAAGTCCTGAATGGAGTGAGTAGGCTGAGTTGCATTTCTTCCGAGACGAAGGCGTCGAAGGTATCTTTGTAGACTGGAGTGGGCTCGCCGAGCACAGGCGCGACGTCCACATCGATTATGAGACTTGTATCAAAACCGCTTCGATTGATGTTCTCACAGAGAAGTTGCATGTCTCTGGCGAGCAGCATGACAATCATGGGCGGCTCATGCGAAGACGTTGACATCGATAACGTGACTGAGAGCATGTGGCCTTTGAACTGAGAGATATGCAGATCGTTGAGGGTGATGACCGTTACATCACCCTCCTGGAGGATTTCCATGAGCGGTGAAGGCGGAGATGCGCGGACAACGACGAAACGATTCGATTTCACCATGACGTCGTAGGCTTCAAGATGGACTCGACGATTGGTGAGGAGGATGGCTGTGTCTGTGCGGTGGCCATCAGATGCAATAGGCAAAGGGAAGTTTTCGATCGTCTGTTCGACTGGAAATCCGAACGAACATAGCAACAGGGAGTATATCTGATTGCGCAGTTCTCCGGGCAGGTCCATGAAGCGGAAGGGTTGAGCGGAGTTGGATAGCATGGTGACTGCGCGACTTCTGGTGGCGGACGTGGTTTCGGAACTCCAGAGAAACGATGCTGTGGGAGGGAAGCGTAGATAGAACAACGGGTAGGATCAATGTGGGGTCGTCTGTAGCGCGCTCTGGAGCACGAGCCAACAGGTCCTAGCTTTCTCAGGCACCAGTGCGGGAAGCCAATACCCTATGGTCGCTCCTTAGGACCCGATATATGATTTTGAAAGGCGTTCGAGCGCGTATTGGAGTCGTTGAAATGGCATCAGAGCCGTTGTATCCACCCCAGTATGTTCTCACGCTCTCTGAGGAGTACACCATCACCCGGCTGCGACACAAGAGCTTTGTCAATGTAGCTCAAAGCCCGATTCGCATTTTGTGGGTTCCCTTCCAGCCTCATGAACATTGCGTACCGATACCGCAGCTTGGCGAACTGCTGAAGCGAAGGTCTGTACTTGTAATCAGGTTTCCAGAAGCCTGGCTTCAACGACCGCGTTGCAGAGTTCAGCGCGCCATCGGCCAATAGCTCGGCCCCAAACGCCTTCTTTTGCATGTTGGCAATCTGAATATGAGCGATGTTGAGTTGCATCAGAAAATACAACGGAGCGATTTCCGCAACGAATGCATCACCTCCCTTACGAATTAAATTTGGCCAAGAACTGGACTCACGTAACTGCTCCATATCGTAAACGGCGTCCTGCCAACCAATGACGGCCTCCTCAAATTGGCGGTCTTTAAATTGTTTTGACCCGCGATCTTTCGCGGCCGCAAACTCTGCGAGAACAGCCGCCGGATTGAAACATCTGTCTTGCGCAAGACTTTGACGAACGGTAGCTGCCAGAGCACTGTCGACATGGCCACTAATTTCGACGGTCCCGTATCCAAACAAATTGGCCATGAACGGCATGAACAGTGTTTCCTGCGTCTTTTTGGTGAAGAAACCGTAGAGGTCGGGTGATAGTGTGTCACTCGACGCAACGTCTAAGACAGGCGCCATGGTGATCGAGATCTTGATCCTTTCGCTGAACCCCGGATCATGTAAATCCCCATCGTTTAATGCCTTGCAAAACCGATCCAGATCGCTGTAAAGGATTATCGCGGTGACAGGTTCACGTAGGTTCTCGGAGTCAAGTGGGGAAGGAACGTATCGTGGTTGTTTGAAACCTATGTGCACACCGAGCACGTATCCCTTGAATCGATCAACAATGTCTTTGTCGATAGCGATCATCCGGACCGCTTGGCCTGCCATAGCAAGGCGCATAGGGAGCCCTCGCGATGATGTGACCTTTACGAAGCGATTGGTTTTGACCATGACACTATAAGCCTCGCGGTGTGTTTCTTTGGATACACGCAGTATCGCGGTCTCGACCTGATGTTCTGCAAGTGTCGCGGTGAGGAATGACGAGGGTTGTATCGTTATCGTAGTCGGTGGTGGGCTGAAGCTGCATAGTGCGATGCGATAGATCTTGTTGCGTATCTGAGGGGCATCAAAGTCAGCACAAAGCACATTAACGGGAAATCGAGAGGCTTACCTCGCCAGGGAGGTCGCGGAAGCGGAATGGGGTTGACGACGTTGCACTAGCCATCGTGAGTACGGCAAGTCGGGAAATTGCCTAGTAAGTTGGAATCAAAACAGAATCAATGGATGATGATTTCAACGACGGCACCAATATCTGATTCAGCCTGATACTCGAATCTGGAGTTGAATGCTGAGGTGTCAGAGAGAAGACGCGGGGAAGCTTACACGCTAATTTGTGAAGTTTCACGCTAAACGCGAAGACATGTGACTTAGCGCGATGAGGTTTATCGATTCCACAACCGAAGCACTCCTCTCGTTGCTGCGCGTCCCCCCATGCAAGATACACTTCTTTGTTAGAACTCGATTCGAAATGCCATAGTAGTATATGGTGTTCTAAGCGCAGGCTGTCGAGGTAACGCTTAGGCAATGTCGCAACCTTGGAACCTATTACGCTATGCCATACTCTGCCGTCATAGTCGTTCCAGCAACTCTCCGAGACAGCTGAGCCTCGCATCTTTTGCTCGATCAGTTGGGGGGTTGCGGCTACGTTTTTGGACATGTACCTTGGCTGCGAGCCTGCCTTAGTCATGTCTGCGACGCCGATCCCATCACGGCTAGTCCGGAGTTGAACACGTCGAATTCCTCGTAGCCTTTAGTAGTAGGCTTGCGATATCTTCCGCATTTTCACGACGCTTTGTACGAGGCTATTAATATCCTGAAATGGCGTTAATGATGCGCAACACTACGGACCGAAATGTGGGAATAAGCACCGCCTCATCTTCGCTTAACAGGCAGCAATCCTCATATACAAGTATCGCGCGTTAAAGCTCACGCGATTTCCAGCTTGGAAACTCGAAATTCACTCGCAACAATATCATTCATTTATTACAATCAGGTCAAATGGCCAGCACCTGCCTACCCCACCTTCCGGACGAGTTGTTCATCCAAGTCCTCCAAAGCGTCGACGACCCATTCGTGCTCTGGGTTACATGCCGTCAAGTATCGCAAGCCTGGCGGAAAGAAGGCGAGCGCGCATTACAAGCCATTTATCTTCCCCTCCTTTGCATCGATTGGAGCCACATTCGTTATTCTGGAGAACCTGGTGGCCGGATAGACTTCAATTTCATCGCTACCGCAGACGAACACTCCATTGATCCACAATCATCAACGCTCTCTCTTCTCTTACGATCAGGCAAGCCGCAGTCTGGAGAGCTATCTTCGCACTGGGAAGATGTAGTTGATTGTGAGACCTTGGAAAGAGACGCCGGATGGATAAGAACTTGGAACGACCGTGAATTGTGGGGACGTCACGATGGCTTTTTCAAGCACGCGCAGGCTATGTGGTTTGATACTGCAGATGGACGGTATACTTTCGTCGGTAGTGCCGAAACGCGCACATTCAAACTTCAATTTCCGGCACAAGAACAAGACGGTCGTGCCAGCTGCCGTGTCACATGCGACTGGAAAGCGTTGATGGATGCACTGTTCACGGAGGAGAGATACGTACGGCACAAACGCCCAGGCCCATCTTTCTTTGAGCTTGGGGAGCAAGGCATTCGCGCGCATCTGGCCAAAGCCGAACAGGGCATCATCACCATGATTACTGCTCCCGACACAGAGTCGTCGGAAAAGGCTATCGCGGCCGAGAGGAAGCGATACAAAGAGAATGTGAAGACGTTCTTACAAACGCATTGTCACCAAAACGAGCAGTACAAATCACTCTACGTTGCAGCGTTGCAGGAGAGGCTGTATCGTGTATGGATCAGGGATGGAACAGACCCTTACGCCGGCCTTAGTCATACCAGCTTCGCTCAATTCTGCGACTCCAACAATCGACTGAATTACGACCAAGAGCAAACTGGATGTGGGAGGATGATGCAGAGTAGGCTTGACAGACTCCAAGCTTTCGCCGACGGGATTTGGGAGAAAAGGTTCGGGAGACAGGAAGAGTTGACAAGTCAGAAGGGCCGTGTGTAACGCTCATTGCAGTTTTGCATAGTCCACCAAATTCAACCAAGACAGATCGTTCGTCTTCTTACATACTCTCTCCTGATCTAGTGTCGTCTGTGCTGAAGGCAGGATATGTTCTGGGGCAGACAAGTCGGCGAGAGTGGCTCCTACCGAGTTGCGTAGCTGGTCATCCGCGATTTCACGCCATACGGACGGTAATCGGACATCTTCTAAGCGGCTCGCGATGATTTCGTTCAAGCGAGAGGGCAGGATGCGAAGTAGTTCTCGAGAAGTGTTGTGCGACTCTTCGCATCGCGTTGACATATCATCCTGATCTCGGTCTCCTTGCACTGCGCATTGCGTATTGACACATAATCACCGTTAGCGGGTAAGTTGTCGCAGGGATATGCGGTGCCTAGTCCATCACTGCAATGTGATGTCGTCATGTTGCCGTGACATCCATGAGCTAGGTCCGCTCTAACAAACCCAAGGCCAGGGAATATCTCGTCTTCGATCGACATCAGCCTGCCCGTATCATTGTAACTGTCAAGCACTTCTACGTCTTCTACTTCCTAGTAGTTATCAAAGAACGATGCAAATGACGACAAGTTCTGCTGAACCGTAGAGATCAAATCATCCGCTGCATGTAGTCCTAGAAAATTTCCCATCTTTGGCACTTGCACACGAACCGTTTCTGAAGCCTCGTAGGTAACACTATCATGCGTTGCTCCGTTCGTTGCAACCTCCAACACGGAAGGGTAGTGACAGGCGTAATTGTCAAGAAAACTGGTGGCGTCGCACATGGAGCATGCAGCCCATAGTGAGACACGGTTCTCGGCGAAGCCGCATTGACAACATGTCCACATGCGCACATGTTCGACGTGCCCGTTTGCAGGCGAGTAGAGTACGCTTTCTACGCAGTGCGCGCACCGCCAGTGTGTGCCTCCGGAACGAAGAGGGTCGGATTTGAGGGTCTGGTCTTCAAATAATGGGAAGCCGGAAGGGCTATCGCGTCGGTAGAGCTGCGCGAGAAGTCAAATGTATCAAATGAGGATTCCATAATAACGGTATGTCGGGGTCACGGATGTTTCGGGTCCTAAATTCGACGAGAAGGCTACAATTGTATGGAACACAAGCATCACTTCCAGATATGTGCCGGGTCGTCCAAGCACCCACCCTGAACGCGCAAAGTTGCGCAAACTCTCAGCCATGGGGGTTTGCGCGCAGAATGCTTGGCCACTGACACGTTCAGCTTCCTGCATGATGCATATAAGCAAAGACGCGTACCAATCAGGAACGGTGATGAGAACTTGCAACAGCCACACGCAGCAGTTCATCTAGTATCCTGCGTGCTAGCTGGACGACCTTCGTATGTTTCCGTGTCTCTGTTGGAGTACGTGAATGCTTTCATCTACTGGAGCAACGAGGGGCGCCTGGAAGTAGTGGTAGGTGGCGCATGTTGAGGAGAGCGACTGTGATGAGAGCGATGTTGTAAGCTTCGAGGTTGTAATACAGCGGATCAATCCCGTTGCAAGGTTTCGGGCGCATGAGGAAGTCTGTTTCGGGTGGGACCCGTGGACCCGTTTACAATGCTCGTGGGGTTCCTGTAGCAATCGAAGGTGTCGGTCGCATCCATGTCATGCTGGGATTATACTGAGAGTGTATGCATTCAAGATGAACTCGTCTCTACCTAGGTATTGTATAAAGGCACCGCTGCCATTACCACAGTGCCCCGTCTGCAAAAGTTCGGCGCAGGGTCCATGGTCACCCACCTTCACAGGGCCAAAGCGTACTTGCAGCGCTAGTAGACGATCATGTGACAGTTAGCGCGCCAAGCCCCCAGCGCCCATATCAACCTCGCCCAGCCCGTCCCCTGCTTCCCTCCTTAGCTCTCTTTGCCTTTTGGCTTAGGTACGTCCCCCAACAAACGCATGCAAGGCCTCTACTGACTGCCACCCTTCAGATCAAGTGTAGTATCTGTTCTTTTCAGTTTAATCTCTGAAACGTAAGTCTCTCCTCTATGCTGCTCTCACCAACATCGCGCTAATATATCCCAGGTCACTACGGTGACTTCAAGATTATTCTTATTTTTGTACTCAGGTCTTGGGTCCCTGGGCTTGCTCATACTCAGGACCACAGTGTCGCCAGTATCGCACTATCTCTGGCTGACGCGAACACTTTTTCATTGAGATTTCTGGCTTGCCAGTCGCTTGAGGAAGAAGTTTCTTTCTGTGCATTTGTATTTGCATCACATTATCGAGGTGTTCGTAACGAATGCTTTACACCCCGAGAGCTTGAGGTGCGAGGATGCCCATTTGCGAGACTGTACTGACGGCGCAAATATCTTCATCAACATGCATCCAGTTCTTCTGGGCCCTTGTTGACAACTACCTGACCTGACGTCGTCGGCCAAGACGTGTTTTTGTTACGGTCTTGCAGTTACCCGTCCCTAGATATTGACTTCGAGCTGCCACGTATCGCTAATAGGCTACAGAGCAAAGCTGCACCCACTGCTCGAGCCAAACCGTGGGTATGCGCGATTCAGCGGATAGCATATCATCAACAGTTCTGCTGCTGTACTCCAATAAAGCTAGTATTTGATTGCGCCAAGTCGTCCTCGCATAACATGAGCAGGTGTGAGCATCTAGCAATGACCCTTTCCGCGCCTGCCCTCACCGCCGCATCTTTGCCCGTCGCAGCACGTCCTCTCTGCACATTCACATGTGGATCCGCTACAGTTATGTCCCGTAGAGGACTTCATCTACTCTTCGCCTATCAAGTGACTCTAGCAATCATAGTAGGGTCGCATCCATGGATACCAGATCAGTACTAGGGCCTAACCTCTCGTGAGCCTCGAGTGCAAACGACAAGTTTGGACTTTCTCTTACTTGTTTGCGGTTCTGCATCTCTCTGCTCTTTCGAGATATTTATATTGTTGACTTGTGTTCTTGGCGTTGATGCTGGGGTCGTCGCAACGATAGATTAAGGCTAGACCTCTTGACTGCCCCTGCGCCTCTAGTAGCAGTGGGTGGTAGCCAAGTTCGGTTGATAACGTCTGGAGGGTGCGGTCAGAGTTTCAACATGAGGACTTCACCTGCACACATGCGGGGCGGTGTTCCACAGACACCGAGCTAGACTTCCGATGATGCCGTCGATTTTGCCGACGTGACGCGCGACCCCCGATCTTGGGTTTCGGTTGAGGGAAAAAGGTGGGAAAGTTTGGCGAGTATTCGTAGCGGACGTTACATCGTCCGTCCAGATATCCCGCTGGTGTGCTTGTAGGGGGCGGCGGGAGATGCAGACGGTGGGCGAGGGTAGCAAGATTTCTTCCCGTTGCATTCGTACCACCAATAATCCCTCTGTTCTTCGTGATCTGCTTTCTTGAATCTTATCGGCGACACCGTTCTTCGCAAGCTCTTCTCCAAACGCTCATGTGCCAGGTGCTCCAGATCTTGTAATAATTCGATACCCATGTGGGTTCCTAACAAGTATAGGCAATTCTCTAGAGTTGTCCGAGCAATTGGGTGCTTGAACGTGTTGACGACGTCCAGAAATACTTCAAGGACACTTTTGTTGTAGTCGACTGTGAGCCTGTCCTCCTCGTCCACAATACCCATCATAGCATACACCTTGTCTCGAGCGTCCCCACATGCATTTGCGGAAAAGTTACTGATGCATCTCGTCCACGCCAATTGTGGCTTTGAGCCCCAACGCTTTCTCGTATAATTCATGAGGCCGAAGATCGCACGAGGCATTGTGCCAAGCCCTACCAGCTTCAGCATTGTAGAGTACTCGTTCTGTAATTTCTTCCATGCAACGCAGCGTTTCCCGTTGAGATAGATTCTGACACTTTTTGCAAGCAGTATCTCTTGTACTATCCACAGTCTTGTAAAGTAAATGTTGTTCAACAGCACAATGATCGACCCAGCATCAAGGTCCTGGTCGTTGAAGCGATCAACTTCCCCCAGAGGCGCTAAGGGTACATCGCTTAGCCAGATGATGACAGATGTAGCGTTGCTGTAGATACGCGACATCATGCCGACCTGGTGGTTTCGTTCCGTGGTATCTGCCTGAGCGATGCACATTTGATCTATCCATAGCCACGCATCCACATCTTCTCGCAGCTCCAGTAAGCATGAATTGAGAATGTCTCGGATCTTGAGTCTCTGGTCTCCGACGAAGATATCATGCAAAGGCGATGGCGGGCCCCACCGGTAGGATAGCGCGATATATTCCGGGGCCTGCCTGAGCGGAAAGATTTGGATCTCGCAGCACAGAGGACCTTCATTGGATTTACGAAGCTTGAGCAGGCGTATCTCGTCTGATGAACTGTTGAGCGGCTGATGCTTGTAAATTGCGGGCTCCGGTTGCGGCTCAACCCATATCTTGTGCGGCTCTGCGATGGTCTGGTTGGCTTCCAGATGGCTCTGGTTCATCATTGCTCGTTCGCCGATCGCGTAAGGTAGGTAGGTATCTCGCTTTCGTCGTTTCGCGTACTTCTTTATCGCATTCTACGAACGTCGTGTTAGAGTGAGGATGCATTCTAGGTAAACGATATTTTGTTGTCCCAGGCTGCTGAAGTGATGCGGGGCTGTGCAGCAATCGCGCGCCGTGGCGCTTTCAGCCGTGTAACCCGACTACATGACTATGCAGAAAGTCAATGAACGCAAAGCTAGAGGCAAGGATTAAGTAAGCAAAACCATTGTTCTACATATCTTTACAAGATAGGTGAGGTGGTGCCGACATGATGGTGTTGAGTTCCATCTTTTGCCGCCGGAATCTAGCGTTGAGCACAGACCCCGATCTCGCACCACCTGAGCCACCGAAACACTAACGACAAAACACGAACACAAAGAGAGCGACGGAACTACTGTACAAAAGACCCCAAAACGCCCTCCAATCTCGCATGTGCGGAACAGTCTAGAAATGCCGACCAACATCATGTACTGCGCAACTACCAAGGGCAGACAAACACAGGCTGTCGCGTGTAATCGCCGCACATATAATTGCCCTTGTCCGAATTCGCGTCTTCGGGGTCCTTGTCGGCCGGGTCGTTGATGCAGCCAATGACCCTCTCGCCACACCAAAGCGCTCCTGGGTCGTCGCCGTCGTTCTGGTACTGGCATTTCTGCCCGTCAATCTCGAGGTCGAGTTCTCGTGTGCCGCCAGGGAATGTCGAGCCAGCCTGTGCACCATTGCCAGAGAAATCCCAGGGCTCAGTGTCGAAGGGGCGGAGAAAGTCTTCGCGGCATTCGACGCCCTGTTGGTAGTCGGCCTCGAGGAAAAGCCAGTCCAAAGTGGGAGCGCCTACAACGAAGGAAGAGAGGACTGCGAGTTGCTTGGTTGGTCCCGTCGGCTCCGGTTCAGGTTCAGGCTGCGGCTCCAGCTCCGGCTCACGATTATCGCAGACACCACGCCTGACCCTCTTTCCAGGCGCGTTGACAAAATTGTTGTGAAGATCTTGGATGGCCTGGTCTACCCTGCGCATAAAGTCTTCCATCCCATCCGTCGAGACGACGTCGAGATCGCGGAATTCGAAGAGAGGTACAGAGCGCTCAGAGTTGAACATCTTTTCTTGAGTCGTGCCCAGGGCTCCGATAGACCCGTCATTGACCTTGTCGAACTCGGTAAGAGCATCGTTGTCTTGCGATTCCGGGTCTAGACCACGGATCCAATCTTTGATGTTGCACTTGGCTCCGCCTTGAGAATACGTGAGGTCACCGAAATCATTGTCGATAGGCTCTGGACTGTCAACACTCCCCTCACACAGGTCTTCATCGATTCTATGTTTCGTTAGCGTGGTCAAAACAAAATCTAGCCAAAACTTACTCTGTTCCGCCACGCTGGTAGCATGCAAGGATGTTGAACAGCGACCAAAGGTCGTCTCCCTTTGCTGGCAACTTGGAGCTAACCTGCGAAAATATCTTGTTGAAGTTTGTTCGGGGCATGAACGTCGTGAAAAGCTTGGGACTTGCGCGCGGATTTTCTTTCGCAACTTTGGCGTACGACAAAACCAAGGTGCAAAAGGCCAGCACATCATCCGTGACCATTTCCGGGCTAATGCCACCTGGACTAGTTTTGAAGTGCTCTTTCGTCACAAACATGAGATACTCATCCCCTTGGCCACTGAACCCATCGAGGACATTCCTTTCATCCACAGGGGGGTCTTCGAAGCTCTCTTTCATCAGGCTGTATAGCGCCTCCAACGGCATCCCCGCGGTGATTTGAGCCTGGAAATTCACTTTTTCGGGTAGTGTGTCGCTATTGGTCATGATCTTCCACGGATTGCAGTTGTTTTCGGCTATTTTGACCTGTCGTGCCGGTGAGTCGCTATCGCCGCTCCATGGGTACCAGTCAATCTGAAGCGGTTAGCAAGAAGCATCACGAGCCTGCTGGGCGGCTCTTACAAGATCCTGGGCGAGAGCTCCCGCGACCTTTGCGCCATTGGTTGCATCATCTGTGCTGCCTACTTTGACCTTGACGCCATCGATGATGTATTCAGCATTAAGTTTCCCCTCGGTGGAGATAGAGTCCGCAGTAAGCTTCCAGTTCGTGCCCGTTCGATCGGCAATGACCTTTCCCTTGGCTGCGAATGTATCCTCTGGGCTGCAAGTTGTTTCGAAGTAGAATTCAGGACTCTCAAATTCGGCGCCAATACCGGCTGTGCCATCTGTATTGACTCTGCCGAGATCGTTGGCCATCTCATTCTGGATTTCTATCTGGCAGTCCTCCAGAACGGGGGGGTCCGCGCGCTGTTTGAGTGGTGTGCGGATGACGGCTGCAGACGCTGTGAAGACGACTGAGGAACACAGCAGAAGCCGCATCGCAGAGGATGGCTTTGAGCGCATGGTGGCGAGAAGGGAAACTGATGCTGATAAAAGGGAGCAAATTGACGAGACGATGGAGATGATGTTGAAGCAGTGAAGAAGAAGCTGTGGTGTTTGTGTCGAGAAGAGATGCAAAGCATGTCCTCTTTATAGCCTTGATGTGAAAATACGTATCAATGCTGGGGATCAGAGTGAGCCCCCTCATACTGAGATTGAGAGCTGGAAATAGCATCCCTGAGAATGAGTTCTTCATGGCTCGCGCAGACGGCCGCCCCATTTTGTTGCGAAGGAGGCTTTTGCTTAGAAGAAACTCCAAGTCAGGATACGAATGGGACCGTGACGTAACGAAGATAGCGAAAGGTGGTATAATCCAAGGCTCAGATGGGGCGGTGATAGAGAGAAGGATTCAGCTAATGGCAAGACAAGGCCCCAGTCTGAATCACTCCATGTCACGAAATGGGATCGTGAACGCCCGGTCCTCGTCAAAGGCGCTTCCTTACTTCGATGAGTGGACATAACGAAGATCAGTCGGTTTAAAATGAGCCTGAAGCATAGGGCAAGGCCGGCTTGGCGAGGTGGTAAGCCTGGGCAGGCCCGTCCAATGGCCTCCCTTCCTTAGTCGCTAAAGTCCCAAGCAGGGTCTGTCCCAGAGGCATGACGTCAGCCCGAGACAACGTCTGCTATACATATCGCGGACCCCAACACTTCATCTTGGCACTGTGCGCCTAACCACGCTTTGGCTATCCAACTCCTTCCAAGGTCCTCACTCTCACGAGGTCGTCCACAACGTTGCTATGGCCTTGCTCGAATTAGCCGACGAGCTCCTCGCGCTCATCGTCGACCGTGTGATTCCAGAAGGCTTTGAGAACTTGTGTCTGTCCTGCCGCAAGTTTTACACCCTTTGCAAGCCCTTGCTCAAGCACCACAACGAGCTCCGCTCGCATTTCCGCAACTTCAATTATTTCGTCAAGGACAAATACCCTTCTCTCACCATCAGGACACCGTTTGAGCTCATTGCCAGAATCGCCGAAGAGCCAGTCGTTGCGCGCTACATCGAGTATGCAGATTTCAAGGCGGACCTTCGGATACCCGTTGGCAGACGCCTCTGGCTAATGGAAGAGAATGGCTATCGTCCTGAAACCGTCCGCAACTTATTTGCCAGTTCTCAGTACTTGTCAGGGACCGAGTGGCAGGACTACTTCGAAAAGTATGAACGAGGTCTGGAAGACAATCGCTATACTCAGGCTGCCTCTGCGTTCCTCCTGACACTGCTGCCCAACGTCAAGACTGTAGTTCTTCCATTTCGCTGGACTCACGACAAAGAAACCGAGAAGCTTTTGCAGGCCATTGTCCACCACGCGCGTCAACCCAACACTACTTCGACCAATGCCAGTCTCGCATTGGTGACCACCCTGAAGACTGGGTTCTCGTTTGCAATGCGGCAAGGTCTTGTCCTGAACAAGATCACTCCGCTCTTGGCCCTTCCACGCATCCACACATTCCACGGCCCCACCTCAACATCCGACATTGAAGCTCGCGAGCCCTCTTCTCCACGTCAGCCAATACCGCCTCCTGTGGGCGGGACACTGGAAATAGCCTATCTGCGCGGCTGCAACCTCGATGGTCCCACTATGCAACACTTTTTGCGCTACACGCCGCGCCTGAAAACGCTCGTTTACTCCCACTCCGATAAGCAGCTCAGTCGAATCTGGGATATCTGCGAGCTCGTTACGACTATCGGCGCAGAGGCGGGTAGCCACCTCGAAGAGCTGTCTATCACAAAGCACGAATTTAGCGGCAAGATCGCGCTTGGAACAGCGACCATGCGCGACTTCCCGCGTCTTCACAAGCTAGAGATCCCACTTGACCTTGCGACATGCGTCATTAGATCCGCCGACCACCTCGGAAGAAGTCCTGCAGCTGATGTAGATCAGTCTCAAGTCAATCTTCTGATGTGTGGCCTAGTCCCTGCTTCGGTCACTCGGCTGTTCCTAACATCAGACGAGTGGAAAAGCCACGACGATAACAACAATTCCACGGCCTTGTTAGAGATGATCGACGGGGTTCCAGTATTCGAGGGGAGGCCGCAACAGCACGAGCGAACCCTCGAAGCTATGTTCCAGGGTTTTGCTGATAAAAAGGACGCGCAATTACCTTGCCTCAAAGAGATTCGCATGTCTTGCCATTGGTCTGCCGACGAAGCTTTGAAAGTCCGATGCGAGAGCTTGCGTGCCGAGGTGGAAAATGTGGGCGTGGAAGTTCACGTTCATGCTAACCGGTGGAAGCAAGCCATGGATTATGCGGGGAGATCGCCGTAGAGATGGTATCTAGTGGAATACACATACCTCATACAAGGGAAAACCCGAACCGGTCTAGAGACTACATGAACATGGAAACACGCAAAGAGGGTGACCTAACGTCGATGTAGGCTCCAGGGTGTTCAGTTTTTCCTAGGTTGGCGTGCGCAGGCGTCTAAGGCTTCCTGATCGTAATGCAAGTTTCTTCATCCATAGCCCTCGATGACTTCCGGTGCCTTGCGTGTACCCCTTTGCTGACTGCCTGTCAGCAACTACGCCCTGCGGCTATGGAACGCCGCGCCGAAGTGGCGATGAGGTCAACAACGCTCTGAACTGGAACGAAAGTACTTAAAAGATGTGTAATCGATCCTGAATTTTGAGTATCAAGGCATGCCATTCAGCACGGCTTCGTAAACGCTGTTTCAAAGTAGATCGCCCGGGGCAAGAACAGTAAGACGACGAGGCGTCCAGTTTCGGAGACCGCGGCGAAACTTCTTTCCTTGCCAATGGCCCCAAAGTTACCTTGAACGATGCTCAATGTGACCACAATTACAGGGCTGTTCCGTGTCTTGTTCGCCAAGAAGTAAGATGGTGGCACAGAAATACAAATTTCTTGAAGAGGAAAAAAATGTGTAATGCTGTGCCTCTCAGCTGATGCGGGCCTGCTCACGAAGGATTGCGGGGCCAACACCTAGGTCTACTCGCATACCTGTAATCTATGGGCTTCGCCCCATCACGTCACGGTCAGGAATTAATAGACATTCAGTTTCAGCATCAGCACATACGAACAGATCCTTGCGAAAAGACTTCAAGTTCGAGCGCGAAGCCCACAAGAACATACTTGCGGCCTCCTCGCTCAGCCTTAACCGCCCCGCTACCATCAGTAGGTTATTCTCGGGAACGCCCGCCAACGCCCGTCGCAATTTGGGTCCAAACAAATTTTACCTACCTACCTAGGTAACTCGGCGGCACCCAAGCGCCGACTGGAAAACACGACCTAGATACATAGCGATACGTCATGCTGGAGCCTGCTACCGCGTCTTGGGATGTGAGCATCAGCAAGGCTGACTTTGCGAAGCTCAAAGCCGGGTTTGAGCCTCAAAACCAGGACCATAAATGGCGTATCTGGCACACACAGGAGGGGCATAGTAACAACACCCTCATCCACTATGCGCGGACTGGAACGGGCACTAAAATGTATATTCTCCATGTCAAGCCAAATGACGGTGATGGGAACATTGGTGCGAACATCACAGCGATCACCTGGACACAGAAGAAAGGCGGTACCACAATCTCGGAGATGCAGGGCAAAAAGCACGCCATCATTATAACAAGAGCTGTGCTCGACTGCGACATCGAAGCGCTTCCAGAGTACAGCTTCAAGGATATCTGGAACCGTTCCGCAGCCACACTTCCTGTGGATGAGCAGAGAAAGCGAGACTCGGACGCGTACCTCGAGAAACTTAAGAACAATTGATGAGCTAGCATTGGCTTCCCAGCGATGTTAACACTTGCACGAGAGACGCCATTCAATGTGGCTGAACTTGGATGCACCTGGCGTGCACGGCGTCTCGGGCGTGTAGCGGATCACATTGCCAGTTTGGAGTTGGTTTAGACAAGCTCTAGTGTGGGTCAAGCTTTGGAGGGGCTCGCTTGGACGAGCTTTTGCGGGGATAGCAACGGGTTAGGGCCGGTTGACCATGGAGCTCTATCAGCTCTATCACGGCATAGATAAACAGATTGGCCTTGCTATAAGTTGCGATATCGCTCTTACTCATCGGCGATCTCTTCGTCTCTTGCCATCTTACTGTTCCCTTCAACATATGCCGTGATTGTGTGTGGTGTGACAGAACTCACATTTACGCGTCGCGTCTCCCCGCATTAGCTCCCCGCAGTGTCAACACAGCTACACGCCGTCTTTCTACCGACAACAACTATCCTGACGACGACCGCGATGGCGTCTCTCGCTCGCAGTGCCGGGCGTATTCAAGCTCCGGCTCTTCGCACAAATGCTCGTGTAGCTTCAAGGGCACCAATTGCAACACAGAGAAGACATGCTTCAGCAGCAGCAGCCGCTGTTGCAGACAGCGGCGAGCATTCCTTCTTCCCAGATGAGCCTCGACAGCCGACTGTAAAGACTCAAATACCTGGCCCGGAGAGTAAAAAGGCTATCGAAAGACTGAGCAAGGTTTTCGACACCAGAAGCTTGAACATGATGGCCGATTACTCGCAAAGCTATGGCAACTAGTACGTCCTCCATAGATTCAGGAAAGAATGCCAATTGACATTTTCCAGCATCGCAGACCTCGACGGCAACGTCCTCCTCGACGTATACGCCCAGATCGCCTCCATCCCCGTAGGTTACAACAACCCGTCCCTCCTCCTCGCCGCCACTTCCCCCGAAATGGCCTCCGCCATCATCAACCGGCCCGCACTGGGAAACTTCCCGCAGCACGACTGGGCCGACATTCTCGAAACCGGCATCCTGTCCGTCGCGCCCAAAGGCCTCAACCAAGTCTTCACCGCGCAAGCCGGATCCGACGCCAACGAGCTCGCCTACAAAGCAGCCTTCATGTGGAAGCGGCAACAACAACGCGGCGGCATCGACGCCGACTTCTCCGCCGAAGACATTTCCTCCTCCATGAACAACAAAGCCCCCGGCGCACCAGACATGTCTATCCTCTCCTTTAAAACGGGTTTCCACGGCCGCCTCTTCGGCAGTCTCTCAACCACCCGCTCCAAACCCATCCACAAGCTCGACATCCCCGCCTTCGACTGGCCACAAGCCCCCTTCCCAGTCCTCAAGTATCCCCTGCATGAGCACGAGGCCGAAAACGCAGCAGAAGAACAGCGCTGCCTCGACGAAACCGAAAACATCCTGCTGAACTACCATTCACCCCCCGCCGCCGTCGTAATCGAGCCCATTCAATCCGAAGGCGGCGACAACCATGCCACCCCCTTCTTCTTCCGCGGCCTGCGCGACCTAACCAAGAAACACAACGTCCTCCTCATCGTCGACGAAGTGCAAACCGGCGTCGGCGCAACCGGCAAATTCTGGGCCCACGAACACTGGGGGCTGTCCTCGCCACCGGATATGGTTACTTTCAGCAAGAAAGCACAGACAGCGGGGTATTACTTTGGTAACAATGATCTCAGGCCTAATAAACCGTATCGCCAGTTTAATACTTGGATGGGTGATCCTGCGCGCGCCATCCTGTTCCGATCCATTATCCAGGAGATTGGGCGGATGGATCTTGTTAACAACACTGCGGCGACGGGTGACTATCTCTTTGCGGGTTTGCAACGATTATCCGAGAAGTTTCCTCAAGACATTCAGAATCTGAGGGGCAAAGGACAAGGCACGTTTATTGCATTTGACAGTGTGAGGAGGGATGAGGTGCTCAGGAAGGCGAAGGGCGAGGGGGTTAATATTGGAGGGTCGGGAGAGAGGGCTGTTAGGTTGAGGCCGATGCTCATCTTCCAGAAGCACCACGCGGATCTTTTGCTTGAGAGGTTGGAGAAGGTTTTCCATTCTTGAGACAGTGTATAAGTCGTGGAATTATGGACCTGGGATGATGATGTGATGGATGATTATCATCTTGGGATGAACAAAGTGGAGTTCAAAGGCGTTAGTAGTTGTATTCGGACTTTTGATAGGAAGTAATGACGATGATGCTCAATTTCGATCCACTCTTTGTTTGTAAACACTGGACTCCAGTATGGAGGTATGTAACATTTCAGACTTGGGCATGTGACAACCTAAAACCCACCACTCTTCGTCCGAATTTACCTTTCCAAACAAATCACCGACTTCTCGTAAACCAGCTGCCCTGAAATCGGGCAGACGCGAGGACCGGAGGTAAGAAAACCACGCTAGTTAACCCCGTCAAAAGTTTCGCGTCAAGATACCTTGGGAGCTCGCTCCAACATTTACACGCTTCTTACCCAGACAATCGCGCGCACGCTCACACGCCCCTCAACATGGCGCCGATAGCTACTCAGCCGACCTCTGCCACCAGAACAAACTCCACCACGTCTACAAACGCGCCTGACACCGCAGACCCAGACACAGCCGTACCCGACGCAACTCCCACCACCACCAGCACGACCAAAAAACGCAAACGCAAAGACAAGTCCTCCGAAAAACAAAATCACATCCTGCACCAGGCCACATTCCGGAAAACAGCTTGGACCTACTTCCATGTCGTCCTTCTCACACCAGGAACCGCTTCGTTACCTCCCACAACCAACTCCACCTCTCCTTCCACGACCACTACCTCGCTATCCCCACTCCTAACATCCACCCTCCTCACCGCGCCTCTCCGCGCCTACCTCGGCATCACAGGCACTGCCATACCCATCGACATGCTCAAGATAAGCGGTCGGGAAGTGTGGTTGCGTATTCCGCGGCAGGATGCACGTGGGTTTCGGGCTAGTTTGAGTGGATGGGTGGGGAGTTGTGAGGGAGACGAGATTCCTGGGGTAAGTGGAGAAGGGAAGGGACTGGGCAGAGTGGGTGTTGCGTGGAGGGTTGTGGGGGAGGGTGGTGTGCTGGGGTGTTTGGCTGGGAGCGGGGATGGAGGGGATTTGTTTGGGTGAAGGATATACTTTGGGGTGTATGAAGATAACGGTACACATGGCTTGAACGGGCATGGTAGTGCGCGGCAGTGGTCATTTGAAAAGACTCGCGCACAACTAAGGGGAAAAGGGTGACCAGCGCGGTCGACAAGGAAGAGAGACACGCCGAAGCGCCAATCCGCGACGCGGTCCAAACACGCGCAGTCACTGCCCCTCGAACTGCAAAGACACGAGCCAAGAGACGAGAACAGGCGGCAGAGGATGGATGCGGCAGTCGAAAGCGAGATTACAAGCACACCCACCCGTCACTATTACAGTCCCAAGGCCAAAGAGTCACGGATACTGCTATGCCAGATCACAAAGACGACATGAGGCAGAACTCAGGAAGAGAACAAAGATGATTCAATCTACACAGTTCAGAAAGGTATCTCTAGTAAGACCAAGACGCGATGTTCAAAACACTGAACATCGTCCGTTCCTCTCTCATCGTGGCACCGTCATACCGCAATCTACCCAAGACCGTGTATCCTTTATCCAAGTACCGCGCAACGATTCGCTCGATCGAATGCGATAGGTTTACTGCCAACCCGGCTGAGGAGTGTGGTGGCTCGGCGGTCCTCCGTACCCAGCCTGATGGCCGCCAGGAGGAGGAGGATACTGTTCGCCACCTCCGTATTGGTTGGCGTGTGTGGGAGCACCGCCGTATTGGTTGTGCTGATGGTTATCGTAGTTTGCGGCGCCGCCGTAGGGACCGGTTGGTGCGCCGTATGCCGGACCTCCGTAGCCAGCTAGATGAATGTTAGTTCTCACGCAACTCTGTCTTCGCGAGTATCTTTGTCATACCTTGTTGTCCGTACCCGCCTGGTGGGCCGCCTGCCGGTGGTCCTTGACCGTAGCCTGGTGCTGGCCCACCGTATCCTGACTGTGCACCGAATCCAGCTTGCGGGCCGTAGCTTTGGTGCTGGCCGTGTTGACCGTGCTGCTGCTGCTGCTGGGGCGGAGAGTGTTGTGCGCCGTAACCTCCGTGGGCTTGGCCCTGACCGTATTGTTGTCCGGGACCGGGAGATGAGTAACCGTGGCTTGGAGGGCCGCTGCCGTACTGGCCGCCTTGAGCGCTGGGGTTGTAGGACGTTGGCGGCGCGGTGCCGGTGTAGGTGCCGCCTGACGAGGCACCGGAGTAGCCGTAGTCGCCGTTGTTGGGCTTGTTGTGCTAGATATTGTCAGCGTGTTTCCTTGAGCCGTAGCTGATGTCCATACCGATGATCCTCCACCAAGCACACTTCCAAGCATGCCTCCAAGACCACCACCGCCGCTCGATGCGTGGCCAGCGCTGCCACCATGCTGACCTCCAGAACTTCCATGCTGCTTCCCACCACCTAGGAGACCACTAGCCAGCTGTCCAACAAGCTGTCCCGCACCACCACCACTACCAGAGTGACCCCCAGAAGAACCACCATGTTGTTTCCCACCTCCGAGGAACGATCCAGCGAGTTGACCGACAAGGTTTCCCGAGCCACCGCCACCATGTCCACTATTACTCTGCTTGTTACCCATGAGCGCGTTCATCGCAAAGCCCTATCTCCATTGTCAGCCAACGCCCGATTGATGCCCAAGTATCATGTCGCATACGCCCAGTCCGCCTGCCCTGTCGCCAGTCGGGCCGTCGCCCATGCCTCTTTGTCCGTCGCCTGCATCGGGACCTGAGGTGCCGGGTACGTTGTATGGGTTCGTCTGTTGCGCGGGTGTGCTGTGGGACGAGGAGCCGCCTACGGGCGCTTCGCTTGTGGGCAGTTCCCATTGCGAGACGCCGGTGCTGATCTGGACATCTATCGCGGCGGTGTCAGTATGCTTTGCTTCGTTTGTGGGTCGAGGCGTGGTTGGGGAGGTAGATCGCGCGATGATGCGGTCAAGGCTACGTACAGTAATACTTTCGGGATCTGTGGTCTATGTTAGTTTCGTGTCGCGGGGCATGTGGTGCGAAGGCGGGGCAGCCAGCGTGGCCTCTGTCATTCTGCAGAGGGAGACGTACGAGTTATCCCACTGCGCTATCCATCCAGCGGGCAGCTTGGGAAGCGTAGGGTCGGTAGGGCCCGAGTCTGGCGAGACAGGCGGGATGGGAGGTGTGGGTACCGCCATGTCGCCGGTGTGGAGAGAGCAGATGGCGGGGTAGAAAGGGGGAAGCGAAAGCGAAGGGAGGAGGAAGAGTATAAGAGAGGTTCGGTATAGGAAGAGAGGCGGCCGGAAATATCAATACATCGCAGCCAGCGGTTATATGACAGGAGTGCGAGCAGCAATGGGCGGGTGGTCCTTGTTAGCGGTCATGGTGGGGATTGGCTAGGATGCTGGGACGCTCTGCGAGGCTGTGCACTTGCGCAGTCACTCGAGTGACGCATGTCTCGCGGGCGAATGTGTTTCTTCAGCTGCCTTGCATCGCTGCTATCACAAACAAGCTAATCACATTCACACGGCAAACCCGATGATCGCTTAGCATGGCTGTATCCTACATGTGGCTGAGACAGCTGCCAAACGGTTCCCAGAGCCCGACCTTTGCGCCCGATGCAACCCAATACTAACACACGGATATCTGAATAACCAACCACATAAACGCCTCCCTAATGCATAGTTCCTGTCTTGATCCGAGCATGAATCCCAAAGCCCGACGCCCGTGGTATCTGTACAAGACGTCATACCCACACCTGAAACCCAAACACCCAAGATTACTCATTAATGAAAGTGGATCACCACGCATACCCGCCTCCATCATCATTTTCGTTATCGTTGCCGTTCCACTCCTCATCCCCACTGGGCTCTGCGTCAAGGAAGTCGGCCTCGTTGAAGATTTCTTCGCGTGGTCGGAAGTTGTCGATGCGGAAGATGACGGTGTGGCATCGGCCTTGCACAAAAGGCTCTTCTTCATCTGAAGCCGACTCTTCCGCCGAGGCAGCGTCTTCGTTGGATTCCTCGTCGTAGCTCAAAGCTGCTTTTGAGCGAGAACGAAGACGCTTCGACCCCCAACATTCGTCCTGCTTCTGCGCGCGTGATGGTACCAGAGGAACATCACTATCGCTACCACCAGCGTCGTATGCCATGACTGGGTCAGCCTTCTCCGCCATATCCTCGGAGATGCCTTCAATGAAAGAGTCCACCTTCTCCCCATCGTCGCCGCGAGCCTTCGATTCTCTAAAGGCCTTCAGAGATGCAAGATTGGGATCAGGTGTTTCCCACTTTCTGGCAAAGACCTTCTTGAACTTCGCAGTCCACTTTTGTCTAAACTCGGCTCTCTGCCGCCAGTCGGTGTCCACCATTGCAATGATAGTAATTTCCTGGAGCCGGGGAAGTTCTTCAGCAGAGTTGATGAGCGAGCTGAAGAAGTTGTCCGCAGACTTGGAATTCCAGTTCCGCAAGTACTGACAGTCAAGAGTACGGAGTGATGTTGGCCAGCTAGGCATTTCGTTCTCGCCAAGAAGGGTCTCGTAGAGAGGCTCGTTATCTGAGGACATGACAAGGGAGCTGTAGTAGGTAGTGTCCATCCTGAGAACCTCGAGCTTTGGACAGGACCGTTTCAAGTCGACTAGGAATGACATGTCGAGAGCCTGGTTGTGATTAAGGGTTAGCTCCTCGAGGTGAGAGCCATGTGTAGCCAGAAAAGCCTGGAATGCATCAGAGAGTAGCTCGCCGCAGTTGATGATGCTGAGGCTGGTGAGGTCAGTGGGCAACAATGGAAGCAGACGCCCGCTAACAACACCACAAGTCTCGAAGGATAGGCTTCTGAGATTAGGGAGCACCGCCAACGCAGATGCTAGCAGCTCTTCCACTGTCGGTCCACCATCGTCCTCTTCTGGATCCTCGCGAACAACTTCGGGGTGGAATTTGACGAGAGACACATCGCGGAGGCTTTGGAATGCTGTTCCATCGTGGATGGTCTTGATCCATAGAGGTCCTTGACTACAGAATGTGCTATTCCATCGCCAACTTCTCAAGCGGAGGCTGGTCTGGCGAAGGGCATCAAAGAGCTCAGTAGGATATACCCAGCGCCGAAGTCGCCTAAGCCGCGGGCGAAAGGGTGGCCGATCCATAGGATCGAAGATGTCAATCTCCCGCAGTGTAGTTAGTGACCGGACCAAGTCCGCAAGATCGGTCACGCTATTTGCATGGTCCGTCAAAGCAGTCATTTGTGTAGCATCCAGCTCCAATCTTTTGACCATGACCCGATAGTCATCATGAGCCCCTGGTGGAGGAGTGATCAGATGGTGAACGAGGTCTTTGCGCGTCTGCCTGATAGCAAATATGGGCGGATTGCGGTACAGAGCCGTCAGAGCCGGCTTTGTAAAGGTCGAGCACAATCTGGCCATCTGCACAAGCCATGGAATCGCTGTGGTAGGCTTCATATTCTCGTCGTGAAGCGGGTGGGAGGCGTACACGAAGATCTGGAGGAGTACGTGATAGGGTAGGGAAGCCCAAGCCTAGATGTGAGGATTAGCACGAATGCAGCCATCAATTGCAAAAGACATACCGGCTTGTGTCCATCAGAGGGGATAGTCGTCTTGCGCTCGACCTGACTCTCCTTGTTTGGCTTCAGCGGTGCGCCTATGACAGCTTTCCGTCGCGATCTACTCCTCTTGGTACCTCCTATCTTCTCTGGTCTTGATGATGGCGCCGCAACTGGGCGCGACCTCGTCCTCAATGTCATGACGCGCTCGTCCTCCAGCTCGAAGTCGGCATCAGGGTCCTCTTCATCTTCCTCGTCTGAGCTGACGTCCTTGTATGATATCCGTGGAGCTCCTCGAGTTCGTGAGCTCCGTGAGCCGCGTTGCTGCTTAATAGGGGCAGATTCTGGCGGAGAGTGATCGCTTTCGCTGGCGGCTTCATCGTCGGCTGGTGGGCGGCGAGTTGATCGGCGAGTAGGGATGGTGCGCTTTCTGGTGGTCTGCTCGGAGCCGGAGCCTTCGGAGAGATCTTCGTCACTGCTCGGCTCCTTATACGAGACTGTGCCGCGTTTGCGCTTCAGTGTGACCGCCATGTCGTACAAGGTACGGTCCAATGACTGTGGTGGGCCAGCTCGCAAACTGATTGGCGGTAAGTCCTGCCTATAGGGGGCACCTAAGCCCTCGGACGCAGTCGCGGGGGTGCATAGAGCAGACCAAAGTGTGCGTCAAAAGTGTGGGAACTGAGAGTGAGTGTTGCGATAGTGAAATGTCGATGCATGCGGCCTTCGGAGGTAACAGGCCATCAATGAGATCATCCGGGATCCGCCAGCCGATGCGGCTTAGCCGTGTCGCCCGTGCACGTGACACATGCCACAACACACTTTGCCTGCACACACCCGTCAGGAGTGTGGGGTGTCCGTGGTGTTCGCATTGCTGCACAGTAAAGCTCGCAGATAGTTGCAATTCAGCATCTCGCCGGCAGAGCGCTGTCTGCTTGTGCGCTATCGCGTCGTCCCCGGTAGCCGTCGCGCGCCACAAACCTCTGCGAAACATCAAACACGAACCCCGTCAACACAAGACATTCAACTCTTTGTCGGCTAATTTCAAAGCAAAAGGACCAAATTGCGTATTTGTTGCGCGTCTGATTATATCGTGGGACAGGCGCACGCAGTCCAGGGGCGTCAGACCGCTAGAACAACAACAACCCTGCTTTCTCGCGATCTTCACTTCCGCGCCCAATCTCCATCTGCAACAACACTCTGCACAGCCGCGCAGGACCGCAGTAACCCCCATCTTCTCTCACCTGGTCCCACCAAATGTGCGCTCTCACCACACATTCTCGGTTGCTGTAGGATGCAACTGAGCAACCAATCAACTCTGTAAGAACCATAGTTTCTCAACAAATGAGACATTCTCTAACATGCATGTGCACTGGCAGAGCATGCTAGAACGGCGAGACAGGTTTTTTGGCAACATCATCTTCTACGATTACCTGTACAAGACGAAGAGATTACCGTTCCTGGAGCGAAACCGGAAACAAGTGCAGCAGGGCCGCTCGCACAACCAAAACGAAGATAACTGCTCACAGACAGGACCTCGCCTTCGTTCCCAGTGGCAGCCTCCATCCTGGGATCTACTAGACGTTATGATCTCAGCAGAAAAATCTGGGGGATCCTTCGTTCTTGAGGTGCACAGTATCCGGCCGCTGAACGCCCCGCAAGCTTCTCAGAATGGTCGAACCAATGATCCAGCCCGGAAAGTGCGGAACATTCTACGATTGACGACCTCCATCAAAACGTCAATCGTTTCATCGTCGACCATGCCCACCTGCAAGAATCCCCCAGATCAGGAAGCAACACTGCGAGGATTCGATAGGTCCGAAAAGGAAGCTTCAATCGAAGTGGAGCCCATTGTCATTGATCGCGAGAGTTGGTACACTGATCCCACCAAAATCGATGAGGACGATATTCACATGATCATGCTGAGTATCAATTTTGAAACCCACGACGACGTCAAGGATCTATACGATTTCATGGGCGTCAAAATCTCAGATGCATCAGCTCGTCTTTCGACGTCGTATGGGAACATCTTCGACGTGCCACAAGAAAGGATAACCTTACCACTGAAAGCATCTGGGAAACAACTCGGTATCGGGCTAGAAGTCAGTATGTACTGGATTCCACTCAAAAGAGACTCGGTCTTGACGAGCTACAACCGTCACCTGAAAAGCTCTATGCAGCCTCCCAGCTCATATCCTACACCACCTCTCGATATGGAACCCCGCTACAAACTCATATTTGTGTACGGGAATGATACTCTTGAATTATCAGAGCTCATGTGCCCGCATTGCTCGAAGAGAAAAACCACCGACATTGACGATCTTAAGATGCACCTAATAAGTTGGCACGACTATTTCGACTATCAGGTCTCCCTTGAGCAGGTCGACGAACACGGGGTGGAGCACTGGCGATTCGAAAGTGAAGTGGCGAACTACAGAACGGACCAGCGTCAACGTGCAAGTGACAAGGCCGACGAACCTTACGATGTGCGCGTACTTGCACCACCCAAACCCTTCGACAGACGAAGGTTTTTGGCAGGCGACAACGAATTTGAAAGAGCTGCGAGACTTGGGAAAGCAACCAGAAACGCAAAATCAAAACTCGCCCCAAGTGGTCAGCAAGTCGCGCCTGCACCCAGGATACGCAAACCTCCAGACCACGTACAGTCGAGACCACAAAGGGAGAGGAAGAAGTTCGTTGTACCGAAACCGCCGAAAGGGATCACTTTCTTCCGATCTCTCAGCAAAAGACCTCTTCAGCCTGGCGAAGTCATTAGTGAGAGTGATGACGAGCTGGACGAAGAATGGTTGTATCGCTGGAAGCACGCAGAGATCGACAAAGCAAACCTGCCAGAAACAGCCAAGCGATTCTTGAAGCTCTTTGATGACTTTATGCACGAAGAGAGTCTGCAATCAGACATACACGCGGGAGACGCCATCGTTCGATTCGCAAGAGAATGTGGTGTACGGATATGGCAGGACAGTGTCATGAACGAATTCATGAAGAAGCTCGATGAGCTGTTGGAGGAGGATATCATTTCGAAGGAGGTACACAGCAAAGCCTTGGAGATAGTCAACGAACAGGAGACAAGCGTTCATGGAGCCAACGAGTTATCTCAGCGATTGGAACAGCTCGATGTTCAAAACCAAGAGACATCTGTCGGCTCCGCCTACCTAAGGGCAGGTACAGGGTCTGCGCCGAAAAGGGACAGGAAGGGGAAGAGAAAAGCAAGAGCCACAGCTCTTGATGACTCCTTTGATGACGTTCTTGCCGACGTCTTAGGCGCTATTGACAGGTCATACCCACGAGCGCGTAATGGCTACCTGACTCCTACGACTCCAGACCCCGATGGCGACATGGACATGAGCGAAGCACTGCCACAGATACTCGAACAAGCACAGGACCCACCTCAAGATGAGGATGACGATCCACCATACGGCTTATGTTACTGTGGCCAAGATGCATCGGCGACACCAGGGTCGGGTATCATCACCTGTAATGACACCGTAAGCATTGCAACCCCCGAAGCATGGTTAAAGTACCATCGTCAACTAACATCTCAACAGGACTGCATCCGGCAAATCTTCCACCGGGCATGCGTACAACACCACACCCAAACACTACTACCCAACCATATCCACAAACCACGCGACTGGACTTGTCCCGACTGCAAAAGTGATTGCGTTACGGCGAGTTAGCTTCTCTCCGTCGAAGAATCTATGGCGCCGTAGCAAGGCATCCATCTCCTTGACTCTTATCTCGAGCATATATGGCGTTCTGGGAGGGGTAGTGAGCAATGAGCTTAGCATTGATATGCATTTTCTGCTTCGGCGAACTATCATCAGTTCCTTCTATCCTTTCTTGATACCACAGCATTTTTGGGTGGGCTTTTACTTCGGCGTTTGATGTTGTGTTCAAGGCTGTTGCTTTGGCGGCATGGGATGCATATTGCGAGCATGGCGTGTGTGCTGGTTACTGAGGCTGATATATCCTACCAATACCATCATTGAAAAGTTCTGTCTCTTCTGATACGCATCGGAGTTGAGCGCCGCCTTTGGCTACATACCGTACTCATTTCGTCTCTGCGAACGGAACATCGAATCTAATGCATGTCATCACCCATACGCAGTAATCTCATCATCGAGATATCAAGCAAGCGCACGCGACAACCAATGCCAGTCCCTCATATCAGCATCTATACAACCGCAACTATATTAACACCCATTTCCTCGTCCCTTGCTCGCCTAATATCTCCCGTCTTGGGCATATACCACACAACCACCATGTCAATATCAATCACAACTTCATCACCCCATAGCATGAATACCATACCTTTCCCCAGACCTGCACACACCCTTCGCAGATATCGTCGATACACATGCCACACCTCTGCCCCATCATCACGCACGCACCGACCTTCCTAGTTCAGCCCCACTGACCCAATTGAGCAACAGTATAGATTGTTCTGATGCAGAAACCACATTGATTCTATGCAGGTACAAAGTGCCCTTCATATAACGAATCTGCAGGCTGCGTGTTGGGGTATTTACATTTCGGATGCTGCAACCGAAGTTTGCAGGGCTAAGCGGGAGAGAGGATGGCAAGGAAGGCGGATCGCGATGGATGGAGTGTGGTATAGACCGCGCCTGGCTATATGACGATCAGGGTAATATACGGGCGCGTCTATGGATATGATCGCCTAGGTACGTATGGATTAGGGATAGGTGAGGGTGTTTCACGTGTAAGCGAGAAGCGAGGCAGACGACGGGCGTAGCGCTTCAGCGAAACATGATGGAGGTAGGTAAATGGGTGGTGTAGATGACGAGTGTGGAGCGTGTAGTAAGATCGCGAGCTTAATGTTTGTTTCGTTGATATTGACGAGGATGTGTATCTACATCTACATGCTAAACTCTACATGCTGCAACAGACGCGCCTTCACACCTCCCATCCCGCGCACTTCAAGCAGCGACAACGAACCACCCATCTACCAACCACGCACACCCCCCGCATCTCCTCGAACGAAAACGGAAACGGAAACGTCAAGAGCGCTTGGTCCAAGCGTAAATCGTCCTATCCCTACCTTAAATTCCCATCTTGCCTTCCTCCGTTCCTTCCTTCGCTTCTTCCTTCCTCCTTCCTACAGTACCTTCCCCTTCCAGCTACCAAGGCGCCACCAGCTCACATGTCCGCTCCGGAAAAAGCTTGCCCCAGAGAATAACGTGTATTGGCAATATCGCAGTTGTATGATCCAAAACACTGGCGTCATTGAGTGCGGCAGGACAGCGCAGCGTAAAATCGAACACCTGGTTGCTGGGACGGTGTCACAAAACGTTATGTTGATATTTAGCACGGCGACGGTAAGGTTACTTAGCCAGTCAGTCAGCCTCGTTTTATGCCGTTAGAATTCATTAACACGGCAGATAAAGGGCGCCGTCGTGGATTTTAGTAGAAACTCTCCAGAGGCCGGGGAATTGGTAAAGTATGTTTTTTTTGACGTCGCATTCGCGTTGTGTAGCCCGTTGGACTAAGGAGATGATTAATTCCTTAGGCTGAGGCTGGTAGTGGAACGACGAGGAAAGGCACTGGTATGCTAGGCGCGATGTGGGGTAGGTTCGGCGCGCAAGATCTGATACGTTGCGGCCGATGATTCTGGAGTTAAGGTTCCGTCATCCCCCATCCCCTGGTCCGCGCTTGTACAGGGTGTGGTGTGTGCTTGTTGTGTCAACGAACATTCATTGCAAATCGCAAGAGTGACATTCCAGAAATTTGACGGGCATTTTAGCCGCAATGTTTACCACAGGCTAAGTTGGTTGGACAGGCGATGGCTGTCTGCGTCTGCTGCTGCTGTTCTGCAGTTTCGGTGTTGGGACTTGGTCGATGCGTGCATGCGTTGGCGTCATGTCGACTCCCCTTTCGTGCTGCAGCAGTAGTCTGCAGAGACAAGTGCGTAGCCGCAAACGCAACGCTGCAACTCGAGTCATTTCCTCACGAGTCTCTCAACCAATACTCATAGCTCTTTTCTGCCGAAACACTTCCGGTGAAAATGGAGTAGACGTTTGAAACTGTGGATGCCGATTGATTGTTAGGTGTGGAGGTTGTTTGGGAGGGCGCTTACATGCAGATTGCCGAATAGTTTTGCGCGGAGTAGCGATGGTACCCCTGCGTCGCGACCTTGTGTATGAGGTACGAGAACGGGCGATAGTAGTACCGGAACTCGTAGGGTATTCATAGGTGAAACAAGACCCGTTGCTCGTGTCGCGCGCCGCGGCTGGCGTCGCCTTACGGTGCCCAGTTCGGGATCCCAACCACTTCCTACGATGCCTTCCTGGTCAGCCTGCAGGAACTCGATGTCGTGAAATGCTAGTACTCGCTAGATGAATGGACACCAGGATACGTACATTGACACGCAGGAGCGGTGTGCGACATGGTACGAGGGATGCTCGCTCAAAGCGATGGGAAGCCTGTGGAATGATTGGCCGTGGCCAAGTCTACTATTGATGCTGTTGCTAATAGGTGCTTTTTGTACAGAGGCCGTAATGCGGAACTGATCGGAAATCCATCTATCGTACACGTTGCGGAAAAAACAAGATGGCTGGCATAGGCGCCTTACTGCCGGAAGAGATACGAAAATACGAAACTCTTTAGTCGTGAAGATAGCGATACTAAGACATTAGGTAAAGGCTCGTCATATCTCGACTTTCGTAGTGTCGACATGCAGTCAATGAAGAAAGGAATGAATAAAGTGTAGCAAGGAAATCGAGCTTGACAAGAAATGATGGTGTGTCTGGGGACAAACTGCCCCAGAGCTGCAATAACAACATGAACATGATGCGCGCGCTTGACTAGTGCTCATCAATGGTAGTAGCAAGCGTAAACGGCAGAGCGTACCTCCATGTGTCATGGCCATAGGTCATCGTGAGTGCGTAAGTAAAGTCGTTGACGGAACGCTTTCAAAACAGGATTACCGCCGTATGTTGCTTTTGGACGAAAGAAACGCTTTCATATGCCGACCGTGTCTTTAAACGAGTGAGGTGTCGTAGTTCGTGGTTGAGTCTCTTCGACCCCTTCCATGCGCACATCTCTGTCCCTGGATTCTGATGAAGTTGGCAAGGGCGCAGAGATGGGCGTGTATGTTGAGTATGCCTGGCTGCGATTCGGGTCGCCAGACCCATATGCGAGGGGGGATTCCATTTCGCTGGTTGCGCGATGCTTCTCTAATTCCAATGGTGTTGGCCTTGTTCGTCTTCTCTTCCCTGATGAGGACTCTGACCCGTGTTCTACCCCGATTTGTTGTTGTGGTGTCATTGCGGGAGCCAGTTGTGAAGGCGCTGATGGCGGAGGTGTTCGATCGTGCGGCCGAGGATCCGGTCCGAGTGGTGACGGTTCAGGTGGTGCCGTGATGGATTGTCTCCCCCTCCTTGGTGGTGGGTACACCTCACCCCTCGCAGCAGCCTCTTGCGCTCTCTGTTGCGCCTCCGCTTTTGTAGGTCTTCCGCGCTTCTTTTTGTTCGCTGGTTCGCCAGATGGGTTTATAGTAGATGTGTAGGTAGGGCCGGCAGGCATAAAATCTCCAGGGTAGGAATGAGGGGGTCGAGGTTGTAGTAGGCGGCCAATAGGCGTGGAGGCTTCTTGCTGATGGGGTCGTTTTCTCGAGAGATCGGGCGCAGGATATACCATTGGGGCAGGTAGCTGGGGGCGTCGGTAATCTTGTCCAGGCGCGACGAAGTTGGTTGCGAGACTGTCAAATGCCATCTGGCTAGAGCGAACCGATCGGCCTGCGTCGCGTTAGCATATTATTCTTGTGTACAGATACCGTGTAATGCTATAAGAAGGAACGTGTTTGCGAAAGCGCAGAGGACCAAACATACCAGGAGGTAAAGCCATGTCGTTCCATCGTGGCTGGATGTTGGCGTCGCGTATAAATTGAAAGAGAACGTGAGATGGTACGGGGGCCGCTTTTAGTACTTCAGCAAGTAAATATACCTGATGTGGTTGAATTAGTGACTTATTCATGGCGAATGGGTGTGTTACACTGGGTGAGAGAGGTACGTACCTTTTCATGCTCTGCCCATGGTGGCTCGCGCGAGCTCGAGGGCTCCATGTCGTGATCCTCGATACGCTCAAAATACGCGAGGGCAGAGACTAAGAAGTAGCTACGGCAAAAGCTTGCTGTATGCAACCAGACTAATCGAGCATCGATCACAAGGCCGTAAAGTCAGTGGACCGGCGCGAAGAGCGACGCGCCCTCGCGCGCGGTTGTATAGCTGCGTCTACCAACAGAACAAACGAGAGTGCTGAAACGAAAGAGTAACGAGCGGTAGAAGAAGAGCACTAAAATCAAAGAAACCTGCGGCGGGCTCTGGTTGTCGATTTCATGCCAGCAGGCAAGAAGTGTGTGTCAAAAGGGACCACATGAGGCTGGGTCAAAATAATTAGGAGAGACAGCTTCCCGTGAGAGATTACTGGGGATAGCCACCCGGTATGTTATACATTAGCGGCTTCTCTTCAAAGACGAATGGGACGCGACTAGTCCCCACACCCAGCACGCAGCTTCCAAGACTTCACGCACGGTATCTGTCTAAATCAGTACTTGTCGCAAATCGATAACGAGGGCTACGTATGTAACCTAGATCTGGCGGCGCTTTACCCCATCTCGAAAGCCTCTGTGGATGTTCGAAAACGATTGCGCAAACCGATGAGCCAATCGCCTAGAAGGCAGGGCCAAGCCGTGTCTCACCAGCCCCGGATGGTTTAGCCTGAGACCAACGGCCCTTCCCTTGCAAACCAGGCCCCTGCCTTCCTTTTTCCTCATGTACGCTGCCGCCTTTTGTCTCGGGGGTTTGACAGTACCGTGTTGCTCCAGATGACCGCAAGCGTAGTCGCAAGGAGGCTGAACTGTCGCTACGCGCAGCAGCGCTGGTATCCTGCACGCAATCTGGCAAGAACGGTTCAGCGCGGATCGTCATGACCGCGTCGCGCCAGATGGGGCAGCGGAAGACGGCCTTGTCATCCCTGTCAACCGTGCGATGTGTAGTCTGTTCCAGGACGGCTGCGTGAAAGATGTGTAATGAGAGGCACAAACTTCGCAGCGGCGTAGCTTGACTCTTTCTTTCTTTCTTATACCTGGCGAGCAACTACAGGGCGCGCATGCATAGACACGTAGCACTCACCCAGTGGTCTTCTTCACCGTATGCTACGCGGAGCCAGTCGAGACAGTCGACGATCGGGAGCGGGCCGCGACTCGGCATAGCCCCCAATGGCATTCACGAGCGTCCGCTAGATGCAAGTGACTGCTCTCATAGCGCAGTTGTGCCGCTGATTCGCAGCGAGTGACACTCTGGGCCGTGTAGAGGCGGAGGTGAGCCGGTGCGGCCAGGTCAGCTGTCGTGCCGGCGTCATGGGTGCTGCTGTGTAGGAGTTGTAGCCGTTCGGTGAAAGTTTGCGCTAGTATACTTGTGGAGCCGTGCAGCTTCGTTCGCTTAAGTAAGCCACTTGGATGCCAACGCCAGTGACATCGCGATGCGCCATTCGCGATCCTAGCTCGACCTGCTAGCAAGGTTAGTCTTTCGGAAAGATTGTCCGCGCAATTTGAACCACAACCCCAGCGCAAGCATGCATATCGATGCGGAAGTCGAGACTCTCCGACCGCCAGCGGCCTTGAGTCAGTAGCCAAGGTAGAACTCAGACGCATCCAGACGACAGTAGATATCTCTGCGGAATCTGTACATACAATAATCGTACATCGCTCTCCCAGCGCGGGATCATCTTCAGTCACGTCGCGAACAAAGCCATTCTTTTTGAGAAATTGGGTTCGCGCTAGCTCTGGTCCAACCCTGGACCTTTGAAAGAAAAGGAACGAAACATGCTGATTCTCGCGACCAGCCACACCATATATCCCGATGACAGAACATCCGGCATGAACATCAAAGCTCGCGCTGACTGACCTGAGTCGAGGTAGACATACGTTGTCCTCAGGGATCCTGCTCAAAACGTCGCATCACCCTGGGTCTTTCCTCGGCCCGCGAACACCGTATATCTCGGTGACTCGCGCATGTCACTCCGAAATCGAATGTATTCTGATACATCGGCCACTGCTTATTGTCCGTTAGCTGCGGCTGTGATACTATTTCGAATCAAGTGTGTATACTTACGTCAATCGTGTAGTCGCATTTGCGAATATATTAGTTTCCTTATGTAGTAAAGATCCGTGCAACACGTTGGGCTTTCCCAGTCCGTACAGAGCAAGGACGCGTGACATGAGTCCTTCGCACCAAATCAGCTTGTGTAAGTGAGCGCTCCCTGGAAACATGCAACGAAGTCATAATCCTTTGCCCGGTCTGTCTGACTCGTTCCGACCTTCTGACAACACCTTAGTGATTCCACAAATCGCCAAGACTTCATATCCTGCGAAGTAGCTCCATAGTCTGATATGCCAGCGTCTCCGCGGATCCGAGCAAAGCAGCTAATGGTTATGATCTCATCATCGTAGTTTTCCAGTGGCATTGACTTGATAGAAACTTGTGCGCGCGCCGATGGAAACATGGTCGGAGGGGCCCTGTATCACGGACTCTGGGAGGCCGAGGCTGGGCCAATTGGCTAACGCTAGTTTTCGTCCGCATCTCCAGAGTATCAACCAGAAGTCAGCGCATCGCGTCGCGCGTAGCACCACTCGAACACATTGTCCACTGACCGAACTTGCTTGCGCAGGCTTCCTACGCGACAACTGCGGACTAGAAAGAATTGCCTACCGTGCCGTCGTCAAGGCAAGAACCCGGACCCACGAAACGCCTGGCTGCGCCGACGGCTCCATCCCGCGTACCTTCATGGCGACAGCGACAGCGTCAGGAAAATACATACCTCCATAAAGCCCCTATTGCTCGGCGCATCGAGTGCAGTCTGGGCGCATAACATATCCGGGTCTTGTACCGCCTCGTGCCTAGGAGAGGCGAAATCTTTGCTGCTGTCAGTGTTCAGGACAAACGACACTCTTCTCCAGCAGTCGCCCTGCATTCAAGCGTGCTAGGAGCTGCATCTGGAGTGCTCAGTGTATGTTTGTCGCCTGGAGTATGAGGTGAATAGGCTCTTGGTTCTGTGTGTGTGATATTGGACATTGGCCGTTAGCGTCCCTCTCATTGAGATTCTCGCGATCCTCCACCCTCTGCTTCAGCACCTTCCTCCACCCCCACGCCTCTCAACGATATGTCGGACAGCGAGTCGGACCAAAACACGGCTCAACTGGAGCCGGAGCTTCGCGAGATGAAGCTGGAAGGCGCGACCGTAGGAGAAGCAGGTGAGGGCGAGAGCACCAGTCATGTAAAGGTGGAGGGAGATTCGCTCGACCGCGCGTCCACGCCTCTCGCCATACCTCCCAGGCTCAAGACGCGCTCCAAGTCTCAGTCGCCCATGGTAAAACACGAGCTCAATACTCCATCACCTGGCAGCGCCCATGAAGAGATCGTGGGGGGAGATATTACGCTGAAGATGGAACCCGGCAAAGCACCCAAGCTCTCGCGCTCCGCCTCCCAGAAAGTCGTCACACGCCCGCCTCCGCTATACCTCGACCTCCCCGACTCGACCGCTGCCGCCAAAGAAACCTTTGTCGTCCTTCCAGAATGCACCTACGCGAACAAGACCATCGGCACGACCGACCCTGCGCTCGAATGCGACTGCCAGGAAGAATACGACTCCACAACCAAGACCAACCATGCCTGTGGCGAAGACTCCGACTGCATCAACCGCGCGACAAAGATGGAATGCTTGAGCGATTGCAGCTGTGGTCGCAAGTGCCAGAACCAGCGCTTTCAACGGAAACAATACGCAGACGTCACGGTTATAAAGACGGAGAAGAAGGGCTTCGGTCTTCGCGCGAACAAGAACATGGCTCCCGGTGATTTCGTCTTTGAGTACATTGGCGAGGTAATCGACGAGCGCACCTTCCGCCGCCGCATGGGTCAATACGACGAGGAGGGAATCAAGCACTTCTACTTCATGTCGCTTACCAAGGGCGAGTTTGTAGACGCAACGAAAAAAGGCAATCTTGGTCGTTTTTGCAACCACTCGTGCAACCCTAATTGCTTCGTCGACAAATGGGTTGTTGGGGATAAGCTGCGTATGGGCATCTTCGTGGAGCGCAACGTCAAAGCAGGCGAAGAACTCGTCTTCAACTACAACGTCGATCGCTACGGCGCGGATCCGCAGCCCTGCTATTGCGGAGAGCCAAACTGCAGTGGTTTTATCGGCGGAAAGACACAGTCCGACAACGCGACAAACCTCAATAACGATACGATTGCGGCGCTCGGAATCGATGATGGTGTTGGTTGGGGTACGGCAGTTGCTAAGAAGCCCCGCAAGAAGAAGGCCAGCGAGGACGACGAGGAATACATCAGCGACTTGCAGCCACGCGAGCTTGAAGAGGACGCAGTCAACAAGGTTCTGACCGCTCTGCGCAGCTGTGAAGAAAAATGGATTGCTGTTAAACTTCTCAGCCGCATGCAAACCGACAATGAGAGAATCGGCCATCGCATTGTCCAGTTTCACGGCTACGAGTTTTTGAAGACTACGTTGAACAAATGGAAGGACGACCATAACGTTGTCCTGCAAATATTGGACATTCTCCACAGACTGCCTCGCATTACTCGCAACAAGATTCAAGACTCAGGAATTGAAGAGGCTGTGTCAAAGGTCAAGGACTGCGGAGAGGAACGAGTAGAAGAAGCTGCTAAAAAGCTATTGACCGCATGGAGCAAGTTGGAGATTGGCTACCGGATACCGCGCTTGAAGAGAGATCCAAACGCTGGCACACCAGCCCGTACGGAGAATCATTTTGAACGACGCGAGAGAGGCCGTGAGCGTTCTAGATCTAGGTCGAAATCGCCCTCTACGATTGCGCCCAAAGGCCCGTCCGCAGCAAACATCCCGTCCGGTCCCCGCGGCGTCATAAATGCGCCTCGCGGCCCAGCTGGCTTCTTTGCTCCTGCGCGACCAGTCATGCGACCAAGACCGTTCAACGCTCTCCCCCAGGGTTGGTTCCAGGCCACAGCTGAGAACGGTTCGACATACTTCTACAACTCTAACGGCATTACACAATGGCAACGGCCGACGCAACCCGCAGATGCCCCACCTCCTCCACCAAACAAAGCTAGAAGTGATACTCAGCTATTGCAAGACATCATATCCAGTATCACCTCGAACGGCACACCTACTGGGCCCTCCGCATCCACCACTCCACAGCCAGTGGCCAACGAGGATATGGAGAGCACTTCCGGTCGTGAAAAGTGGCGCACCCTGTCAAGAGAGAAACAGGAAAAGGTGTATGAAGCGACAGTGAGTACCACCCAATATCCCGTGAAGCATGTCTGACCCTCACAGCTTTCACCACACGTCATGACTGTGACAAGCCATTATCGCAAGAAGCTCGAAAAGACGGAGATAAAGAGACTTAGCAAAGAGGTGGCTCAGAAGCTTGTGCGAGGCGACTACAAGTCCGGTCGCGTCAAGGACCCGACGGCCAAGATCAGTTCCAACCACGAGAACACCATCAAGAAATACGTCAAAGACTTCATGGACAAGGCCGTCAAGAAGAAGGACGAGCGACACAGACTCAAGGCCGCACAAGGTGGTTCAAAATCCGACCTCACCAACGAGTCCCCCAGCACTCCGCAAGCACCAAGCGGAGACGCCAACGACGCCTCTCCCACCGACTCAACATCAGACTTGAAGCGAAAGCGCGTAGAAGAGACGCAATCCGGCTCGCCAAAGCGAACACGAACAAGTTCTGAAAACCAGGAATCAGCGCCGCCGCCTCCACCACCACCGCCTGCAACCACCGATGTCGAAGAGACCCTCACACCCATGGACGAAGCCTCCGCCCTATCCTTCCCCAACGCAACCGAGCGAAGTACCCTCGGGACCAAGCCATCCCTCCAACTAGATGGCTATGGCAGCCCCATGCAACTCGCGACACCGCCGACCAACGGTTCTGGTGATCAGAGACTCCGTCCAGTCAACGGAGGCCAACAACACCGTTCATAGTATACGATGAGCAAGTTATACTTTATTCGAGTCTATGTATTACAGCTCCTTTCTCAGATTCTTATTCTTTGTAATTCTTCATTTTGAAGTTCAATACGTTCGTTCGACCAAATGGTTCGAATGGGATAGTGCTAGCATCATATGGCGTTGGTGGGAAAAGATTGGTGGAAAGCTGTGGGATGAAGTGGAAATTCATTGGAGAGTGGTAGGATGTGAGGGGGTAGAGATACGTGTGCATATATGTATCATGTTGGTGGTTGGGTGAGGACGAAATATTCACACATGTTCTATGTATTGATTGTGTACATGTGATGTAGTCGCTGTGTATGCTGAGTGTTATTAGTGAACGTAAACCACGAGCGGCCACACTGTAAATGAATCTCCATCTGTCTCAACATGCAATGCCAGAGGGACGATGGTGATGATCCCGGGATGTGTGCTAGCTCCGGTTCATCGCGTCTAATGCGTGTCATAACAACGTCATCTCTACAATCGTACCACAACGGCGATCCAGCACACCTTTACAGATACATATCCGCATCAACTAACCCAATAAATCACACCAAGCCCGGTTACAACTACTCGGTTGTGCAATTACGAGAGCGGATCGCTCCCGAAAGTAATAATGCATGATGCGTGAACGGTCGTAATGCGCGCTTTCTTCCGGCATATGTGGCTGCTGGTAGGTATAATACTAGAGTGGGATAAGTTGTATCGATAGTACAGCAGCTTCTGATTTTCTCTTGCATCAAGGTAGTTTAGTAGAAAACTCCAGTATGGCGAACACACAAACAACAAAGCAAGCTCTACTCTCGCACAAAGTCATCCCAGACGTCCTCCCAGACACCATCAACCTCACCTACAACCTAGTTCTAGAATGGCCAAACGCCAAACTCGACACACCAGGCAAAGAACTCGAAAACGCCGATACGAAAGAAGAACCAAAAGTCTTCATCAACCCTGCAGTAAGCAAGCAGTCTGAATGATCTCGCATACCACGCCAACTAACATCGCATCCAGCCCACCGAGACCCTAGATAACCTCGTCTTAATGATGGTCGACCCCGACCTCATGACAAACAACGACACAACCTTCGGCCAAGTCCGCCACTGGCTCATCACAAACCTGTCCAGCACATCTTCAGGAACCCTCTCTTACACCACCGCCGCCATCCGCTCCCCCTACGTGCGCCCCGCACCCCTCCCCAACTACATCTCCCCGCGCCCCCACCGCTACATCTTCATCCTCGCACGGGCGTCTAGTAAGATCGAAGTCCGCCCTGAGGACTTGCGCGAGATGCAGAAGGGGTATGTGGCTGCGGTGCAGGGGAAACAAGGCGAGATGCAGGACTTGAAGGATCGGTGGGGCTTTAATGCACGGAGACTTTGTGAAGAGAAGGGTTTGGAGGTTTTGGGGTGCAGTTTTATGAGGGTGGGGGGTACGATTGAGAGTAGTGTTGCTAATGCTGGGATGATGGCGCAGGCGGTGGGAGATAAGGTGCTTGGGAAGTAGAGGGCTCGTAAAGGGAATTCATTGAGACGCTGTGTAAAATGTTCTATGCTCCTATCTTACCATCTCAAAGCGAACCAGCGCTTACCCACCAAACACCCTTCTGTCCCGTCCCAACTCACTCCTTCTTGTTCTTCTCCTCATGAACCTCAACAACCACCTCCCCACCCCCAACTTTTCTCGTCTGCGTCATCTTTGGACGAAACAAACCTCCCTCTTTCTCACTCTCCTTCTTCGCCCGCTTCCTCACAACCTCATCATCCCGCTTAGTCCTGGCGAAGACATCGCCGCCCCAAAGGTTCGCGGGAGGCGGTCCGCGAGCACTACCGCTGGCTGTTTTGGAGGCTGGGGAACGAGCTCCTGGGTGACTGGATGTGGGTGGTAAACCACCAGAGATGATGATGGTTAAGTGGGTGACATATTGATGTAATCGGTAAGTGGTTTGTTGGGTTGTTGGTGTGTTGTGGAGGTAGGTAGTGTAGTAGGCAAGGTGGTGTGTGAGATGGAGGTAGGGAGCAGGAGGACGGATCGTAGTCTTTATATATCTATGGTACCGATGCTACACAATCGTGGGCGGTTTATTGAGATGATTGGGTACAATAGACAAGTGTGGTACAATAGGAAGAAGAATTCTACGTCTTGTAAAAGTCAAGGTGAAAAGCACAGGCTATTGTGATATGACGTGTTGATGATGACGCGCCTGGAAGTGAGGAAGGATAGTTTGAGTGAAGACGGACATGGGAAGACATAGCATTATAGGGAAGCAAAGCAACAATAGCATATGACTTGAAATAATCATTCATTCTGCTCGAAGAGCAAGCGCCTACATAGAAGCAAGCGCCCGAAGCAAAATCCAACCACATCCAACCCGGCATTACATCACCAAGGCTCTGCGTACCCGTAACCCACCGTTAGCGACACCAAAGGAAAAAGGAAAGACTTACACATCATGCGTCCCAAGCATCTAGTTCATCTCCCACTCCCTCACACAAACCAAGTGCGAAAGAGCAGTCGACTATCCAGGCAGCACCACGAGGAGGCGCAAGGGTCCGACTTCTACCGCCCGTCCTCCTCTTGCGATCGCCTGGCACGCCCACCAGCGACCCATTTTCACCTTTGGCAAACACTCTTTGCATCCTGCCCGAAGCTCGTCAACAGGTTGTTGCCGTTATCAGGTCCGCAATAGCAGTTTGCCCCTCGCTACATCGCAGTAGTCAACGCCGCAAAAGAGCAACGCGTATACCGCGGGACACCTCGCTTCATCATCCCATCAGAGTGGGAACAAACAGCAAGACCGGGACACTTTTCGCTTCCTCCCGGGCCAGGTCAAAAGAGAGCTGGCGCGGTCCACGGTAGCAGTCCCCAGCTACGCTGCAGCAGTCGAGGCCACAAAAAGAGTAGCCGACGCGCAAGCAGTAAAGACCTTACTCCGTCGGCTGTATTAGGCGACATTGTAAGGCCGGAGACATTTCTCGCTTCCTCCCTGACCCTAACAACAACTCGTCTACAACACGTCATCTACAACGGAGGATACAACCAGCCGCAACATCGAGTCGCCGCAACCAGTCGCCAACATCCCATCGTCTACAACAGTCGTATCCAAGCGTCGCCGTCTAGGTCAAGTCCGCGATAGCAGTCTACCACGCTACCCCGTAGTCAAAACTCCGCCGCAAAAAGAGCAACAACTAGATATCCACGGGGGTGCCTCGCTCCATCCCTTACAGTGATCAGAACAGAGCTCGGCGAAGGTAAAGCCCACTCACAACATAAAGAAGCAAGCGGCTGCGTTTACCAAAGAAAACACCGTCGAAACATCAGACATCCAAGCACCGCTGATCCGTAAAGGGGCAGTGAAAAGATAGAAGCCGGCGTAGTAACAGTCCCGAATTTTTCGATTTCTTTGTTCGATTTTTTCGGTATTTTGTGACGGTAGGCCAAATCAACGTGTTGAGGCACGCAAACAGGATACCAGACACAGGATGATCGATATGCCATCAGATGGCAACACGAAGGAAGGGGTACTAGCAGTCGATGCCGGCAAGTCTTTTTGGGACTCAGCGGACCGGACGTTTCCCCACACTGTATGCCCTTAAGGGCGACTCAATAAAGTTCTCGATAAAGTTCAACACGATAGCTTTCCACGAGTGTCCATGCGGCGTCCGTCGATCTTCTGTCAACAATCCACGCATGGACGGGAACAACCAACGAATGTGCCGTCGCACATATGCGGCAACAGCGCATTCGCGAAGACAGCGTCTCTGCCTTCAAAGGATGGCGGGTGCTTGTATGCAAGTTGAGCCATGGACCGTTACGGTCTGTCAGAAAACCCTAACCGCCTGCTTCAGACAAGAGCAGGGGCCAGGAGAACTCAATATCTGTTGGCCTCTTCCGCACTCGGCAACCTCCAAAAAAGAGTGCCACTGGCGACGGGATTACGCGAACGTTCCCTGCAGTACAAGTCCGCGTGTGGGTATCTCGACGCCAACAACGTAGTCGGTCGGAGGGACGGAAGGACGTATACGAGCGGGCTGTATCCGGAAGACGTAGGTAAACTCGAATGGAGCGGACAGATCCGAAGGATGCAGGCGTACCTGAAGGTGCGGGCGTACCCGAAAGTGAGATGTAAAAGCGAGGCTCGGGGCGGGACACTCGGAAGGCAGCAGCCGGGAAGATGGAAGAGGAAGCAGAAGAAGACGGGTCAACGAGAAGGATGGAAGGATGTGCTTCCACCTCCTCCCCGCCCCTTCCACAGCCTCCTTCACCCACCCATTTGCACAATGGCCAAGACATCGGGGGACATGCGAATAAGGGTGCCTGTAAGCAACATTGCCATGGACCATGCGGTCTGTCAGAAGAACTTCCGAAGAAGCCTCCATATCGCAGGCATCTTCCACTCTCATCTCCCTGAACAGGGTGACACTGGTGGCGGGGATACGGCGAACCGTTTCCCTTGCTGACAGGTGCTCATCGCGAAGCATTTTTTGGCGGGCAGACGGAGGAGGAAGCGAGAAGGGGGATGGATGAGAACGTGCTTCCACGTTCTTCCCACCTTGTCCCCGCTGCATCCACCACCCACCCTGTGAGGAAAGGATACTCTACCTGAAACCAGTAAGGCGAGCGAATCGGGTAGGGGCCAAACTCGGGCCATCAGGAACGGAAGGGACAAGGAGCAAACCAGTCTCAAACCCGGGACACAAAAGTTTCAGCTCTGGTGAGAGCTGATAAAAGACCAAAAACTCCGAAGAGTAGAACACAAAAAGCGCGAAAGCAAGCCATGGCTGTCCGTGATGGAGAGCGTAGGCGCAATCGCTGTAGTACACCCTCTCGTACTGCCAGTCTGGGTGTCCCACAGAGGAGCAAGCGAGCAGATGAGAGGACGCAGAAGAAGACACAACCAGGAGAAGGAGGAGAGGGCGTGTTTCCACCTCCTCCCCACCTCCTCCTCGCCGCCTCCCCTCCGCCTCTCCCACCCACCCATGTCCCACAGACCAGCTTCCAGATGAGGGCGACTTGGCCATGACACGACAAAACATGTTTAGGCTTGTGGAGGAGAAGTGCTGTAGCCAAAGAACGCCATGGACCATGTGGTCTGTCGGAAACTTCCAAGGAAGTTTCGATATCGCAGGCTTCTTCCACACTCGCCAATCTGAGAAGACGACACTGGTGGTGGGGAATACTCCCTTTGACTGACTGACTCCTCGCTCCGTGTAACACCAAAGGCGCAAAATATCGCGGTCGACTGCAGTCGCCGTAAACATGCCGGAGCTGAGGCGCGGAGCCTCAGCTCATCAGGAGCTTACCAACCGGTATCTCGACAGTCTCTGTAAGGTTACTCATGCCCTGCCAGCAACAAGGAGGACCTGTCATCGGTTGTCCTCGTCGATAACGCGCACAAGAAACAGTAAGAGAAGCCTTGACTTCCTACATATGCTTGGACTGCCGTGAGGAGGACGCATGCGCTCGCGTCAATGAACCATGGACGGTTGACGTCTGTTGTAGCGTGAAAGCTACTGTCTGTTGGTATCTTCCACGCGCGACAACCTGAGAAGGCGACACTGGTGGCGGGGAGTACTCCCTGGCGTGAGGTTGTGCGTCCCCCTCATGGCTGTCTGTCCGCTACACCAATGGTGCTTGCAAGACTCGTAGGACTCGGAGGGCGGAGAGGAGAAGGAGGAGCTCATCGCGCGGCATCGATCGTGGTGTCGGTTGGCAACTGCGGTCGATGGTGCGGCGATGTAGTCGGGATGGCATGAGATGTCGCAATAAGAAGCGTGTGGAAGGGAAGTGAATGTCGCTCGACGCGGAGAAGAATGCATGGAGGAAAAGAAGTGTGAGAATCCCTCAGACGGTGAAGTGAGGGTAACAAGGCCAGGAAAACTGTTGCTGGAAGGAAGGTGTGTCACGTATCGAGGTGTGTATGTGTGCCTGTGGTGGTTGCCTGGCACGACGCTAGACACCAGTAAATAGCACCACGTATCAATCATAAAAGGAGAAAATGGGGAATACCAAGCTACTCTGTGTAGAGAATGTGGAAAGCCAACCATGGTACCGATGCCACATCCGGCGTAGGACGACTCGTTTAGAGCCAGACGAACAGTGTTGCTAGAACTGAGCTGTGAGCATGACCAGTCTCCGTAGTGCTTCTCGTATCACCGTGAAGCGTGGAGGCCATGTTGTCGCAAAGCCAGGCGTGTTCGTCCTTGGAAGCCGTTGGCCGGATGGTGGTGGGGTACATTCATGACTGTCTTGGCCTATAGTCTCGTTTTCGAATTTTACCTAGGGGGGACGGTTGAACCGGACAAGCTCAGTCGAACCATGGTACCGATCCACATCCGGCATGGGACGACCCGTATTAGGGGCCAGACGGGCAGATGAGGAAGGAAACAAGAGAAAGCGGAACAAGGAGAAGGATGTGAGAGAGTGCTTCCACCCCCTTCCCATCTCCTCCCTGCCGCCTCCCCTCCGCCTCCCCCACCCACCCAAAGTACAAGTCCGGTCGGTGGTCCGCTTGTCGAAATCTAATCGCTATCTCCTAGAAGCTCAGCGAGTTCCGCTTCTTCTTCCGCCGTCATCATGCCCTCTTTGCGCTCGGGTTCCTTGTCCTCTTCCTTACCGAGGCGCTCATCTTCGGCCTCTTGGATGGCCTTGGCGAGCTCTTGCGGCTTAAGACTCCACTGTCTGACTGTAGCGTCAATGCTCACGCTGATCACGCGTTGTCCCAGCAGAAGAAGGCCAGTGACCTCTTCAAAATGCCCACTGAAAGTATGATGCAGCTTGCCGCTGCTCTTGTCCCATACGCGGACCTCTTCGTCCCTGCATACGGAGACCATCCAACCGCCATCCTCGTCGATGGCAACATCGCGAACGAAATCAGGGTGCTCAAACGTCGAATCCTCTTCCCACTCACGGCCTCTGGAGAGGCACTTGGCCGTCTTATCCGCTGAAGCTGTCCATAGATCGCCGTCTGAATCGAAGTGTAGGGCGTCGATGCTTGTCTCGTGAGCGATGATGGGCGACGGTTCGACCTCGGAGGCCGACGTCAACCCGATGGTCCACCGCCTGATCTCTCGGTCGCTTCCAGCACTGAAGACTGTAGCTGTCTCTTTGCTGGGCTCATAGTCGGCCGGGTCAAGTGCAAGAGCGAGAATCCCTCGTGTATGTCCCTTCAGCGTATGTAGCTTCGAGCCTGCGGCGACGTCCCAAACGATGATGCTTGCATCCTGTGAAGCCGACACCAAGACCTCTTTGCCGTGTAGTGTGAATGCTATGACGGCCTTGACGAAGTCACTATGGCCTTGGAAGCGCTTGGCGGGCTTGCGCGTGGAGAGGGTCCATGACCAGATAGACTTGTCCCAGCAACCCGCAAATAGCGTGTCGGATTTTGAGGAAACGGCAACGGAAGTGAGAGGGGCTACGGGTCCTGTGAAGGTGGCAGCGACCTTATTAGTCTACAGGAGGAGCTGTCAGCGATGACCTCATAGCTACAGTGAAGCCACGAGCCGGCTGAGAAACGGAGGTCTGACCGACTTCAATATTGATGCGCTTCACGTTGCCAGCTGCTTCAGCAACGTAGATGTGATTCTCATCGTGCGGGTCCGCGGTGAGGGCGAGGATCTTGGAGGGGAGCTTGAGGGGGTTGCCCTTGGTGTTCTTGGACTTGGCAGCCTTACGAGCTGTCTCCTCGAGGGAGGAGCTACATGATATTAGCTAGAGTAAGGGAAGATGGATAAAAGCCCATACGTCGTCTGGAAGTAGTGACCTGGATCGTTGGAGCGCGACATGATATAGGGTGGGAGGAGCGGTGACGCCCGGCAGGATTGTGTGACGGGCGGTGGGTCACGTTGGGCGTGTGACCAGCGACCCCGCTATTATGACTCCGTCAGTAGGCCGAAAGAAGCCTCCAGTAGCGGCCACATCACCCAGACACTTATGCAAGGGCGGAACTGAACAAGTGTTACAGTACACGTTACTATCAAGACGAAACTTGACACAGTTACAACGCATTATAGATTCCTACCACTCCGACCATCCCCAAGGCAGCAGCATCTCCGCCTCTAACGCGTTATCTCTCGAACTCATGGTTGAGATGGAATCGAATACACCATACCAGAATCGAGGAAAGGGAGCCACTCGAAAGTTGGACATTCAACAGACTCCTAGGTCATTTATGTTAGGCAAATGATTGATTTCTGTCCATGAAAGTGTGAGACAGCCTTCCCAGTTCTCCAACAGATCGGTTTCATCACCAAGAAGCACACATAAACATTACTAACATAATAAAATTCATTTCGTCTCGTAGTGAGCAAGGCTATGGTATTAAATGCTCTCTCGTATATACTGAAGACAATACCCAAAACGCCGTGTAGATCATAAACAAAGGAAATCGTGTATAGTCATGTGTGTCGTGTGAGTCGAGCAGCGAAGCTCTTTCTGTAAAGCATGTATAATGCAATCGTAAAGGTCGTTAAATGCGTTGTTCGTAAGAGTGAGGCGGTTATCCAAAACACGCCCATCATAACACTCATGGGGGGGGGATATCTCAAAGACATTCCAAGGCACGTCTCATTACTTTTGTGGATCATAGTCCAGCAAAATGCGCCGAAAGACCAAATCATCTGCGATGCAATCATAAAATCGTGAGCGTGAGCGTGAGTGTGAGTGTGCGTGCACATATAGTACAAGGTCGTTGGTGTCGTGGTCGTTAAAAGGTTGGGTAGCCAGCAGAGGCACTGGCGGCGAAGTCGCGTATCGCCCATCGCCAGCCGCCTCGGTGTTCGCCGTTGTCGCGAAGGCCGCCGACCCAGCCTTCGACGCGTCGCCGCCAGATGGCTTCTTCGTCCTTCTGCCGACGGATAAAGCCAGGGCCGACATCGAACTCCTCGCCCACAAAGGTTGGGTCGTCGGGGTTTGGTGTGCCAGCGCCGCCCATGCCATTGCCACCGGCGACACTCTCGTTGTCTTTGAGGTCGTCGAGGCCAGCGAATGGGTCTTCGTCTTCGTCAACTTCTGAAGGCGACCCAATATCGTTTGATGGTCGTGGCGCCTTGAGCCAGGTCATCTTGACAGGATCGAACACCATGCGGCCTTCGTACTGGACTTGGCGTGGTACAGAGATTTGGGAGATCAAAGCTGGTCGCGGTGGAGACGGTACTGGGGCGGGCGCTGGGGGCTGGGCCAGCTTTGCCGCCCGCGATGAAAAGCTCTTCTGGGCTTGGCCGGCATGAATGGACGAGAGGGCGATGTGCGAGATTGATTGTGAACGATCATGGCCGCGGCTCATCTGGTTTCCCGGCGGGGCAAAGGTAGGCGTGCTCGCCGTGGTCAGGGCGAGGGTTGTAGTGGAAGTATTAGGGTGTGAGAATGAAACAAGAGCTTCCTCGTTTCCTTCCCAGCGTTGTAAAGTTGGGTTATAAATCATACCTTTTTCGTCTGCATAGTGGTCAGTAGGAGCTTGGAAAGAATGGTTGGGTGTTGTACTTTGTGTGTAGGGCTGCGTCATCTGCCTGATCAACTGCGGCTTCTGCCCTGAGCCTTTCTTCTTGTGAGCAGATGGACTCGTATGAGGGCTACGAGCGGCCACTTGGGCAGCCCAACTAACGGGCCTGGAGGAAATGGGACCTTCTGCTCGAGACCTCGTACCTGCCAAGCGCTGCTCACGTGCGTTCCTGCTTGCTGCAGTGTCGCGGGCAAAGCGAGGAGTGTGGTCCGTCTTGGGAGGACTACGCGGAGTCTGAGGCAGAGGCGTCGCCATGCGATCAGGCATCGGCAGACGTGAGTTGCTCGGCTGGTGTCGCAGCGACTTGTTGCTGGCGACATTGCGCGGCACCTTTTCGAATTGCTTCTCTTTGGAAGCTGAAGTAGGCAAGTCATCGAACAGGTCGAGCTCATGGCCATCGCCAAAGTTTCGCTTACGCTGAGGCTGTGTCAGCTTCTTTGGGGGTGGATGACGTGCAAGGGCAGAGGGCGCCTGATCACGTCTCACCCCAGCACGACTGGGCGTCTCGTTGTGGCCACCGCCAGACAAACGCGAGTAGGAGCGCATCGAGGGAGACTGTGGTCGGCGAGGGTCAGAGTCGCGGCGAAGGTGGGCTTGCGAAGTGCTCTTGGACATGACGTGGTGCGATTGGGAAGAGGCCCCGCCAGCAGGGAGGAATGGCATGCGTGGTGGCTGGCTCGTATTGTTATTGCGGAGGACAGGAGCAGAGCGCTTCGCGCGGAGCAGCTGTGCGCTGGTGGTAGTAGGCATGGTCCGAGTCGAGTTCGAAGTGGACGCGCCGCTTTCGTACACAGGGGTAAGCCTGGTCCGACTCGCGATGGAGGGCAGGGGCCTGGGTATCCGCGAGGTAGTGGGTCTGTCGGTGAAGGTGATGGTGGTAGCGGGACGAGCAGCGTGTGGGGCGGTGGTCTTGGTCGCGGGCTTCTTGACGACAATGTTCTTGTTGAGCGTCAGCTTCTGTCGGTCCAGGATCTCGCCATTGCCAAAGTCGAAGCCATCTTCAAAGTCTTCCTCTTGAACCACGGGCTTGGACTTGGGCGATGGTGCCTTGGGGCTCATAGGCGTGGGGCTGCTGAAGGGCGAGGGGGATAGTGGTGCAGCAATGGGCGATTGGGGCGGCGACTGAAACGGCTTTTGGGTAGGGGCCGAGGTGGTTTGTGTAGGTTGCGTCGGCGTGAGGGACTGCTCGCGCAATGGCAGGGGTGGAAGGAGTGATGGCTCTGCTGGTGGTGGTTGCTCCGTCTTCTTGAGCTTCTCCAGACGCGCGCTGAAGTCCATGTGCTCGGTCGGCAGCACGAGGCCGCCCAGGTCGTCGTCTTCGCTCTCCATGGTCATGATGCTGCCCAGGCTGGGGCTCATGGCCGACGCGGACGAGCTGCGTGCACCGCGGGTGCCCTGTCGCGTGCCTGCGAAGCGGATGCCGAGCGAGCCCTCGCCCCAGTCGAAGTCATCGTCCTCTTCAGCCGGCGTGCGTGGCTTGGGCGCCTTCAGCTTCAATCCCTCTTTCGCGTTGGTGGGCAGCTCGAGGTCGTTGCCCCAGTCGTCGTCGACCTCGATCTTCTTGGTCGACTTCTTCTTGCCCAGCCTCTTGATTGACCCACCCAGGAGCGCCGACGATGGCACGCTCGTGGGGATGGGGATGCCCGCCTGCTTCGCGGCGGTCTTGATGGCGGATGTGTTGGTTGCTTGGTCGTCTGGCGTGATCAGGAATTGCCAGTCGTCTTGGGATTCGGTCTCGGAGCGGACGCTCATGCGCGAGGATAGCGAGTGGACCGTCGAGTTCTTGAACAGGAGGCCGTCGGAGCGGTCGTCGAAGTCGCCGTCGTCCCATGTTTCCATCTGGGTGGACTGCGAGGTAATGGAGGCGATGCGCGCCGCGAAGGAGCGGTTGTTGGCCGCCATGCTCGGTGGAGCTGGAGCGCGAATATCGCAGGTGCGGTGTAAGGTGGGTGTGCAGGATCTTCGCGCGAGGTACTGAGGTGGTTGGGCTGTGGGCCGGCGAGGGTCGTCTGGCACCGCTTGCAGGTTCCTGCAGGGCTACGCGAAGCACAAAGGCGGTAAGTAGACAAAGGCCGGTCTGCTAGGTGGCCCGCACGCTAGGCCACGCGTGTCGATAAGCACAACAGACTCCACACCCCTGCAGCAAGGGCGACGATGACGGTGATGTGTCTGGAAGTCTGCAGCTGTCGTGGGAGCGTACATATGCAGGAACAATGCAACCGTTACCCAGAGACCATCTGGAGACGGTGCCTATGTATATACCACGCCCTGCTATAGCACCCATGTTTGTTTCTGCTCCCCATCAGAGGGACTGGTGCGGATCGCGCTCGATTCGCGTCCCGGGCGGATGCCTGAACATCAACAACCACTAAACCTTCACCCCAGCGGGTGCTGCCTGCGCGACGGCACCACCCTCCACCACGCGAGTGCTCTTCCGCTGTCTGCGTGCAAATATAATCTCGTGTGCCTGCCGTCTCAGGTAGACGTGGTTCAAGTTACGGTTTCAATAGATTCCCTACCACTTGAAACGCCCGGTACCTGTTCCTGGACGCTCTCACTATCGCGACTAGCCTCCCTTGCGACACCATCACAAACCTTCCCAACTGGGCTCCCTCCCGCAGTCCCGCCTAGCTTGTGCACATCGTCGTAGCAATGTCGAGCCGCTACATTTTGCCAGTCGAGCCTGCGGATGGCCGCGGCGAGACCGTCGTCATCGAAGTGCTGCACCAGGGCACTCGCCCTCTCGATGTGAGATTGGTGGGCTGCGAGGGCGAAACCCCATATGTGACTTCGAGTAAGACAGCATCCACAGCAGGACTGTGTTTCGCCATCTGACGCGCCCCAGTCACCCACAGCAATCTCGCCAGTCTCAAGCACAAATTCAAGGGCAGCGACGACGAGTGGGCCGCCGTCTTGTCTCATTTCCTGCTCCAGCAACAGCCCGAAATCGGACAGACCGACATCTTGGACGGTGTTCGCATGGTCTACACTCTGAAAAACAAGAATCTAGAACTTTGTTTTCGCCAGGACGTTGGGAACATCAAGGTGGGCGACATGGTGGCTCTCCAAGATAAACCTGTCTGATGTGTCTAGGTCACGTTGGGTGCGATTGTCCTTCCAGAGGACGATGAGTTTGAGTTTAATCCCTTCGAGTGGGCGCAGGCATCAGCCATGGCGCACGCCAGAACCCTGCAAAACGTGGTCGACTTGAAGGTCCAAGTCAAGAGCGAGCAGCACACCATCGCCAAACTCAATGCGCAACTGGATGACTTCATCAAAACTAAGAATGACACGGAGACGGCCATGCTCCAGCAGTTCATGCAACTGCTAAACGAGAAGAAGCGGAAGATCCGGGACCAGAGTCGTCTGCTAGCTGGCGCAAAAGTCGATAAGCCCATAGGTTCGTAAGACGTCGTTGTGACGTAGTGGTATATTGACAATATCTAGCGGCGGCCGTACAGTCGACCCGAGCAGACACCAAGACTCGCAAAGCAGGCGCATCGCGAACGTCGAAGCGCAAAGCTCCGGCACAAGCAGCAGAACCAGAGGCAACACCAGATGCAGACAGCGACCAGATGGAGATCGATCAGGCCAAGATCGAAGAGCAGGATGACGAGGAAATGCCCGAACCCATGACCCCAGAGCAGTCCGACAATGAAACAGACGAGGAGGATGAACCTGCACCACATCCCAGAGGCAGGTCATCCGAGACGCTGAGAGCAAGTTCTGTTGCACAGAGTTCTAAAAGTGAAGCCGCGGAGAGCAAGGGCGCACCACCACCTCGAACACTTCCCTTCCAGAAGAGAACGACGCGAAGTGAAAATGTACAGAAACAGCCCTCTCCAGCTGCAGCAACAGCAGCGGACGACGAGGATGATGACGAGACGGATGACGAAGAGCTGTAGGACAAAGGCTGACTGACTGCGTTTCACTGCATTAGTTTGGGTGAAACCATCTCTACCAAACTCCTCGAAAGACGCCGCGTGCTTCCCGGGTTTCCTTTTGGCGAGACTTCGGGAGACGACCTGCATCGAGAAACTCTAATCAATGCCATGAAGTACGTTTGGTTCAGGAATCAGACTTTGGAATTATCGCCGACACGTGCTTCCTTCTGCCGGTGGTGTAGATGATGGTGTGAAACGGGATCTGCAACCTCGTTAGCCCAAACATCAATAATACTAATTTTGACAGAATGCGCGACGTGAAATCTGTCATGACCGTGAGAAGTAAGACATGGCTGGACCCTTTGTAGGTTGTCCCGGTAGCAGCCCGGTGCTCATATATGTGATGCGATGCACATATGGATGCGTGGAGTCGGATCGCGTTGATGTCATCCATGCCGATCATTCGGGACCACTCAATAGCAGGGACGTCCCGAGCAGCCGTGTAGAAACAAATAAACGCTTGAAGTCGATAAGACTCGAGTTCCCGCGAGATGAATGCGACAGAATCAAGCTGCCCAAGTTAGAGTGTAGTCAAAGTCAAGACGGTCTGCAGAGGCAAGCTGAAGTGAGGTGGTGCCCGTCGGAGCAAAGAGCAGCCAATGGACGATGCAGGCCTCTCCGGCAGCCAGGGCTGAAGCGCGCGGGAGAAGCCTCCCGCCAAGCCATGTCCACCTCGACATGTCGCCCTTGACCGCAGCGCTGTCGCAAACACGAGATTGCCGTTCTTCTGGCGTCACGCACCAAGTCGCTGCGCTATCATAGACACGGCGCGCGAGCGATGTCCCATTCCCGCCAGAGCGACCAGAGGTAGCAGCGCCAGTAGTCTGGGTGAGTGAGAGAGGAGAGCCCGCGCTATCTACATGCGCGCTCACGTGGGTCTATTGTACTGACGACATGTGAAGAGAAAGCGATTGTCGCCCTGCTATTGTCCACGCGCGTCCCGACTCGAATCCACCCTCACACCGCGTCCACGGCGTTGCCATCACCTCATCCCCGCTTGAGCGCCTCACCTAATGCTCCTCCACCTCCACACGTCGTTCCACTGCACCTACCGCCGTCGGCCCGCGACACTACTGCTATACGCGACCGACTGCACGTTCGAGACCCTGAGGTAACACGCCATGTCGGGCCCAGACCAATCTGAGCCCATCGTGGACACGACGCGATCCCTCAAGCGCAAGCAGCTTTCCGCCGACGACCAAGACGAGCTCGACGCCCTCGACAGCATCTTCAAGCGCATAAAGACGGCGGTCCCGCGCACACCATATATTCTTTCAACGCCATCATTGAATCCGTACCGGTACTACTCACAACAACAAGCCAACGCCTGGAAGCTGGGAAGGCTATTCAAGTCGGAGGAGGAGCACTTGCAGTACAGGACATATCTATATCGGGAGCCGTGTCAGGATTGCTTCGAGCTGCAGGCGGGAGAAGACGAAGAGCCCGAACCTGAACCGCCACGCTCCCAGACCGCGAATGGCCAGCCAGCGAAGAAGAAACCCAACCTCTCAGCCTTCAAGGTCAAGCAAGCAAACGGTCCCAACACTCCCAGCGTCAAGATCAGCTCGCCCAGTCTTGCGCCAGAGAAGAAACAGGCGAATGGGGCCAGCAAGTCTGAAAAACTGTCTGCGCCGTCCCAAAAGGCCGAACCCAAGTCGCCGAAATCGTGGGTACGTCGCTCAACATGTCGTTCGGTTACTGACAGTCAGCAGATCCTCTGGTACTACACGCGACGAGAACCCTACCGGGAAACCCAGAGGCGCCCCTTCTTCAAATCGGCCGCGAGCCCCTTCCACAACGAAGAGCGAGACTACGAGCTCCAAGGGCAAGATCGAAAAGTCGGACCCTTCTAACTCAACACCACACGGCCTACCTCCGCTGCTTTCGCCAGTACACGAGCCAATGGGCAACCCATACGGCCTACCAAACATATTATCCCCCACCCTCCCATCCAACATACAGGCAGAGCTCGATAGGATAGAGGTACAACGGAAGCGCGCAGACTCCGACGCATCTGTGTCATCATCAGATCGCAAGAGTCAGACGCTGGCTGTGCCTGCCAGTGGATCTCAACAGTCCAACGGTACACCAAAGTCAGAGAACCGAGCGCGCTCAGTTTCCATCCACGGCAACGGCAAATCGCCCCAACCCGAACCAGTCAGTCAAGCCGAACAAACAGATTCTAGTATGGTAGTTAAGCTGAAATTCTCAAAGACCAAGGCTCCCGTCGTTGGCCAGATTCTCCGCCTACCATCGAAACGAGCAAATGCCGAGAAGAAGGAGCGCAACGATACCTCCAAGGCGACTCCTATGGCAGACACGCAGCCCAAGGTCACGGATCCGCCTGTCATTAAGAAGAAGGCTATTCCCAAGGTCGCTGCACGACAGACTGCAACGCCATCAAAAGTTGCAGAGAAGCGGCCGCGCGGGGAAGAGGAGACGACATTGGCGGTACCGCCCACTAAGCGACCCAGAGCAGGCTCAACCCAAGACCGGCCCATTACCCCTCTCCAAAATAGTCAGACCCAATACGCAACCCCTAAGAAGGATTTCAAGTCGGTCAACATGTTACGAACTCAGTCTTCCGAGAGCAATGACGCAACGCCTGGCCGGTCTGGTGCAACCCCAGCCGGCGTGAAGCCTACATCTGCACCTCTTAACAACAAGAAGCAGGCAGATATCTCGCTGCTAGGGCATACGTCGGCGAGATGGAACCAGATGGGTAGAGCCCTCAAGCATGAAGCCACGAAGATCCTCACCAGCAGCAAGATTTCGAAGCAGGACGAAAAGAGGGCAGCAGTCACTAACCTTGAGTGCATTCTGTGAGTTCACGCCCCATCACTCGACTATCCTCTTAAACAAATGTGCTTTCTTATGAACCTCACTAACAACACCCAGCGCCTACATGGCCGCCTACTTCGCCCAAGACCTCTCCCTCAACATGCGCGGCCGCGCCGGCGAGGTAGAACACACCTGGAAAACGCTCCTTCCCCTCTGCCTCTCCTACTCGCGCAGCACAAAAGACCTGCAACATCTCGATGGCCTCCGCTCCTACCTCAGCTCCATAATCGCCTCGGCAATCTGCACACAAGTTTCCCAACGCTGTCAGAACCCTAAAACCCACGACTCCCCGCAAGACGCCACATCCCAGACGAATACAGCTGAGGCGTCCCGCCAGCACAACTCGCTCGCGGAAAATTTCGCGCTACTATCTGACCACACTATTAAAATGCATCGGCACTATCAAGACGCGCGTATCGCGCTGCCGCTTGAAGACTTGCAGTCCCTATACAAGAAAACGTACGCCGCGCGGGAGTCCAACGCGAGACTAGCCCGTGAACCGGAGAAACTGAGCGGTGCGAAAATGAGCGGCCCATACTTTCTGCCGCTGGGCTGCGATACGACGCCCATCCAGGCGGTAAGGTTTGGGCTGAGGTTCTTGGCCGAGTATTGCGAAATTGAGGGGTTGAAGTATAGTTTGAGGGTTAATCTCGAGAGGCCTGAGTAGAGAGAAAGAGGCGGATGGACATTAACGGTATTGCATGACAGTCCACGCACACCTACTTTCGTTCCCACCCCGACGGGCACACATCCCCACACACACACACACACACACACACACACACACCCATTCCTTGTTGGCGTTTTATCATTCACTTGTCGACTTTAGCGGGTGGTTTTCCTTTTGATCGATGCGAAAGCAAATTCTGATACCCCATGAGGTTGGACTGGACTTTGTTCCTCCCTTCTTCCTTCTTGCTACTGGATTGGGATTCTGTATACATAATGGGGTGGCTGGGCTGGTGGGAGGGAGTACTGGAGTTGCTATACGAAGGAGATGAGGAAAGAAAAAGTATTGATGAATAGCAATCGAAATGTCATGATTGATCAAAACTTGTTGTATGCCTGATGTGGATGTGAATGCGTGGAGCTTGTGTAGCTCGAGATATGGAGGGCTGTGGATGTACTTGGGCTGCAAGGCGGTAGAAGTTGGATGGAGGAGTGGCCTAGTACACATAGCTCGACGTCGTTCTGTTGGCAGAAATACGCTGCAAGGGTCAGCTCTGGGGCACAGCATTGCGTATAGAGCACACGAAGGCGCTTTGATTCTTGCCATCTTGTACTAGACATACTTCACGCTTTACCTCGACACAGTACGCGGTATGGTGAAGTTTATGCCTTGAGTGATGTAAAAACACAATACAAAACGAGCTCAATCGTAGTATGGGTAGAACAATCTCTGAACCATTTTGCATTCTACCGTACACTCGCATTACCACTACAAACGCCAACTCCCCTCCTTTTCCACATCCACCGTCACCTCCCTTCGTCTCCATCACCCACACCTTCCACATGCCCGACTGACCGTTGGCGCCGATATCCACCAAATGCCTAGATAACTAGGACTTATACACGAAAAAATGCCCAACGCAGTGTGGGACTTACATACATAAAACACAGTATTGTGGCACTGCTAAGAATGAGAAGGTTAAAGAACACACTTCATCAAACTCGCAATACGCAAAGGAGGAGACGCAAAAAAAAAAAAAAGAGCCGCAAGAGGCTAAGGGGGGTATCATGCATGAAAACGCTCACAGTATCCGCCGGTAAAAACGCCAGGTTGATGCGGCTTTTGTTCGGGCCGGGGGAAATAACATAGTGAAAAAGGGTAACAAGGGAAAAGGCCTAGGAAAGAATGTTGTCGTCGAACTTTGGGTACGTTGGATCGGGCGAAGAGACAGCAGCTTACTGCTTGCTCTTGCCCTTTCCTTTGGGTTTGCTGGGTGCGCCGTTGGTTTCGGGCTGACCGTGTGTTGGGAGGTAGTAGTCCCATTCTAGCTTCAGCGGTGCGACTGGCAGGTTCTGGTTGAGGCTTTCCACCACTTGTTGGACTTGCGAGAGGACCACGAAGGCTGTACCGATCAAGCCGAAGAACTCGCTGTTCGGCTCAATGTACGTCCTGACCATCTTGTCGTAGACTTCTCGCAACTCAGCGGCCGCCGTGTTGATGTCGGCGAGTTGATCGTAGATCCCTTGCTTTGTGGTCTCGTGGTCGCTTGAGACTCGTTTCACCTCATTGGATGTCCGCACTGTGTCCTGCCTTAGAGCTGTGATCTTTCCCTCAACAATGCCCAAAGATGATTTCAAGTTCTCCTCGAAATCTGTGCGTGCTTTCTTCTCAGAGGCAAACTTGTCCACCATGACACGCTTGAAGTTTTCGAAGGGAACATTGTCGGAGTTGGGCGCCTTGGCAGGCGTCTGAGCCAGCTCCTTGATGGGCTTTTGGATATTGCCCTTCACGGTGTCGCGCTTGCTGCAATCACTGTCGAATGCTGAACGTAAGCCTTCTACAGCCGCAGAGTTTTCTGCCTGAGTATTGCTGACTTCAGACTGTAAGGCTCGCAGTGTACCCTGCAATGCAGTAAGTACCTCGGCTTTTGCGAAAGTGGCCTTGTCCACATCAATCGTTTGCTCCAGGTCTTGGATAGACTTTCTGATCTTGGTCTCCTCGTCAACGCGTGTGCCATGATCGGCGTCGATGGTAGTGCAAAGCTTTTCTGTGCTGGTCAAGCGTTCTTGCTTCTCTTGACCTATTTGGGTCTGCAGTGCCTTGACAGTTACCTGCAAGGCACCAAGGGCCTCCGCTTTGACGAATGGAGACGTGGCCGAGTTCAGATTCCGCAAAGAAGTTTGTAAACCAGACACTGAGCCCTTGATGTTCTCGAGCGTCTTCAGTTGCTCGCTCAGCCGCTGCTCAGTTTGATCGACCTTGTCACTCGCGGTTTTTGCATCAGAGCTGGCTTGATCGGCCTTGCCAGATGCACGCATAGCTGCCTCAGCCTTGGAAATTGCCAGGCTGGCGTCAGAGCTAGCTTGATCAATTTTGGTCAACGCAGTCGACATCTTGCCATGAGCCTGAATAGCCGACTGGAGTTGAGCAGCGTCGGTGACCACTTGTTTCAATTGCGGACTGATGTTTGCAATCTCGTGCAAGTGCGGAGCGATGTTCACAAGACCATGCAGTTGAGTAGCGTCCTGGTTCAGGCGGTCGAGAAGGTTCGCGCGGCCCTCTATCCAGCTGTGCAGCTGGTGGATTTCGTCCTGGAGTTGTGGCAGACCCGGGTACATTTGAGTGAACCAGCGGACCATGCCCTGATACAGGGTGTCGGTGCTGATGTTTTCGTATCGGCTCTCCATGTTGCGCATTGCGAAATTGAAAGTTTCCAGCTCTTTGTTCACCGATTCAGAGTCGGCCTTGGTCGACAAAGACAATCGCAGAGTCGCTAAACCCGTCTTCAACGACGCAACTTCTGTCGAGATTGTATTGAGCTGACTTTGTTGCGCTTGGCCGAAGCCGTTCTGTTGTGAAGGTGACTTCGATACTTGTTGCGCCAAGTCTGATAGATCACAGGCATGTTTCTCCAATGTAGCAGTGACAGTACTGAGCTGCTCTTCAACCTTGCGCTTGAGTGGGTCGAACTGTTCGTTGAAGAGGGTGGGGGCGACCTCCTGTACAGCTGAAATGGTGGCATTTGCACTGTCGAGTTCAGTGAACAACGTCTCAATATCTTGTGTGATGCCGTTGAGATCGCCGACTTCGGATGGCGCTGTCCTCGCATCAGCTGACGATGCCGCGAAACCAGGTTCACGCGATCGAATGCGAAAAGCTTGTATCTCTTCCATGCGAGTTTCCGTCAGTGTGCGAAGTGCTTGAATCTCCCCAGTGAGTCGGGTTTCCACTTCCTCAACAATACTTACCACAACCTTGCGTTCGGTCGTCATCAAAGCTTTGACCTTCGGTTCCGCTGCCTTTTCCAGCGTCTTGACTGAGGTCTTGTCCATCGTCGTGTCCATCGTCTCCACACTCTGCTCCATGCTGTCGAGCGGCCGAGCGTTAGCCAGAGTGGCTTCCATGTTGTTCAGTCGCTCGAAGATTGTCTGAGCCTGGTTCGTCAGGCCACTGGTGCCTTCTACAACTTTGCGAAGCTCTTGCAGTGATTTCTTGAGCAGCGAGACATCTGTGTCTGCATTGGTCACAGGTGGAGTGATTGCAGCAGGAGAAGAAGGCGCAACAATTATCCCGACTTTCTTAAAGTGAGGGCCCCAAGCAGCATTTTCTAGTTCATCGACGCGACCCGGAAGCTTCTCTGTAAGACGTGCATTGTTTTCCAGCTCGCTGAGGCGAGTAGGGAGCCTTCCCAACTCAGCTTGGGTAACATTGCTCTGCAAGTTCGCGACCCTTTGCGACAGGGCGAGGTTTGTCTTCTTGTGGTCGTTCTTGATAGGTCCAATGTACGTGTTAATGTCATCCGAAAGATCGTCGAAATCCTTCTGGAGGGTGCTGAGATCCTCTTGCGTATCTTTCAGCTTCTTGTGCATAGCCGCCGCTTCCTCCCTGTCTTCACCGGCCTCGTTACGGTATTTATCCAGTCTGTCTTTGAGCTTGTCTACCGTCTCTCGCAGTTTTTCGACACCAGTCAGCGTAAAAGCGTCTTCTAGGTCCTCAAATTTCTTCTGCAGACGGCTGGCCTTTGCATACGTCCTGCCAACGTTTCCCTCAATTTCTGTAATCTTGTCGCTTAAAGTCTTGAGTTGATCGGAGAATGTCTGCTTCTCCACGGTCTCCTTGAAAGCCTGGAATTTGAGAATCAAGTCCTGGTGGCTGGTGATGCGTTCGGAAAGCCGGCTGTTCACATCCTTGATTTCGTCGTTTAGGTCCTGTAACTCCTGTTGTAAGTTTGGAAGGTCGGCAGCCGAACGCTCTAGAGCTTCTAATCGCGCTGCTAAAGGCCTGGCGACTGCTTTTACAATGTTAAGAGTCTCTGTTTTGTTCGTGAAGCTATCAACGCGTGTAGACAAAGCCTCCACCTGTACCAGCCTGCGCACAATACCATCGTGCTCCTCCTCTCGCGCCTTGTTGATTTCAAGTAGCTCCTTCTTGATATCATCACGCTCCTTCTTAAGGTTTGCAATGTCCAGTGCCTGAGTATTGAGCTTAACGTCGACGGACGTGCTGACAGTAATAGTGGTCTGTTGGGCAATAGCTCTCTTCCTCTCTTTCAACTTGCGTAGAGATTTCATGGTAAATGGAGTATTGCTTGTGGTGGCACTAGTTACATCCTGTTGTTGAAGCACACCTGGATCTGGTGTTGGCAGCATCGAAGGCATAGGAGGGGCATGATGTGTAGGCGTCGATGCTCCACTGCTAAAATTACTGGGTGATAGAACTCGCACATTCTGACGCGGCCTGCGGTAGTCAGAAGCTAGTCTCGGACCGGTAGGTACATTGACAAATCCAGCTAAAGAGCTTTTTCTAGATGATGGAGGGCTCGGGATCCTGGAGACTGCTGAGTTGGCGTACTATTCTATGTCAGCACACATTATCAGAGGGAGTGAATTATATCTGACCCTATCTTGTAACGCCGACCGCTTGTCTGGCGGACGACTTCGCTTGTCTGGAGGACTCTCGCCGCGAGCTTGAGGCTCCAGTGGGCGCTTGCCAGCGCGCGAGCTCATCGGATTGCTGAGCGCGGGCGAGTATGCAGATGAGGTTCGAGTACGCAGGCTGTATCATATGTTAGTATAAACATTACACTAATCTAGACTAGGGTCTTGGCAGGTGAAAGTGCGTCTGCACAATCCGCCCTACGATGAAGCTTGTGTTGATAGGTTGCACCCCGAAAAGCAAAATATATCCTGGATTCAGAGGTAGTGAATCGGTGCACTTTTAACATGAGAGTAATAGTGTGTGCCTCCCGGAACTATCTTAGTATTTTGGGTGCAACTCTGAAAACGCGAGCTTCATCGTAGCGTGTCTCAGATAGCAAACGCAGGAGATAAGACGGCGAGAGCCTGACGTGTGTAATTTCAAAGCGCCATGCGGAGTGCACTCTTGGTGAGATATTGAATATAGCCAGCTTAAGTACTTGCTTTTTGTCTTTTAAGCTAGAATGACAGACCGCAGGTGAGAGGGGCAGTGGCAAGACTGCGTAGACAGATGAGGAGCGAGGGGTAGGGGACAACAAACCTGTCAGTGAAGGCGCGATTGCCAACACTTGTTGAAATGCTGGGGACTTGGGGCTGGCCAGACATCTCGCGGTGTACTAGGTGTGAGGTGAGAGGGTCGAGCGCGGGAGCCGCTACTGCACGCAACCAATGAGATTGAGGGCAGGAGCAGCGCGATGGATGGAAGAAAAGCAGAAACAGGACAAAGAAAGAAAGTTCGAGAGTTTGAATAGTGCTTGGGGAAATTGCTGGCTGCCTTGGGGTTTCCCGCCAGCTGGCAAGTGATAGGTCGGGGGAGCGGTCAATCCAAGGGTCGAGGGGGCAGTCGCGTCGACGCGCCCAGTGGAACTAAACAGCAAACCGCTGAAGAGCGGGGGCCCGTGCGCCGTAAACTGGAGCTTCCTCTGCGCGTCCGCGAAATGTCGTTGTCGCATCCCGACGCCTGAAATACCACACCGCACATCATCATGGCCATGGTAAGTGAGGAACGTGACCTGGAGTCACCTGACTAACGGCATGCAGCCCATCACCACCATCGCCGAGAGCAAGGAGCTCCGCGGCCTGAATCTCATCGCGGCGCATTCTCACATTCGCGGTCTCGGCGTCGATGATGACACGCTCGAGCCCAAGGTGTCGTCGCAGGGCCTCGTCGGCCAGGAGAAGGCACGCAAGGCGGCGGCTGTGATACTCAAGATGGCACGAGATGGCAAGATTGCTGGTCGCGCAGTCCTGATTGCAGGCCCTCCCAGCACAGGAAAGACGGCCATCGCAATGGGAATGGCGCAGTCGCTGGGCCCCGACGTGCCCTTCACCATGCTCGCCTCGTCCGAAATCTTCTCGCTGGAGATGTCCAAGACCGAGGCGCTCACACAGGCCTTCCGAAAGTCGATTGGCGTGCGGATAACAGAGGAGAGCGAGGTCATTGAGGGCGAGGTGGTCGAGATACAGATTGACCGCAGCGTCACAGGCGTGAGTACGAGTTTGATTGCGCGACGGGGCGATACTGACTGTGATTAGAGCAACAAGCAGGGTAAACTCACCATCAAGACGACCGACATGGAGACCGTCTACGACATGGGCACCAAGATGATCGACGCAATGACCAAGGAAAAGGTCATGGCCGGCGACATCATCTCCATCGACAAGGCCTCGGGCAAGATCACCAAGCTCGGCCGCTCGTACACGCGCTCCCGAGACTACGACGCAATGGGCATCGACACCAAATTCGTACAATGTCCCGAAGGCGAGCTGCAACAGCGGCGCGAGGTGGTACACACAGTCAGCCTGCACGAAATTGATGTCATCAACTCGAGGACCCAGGGCTTCCTAGCGCTCTTCTCTGGTGACACAGGCGAGATCCGCAGCGAGGTGCGAGACCAGATCAACACCAAGGTCGCAGAGTGGAAAGAGGAGGGCAAAGCTACCATCGTACCAGGTGTGCTGTTCATCGACGAAGTCCACATGCTCGACATTGAATGCTTTTCGTTCGTCAATCGCGCGCTTGAGGACGAGCTAGCACCGATTGTCATCATGGCCAGCAACAGAGGAAACACACAAATACGGGGAACAGACTACAGATCGCCACACGGACTGCCACTCGACTTCTTAGATCGCGTGGTTATTGTCAGTACCCACGCATACAACTCGGAGGAGATGCAGCAGATCATTTCGATACGAGCGCAAGAGGAGGAGGTCGATGTGTCCCCTGACGCTTTGGCGCTGCTCACCAAGATCGGGCAGGAAACTGGATTGCGATACGCGAGCAACCTCATCACGACTTCCGACCTGATACGCAAGAAGAGGAACGGGCCGGAGGTCACCATCGAAGACGTGCAGCGAAGTTTTGCCCTCTTTTACGACCCTACAAGAAGTGTCAAGGTAAGTTCCCATGCTTCGTCTAAAGAACTTGCTAATTTATCAAATAGTTCGTCTCCGACTCAGAACAGCGTTTAATCGGCGATGCGGGCGCTGTTTCCTTTGCGATCCCCAACGGCGCGGAAGCGATGGACGTCTCATAGACAGATGTTAAACAATCTCACGGCGTACAACGGTTCGAATGGGTCTAGCGTTTGCTCAAGGGTCAGCGAGTTGCTGTAGGCACAGCGAAAAGTCTGGAAATGTAATACTACACACGCGTGCATACTCTGTCCCCATCTTGTGCTGCCGAATCATACTGCAAGTGACCGTTAAGTTGACGATACTTGTTACAGGTGCAGTCACAACCAGGGTTAGTCAGAGCTGCACACTCTTGTACTACAGTCATGTCATATGGTCCGTGTGTCATCCTAATCCATAACGTACCGCAGTCTTGCATCTTGGGGTAAAGCAGATTGGCGAGCCGCTCTTCTGGACCATGTATCCTCGCACCTGGCAAATTGTGCGCCCCTTGAATTGTAGCGCCAGTGGCGTCAAACATGTACGCGTTGTACGAGCGTACAAGGAACTTTGTTTATCCATGTCTGCAGGTAGTCCGCGAAGGATTCGTACCTAGAGCGAAGATGCTGACGAGGCCACCTGTGTAAATAAGTCTAGCGAAAAATGCTTTCCCGCTTCCAGTAATTACGTATGCGACTTCGTTATTGGCATACGTAGGCCATGCACAGCAACTTCTGTCCTCAGAACAGACAGAGACGAGGTCATCGCGAAATGGAGACATCGGGCTATCTAATTTGTTCGGCGCAAAGACTCACCAGCCACAGCTGCCGCGCTGCCTGCGCCATACCAACGGCGACAACGGCCGGCAAACTGCAGCCGCCATCCGAAACCCGAAGAAATCCTAATCTTGGAAAGCTTAATCATGCAACGCCGCGTGTCACTGGACGACGTCTCCTGTCGAGCTCGCCAAATATCCATGATACCCCGGAAAACCGGCACACCTGTAACGAGCAAGGGGAATGGGGGCGCGAATGGGTTTACGTAGTACAAGGCTTGCGGAGGAGCAAGTGGGTGGCACCAGGCACAGGCTCAGGCTGGCAACCTGTCGCGTGCGCGTCATGAAGCCTTTTGACTCCCCTCCCGTACGCTGTGACCCGATGGTTGGCCCCATTGCGCTTCTCTTATCTTCTCTGTCCCGCCTGCGGTTGCTTCCTCTTCACTGACGTTATACGCGCCTTCCCTGCCCCACGGCTGTCGATCGCTGAACTTTGAGCACGCGATCACCTTCCCGAAACGCTGCGCTGCTTACTTTTGCTCGGTTCTACCTTGGAGTTTTGAGCGATCATAATAACGTCATACGACAAGTGTTTGTTACTGTTGATGCCCTTTCGTCTCATTATCTCAGAGACGGTATACTATCTGGACTGGACGCCTGAAGTGGGATCCACGCCTCAGCCATGCGGTTCCTGAAATGCGCAGCCGCCTTTGCAACCGCAACACTCTTCGCCTCTTCACTAGCCACACCGACACCAAACTCCAGACATCACGGAGGAGACAACTTGGCCGATCGTATTGAAAGCAGGAAAGGTAAGAAGAAGCCTGATACCAAGTACTTTCATGAGCCCGGGTAAGTCATTATAGCCTTGCAACTCGCCAGTGTCATTACAGCCTGTAGCATGTTCGCTGACACCTCTCCAGAGGCAGTATTACGCTCGGCCACTATGACAAGCGCTTTTTCAAGGGTGTCGTCTCAGACGAAGAGCGAACGGATACGCAATCGCACATGGTTCGCGCTTACCTGAACTTCTTTCGCGAAAACGAACTGGATACCTGGATAGCACACGGGACATTGCTCGGTTGGTGGTGGAATGGGAAGGTGAGTTCTGCCTCCAGTTGTTTGCAATACGTGCTAACGCCTCTGCAGCGTCTTCCGTGGGACTTCGACCTCGACACTCAGGTGTCCGACAGCACACTCCAACATCTAGGCGCAGTACACAACCAGACTCGATACCATTACACTTCCTACGATGGCGCTGTTCAGCGCGAATACCTCCTCGATGTCAACCCGTGGATCTGGGAGCGCGAGCGTGGCGATGGCATGAACATTATCGATGCGCGATGGATCGACCTGCGCAACGGCCTGTTCATCGACATAACTGGACTGAGCGAGACACATCCAGACAAGAACCCGGGTCAGTGGGTATGCAAGAACTACCATCGGTACGATACATCGGAGCTGTATCCTATGCGGGAGACCATGTTCGAGGGCGTCCCAGCGAAGGTGCCGTACAACTACGACAAAATACTTGTGGACGAGTACAAGGAGAAGGCTTTAATAGAGACGAACTTCCATGGGTAAGCGGAGTTGTCTGTTCGCATGGGCAAGTCATGACTAACGATGCGTAGACACCGATGGGACCCGGACGTCAAAGAATGGGTCAAGTCGCCAGAGACACTAGCCAAAGAGGAACAAGAGCGCAAGAAGAAAGAAGAAGAGGAGAAGAAGAAGGTGGAGGAAGAGTCAAAACTGGATTAGTATTCCAGCTGGCCGTAATGCGGGTGTCGTTCGATGGCTTCTACTGGGTTATAGCTCAGGCATTGCTAGCGTATGTTTCTAGTACACGCTTTATTGATACCCGGCGACGTTGAATTTAAGTAGCAGATGTAACGATTATTTATCAGTGAGTACGGGAACAAGCGAGTGAGGTTCCCTGGTACCAAGATCTGCGAGTGTGCACAACGGCCCGATGTCGATGGTGGTGAACAGTCAACAGCATGGTGAGCATCGGAGTTTAGTGATGACAAATTCCGATGGCGACCCCGTCATCTCGTGGAAGCCTTGCAGAACGTCACCGAAACAACGCATGGCTAGAGCTCGGCCGCATGCTGCGAAGCTTTATATCTTAATCACCACTAACCTCATCACTTACTCCGTATACTAGATCGCGCCTGGGAATCATCCAACCCTCGCACCGCCTGAACATCTCGCCACTCCCTACAACGCTTCCACCATGGCTGAAGCCAACACCACATCTGCGCCAACGCCCTCCGGCTCCGACATCGAAATAACCCTCACCCACCACGGCAAAGCAATTGCATTATCCTTCGCCCAAGATGCCACAATCTCCGACCTTTCGGAACGCGTCGTAAACGACTTGTCAATACCGCCCTCCAACCAAAAGTTCCTTGTAGGCGGGAAGATCGGGCTCCAAAAGCCACCCTTCAAGAACGCCTCGCTTCCACTCACCGAGCTCGTCGCAAAGAAAGTAACCCTGATGGGCAGCACAACCGAAGCCGTCTCCTCCCTCAACAATACCATATCCGCCGCCTCCGCACCCCGCCGTCCGGGACCTATCAAAGCCGCCCTGCCAGCGCGCAACCGCGATTACAAGAAGATACAAGAAGAGGCGCAATATACTTTTCACACCCTGCGGCCGTTACCGTATCTTCCAAATCCAGATCGTTCGTTAAGGTTTCTTCAACGGCTGAGAGACGACGCGGGGATTAAAGCTGCAATGCGCACGCACAAATTCAGCGTGCCTCTTCTTACTGAGATGGATCCTGCTATGCATACTACAATGGAGAGTCGGACACTGGGGTTGAACAGAAATCAAGGCGAAGTCATCGAGTTACGCCTCCGCACAGATGCCTACGACGGGTATCGCGATTATAAAACTATACGGAATACGCTGTGCCATGAGTTGGCGCATAACGTCTGGGGCCCACACGATCGCAACTTCTGGAACTTGTGCAAGCAGATTGAGCGGGAGGTTGCGAGGGATGATTGGAAAAGTGGCGGAAGGAGTGTAGGAAACGACGAGTTTTATAATCCGGGAGATGATGGAGGGGAGGAGGTGCATGATCATGGGGGTTGGACTGGAGGTGAGTTTACGCTGGGGAGTGCAGGAGGAGATGGGAAGGTGGGTGGGAGTAGTAGTAGTAGTGCGACGGGTGGGTTGAGCAGGAGAGAAGTGCTTGCAAAGGCAGCGGAAGAAAGGTTCAAAAAGACGAAGGAGGTGGAGAAGGAGGAGGACGCTGGTGAGAGCGCGAGTGGCGGATCCTGAGTGTGTGGTCGTAGATGGTCTTGTAGGTGCGCGTATACCCTTTGATTGCGCAGTTGTAGTAGAGAAGCGTAAGTTGTAAGTCAAGTTACTTCGCTGTGTATGCCATGTTACCCATTTCAACATCCACTTCACCTTTTCCAATAACTCCATTTCTCGTGTCGGTTTTCGTTCTTGTCGGCCAATGGCGCACCTAGGAGGACCGCAATGTCGATCCACGACTCCGGATAGGAGGAAGCTATAAGCTTTGTTTACCCCATCTTTACCCCAACTTTTAGCGCTGCCGCTGCTACAGCCGATGACCTCCGCTTTCCCATTGGCATCGCATCTTCCTTCTTTACATTGCACTTTCTATTCGGCGAGATTCATCTGTTTCTTCGCTGCAGGCATCGTGCCTACGTATCTAGGCATTGGCGTCTAGTCCCTCTACCTTTGCTACATCTCGCAATACATCGCCGTCTAATCCCGACATCCCCCATTGCTCCATCGAAAGCCTCGCACACTTCCTCTCACAATACCAACCACCACAATGTACTTTGTCATCTTCGCCCTCCTCATAGCCGCAGCATGGGCAACCGTCGGTGTTCTGCTCGCTAAGTGGCTCAAACAATCCGGTCACGCGAGGCCGTTCAAAGGAAGAGATTGGGATAGCCGCGAGCTGTATGGTGGTGGTGTGGGGTATGGGCGAGACATGGGGTTTGGGGGACCGGCGAGTCAAGGGAGAGGGCAGGATGGCAGGGAGAGGGGTGTTGGGATTCCGCTGACGGGGGTGGGGAGGGTTAAGGGATTTTAGATCTGGAGGGAATGAAGAGGAGGGGAAGGGGAAGGAATACGGGAGATGGGAAGAGATGGATAATAGAGACGGGTGAGGTGTGGAGAAATGAGGGATCGGTAAGACGATACGTCTGGTCTGGTGAAGGTCTTTGCAAAATCGTTGACGTTCGGTCTGCAGCATGTCAGTCAATCTCTGTCGACCACGATACTGGGGCTCAAGTACTCCAAAATATAAAGCCAAACATCACCCCATCTCTGTGGGCTGGCTTTCGCATATCGTTCGTGTTTTTGGTGAATGGATCCAGTGGGGTCATTTGTTTGTACGCAACCAACACCCACTCGGTACCGCCATCGCTAGCGCGTGTGTTCGGTGCGGATGGCGAGGCTGAGTTTCGACTGAGCCTTGATGTAGCTCAATAGAAGCTCAATCTCGCCATCCGCATCGAAAACACGCGGTCTTTCGACACTGTTCGGATCGTTACGTTCTTTGTTCATTGTTTTCTCAACATGAACAACGCCGCGACTACATTTTCGTGGTTTATACAAAGGTCAGGAGCCTTGTTGTTTGAAAAGCTCTTTTTAGACATCGCAATCGAGCGCGCTGCCTTTCCCTAATTGTACTGTTTAATTTCTTGCAACTGTATCTCAACGACCTCAACGAACGTCAGACGACACCTTCGCTACCGCATTCGCAGTAAAAGCTATAAACTTACCAGATTAATTACTACCATATAATATGGCGTCGCAGGCCATACGCACAACGAGAACGCCCAAGGCTACGATAATCAAACACATTTCTACCGCGTTGTTATCCGAACCAGTCCACAGGCCTCTCCAAACACCCTCGCCATCTATCGTCGCGAAGACCCTGACCCAATACCTCTTCGGTGAAACCACACTCCCGTCCTTTCTCCAGCGGTATGGCGACGTCTTAGTGGCAATCACCGGCGGTGCTGCGGCAGCAACAGGCCTATGTTGGTTCTTCCAGCGTAACAAAGACAACCGCAAAAGGATTCGACTAGCCGTCTATCATGTTGTCCGCACACTTCAGATCATGCCCGACCTACAACAACGTATGGAGACTCCAAATGAACTTTATGAAGAAATTGACAATGAGGTGAATCGGATGGTTGGCACTTATTTGACGTTATCAGAGGGCGGAGCTACTGTGAAGAGGGCTAAGCGTAAGCTTTGGGATGATTACGATGCACGTATGAGGGATGATGGGGCTGAGAGGAGAGTAAGAAGGAGGCTGGACAATGCGGCGGCCGAAGAGAATGCTGGCGCACTACGTGATCGTCACATGGAGGATGAAGAGAATGCTGAAGTGGATCTTACTGGAGACGTTCCTGAGGTTGTCGTCCAGTCTCCATCTTCTGCAGGTCAACCAGAGGAAAGCCCGATTCATGAGGAAGAAGTACAACAAGATGACGAGCCCGATGTGGATGTGCTCGGCTACAATCCGACAGCATCGCACATAAGCCCAGTACGAGAGCGGCCGCTGCCCACATCGCCCGATCTCAATCTCAACTTTGACGATTTCAAGGTACCGCCACCGGAACAGAGTAGAAGAAATCACGGAAGTCCATCCAATCTAGGCTTCTTAGACCAATACTCATCTTCACCGCTAGCACGGCCGTCAAATCCAACTCCTCGTCGTGGTCGAGGCGGTCCTTATAGTAGCGATGACACGCCTTCGCCGCAGCGTCTGAAGCCCGCAAAACGTTCTAGTGAGGAAGTATCTCCTAGTAAAGACGAACAGCCGATGCTCCGTCCATCTAATCCTACACCTCGCCGTGCCAAAGGCTCTACAGATGTCGACACGCCACGACCGAAGATTTCGCATGGCATTAAAACTGAACTTGAACAAGAAGATGATGGCGCCTACATTCCTGTTATCTCTCGGGATGATGACCCAACAGTACCACAATCACCTCGACCACGCGTCACCACTAAAGACATCCGTGAGCATCGCGAAAAGGAACGTGCGTCAAATGCCGTGAAGAGGGCTCAAAAGCCCCGTAACACTATTCCACTACACCAGCCGCCCAGCGCAATGGCTGTGAGGACGCAAGGTGAAGTTCCCGGGACATGGCTTCCTTCTATACGTGAGGGCCTATCACCACACGTAAGCCCTGCGGCAGACACTACAATATACCGTGTTGCGGAAAGTCGCAAGCTTAACAAACAGCTTGAGGGTGAGAGGGAGGAGCGCCGTCTTTTTAGAAAGTATATCCCGGAGAAAGGCGAAGTTTTACAGGCGGTTGATGTAGAGCAGTCCGCCAAGGAAGTGGACGTAGAAGGGAAGAAAGGAACTCCTCAGTCTCGCCCAGGAAAGGAACTATCCCAGCTCATCTCAATCAGTTCAGGTAGCGAAGAAGACGATGAAATGGTACACTTCGAAGAGCCTCCCGCACCCATCCAAGCCGCCTCGCCAGCAGTCAACCACGACAACCCACTGCCTGCCGCTGAGTCCTCTTCACCGAAGCCAAAACCATTACCAAAGGCGGCGACCAAAGACCAATCTCGAAGATCGGCGGCTCCAAGCCCACCTGAGAGGCCTAGTCCGAAGGCTGCGAAGACGCCAGCGAGAACACCGGCTAAGAGAAAAGCTCTGCAGACTCCTGGGACGCGGAAAAGTGAGAGACTTGCCAAAAGAACGAAAGGTGAGAAGAAGTAGATGCCAGTGGTACTGTGAGATTGCTGGACATAGTTTGCAGCGTTGAGGCGATGTCGGGAGACGTTCGTATACTTCACTTAGTGTTTTGGCATCGCGATCACACGAGTTTACCGTCCCATACTGTTCTGGTCTATTTTCTGTATCTTTCAGGTTATTAAAGAAGCCTACCTGAGATCTTTATCACATTGTAGCAATGACGACGTGCATGACACCCAGGGACGTCAAACAATAATGTGACGTCATCCATCGTTCTGTCCACGACCATCGTATCCATCTCATCCTCGTTTCAACTCATTGCGACCTCAACAAGTTGTCATCGTGACCTTCAAAGATCTGTGCCTGTCCCAACAAAATGTACGACTGACTACAACAGGCTTACTAGCAACGGCCCTGCATGGTGGCTGACTGTCAGCTGGTCAAGTGATCGGCGTATTGCCCTGGTCTTATTCATCGCAGCCTAAACCATGAATTCAGGCCTACAATCGAAACCTCATTTTCCAGACTTTCACGTTCGTGATACGTCGACCCGCTACCCGTTTTGACGGTCTCGTGCTATGCGCCACATGGAACGGCTGTTGACCGGCCACGCTGAAGTGGTATACTCCCTCAACAAAAAAATGAATGCATTGTGATGCCATGTGTATAAGAATCTCGGTACTCTTCTCACAAAATAGTATCATCCACGCAGCTTCACAGTTCCAATCATCCTTCAACACCTCCAACAACGTCAACAACTACCCCAAATGGCCAACCCTCAAACCCCCCTCTCCCTCTCCCACTTCCACCGCATAACAAACACTTCCAACCCCTCCAACCCCACCCTCGACATCGTCAACGACCACGGCACCCAAAACAGCACCGGCCTCCTCAAACTAACCCGCGAAGGCTACTACTCAGGCCAGTTCTGGGCTTTCGTAGCCTCACCCTCCGCCCCCAATCTCTACCGCCTCCGCACATTGTGGCTAGGCCCAAACCGGCTCCTCGACGTCTACGCAGACGACACGTCGAAAGCGGTGTTGAGACGGGCGGACGACACGCCGCATGTGCCGGATTGGAAGGTGGGACAGTGGGGTGATGGAACGTGGTGGATTGGGAATGGAGCGAGTGGTGTACTGAAGGTCATGGATGTTGGTGGGGAGAATAGGAGGCAGGTGGTATTGAGGGAGAAGGATGAGGGGGCTAAGACGCAGAGGTGGCGGATTGAGGTTATCAGGGAGATTAGTGAGGACGAGTTTTACGATAGACCTCCTACACCAGAGGAGGGAGAGGTTAGGCAGTGCATGAGAGATGTTGATTAGATGTATTCAGTCGTGGAATTCGATCCTATTCGTTCCACTTATATACACGCCTCATCGATGCGAAATATCTACGAAGCGGGAGCAGCAGTACCGTATGGAATAGCCTTGGCGCTCTCGATGTCAACGTAACCGTACTTGCTTCCGGTCTTATCGTCGGAGAAGCCTTGAGCCCAGGTACCCATGTCCTTCTGGAAGGCCTCGAAGTTCTTCTCGTCGCTCAGATCGATAGGCTGTTGGTCCTTACCCAGCTGCCTAATCTGTGTTCCTGCTGCAACGTTGGTGATGCCGAAGTCGTTGTCGTCGGTCAATTGGTCGATCGCCGCGTGAACCTCGCCGTTGATGATCTGGCGAGGGAGCTCTGGCTCCTGGCAGACCGGACGGGCGAGACCGACACCGTCAACGGTGTTGAGGGCGTCGACCATGGCAGCGGCGCTCTTCAATCCACCAGTAACGTAGGTCTTGGTCTTGGAGAGCGAGGGTGTGATCTTCTCGGCGAACTCGAGGAAGAAAGCTTCACGCTTCTTGGTAGACTCGCGCTTGTGGCCGAATGCAAGCTGCTCGTAGGTGCCACCGGAAAGCTCAACAAAGTCGAAGCTGTTGTCCTCAAGCAATTTGCAGAGAGTTGCGGCCTCCTCGGTACCGAAACCCTTGTCTTGGAACTCAACGGAGTTGAGCTTGATGCCAAGAACGAAGTTGGAAGAGGTGCGCTTGCGTACTTCCTGACCAATCTCGGTGACGATGCGCGCGCGGTTCTCGAGAGATCCACCGTACTTGTCGGTACGCTTGTTGGTGCTGGGGGCAAGGAATTGTGCGAGCAGGTAGCCGTGGGCGCCATGAAGCTGGATGCCGTCGTAGCCGGCCTTCTCAAGGTACTCAGCTGCGTGTGCAAAGCCCTCGATGACGTTCTTGATGTCCTCGTCCGTAGCAGCGCGTGGCTTGGCGAAGGTCATGCCCATGACGTTGCCCTCTAGTTGTACGTCGGATGCGGAGATTGGGTTCTTCTGGATGGTCTCAGTTACCTGGCGACCTGGGTGGCTGACTTGTCCGACGATCAAAGAGCCATGCTTCTTCGACTGTGTCGCAAGCTCCTTGAACATCTCAAACCGCTCGCCCTCGTACTTTGAGCCGCGGGGAATGATGGGGTTGCCAGCAGCCTCCAGGTGGTCGTATTCGATCATGATGTTGCCGGTCAGGATAACGCCAAACTCGCCCTCGCCCCATCGTCGGTAGACGTTGACGAGGTTCTTGGAAGGAACGCCACGAGCCTCGAGGTTCTGAGGGTCCCATGATGATAGACGCTCGGTCATGGCGCCCTTGAGGAATCGGTTCTGAGCGGTCTTCTTGGAGAAAGCAAAGTCGAGGGGCTTGCCCAATGGGGCAGGGTCCTTCTTCTCGGCTTCATATCTTCTTGGTGCCATGTTGCTGAAATGTGAATGGGTATCTAACGAAAAAGACAAGTGTTTAGTGCAATGAGATTGATGTTTGGAAGTCGTGTGTTGGAAATGTGATGCGACTTTGGTGCGCGGTCAATGCAGGTCTATAAGTGATTCGTTAGTGCTTCATCAGTTTTGCATTTCTAAGCGTTTCCACGAGTATGTTGCTGAACAATGACGGACTCGTCCGAGATTGATCCATAGCGACGTCATAGAGGTACGCTATAGGCTAGGGCCCGGCTGCGACACCTCGGCAGATGTAGGCAAAGCACCGTGATCTAGATCGGCCTCACCGGGGACGCCAGAGCATCGAGTTAGGCTATGTGGTGGAAGAGACGTTTGTGGGGTTGAGATGTCGCCCTGGAGCGGTGCAGGGACGTGGCGTCATTCTCGCGTTACAAATCGTTCAGGAACAGGGCGAATCGGGCCGATGATGTTGCGGTTGCGTGCTACCACGTGTCGGCGAGCTCTCATGAACGCCATTACCTAGGCACGATCTTATCTGATACATGCGACGTTCATTGAGCGAATATCACGTCTATCCATCGACTACCGGGAATAATTCCAAGGACCACAAGTGCACGTTCTTCTCCGATGGATGAAGAGACTTGCCGACCCCTTCACCTTAACGAAAGAGGACCAACTCAGCGCCATATCAATCACACGAATCACTGCTAAACCATGGCACCCTTCATATATCGATGGTTTGACGATTGTATTGTGCACAACGAGTGCAAGTAACTAAGATACACGATGGACGACTACGCTATGTTGGATAGCATCGCCTCCAGATTTCTTCACTCCCCGAAATGCTTGAAAAGTATGTTGCTTGCTAAAATGTATGCGACCATCTTTACTCGGCCAGGACAGACAGGCCAGTAAATGGGATCTCCTGGCAGCTGTTTTGAGCGGTAATAAGAATCTCCTCGCCTGCCTGGCAGTTGGTCGAGGCGAAGACGCGAAGAGCTAGGCCCTTGTTGCTGTCGTATGCAACGCTCCTGCCAGTGTTGAAACCCTGGCACTTTCCGTTACCAGCCTCGCCGAAGTTCTTGTACTGGCCAGTCTCGCAGTTCTAGAGGAAGCGGTTCCAAGTCAGCGGACGTTCAAGATGAGGATACTCTCTGTTTGAGGCTTAGCCCGGGGTGTGACTTACGGAGACGGAGAAGGCGCTGACCGCGGGAGCAAGAGCGGCAGCAATGGCGATGACGGAGGCAAGAGTGAATTGCATTTTGATGTTCTGGGAGAAACGATCAGCTGGGAGCAGAAACAAAAGAGGCTGACGAGACACACTGGAGGAGCGTTTGAGGTTGAAGTGGAAGTGAGTTGCTTGAGGTTTGAGGATTGCGTTGGATGATGAGCTCTCGAAGGGAGAACAGCCAGATACTTATACCTGTCCTAGGTTCGCCGTGCCATGCTGGAAGAGCAAAGATCCGAGAATCTAAGCCGCGTTCACGACATGATAGCGAGCCTTGCGATCAACGTCTCCAGGCGCCCAACAGTGGGCTCTCTACTCAGGGTCGCTATACCAAGACGGTGTGGCCAAGCATCGGAGGCTTAGGCGTCAACGCATTCTGAGCGCGCAGAGGTATCTACGAATGTCTTTAGGCATCCGGTGACGGAGGGGAAATGACGATTGGCATACGCAGGTCGCCAGATCATTGTACGCCGAGGACCAACTATGCGCGTCTTTCTAGCAAACTTTGACCGTCGGCAACTGTATGACCTTCTTGGCCGGCACCGTCAGTCGACAGATTTCATCTTGAGACTGCTTTGGCAGAAACGTTCGTTGTACAATGAAGTTTGGGATACTACCGCATCCGTAAGTACCTATCTAGACTCACTGATGGCTCTCCAGCAGTGGCTTTTGCTGGGGTGCACACTGAAAGGCTGTCTATTGATGCTTGAGGCGCTGAATCCAGCGGTGCAACTCTTTTTAGGCCACCCAAAAAGCACTTGCTGGAGTTACTTCGGCCTCTCCACCCGCCAAACCCACACTCGATGTGCATTCAGCAAACGCAGGCGGTATGCTAGTGTGCTCAGGTTTAGAAGCAGTATCATCTCTTTAACATTACAGCAACTACAGGTGATCACAGTGTCCGAACAGGACTGTATGCGATAACGCATACTAGAACGACTTACGCCCTAACTCAGTCCGGAGTATGCAGGATCCCGTAACATACAATCCTTCGACGGGCCCGTGGTATATGTCTGGGGAGCGGACCCACGCGGCCCGCCTGATCTACGTGAAAGAAACATCGATGCACGCGCATCTACCCACATACGCGCGTTCCTCGGGGACCTGTGGTGAGCGATGTATACCGAAATGGGATATTTCGCGATCGTACGTATGCTAGGCTCGGTGGTAGTTCGGTCCTCCCTGAACGACGAGGCCGAAGTGGCCAACTTAGATCTTGGCCGGCGGCTTGGTGGGATAAGGAGAGCAAGGCGGATTTGTAATACAGCGGTAGGTTGCGCAAAGCCAAAGAGCGTAGTGATAAGAGCAGATATTTGGTGATATGGAGTGGGACAGAACTTGTCGCCAAGTCCGGACTTTCGAACATGATGTCTGGGAAGCTGAAGGCCTGAGCTGTCTTGATTGCTCGGTCTATACTCAGCCACATCTGAGGGATGATCGAACTGTTCACCAGTTGACATGATTCACTGCATTGCTACCAAAACCTGGTTCCAACGCTCAGCACAAGATGCTCTTCTAAAAATTTGGGTACGCAAGATCGCAGCTCATTGGAATTTGTGCAACAAAATTGGGTAGATTACATCTAGCTATCCAAAATTTAAAGAAGGAGTTCAACAGACGGGAAGCGTTTCTCAGAGATCAATCACCTTCTCGTATCCCGGACAAGGCGTAGTAGAGGCAAAGAATCGATACGAAGGTCAGCGCGGGACCTCGTGCAATGATGGAGGATACGGCGCGGCTCCTGTGAGTAATGTGCATACTTTGAAGTTTCGAAATTCTCAGGTAGCATTGCCTTCTGGTCTAGACAAGTAAGAGACTGGACGTTCTGCACAACACACCACGTCAGTTGTCCGATCCGATACACATCGAGGCCATATTGGAAGCTTTGAAGTAAGAACTGTGCGACTTGTATCTTTGTCAATTTAGGAAACGGAACTAACAAGAGTTCAGGGAAGAAGATTATGGAATGCTATGTACCGTTCTGGTATGCAGTTGGCGCCAAGTCAACATCACATCGTGTATCGACAAAGTATAACTTTATGGAAGACCAGGTCATGATTCGCGTATCTAACACTGTAACACTATGGGTTATCTACGTGACGTTAATAACGTACACTCAGAGGTATGTGCACAGTGTATCGATCCACTCCGTATAAACCTTGACTGCGGTGTTGCTAAATTATCGACATTAACAACCTCGCGCAAGCAGACCTCTATTGTCATACGTGACTCGAGCCGATCCATTTCCAGCACCCAAAGATACATCGAAGTTCCTTCGATACTGCCCATTCAATGACCGTAAAGTCGAGCCACGAGATATCAGACGAAACTTATAAGCGTCGCAACCGAGCCGACAGCGGTACATTCGCATGTGACAACGAAGCAGATTCTTTCTGCAAAACAATGCTACGTTTTACCGACTACCTGATCGAACAAGACCCCAAGCTTGGAAAGCCTGATCAGCTTACCCTACGTTACTTCAGGCGAGTCTACCAGATCCCGGACAATACTAATTACGTGATTACCAAATTTCTGAACCGTATCAAACTCATCACGGCACCCTCTGATCCTGCCGACGTACCAGGTTTGGCTCATTGCATACAACTCGTGTCGAATCATGAGTCAGGAAGTTGGGCCGAGAACCGGGCTAAGAATGAGCGTACGGTCAAGGATTTACTACTAGACCGAACAAACCGGGCATGTAATCGCGATACCTTCGCTGTTGGAAAGGTCGTCGGCGGACGATGGACTATCATGTCCGAGTTGGGCTTCGGCAACGGAACTTATAATCAAGGCATCCTTTTCGTGCGCGATTGTCTCTAGGAAGACATGCGTATCATGAAGATCTTACCTTCAGAAGCCATGTATCCTGGATTTCAAGCCTGAGAGATAGATGTCTTGAGCCGGCTTCATCATCACAACATCATCATTCTAAACCTGAAAGTGCTCTTTGCACATAAAGACGTCATTCCCGCAACGGGTAGGGTGGCTGTCGATCGCCCAATGGACCCCACAAGCTCGACGCCTTGAGGTCTGTGGCCGATGCATCACCACACCCGCCTGGGTCAGCATCAACTGTGGTCGCGCGACAAACGGATTCATGCAGCCACTGATCTCATACCAGTGCACTCAATCGAACGCCAACAGGGCCTGATTGCGCAGTCGCTCTCACGATGTCCGAGGGCAACACCGCTGGATGTACTATCGAGCTGAGCGTTCATTGAACACTCTGTGACATCCCAAACAACTATTTCTACCAATGAGGGCTTTGGGCATCGTAAATTGTTCGAGAACATATGTTGATAATGTCGCGTATGCGTTGGTTCAACAGCCACTACGCTTTGACAATGTGCATAGCCTTGTCATCTTTCACGAGGTAGTATTGCAGCCTCGCGCCACTAGCGCTTACGAACGCTGTCCTATATTGCGGGGTTGAAACCAAAGCTCCAGGCATCATCCTTATCGTAAAATCGTTCCTGGAGATGACGTTGATCAGGGGGCCTGTTTGTGCTGCTATCCTAAGAGAGACGCGAAGAGAAGTGTACGGGTGTGATGCACCCTCATTGGAAGACTCAGCCCGATGTGGATGCCACTACTGTAGTGCTGTATGTGAGGTCAGGCCAGCGCCTTGCAATAAAGATGGCCTGTCGGTGCTATCAGGAGTTCTCGAAAACTCGCTGTGCGTAAGATATTTTGAAGATTTCGTTGAAAATGGGTATAAACAGATTCGGTCCTTTGACAGAGAGCTTTTCACTTTGAGCAGTAAGTCCGCAATCATTGATGCTGATGACTTTTCTGACGAATATGTAGGCCAAGACGACCCTATCCTTCCCCCAGCAAGAGTAATCTCAGGTGATACTGGTTCGAGACAGAGCTTCGAAACTATCCGAAAATGGCTTGATACGTGTATAGGCACCCACAAAAGCTTATGCTCACTACCACATGCCGAGGAAGCCTACTCGAAATTACCCGACCGAGTGATAGAAGTGAGCTTGGACAATCCACAAAAGATTCGCTTGATCGATACCGGGAACAAGAGAGAGCGATATGCATGTTTAAGCCACTGTTGGGGCGGGCAATACCCTTTACGGACAACTAAAAAACCGGATACTTTGTCAGATCACCTAGAAAATATCGAAGAGCAAGACCTCCCAAAAACGTTTCGGGATGCTATCAAAGTTATTGTCGAACTTGGTATCCGCTTTATTTGGATCGATTCGCTATGTGTATGCAGTTCCCATTCGGTTTCCATGTTTGCAATAATCTGGTATCAGAACTAACATAGTCACTAGATTGTTCAAGATGACGATAAGGATTGGCAAGTCCAATCCGCACAGATGGCCAGCATCTACGCTAATTCCACATTAACAATTGCGGCTTCGGCATCTTCAGGCCCACACGAGGGTCTTTTTCGAGTCGCAGCTCCTGATCTTATTGGGTGGTCTATCTCAAACTTTCCAGATATTCGCGCGAGAAAACCACTTCAACACGACTCGGAACGCCTACCACTTCTTGAAAGAGGCTGGGTATTCCAGGAGCGGCTCCTGAGTCCGCGAGTTCTCCATTTTACAGATCATGAGCTCATTTGGGAGTGCATGGAACACTTAGACTGTGAATGTCAGAGACTCGAAAACCCAACCGCACACTTTTGGTCGGTATCTAAGCAATTATGCCATCCGGACCGATGGCGCTTACTCAAAGACGATCATTCTGAAATTACAGACGTATGGATGCGACTCATCATGGATTATTTCCAGCTCGCATTGTCGAAACCAGATGACATTTTCCCGGCGATCTCAGGTATCGCCAAAAGCTTTGGAGAAGCTACTGGATGGGACTACTTTGCAGGCATGTGGAAACAAACAATGATACACTGTCTCACGTGGTATACAGTCCACTGCGGTTCAGCAACCCGGTGCATGCCGTGGCGCGCACCCACGTTTTCATGGGCTTCTATCCAGTTCAAAAATGGCTCGTTTTATGGTCAATATGACGTTCCTGACTCGGAAGTATCAGCTACCGTCGTGCAAGTCGAGTGTTGTCCGAAAGGCGATGATCCTACGGGACAATTGGAGAGCGGATATCTCATCCTATCCGGCACCTTGATACAGGCAACCATTTTTGGCAGTATGCATGGAGGTGACATCAAAAACCTCCCATCTGAAGGACCGAATGCACGCATCTATTCGTATCCTCTTCACGCTGACGTCAACTTGATGCAGGCAGGTTACGAAGTGCATGATGGTGCGTCGGTGTTCTGTCTGGAACTGCTTATTAGGAAGCCTTCCAGACTCGATCGTAGAGGTGGAGTGTCTTTGGTTTTGATTAAGAGTAACTTGACAGCATGGGAGTGGAATGGTATAAAGGGCGACTGCGTATTCGAGAGGATAGGACTTCTGAAAGAGACCCTCGAGAGATCATCACCGGCGCACGCTATACAGCGCGACGCGATTGTGAAGATCGTATGATTTCCAGGTCAGAGGGCTGTCTGATGGCAGGAGTCCATGATGAAAAGGAAGTGATTGCAACGGGAATCATGAGAGTAATGGTATTGGAACATCGAAGTATGAGATCTGTTTGATAAGCACATACCGCTCTCTCTATTGAAATACATGCCTGTAAATCTGCTTTGCCAAATCCCCTAGTAGCAATCGAACGCCACAACACCATGCTAAATGCAGTGCAATGGTAACGCAACCTATCTCTTCTCTAAGCATCCCCCGAAGCTACCATAGCACCAACATTGTGCATACCCTCTAATCCATATCGCATGCTCATAACCGCATCCTCCTCATCCTGTCGTCAAACCTCGGTTCACCTCCTCTTCCCAACCCTTCCTCCTCAACTAACCTAACCACACCCACCAGAACAGCAAAATAACCGCCGCAAAGAACCCGACCCAAACCTTCCACCCCACGCCCGTCTTCTGCGCCATCCTCAACATGCGATTCATCGTCCCCTTTATCTTATGTCTCGAGTTCTCAAACTGGTCGTTCATTTTCTCGGCGAGGGTGGTGGAGTCGCGGATTTCGTCGCCAATGAGGTGGGTTAACTTTCCGAGCGTTAGCGGGATAATTCATAGAACAAATTGACAAGAAGACGGGATAAATGGAGAGGGGAAAAGAAGGGAGGTAATGGGTTAGAGGAAATGGGAAACATACATCCTTCAACATCTTAACCTTGCCCGTCAACACACCAACATGCTCATCATTCTGACTCTCCAACTCATCCAACACAGCCGCCGAGTACTGCCCTCTTGAATTCGGTGTCGCAGCCCGATATATGCCATCTCTCCCATCATCACTCCCCCTTCCGCCTCCTACGCCGTATCCTCCGTATCCACTCATCCCTCCACCTCCAGGATACAAGCCTCCACTACTACTCCCAGGATACGCATCCGCAGAAGGACCAGGATACCCATATCCTTGACTTATACTAGCATTGTAAGGGGAAGCGCGGGATTTGTTTTTTGATTTCGAGGGTGAGGCGCTGCGGTTGTACGAGGAGAAGAGGTCGTCGCGGGGGTCGGCGCGGGTGAATCTACTTGACATTGTAGCGGATATGCGATGTGCGGTATACGGTGTGTAGAGTGTGGTAGCCCTTTTCTGGGGTTTGGGCGAAGCGTTCTGGGCTGAGCCTCGTCTTCGTCTTCGTCGCGTTGTGCTTGAGGCTCGAGATATGAGTTTTGAAGCAGCGCGCGCGAGGAATGTCGATGCGTATGTGATTGCGATTGCGGGTGCGACTGGGGTGAATGCGCGTATACGATACGGGGGGCTAATCGTGTTATGTGGAGTAGATTGCGCTGAGGACACTTTTTCGCGGGAGTGACAAGTCGCCCCGGAGGTTAGGAGAAGCTGTGTTGTGCTAACGCCGAGGCCACGGGTTCGCGCGACTTGGGACTAGGGAACACGTTGTTGGAACGCTGGCGGCGGCAGGAGGGAGCACGTGTGTTCGTGGTGCAAGTAATGTTCGTAGCAAGGTAGTGACTTGTGAGTAGTATGGTGTATATGTTCAAATCATCAGGGTAAGGCACTTTCTTAAACTTCGTCAGCCCGGAGTGAGGTTGCAGAACCACGATTCGAAAAAGGCCACATTTGCGACCACATAAGCATCATTCATGAACATCTCTGGCATTCCTGATCTCGGTAGACTACCAGAAAACCAGTCTGCAAGAGCCATATGAAATACACAGGTATGCCCCCACAGACTACCCACACCACGCGTATGCATCTGTACAAGTACAAGGAGCCCATCCAAACCATATGTGCATTCTTTCATTCCAAAGCGTAAAAGTGGACTTTCCTCGTAACGTGGCTTTGAACATGATCATCGGCTGCTGTGAGACTCTACACGTCTCTGCCTGGCGGTATGAAAGCGTAGGCGTGACCCGTAGTTGTATCTTTGCAATCCGGTACCACATTCCCTGCTCACATCTTCGAAGGTCGCCTAGTTCTTGAGCCCAACCTTGTTAAGCAGGCTGCCGGTCCGTCCAGCAACCATAGCCTTGTCATCGAAAATCTTAAGCAGACTCTTCCACACCTGGCCGGGCTCTTGGCTCGCATCGACTGGCTTCCAGATACCAGTCTTCTGGTAGTATGCGACGACTGGCGCAGTCTGCGCATGGTATGTTGACAGGCGCTTCTTAAGCGTGTCCTCGTTGTCATCGGAGCGCTGGATGAGCGGCTCACCCGTTACGTCGTCCGTCATGGAGGTCTTGGGCGGGTTGAAAATCTTGTGGTAGGAGCGGCCGGAGGCGGGGTGCACGAGGCGACCGGTGATGCGCGAGACGAGGAGGCCGTCGTCGATTTGCAGTTCTACGGCGTGTTGGAGGGGCTTCTTGGTTATGCTGAGCATGCCGTCGAGCTTTTCGGCTTGCGTTACTGTGCGGGGGAAGCCGTCGAGGATGAATCTGGGGGTGGGGTTGTGTTAGCATGTGCTTTACAGCTGTGTAGAAGAGGAGACGCACCCCTTGGAGCACTCTGCGTTGTTCTCGAGCTCCGTCTTGATCATGTTGATCATGATCTCGTCGCTAACCAGACCACCCGCATCCATAATCTTCTTTGCTTCCCGGCCAAGCGCAGTCTTTGCTGCGACTTGCGCGCGCAGCATGTCTCCGGTAGCCTGCAATCTGTCAGCCCCCATATCCTACTTCCCACCGATTCAGAAGAACATACAAGATGGCAAGCGCAGAACTTCTCCTTGATCTTCGGCGCTTGAGTACCCTTGCCTAACATGCCATGTAAGCAAAACCGCCTTTTTTACCCTCTCCAGTCGGGAACAACATACCAGCACCGGGTGGACCCATCAAAATCATCCTGACGCTCTCCGCAGACGCAGGCGCAGCCCCATTCTGACCCGCGAGTCTCTTTTCCAAGTCAGCGATGCGCTTCTCAAGGCTGGTGACGGTGCTCTTGAGGTCATCGACCGAAGCATCTGTTAAAGGTGCCATTGCGCCGAAGTTGTGAGGAAGATAAGTCCGGTGGGGAAGATAAAAGTGGGTGGGAAAAGTAAAGGACGATGAGTAGAGCAAGATAATGCGCGGACCGCTGGGAGGGGATTAAGGACGGTTGCGCAATGGCAGTGGGCAAGGTCGCGTTGTGGATGAGGTGGAGCTCACGGTCGAGTTGCTTGCTCGGTTGTGCACGTCCCTGCTTTCAACTTCGGCTGCTGCGGCGGGAAAATGCGTCCCTTCTGCCCGATCCTCGGTCTCACCCTGGTATTGGCGCGGTGATGTCAGAGGGAAATGCGCCGCGGGCTATGCTGGGCACAGTGCTAGCGGTGAATTCGCTGCTTTGATTAATGTTGATGGTACTTTGTGCAGCAATTCAGAACCCGGTTCGTTTCTGAGGCCAGTGCATCATAAGCATTGAACAGGTGGGGTCATGGTAATTTCACACGGATGCGCGCATAGCATCTACGGCCTGCATACTCAAATGCTGAGGTTAGTACGGACTGGAACAAATACTTGCATCTATATGTCGCATTGGAGGGCATGAATCGGAAATATACACAGCTACATATAGAGTACAAGGTGTTCAAAAAGTACACCGGCATTGCGATCGTGTGTAGTGCTGCTCGACCCCGTTATGCCTGCATTCCAGCACCAGCACATTCATCATAGCAATTGCACTGAAGGGAGATGGTATCATTATATACGTTGTTCTTACATCCTCACCACTCCTCCCCTTCCCCTTCCCAACCCCCAAAACACCTAATACTCATTCCCAAGCACCTTCTTCAACCCCTTCACCTCCCCCTCATACCTCTCCACCTTCCCCTGACTCACCATCAACTTGCTCAGTAGATAATTCACTCGTCCCGCCGTCTGTGCAGGCTGATTCCTCAACTTACTCAGCAACAACAACTCATTCTCACATTTATCAATCGTCGCATTCTCGATCTTCGTCAGGTGCGTGAAGATCGCCAGGTCCAAGCGACTTTTCAACACCTTATCCTCGGTCAAGCGCTTGAAAGCGGGGTGGTAGACGGGTTTCCCAGGTTTGATAACAGAAGGCCGGCCGTTTGCGCCGGAGACGATGGATATGAGTTCGGCTTGTTCGAGAGCACGGAGAACGGATTCACCGCCTGTTTTCAGGATGTCGTCGATGAGGACTTCGTTGTAGCGGAGGCTTTCCTTCTGGGCGAGTTCCTTGATGAGGAACCAGGCTTGTTCGGCGTTCCAGTGGCGGTTCCCCCCTTCGTCTTCTGCACCGAAGATGAACATCTTGAGGATCTCGGAGGCGGACTGGTCGATGATTTCGTGGACGGCTTTGGTGGGTGTTTCGCCTGTCTTGATACGGCGGGATAGGAATTCGAGATCTGTGAGGCGGCCGCCTAGGAGATCGATGCAGGTATCAAGCTCGTCGAGGTCATCGCGGTGTTGAGAGGGTAGCTTCTTGGGCGAGCCGTCTTTTGGCGCTGGGTCGTCTTCGACATCTGCGTCTAGATGGGTAATCACGAATCGCTTCGCTACTTCGGGGCTGCAATCGGACAGTGATATCTGACGGAACATGCGGTCTGGCATGGCCTTTGAGAGCGACTTGCTGAATGCGACATCGTTGGTCAAGAAGATAACGTGAGCCACGTTAGTTGTTGTGAGACGCGCAGCCCACTCAGCAATCTTGTCATAGACGATACCGCCTTCCTGACTCTTGTGAAGGAAGTTATCAATCACAACGATCGGTCTGCGTTCCGGGTGTGCCTCAAGCCACTCGTCATCGCCCAAATGCGCATCCTTGTCATTCTTGTGTCGTGTATCCAGTGCGATTTGTCGTAAAGCCGAGGTAGTCGTGTTCCAGATCTTGCTGAGTTGAGAATCAAGAGTCTCTGAGAAGCCAGTTTTGACGCCTGTAGCACCTTGAGCGGCCATGTCAATCATTCCAGATATGCTGTTCATCCAACTGAAAACCGGTCTGTATCCAACAGAAAGCGCAGCAGCGTTGATGGTAGCACTTTCTCCTCGGGCTTCTTGGATGGGCTTGCAGTCGATCACAAGCTTGAGTTTCTTATCCTCCAAGGCCTGGTCTACGACAAGTTCGCGCTTTCCAGAACCGCGAGGACCCTGAACGATGATGAAGGTTTCGGCCGTCTCCATTAACCACGTCTGAATCTGTTCAATATTGTCTTTCCTGTCGTCCCAGATGGCGTCCATTCCGTCGTCGTCATCGCGCTTCTTCCCGCCGTGGATGATGTCTGTAGCATAACCTTTGATCCATTGGTACCATTTGTTGTCTTCAATGTGGAAATTGCGAGTGATGTGAGCCTTGACAAAGAATGTTCGGATGCTGTGGTTTTGTCAGTTCGGGTTATAAACGTGCATGGCTGACTTACGGATCGAAGATGATAGCAACAGTACCAGCAATGAGCGCAGCTACAATGGGAATGATAATCCTGGGATGACCAAAGATCCAATCCCTGATATACCGCGGTTTGATCTTCTGCTCATACTTCAACCTCAAGACCGTACCCAACTTGCCACCGCCTTCAGCCTCAGATACAACATAGCCATGCATGCAGTTCCTCGCCATGATCGCTTTGCCAATGCTAGTATAGTCCAGATACGCGAACTTGGGAAGAACCTTCGAGTCAGGAGGTTGCATAACAATATCTCCCAGTTTGCCATAAGGCCTGAAGAACTGGAAGAGTTGTTCTTGGCTCATCTCCACAGCCTCGGAAGCTGGCACGCCTGCCTCCGCAGACACGAACTCAACCCGGAGGCGTGAAGCTGGGAGACGCATGAGATCCTCCACCCATGGTTTTCCCTTGACCATCTTCGCGCGCATCCTCTTCCACGGACTCCACCATGGCTTGACTGGCTCATCTCTCAGGTACTGCTGCAGCACTTTCTCGATCTCAGAAGCGGATGCATTTCCATCATGAGTGAATTTGACGAACGCTCCTCCCTCCCTCGTCCGCGGGAGCACCTCAGTGCCAGTAATTTGCAAGTTGCGTTTCGCACTGGCTCGCTCAATAACGGCTTTCGGGTCGGTGCCAGAGATGGTGGGGCTGATGAGGCGATCGAAGAGCCCAGGGAGAGGAAGTCCTAGTACCTTGCGGATCTGGATGGGGAAAACATTGTTGAAGAAGAGGATTCCTTCGTTGGGTCCGGCGCTGATGTGACCAGTCTTGTCTTCGCCTGCCTGCAGTCCAGTTACATAGCGAGCGGAGACGGTCCACGGTCTTCGACAACCCAGACTACTTGGCCTCAATGTCGAAACAAGTGTCGGATGGATATTCCTGATAACTCGTTAGTACACTTTCGATGATCGGCAACAAGGATCGGCTCCGTGAACGTGCCTGACCGGCCCTTGCAGAGGGCGACGACAGGTATGGTGCCATCCAGTACGGGGTATCATCTTCGCAATCTAATTGTCACCGGGGCATGGCGACATGTAGAGTGAGTTGAAGATCGCTCGAGCGATGTTTGCTGCCTAGGGTGTGGTTTGTTGATGGCGAATCTGGAATTGGAGGTGCGTGACGTCACTAAACTTGAATCTTGGCTTTGTGCATTCGCGGCCTGGCGAAGCGAAGCAACTGCGACCAACCGTGACTGATCGGAAAACATATAATGTCTACCAAAAAGGACAGTATAAGTATTTTGAACTGTTGCGGTACATGTCTGCATTGTTGTTGAAGCACGTATCTTCGACATATAGTGCCATATCGGGAGACTCACAAGGATCACTCAACGAGTCATCATCTGATAATTTAAGCATAGCATTCGCATATATATACAAATTGGGTGCGAAATGAATAAACCAAAAGCCAACAACCAAAGCAAGAAAACATTGTACACTGCAGGTGCCACCCAGCTGACTCCGCATACTGAAAAGGTATCGTGCAGGTAAACGAGGGAAAATGCTTGCACACAAAAGATCAAACGCCCAACAAGTCGTAATATAACCCGAAACCACCGTCTTTTATCGTGAACCATCCATCTCTTCCCATGCATCCTTTTTACTTCATAAAGTAATCGTTATAATCATAGTCGTTGTCTAGGCGGCGACAGTGACGAGCTTCTCCGTGGGAGCAGCGGTGTGCTTGTGCATGGCCTCGTAGGGTGGGCGCTTGACAATACCACCGGTGACAGGCAGGGAGGTGCCGTAACCGGTGAGGAAGGTGTCGACGTCACGAGCACACTGGCGACCCTCGTTGATACCCCAGACGATAAGGGATTGACCGCGACGGCAGTCACCGGCGGCAAAGACACCGGCAAGGTTGGTGTTGTAGTGACCAGGAGGAGTCTTGATGTTCTTGCGGCCATCGAGCTCGATGACGTCGCTCATGACACGCTGCTCAGGGCCCAAGAAACCCATGGAGAGCAGGACGAGGTCGGCAGGGAAGAACTGCTCGCTGCCCTCAACATGCTTCATGTCCCAGCCGCCAGATGCGGACTTGGTCCATTCAACACGGACAGTGTTGATACCCTTGACCTTGCCGCTGCCGTCATCGACGAAGTCCTTGGACATGACACAGTACTCACGAGGGTCCTTACCCATGTGAGTCTTGACTTCGTTGTGACCGTAGTCGGTACGGAAGATACGTGGCCACTGTGGCCATGGGTTGTCGCGAGCACGCTCCGCGGGAGGCTGGGGCAGAAGCTCGAAGTTGACGACTGACTTGGCGCCATGACGAACGGAGGTACCAATGCAGTCGTTACCAGTATCACCACCTCCGATGACAACGACGTGCTTGTCCTTGGCCGAGATGTAGGCATCGTCAGCCAATTCGGAGTCGAGGAGAGACTTAGTGTTCTTGTGCAAGAACTGCATGGCGTAGTGGATACCCTCCAGGTTGCGGTTGGGGATGGGCAAGTCACGGGCGACAGTTGCTCCAGTGGCGAAGACAACGGCGTCGTACTCCTTGCGGAGAGCATCGAGGTTGGTCTGGCCATCCTCGCCAACAGTGACACCGGTCTTGAAGTTGACACCCTCAGCAGCCATGAAGTCAACACGGCGCTGAACAACCTTCTTGTCGAGCTTCATGTTGGGGATACCGTACATAAGGAGACCACCAACACGGTCAGCACGCTCATAGACGGTGACGGTGTGGCCAGCCTTGTTGAGCTGGTCAGCACAAGCAAGACCAGCAGGACCGGAACCGATGATGGCAACGGTCTTTCCAGAGCGGACTTGTGGTGGTGAGGGTACCATCCAGCCCTTCTCGAAACCACGGTCAATGATGGCGCACTCAATCGACTTGATGCCAACGGGGTCCTCGTTGATGCCAAGAACACAAGCACCCTCGCAAGGAGCTGGGCAAACACGACCAGTGAATTCCGGGAAATTGTTAGTCCTAGGAATCGAGAATTAGTACGCGTTTGTGGCTACAATTAGATGTGGTGTGGTGTGGACTTACATCAAAAGACGGTTGAGGGCGTCACGCCATTGTCCCTGCGAATTTGTTAGCCAAAAGTCCAGCCGGGAGACTACGCAAGGTGCTTACCTGGAAAACGAGTTCGTTCCACTTGGGAATGATGTTACTGATCGGGCAACCAGTATCCGACTGGCAGAAAGGAACACCACAGTCCATGCAACGAGCAGTCTGGTACTTGAGCTCATCCTCGTTGAGACGCTGGTTTAGCTCGGCCCAATCCCTCGTACGGGTCTTGGGGTTGCGGTACTTCTCAGATCGGCGCTGGTACTTCATGAAACCACGGGTCTTGTCAAGGACAAGCGCCTTCTTCTTCTCAGCCTTTGCGTCGGTGACACTCTCCTCAATGTCGAGGAGGTCGCTCTTCTTCTTCTCCTTGGCCTCAGCCTCGGCTTCCTTGTTGCGGGACTCCTCGTGGCTAGCGCGGACGGAGTTGCCAGGGAGGAGAGGAAGAGGGTACTCGTTCTTCTTCTTCTCAGCAGCCTTGGCCTTCTCCTCCAGGAGGACGCGCTTGTAGTCCACGGGCATGACCTTGACGAAGCGTGGCAGCGCGCGGGTGAAGTCGAGAAGGATGCGTGCGGCGAGCTCGGAGCCAGTGTAGTGGTGATGGTCCTCGATGAGTCCACGTACAAAGGCAATCTCCTCTGGCTCCTCGATACCGGAAAGCTCAACCATCTCCTGGTTGACCTTCTGCTCGAAGTCCTTGTGGATGTCAAGGACGTAGGCAATACCACCAGACATACCAGCAGCGAAGTTGCGTCCCGTAGATCCAAGGACAAGGACACGACCGCCAGTCATGTACTCGCAACCATGGTCACCAACACCCTCGACAACCGCTGTGGCACCGGAGTTACGGACACAGAAGCGCTCGGCGGCGATACCGCGGAAGAAGCAGGTACCGCGAGTAGCACCGTACAAGCAGACGTTACCGATAAGAACGTTCTCCTCAGCGCGGTATACGGCGTTGCGGGGAGGGTAGATGATCAGACGACCACCAGAAAGACCCTTACCAACGTAGTCGTTAGAGTCACCCTCAAGCTCAAGAGTGACACCAGGTGCCAGGTAAGCACCGAACGACTGGCCAGCAGAGCCACGGATGTTGACGTGGATGGTGTCTTGAGGTAGACCAGCCTCGCCGTAGCGCTTGCTGATGTGGTATGAGAGAGTAGCGCCAAGAGCACGGTCGGTGTTGACGACATCGCACTCGATACGGGCGGGCAGACCCTTCTCAAGAGCGAGCTCGGACTCAGCAATGAGCTTGTTGTCCAGACGAACGTGGAGACGGTGATCCTGCTTGCGTACATTGAAGGTAGCAACGCCGGGACGAAGAGTGTGCGCAGGAGTCAGGATGAGAGACAGATCAATGTTCTCAGTCTTTGCAGTGCGGAGATCGTCGCGAATACGTAGAACCTCGCAGTGACCAACCATGTCGTTGATGGTTCGGAAACCAAGCTTGGCCATGATCGCACGGAGCTCGTTGGCGATGTAGTAGAAGAAGTTGATGACGTGCTCGGGTGTACCGGAGAACTTCTTTCGCAGCTCAGGGTCCTGGGTTGCGATACCGACAGGGCAGGTGTTGAGATGGCACTGTTCGTAATTAGTATATGACCCACATACATTTCGTACAGTCAAAGCTTACCTTGCGCATCATGATGCAACCCATGGCAATGAGAGGTGTAGTGGCGAAACCCCACTCCTCAGCACCAAGCAGACAAGCAATGGCGACGTCACGTCCAGTCCTCAACTGACCATCAGTCTGAACAATGACACGACCACGGAGGTCGTTGAGGACAAGGGTCTGGTGAGTCTCGGCAAGACCCAATTCCCAGGGAAGACCAGCATACTTGATACCAGTCCATCGAGAAGCACCAGTACCACCGTCGTGACCGGAGATGAGAATGTGGTCAGCCTTGGCCTTGGCGACACCGGAAGCGACGATACCAACACCAGTCTCGGAGACGAGCTTGACGGAGACACGAGCGCGGGGGTTGGAGCACTTGAGATCGTAGATCAGTTGCTTGAGATCTTCGATGGAATAAATGTCGTGGTGGGGAGGAGGACTGATGAGACCGACACCGGGAGTGGAATGACGGGTCTTTGCGATGGAGCCAGAGACCTTGTGGCCGGGAAGCTCACCACCCTCACCAGGCTTAGCACCCTGAGCCATCTTGATCTGAAGCTCGTCGGCATCGGCGAGGTAGTTGGAGGTAACACCGAAACGTCCGGAAGCGATCTGCTTGATAGCGGAGCGCATGGTGTCACCATTCTCCATGCGCAAGCTGCGCTCAGGGTCCTCACCACCCTCACCAGTGTTTGACTTACCGCCAAGACGGTTCATGGCGACAGCAAGGGTAGAGTGAGACTCCATGGAGATGGATCCGTAAGACATGGCACCGGTAACGAAGCGGCGCACGATGTCAGTCCAGGGCTCGACCTGGTCGATGGGGATGGGTGCACGGTCATCGAAGTTGAAGTCAAGGAGACCACGGAGGGTGCAGTCCTTGATGCGCTCGTACTCAGCGATGGAGTAGGCCTCGTATGACTTGTCGTTCTTGGTGCGGACGGCATCCTGGATGTTGGCCATGGCAGTTGGGTCGTTGACGTGAGGCTCGCCTCCGTCACGCCAATGGTACTCACCAGTCTCAGCAAGACCGGGTACCTCGACGATAGCGCGCGATGGATAACCCTTCTCGTGGAGAGCGAAAGCATCGGAAGCGATCAGCTCAAAGGTCATACCCTTGATACGAGAGGCGGTTCCAGTGAAGCACCGGTCAACAACAGAGTCATCAAGACCAAGAGCTTCGAAAATCTGAGCACCCTTGTAGGATGAGAGGGTAGAGATACCCATCTTACTCATGACCTTCAAGATACCACCATCGCAAGAGTGCTTGTAGTTGTCGATGAGCTGCTCGGGGCTGAGCTTCTTCCGGATGACACCCTCGCGGTGCATCTTCAGGATACATTCAATGGCGAGGTAAGGGCAGATGGCGTCAGCACCGTATCCGACGAGCACACACATGTGGTGGACCTCACGAGCCTCTCCAGTCTCGACAACGAGAGCAGCGTTGGACCGCCACTTGTTACGGACGAGATGGTGGTGAACCATACCGGTAGCCAAGCAGGCGGATACGGCGACGCGGTCAGCGGATGCAGCGCGATCGGTCAAGACAAGGATGTTGTCGCCAGCTTGGATACCCTCAGTAGCAGCCTCGCAGATGCGGTCGAGAGCAGCCATGTAGCCCTCAATACCATCGCTCTTAGGGAAGGTAATGTCAATGCTCTTGACAGTCCAGTCAGAGTACAGCTTGTGAGTGTTGGTCAATGCTGTGAACTCCTCAAGAGTCAGGATGGGTGACGGAAGGAGAAGACGACCACACTGTGACTCGTCCATCTCTAGAAGGTTGCCCTGAGGGCCAACGTAGGTCTCCAACGACATGACAATCGCCTCACGGATAGGGTCGATGGGAGGGTTGGTGACTTGGGCGAAAAGCTGACGGAAGTACTCGTACAGCAGACGAGGCTGAGTAGCCAAGCAAGCAAGAGGAGCATCGTTACCCATAGATCCAAGAGCCTCCTTTGAGTCAGCAGCCATGGGACCAAGAAGCAAGCTGACTTGCTCAAGCGAGTAACCGAATGCCCGTAGACGAGGGTCCTCGTGTAGCTTAGTCTCAGTAAGCTGATATGAAAGATCAACACCCTTTGCTGGGACTGCCTCCAGGATCTTGGGAAGAGTAAGCAGGTTCTTCTGGATCCAAGAACGGAAGTCGACGCGCTCTGAGACGCTCTTCTTCAGCTCGGCGTCGTCGACAATACGACCAGCGACAGTATCAACGAGCAACATCCTACCGGGCTGCAGACGACCCTTCTGCACAACGCGCTCTGGCTCAATGGAGATAGTACCAACTTCAGACGCGCAGATGATGCGGTCGTCATCGGTGACGTAGTAACGGCAGGGACGTAGACCGTTTCGGTCGAGGTTGGCACCACAGTATCGTCCATCGGAGAAGGTGAAGAGAGCGGGGCCATCCCAGGGCTCCATCATGCAGGCAGCCCACTCGTAGAAGGCCTGCTTGGCGGGATCCATTGTGTTGTTGCCCTGCCATGCCTCTGGAACCATGAGCATGACTGCTTCTGGGAGTGACAGAACACCGTTGATGGTGAGCAGCTCAAGAACGTTGTCGAAAGCCGCAGAGTCGGAACCACCGTCCTCGACAATAGGGTAGAGGAGGTCGAGTTCCTCGCCGAAAAGGCTAGACTTCATGACACCCTCGCGGGCGCGCATCCAGTTCTTGTTTCCTCGCAGGGTGTTGATTTCACCGTTGTGAGCCGCCCATCGCAGAGGCTGAGCACGGTCCCAACTGGGGAATGTGTTGGTCGAGAAACGGGAGTGCACTAGTGCAAAGTGACCCTCGTAGTCGACGTTGAGCAGGTCGTGGTAGTACTCGTAGACCTGGACGGGAGATAATTGACCCTTGTAAACGATGTTCTTGTTGCTCAGAGAGCAGACATAGAACCAGTTGTGAAGGCCAATGACGTGTGTAGCCCGCTTTCGCATGACATACAGCTGTCGCTCAAAGTACGCATTGTCGTACTTCTCCTGGAAGTCCGCCTTGGGCTCCCGGGCATCGCCGTAGGCAGTCTTCAAAACCACGAATGGCTGGAGAATGATGGGCTCTCGTGAAAGCGCCGCGGGTCCAAGAAGTGTAGAATCGCGGGGAACCGTCCGCCATCCAAGCACCCTCAGGTCGAGTTGGTCTGCAACGTCCTCGAACATGGCCTTGGTCTCCTCCAAGATGGTAGCGTCGGGCTTGAAAAACAGGTTACCAGTGGCGTACTGGCCAAGGTTTGGTAGCTTGTAGCCTTGCTCGCGCTCGAACTCCTTGAGGAAGAAGCGGTGGGGGATGGAGGTCATTACACCTGCACCGTCACCGTCGCGTGCGTCTGAGCCCACGGCTCCTCGATGTGTCATGTTGCATAGCAACGACCGTGCTGGAGATTCGTTAGCACTCTATCCTGCAATACTTTCGCGCTGTTCGCTCTTACCATCGGAGACAATTTTGTGGCTGGCCTTGCCCTTGATGTGACTACGCAAATGTCAGCCCTCACACCCCACAGAAACAGCAATTCCGCAACTCACGCAGCGAAACCGACACCGCAAGCATCTTTCTCGAGCTCCGGGTCATAGAGACCCTGCTTCAAGGGCAGCGCACCTGCCCACGACTTGTTCTCGGGACCATCTTGATACTCAAACACGGAGCTCTGATACTCTTCAATCTGGGGTTCCTGGGGCAATTTTGTATCTTCGGCGAACGAGACCCGACCCATTATATCGGCGAAAGGCCGAATTTCTGGGTTCGTTGGTGTGGGTAGCGGGGCTGCGGTATCGATATGGGAGTGTGGCGGGGTCGCTCGACGCGTCAAGTTGGAGCTGCTGCTCTGGTAATCGTGTCTAGGTGAAGTCTGAGGCGGATGTTAGTTGTCAGTTCGGGGAAGAGTTTGTCGGTGAGTGCGAGCCGAGGATAGAAGATATTTGGTACGGATGCGCCTAGGGCTCTAGCTCAAAAGCAACGAATGTGGGTGGGGATCAGTCGCTGCAAGGACGGGGTCGCTGGTATCTATCACCCCCAAAGCCAACAGAAAGAAGGGCTAGATTCGTCACCAGCTTCACCCGCCGGATATAGGAAATGATGGCTATGACGTTCCCCCGTACCCAGCGGCGACTGATAGCTATTGGAAGCACAAGATGCGCTGATAAGGGAATAGCGAATGGGCTAACGCGGGGCAGCACGCGTAGACCAGTAAAATGAAGGCCGACGACGTGGTTCACACAGGACGGGTGGTGGAGAAGCACATGATTTGGGCGCGGCTGGTGGATGGGTGCAGCGGGTGTACATGTAGGAGGCGGGCAACTTACTTGCTAGAAGGGCTGGTGGAACAGGCCTTGTGGTGGGCTCGCGGTGTTCCGGCAAGCAAAGTGTAGCGATTGTGTCGAGAGAAGGTGCGTGAAGAGACAGAGGGTCGCGGGAGATTGGGCGGGCGTGCTTATGAATAAGAGAGCGGAGGGCTCCTGGTGGGGTGGATATTTTCCCAATGCGCTAACAACTTGACTTCAACGTTGTCCAATTACCGGGCTGGAAGCGTGTCGAGGGAGGCGTTCGTGCTGTCACTTAGGCCATCTCCGCGTGTGTGCCGATGCGAACTGGGAACTGCCTGGTCTTGGAGGTGGTCTTGGTACTTTAAGAGTGAATATCAAGCTATGTAACGTTGGAGCGGACCCGACCTCGGACTGTCTGTAGTCGAGAATGTCTTAAGATGGATTGCCAGTACGGAATACTTCAATACAAAGTCGCCTGCTGTCTATATGAAGTCGTCCCTATAGAATACTACACTGTCTCCAACATCCGCATGCGTATACTGGCATCACTGCCCTCTGCGGCGTATTGCGCCTGGAAAATTGGCCTACCCCACGGTTTTTCTGCCACTCCATGACCAAAGCCAAGGATGTGATTGGCCAGCCTGCCGCGACCGCCCTGCAGCAGTTTGTCCGTGCGCCGCATCCTGGGCTCCGAAGGTCGGTTTGACATCTGATGACCAGGACTTGCATGTGTTTCCGCTCTACGAGAGCTCCACCGGCTAGATTGCCGCTGCAGCCCACGCCGCATCATCTGAAAAGCGGCGGCTGCCATTGGCCCGGCGGCCTCGCCTCGGCAGCCCACGACTTGTCTGTCGTAATTCGAGAGGGTCATCTCAGGCCTTATCTCTCCCCAAGCGCGACCCAGGGCGGACTGTCGCGCTACGGAAGACATCGTGTCGACGCTCGTTGGACGGGAGATCAATATAACCCCGCCATTTCGCAGCGGAGCGTCGATGAACCTCTCTTTGTGCGCACTCGTCGACATCATCGCCCTCCCGACTTGCAGTGATTATCCCTCTGCCTAGCCGCAAACTCAAAAACAAATTCATCTTACTGTACCGTCCGCAGGTCCGTCCTTGGATCTTTAGAAGTTGGGCGACTCTGGCCATCCCCCGCCACGTAGCGGCAGGCGTCAAACACATCAATGTCCTCATCATGTTCGGAGCAAGCCGGAAGACAGTTTGCCTTAGCTGGCGGCGGTACGTAGCGGGAGACGAGTCACGAGAACAGGCAAATCCGTGTCGCGTAGCCAGTGCAGCCGAGCCCGTTGCCTTTCAACCTGGCCGATGTCGCCTCGGACGCTGTCTGGCGCTGCTTGTCAAGTCCGCGGCGGATACTCCAGGCAGCTCATCAGGACCCTGAGCTAGCGCGGTCAACTTAGCCTGCAGGCAACAAAAAACTTTCCGTAGGATTCGTGTACCTAATGCTTTCCGCGTTGGGTCAGGAAGAACAAGAGTGGGAGACAGCAAGGTTTTTCCGGGATTAACATACAACGTGTTACGTGGGTCAATCTCCAGGGTCTCGATGCTGTGCCATGGGGTTGGGGGCAGTCAACCTTGCCACAGGTGTATACGTAAGAAGGATGATCTTCCTGGGATTGCTGGTCTCGTGACATTGCTGGATATCCCGGACTATTCTGTCGCATTCATCCGTCGTTAATCTCTGCAGTCGGAGGTATATGATGTTGATCTTTCGCTTTATTCGTGACTTTTGATTCACATTTCTATCTGCCTGGAGGACCTAGGAAACAAAACTTCGGCTTTTCCGAGTCTTGTGGCATCGTAGACGGTCATATACTGTTACTCACCAGATGAAGATGATTAGCTATCACGCGAGACCCGACTCTCGCCGTTCTTTCCAGTTTTACACATCCTCAATCGACACAGTATCTTGACACATCAAGTCGCTCTTTCCGCAGCACCATCGTACTAGCCTACATATGTTCTTAGTAATAGTAAGTACCATCATGTATAGACATCACCTGATCCCCTGCATTTGAGACCTGTCGGCGTTTCTAAGCGCCGTCTGCTGGGAGCAAATGTAATAGTAATTGCATTACTTGCATACTGCTGCAGCTTGGCTAGTTCATTGGACCCTGGAATCTGAGGTATAGGTAGAGTAATGGTAACTCACTCACGTTGTCAGTCTAGATGGATGCGCTGAGCACGGTACTGCTACAGTACACACGCGTGGAAAGAATAAGAGGTACCTAGGAAAGACGGGGTAAGCGTGTGCTGGTATCAATGTCCTCAGATCATGATTGTTGCGCGATGTCCTGTCTTGTATGCTTCTCCAACTCGTCAATCCATTCGTTAGTGTTAGCAACAAATACAATCTTGTCCTGGTCCAGCACATGCACGCGAGCCAAGCCAGTCAAGTACGTGGGTATTCATCATTTCCATTTCATAAACGCACGCTGGTGCCATGTACGCGCTCAAGATGCAGTCCATTGTCCATGCGACACATCAAAGTATCCACACAACCCAATGTCCTGCTATATCTCTTCAAAGTCGCGCTGAGACTCCAATACGTCGGTAAGAGTTTCCATTCCCCGCTACCCAAATGCCTTTTGTATGTTGTGTACATTCATAACCCTAGCCAAAGTACGGAGCTGACGAAGAGTCTGTCGAACGCGCCGGAGAAGTCCTGAGAGGTGGAATTGTTAGCGGGGTTCATTGAGCAAGGGCGGACTGGCTGCCAACATACCTCAAGACGGATGTCGCTACTGCAACACATCTAGTCCTTCATCTGGTCGTCGGGGTCGACAAAGTCGTCGTCATCGTCCTCTTCGTCCTCGTCACCAAGCTCCTGGTTGGCCTTGGTAAAGTCGATGTTCTTACCGCGCGTGCGGCTGCTCAGGACGTTGGACGTGTCAATCTCCTCCATGTTGTCCTCATCGGGCTCCTCGGCTGTTTTGGTGTTAGCTCGACACGTTCAGGCGTGTGGTAGTTCGCGGATATAGCTTACGTTCGCCGGCCTGTTACGCGCTCATGTTAGCTGGGTTGCGCGTCAAGTTGTGGCGGTGAGCGCGGGTAGAACGTACCTGGTCCTCAACGCCAGACTCGTCGCTCGAGTCGTCGTCCATGGACTCTTCTACTGTCTCGCCCTCTTGGGCCTTGCCCTTGCCCTTGACGTCGGTAGCGGGGTCCTGGACGCCCTCCATCTGTTGGTTCTCTGGCTGGGCCGACATGGTGTGGGGTGGCTGTTGTGTGTGTGAGGGGTTCGGGAGTCGCGGTAGTGAGTGCGACGGGATTTGGGTGCGATTGAGAGGTCGGCGTGTTGTTTGTTTGCGGCAGCGGTGTAGAACAAGAAGTCGAGGTGAAGCCCTGTCCATCTATTCCTTCCCTTGCGGCTTGCTGCAAGCGGCTTAGTCTGCCGATCCCCTGGCCAACGCTTGCTTAAAACAGCAAATAGCAAACATTAGCGCGCGTGGCCAGACCATCGACATCTGTCAACCCCATCTATTCGCTGTAATGTTTTACTATTCTTCGCAATCGATGAACACGCATTCTATCTACGAAACGACTTCATTATGACAGGTTTGCAGGCATGCAACAAATCTTAGTGAAGCAGGTCATGCCCCGACCCCGCATCCAGTAGCGTAATGCTAAAGCTTTAAACAGAGCATTGAGGGGCTCGTAGCGAAAGCAGCTTAGATGACAACTCAACGCTTCAATGAGCAGCAACAGAGACATGAGAGGTAGAAATTGAAAGAGTTGACAAACCTACAAAGACCACCGACCAGAACGACATAGGCAAGGCCCCTCCACACATCAATGCTCACTTAGTAGCAGCTCATCCCCCGGCCTGCAACAGGGTATCATCGCGGACTCATGGAACTACCCACCCCCTCACTCGCTCTTCTCAATATCCGTCTTAGAAACAATATGACAGCCCCCCGCCCCCTCACTCTTAACCTTGACCATCCCACACTCCCTCAACCAAGGACTGTCCACCGCCTCCATATCCTTAGCATGATACACCTGATCCGGTGTCGCCGGTCGGCGTACAATCTTATACCCCGGTCTTTTTACTCTTTCGAATTCCTTCACTCCTTCTTCATCGCTACCATCACCATCACCACCAATCCTCACTGAAACCGCAGGACCCCCGACGGTGCTAGGAGTTTTGTTCCCTCCGAAGAATTTACCGAATAACCCAACGATCTTCGACTGTGATTTCGACTTCGCCGCTTTCCCCGCTGCAGTTCTTTTCGCAGCTTTCTCTTCTTTCTGATCAAGGCGCCTGTCGCGTCGTTCTTGGCGTCGGATTTGGCCTTCCAAGCGGTGTATCTCGTGTGCTTCTTCGCGCGCGGTTGTTTGTGCGAATTCGTCGGGGTCATCAAAGAGACCATAGGTGCCGGTATGCGCTTGCCCGTGGGGGTCTGTTGGCATAGTGTTCCGGGAATGAGAGTGGTGGGTGATGTGGTGGGGTCGTATTTGAGGCTTGGGAAGAGTCTGGGACTAGAATGCGCTGGCTATGCGTGGGGAGACTGCTCTGCGGGTTGAGAGGTGAGTTTTGGTGATGGAGATTAGGTATGACGACGAGGGCAAATGAGTCGTGGGAGTGGTGTGTGTGTGTGTGGACTGTTGGGCTGTCACAGTTTGTGGCATGACGGTTGTTTGCATGGCAAACATGCAGTGTGAGGCGTCACCGTTCGGAGTCCGATCAATGATCACATTTCGCCAGATCATATCCGCTTATCACTCTTGAAGAACCACAATAATTACGACTATGAACTCATCACGCTGTATTTCATATATGCTTCACAGCCCTCCGAAGCAACCATTCCAACATCGACAAGCACCTTACTTCGCACCAAAAACCTCCTTCACCCTTCCTAGTAACTCCTCTAGCTCATTGATTTCCCTCTCGATTTCCTTCTCAAACCCTCCACCCAATCCAATCTCCACGTTCATCTGCATCGCTCTCCCATACATCAATTCCATCTCCCGAAACCTCCCCATCGCCTCTAACAAAAGTGGCCTAAACTCATGTAAGCTCTCTGATAACTGCTCGTCAAACGGTCATGGCACGACGCGGTAGAACGTTTCTTGCATCGCTGCTAAGAGGGTGTTCGCGAGATATGCTTTCTGGGCGTAGCGGGTGAAAAGGAGTTTTTGTGAGTTGATGGGAGAGGGATGATGGAGTGGTGTGAGGAGGGAGAGAGTCAGCGGTGTATCTGGCAGTGGAGGGAGGGTGGTGTGTTCTGTTGGTGCGGGCTTCGGACGGGCAAACATATGTGGGTGTTTCATGGTGAGGATTAGTGGCTATGAAGGAGGCGCAGGTCGTGTTTGGAAGGACTGACTGGAGATTATGTGAGGGTACCTGATGAGTATGTATGTTGAAGTGGCTTTGCAAAGAAAGTGACGTATGGAATGGAGGAATGTAGAGTATATTTGGCTTCCAGGTATCACTGGAGACCCTTGGCCAGCTTACGACCAGCTATGAATGGCAGCTTTTGACAACTGTGACAACGCAGAACTTCATCATTAAGAAGTTCAGTTACATTTCGGTTTCCATTTAGCACTCCCAACACCTCCTCATCGACCGTCTACCTCGGTTTACTCCTTTTCTGCAGACTACGAATTATGACTTCTAAACTATCAACTGAAAGCCCGACGGAGTGCCCGCCTACTACAACCAACTTAAGGAAGTGGAGGGAATGCTTGGGGGTGAGTATGTTGGGGGTGTAAAAGAGGTGTATGATGAAATTTTGATAAGGGGTAGAAAGGGAAGGCGAGTGGAAAGCGGAAAGAGAAGAGAGTGAGGATGTGTGTTTGTATGTGATGGGTATCTTGGATTGTGGCGATACACCTCTGGGCGGCTAGTGAGGGAGTTTCATAGTACTCTGATTGCGGGTACGTCGATGAAGACCACGCACTGCTGATTTGCAAGGCAAAGCCTGGAGAAAGCATACCCTGGCATAGCGTAGCCTATCCCATCCAAGTACCAAACACTGGAGGCTGAATGCTCGCTCTCCAGTTCTCTGCCGTGACCTTCGTCAAACTCAGGTCCCTGAAAGTTCTGATCTCGACCCCATGCTTATCGAACACAACATGTAACCTCGCTTCGCAACCACGGGCTTTGCAACTCCAGCGCCTGCGTTCAGGATCCTTTAATATGATCTGGGAGCCATGGTCTTTGTGTTTACAACCGATGTACCCCAACTTTGGGGCTTCTCTCATCGACTTGAGAGTATCGGCAACCTTTTCTGTTCCTTGCACATGCGGACAGACATATATGTCAATGTCTTTTATTGCCTCAACGATTTTGGTGAAGGGTGTCGATCCGAAGAGACAAGTGGCACAACAGGTCTCGCGGTGTTCTGGCGTGAGGTGCTGTCGCGTTCTCCAGGGGCTACGTTCGCCTGCTCTGTATAGAGGTATTGTTTGAGTCAGACTGAAGCAACACGACTCTTCGCATGATGTGATGAGAGTATTACATCCTTGCGAGCATGCTGGCCATGAACGTCCTGTCCCAGGTCTTTTGGACAGCCTGATGAAGTGCTCAAAGGCCATCTGAGTATGTGGGCACAAGTAGATTGTGCCAGCGGATGCTGTGCATTGTCTTTCGCTGGCGATTATAGCCGGACATTCCCGTTCGAGCGCTCCGAAAGCCGATGATGGATGGAAGTCTGTACAGTAGCTGCACAAAAGTTTTTCAAATGGTGTATACCGTCTGGAAATGGTGTTAGTCTCCTCGTACTCCGCGATTCGATTGAAACAATCTTTGCGCAGGCGCCAGGCGTATTCGTCGAAATCTCCACCCTGAGGCCCCCTCAAACAGCTTTGAAATGTAGATGACAGATCCCAGATATGTCTGCATGTCATACGAAGACTGAGTGCGTCGACCGGCGGTAGTAGCTCGAGTATGTCCAAAATCAGCTCTCCAGGTAGATGGGGTAGGTCGAGTCCTTTATCGGCATAATTGGCCTTGATGTGTGCCTTTCGCGGCACCAACATGAAATCGGGGTCTGGCTTGTGGTGGCTGCTGCCAAGTTTGCCCGGAGTACGTCCAAGCTTGAGTCGGTGCATGAAGTAGTCCTTTGCGGCAGAGTGGTCAGCGATATTGTGTCGAGATTGGAATAGTGGTGCACTATACATAATCTTAGGACTGCCCGTCGTCGTCATCGTGAAAATTTAGGGTCAGGGAGGAGGCGTTGTATATATCCAGAAGATGAAGACGTCGATGTGTTGATTGAAGGATGGTCAGATGGGACGTTTTTTATTACAAGTACAAGCGGCGAGGCAGCAATGTGCGCTAGTGTAGTCACGTGCGCAGATATACTGATTGGACCCCTTCCAAGGTTTGGTTGGGTCGTCCCATCAAAAACATCTGATCATCTCATCCAAGTAAATTGAACAACCTAGAGCCTATGTTGAGGTTAGATTGCCTAATTTGCATGTTACTATCTTGATGTAGGCTGCAGATCTGTTCAGGTTTCTCCTTGTATGAGGTGGATGACGTTGAGCTTGTTATGAAGGACAATCTACCGCGGTAGCTGCGGCCCGCATTTGTTCACTGGTATATTTTGTCAGCGAGGAGAATAAGTATAGATGAGATGCGTTTATTCGTGACGGGCGGGATGATATATGGGGGCATAGCTGTGTCTCCAGCCCGAATTGGTTTCTTATATCTTCTCAATATAATGAAGCGATGCTTCGCACATCCCAGTCTAGAAAAGCCTTTAGCAGTCTGCTACACCCGAGCATCCGTCACTGGAAGCTGCGTACTCACTATCCAACTCTCTGCTCTGACCGTCGTGATCTTCACTTCCCTAGGAGTCTTAATACTAATCCCAGTCTCTTCCAGACGGACTACGACTCCGGCTATACAGCCAGGCTTCGCACAACTCGAAAACTGGGACGCCTTGTATGGCGCGGAATCATAAAAGCTATGCTTTCGCTTGCGGCGGCGGAAAAGCGCATCTTCTATCATGGATGCGAGCATGTCGCAGACCTTTTCTTTACTGTGTACATGTGGACAGATGTACATGTTTGCGTTCTGGATGACTTTAAGGAGCGTGGACAATGTTGCGAGTTTGGCGAAGAAGGAGTCGCAATGAAGTGTACCGCCTCTAATGGGGAGACGGCCTGGTGTTGGCCACATGTATCGGTTGCTTCCTAGGGGCAGGAACATTCTTTGAGACAGCGAACAGTAGTCCCTGGGGGCAGTTGACTTGGCCCCTGACGTGCAGCTTGCGGTGCAAATCGTGCAGGTAAGGCTGTTAGCCGGGATTTCGTGGAGTTGATGCAAATCCTCGAAGCTTAATTGCAAGTGCGGACACAGATACACTTTGGTTGTGGATGCTGTGCAGCGTCTTCGGTGTGTGGCCCCGATGCTACTCGCGGATGTTTCAGCTGCGTCGAAAGAGGAAACCAGGTGAAGGTCCATGCAGTAGCTGCAGAGGAGCTTGCCACGCGGAGTATATTTGTAAAGAGCGTTGTTAGAGTCCTCATACTCCGCCATCCTGTTGAAGCAGTCTTTGCGATGCTGCCATGCGTGTTCGTCGAGATCTTCAGCACGCACTTGGAGTAAGCGCGATCGAGCATCCTTCGTGCAGGTCAGACTCCGCGTGTACTTGCAAGTTGTGCGGAAGCTGAGTAAGTCAATCGGTGCTAGGCGGTCTGCGATGTTCAAAATTAGCTCTGCTCGCAGCCCGGGTAGATTGAATGTGTAGCTGACCTGATTCATGCCGTTTACTTGTGGCGGCATGAAGACGAATTGGGTATCGGGTTTGTTGTGGTTGTTGCTTGAACTGATCGTCCTATCATCTGTTCTGATAACGATTCGCCTACCATGGAATGGCAAAAGTTGCACCAGATTCCCACAGATTCCGCTCTGCATTACGCACAATCCCCAACATAGGATTTCTACTTCCCAAACTCTTGACCTGCTGCACTTATTGTGGTTGCGCGTGTGGTGTTCGTTAACAAGCGTTAGATGTGCGTTGTCGAATGTGGCTTTTTCGATTCCTCAATGCGAAAGCCCAGACTCATCACTGATGTTCTTGTTAGCGAAGAAGATAAACATAAAGAATTCGATAGCGATAGTAGCTGCCTAGATGTCCATATCCGCTTTCCCATCTAAATCAAAACGCCGAGCTAACCCCCAATCCGATGTATACCACTAACGCCATGCCACCCTATAGTACCATTTTGAAGCCAACAAGTGAAAACCCTCTTCCGACTTCTAACACACATTCACATTTACTGATGTATCTGGCTCACGTGTCCAGCCTGGCCAGCACCACCCCACTCACTATCATCATCACTACCCACATCCGTCCAGCTCGTAGGGGTCATAATGCCCTGCCTATCGCCGTCGAACTCGCTGAAGCCGCCCTCAGAGAAGGCATCTGTAAACCCGCTTTCTGAACGCGCGTCGTGGTCTGTGTCATTTTGTTCGCTGTTGGGCATGCTGAGGATGGCGATGTCGTTGGCGTGGGCGGAGGCGGAGGCGACGGAGCCGCTCATGGTCATGGAGCGCTCGGAGCGCGGGGTCAGGGTGCCGGTGGAGAGGTGCTCGGCGTCGTTGTCGTCGAAGAAGGGTTGGGCGGGGGCGAGGTCGCCTGCTTGCGAAGAGGTGAAAGAGTAGAAGGATTGGGCGGCTTGATCGGCGTCTTCTTGGGCAGGCTGTGCGGGCGATGGGGTCTCGGGGAGGGAGTGCTCGGGGTCCGGTGTTAGGTCGACGAGTGTGCCGGTGGTGGGTGTGGAGGGGACGTCGGCCACGATGGTAGCGGAGTTTTCGCGGGCAGCAGGTTCTTCGTATTTGAATGGCTTCGGTGAGGGCGCTTCGTCTTCGTCGTGGTCGAATAGTACTTGGTCGTCGGAGAAGGGGTTGGCCATGGTAGCAGCGGCAGCGGAGCCGGCGGCAAAGCCAGCAGCACCGCGCTTCTTGAGGTCGCCTTTCGAGTTGTCCTTGCCGGTTGCCGTCGCGTTGTCCCTAAGCATGCCATCACTGCCAACCATGTCGTCGAAGCTTCTCGTCCGATCAGCCCTGGACCGCCTGGCAGCCACCTCAGCCGTCTCAGCACCAATCCTAGCCAGCTCGTCCAGGTCGACAGCGATACCCTCTTCTCTTGCCCGCCTGATCAGTTCATTCCTATTCCTCCTGATCAACTCTTCCCTCCGTTGCTTCCTGGCTTCGAAGTCATCGGACGATTCGCTCGGGCGGCGAGGCTGAATGTCATCGCCAAGGTTATGCAGCGCGATGGCGATCTTGCGGCGGGTTTGATCGGCCCATTGTCGCACTTGGGGAGACTCGTAGATGGCGATACCGGCGGCGACGATGACGGACGCGGCGATTATGAGGCCTGATGTGAAGGGGTGGTTAGGACGATGCGGCGGGGTTTGATTGTTGCCTTGCGGAGATGCGAAGCGCGGGCCGGTGCCTGCAAGCAGATTGGCATAGGAAAGTACAGTAGACAGTGAAGGAATACGCGACGAGAGAAATAATGTTGGATATACTGGGAACACTGCAGCAGCATGCATAAGTGGAGTTATCCGTACTCACCTTTGGCCAGTGGCGCAGGCATATCTGCGGACTTTGTAGCAGCGGATCAGTCCTGCTACTCAAAGAGATCCCCTGATAGTGTGGTGGGAAACGATAATAGGGAGCGAAATCCACAGGCTTTTGACTTTGGAAGAGGCGTGTAAGGAGAGAAGGTTCGAGGGCTGAGAGCAATCATGGTTCGTCCGGTCCTTCGCCACTTGCACAGCCGCAAATGCAGGGCCCAGGAGCTGGGGGCTCCGGGCGGCTTTTGGTGGGGTCGCGTGCCGCCAATCTGGCTGCACATCGCCCCGCACCCGTTGGACTAACTTCATAACTATTCGCCTGGAACAGCATAATTCACTCATAGTCGCGCATGTCATGATAGGCAATGAGGTCACTGTGAGCTTGCCTCGAGATCACCAAGGTTCACGTCTGTGTGCCGTGTAATCAACTCACTGTGCAGGATGCTTGGGTCAACTTGAAGATTACACGCAGAAAATATCAATTTTAATAGTCAGATAGTTTTGAATGTATAAAGCCACGCGAGATTGCAAAGCACGCTGAACATAGAAGAGCCACCTGTAGTCCTCAACCCGGTTCTACCCCCAAGACCGATTCTGTGTTGGGCAAGTAGCTTCTGAGTCTCATCATAGAAAGCTTGATGAATATCGCAAAGCGCAGAAGCACATCCATTATCATCGGCGATGTGCGAAGAGAGCTTGCGCGGTCAAACTTTTCCATGAGACCAAAATGCATCCAAATGAAAGCAAAACTTTTCTGGGGGAGAACATAAAAGCAAGAAAAAAGAATGATGAAGAATACTGGCCGTGTAAACCACCGGCTAACAGCCATGAATCCATCGTAATTGTCATGCTCTGTCGAGGCGATGGAGTTGGTCCGGGAGCTTGCTGGTCACAGTCTTTAAGCGGGAACACCAACTAGGAAGATGAATGTCGCCGAGAAGATATGAGCATCTGGACTCAGATACTGTCCGGGGTGAGAGTGGCCTCGTCGTCAGAGTCAGCCTGAGCCTCAGAGTCAGAGTTGGCCTCTGAGCCGGAACCTCTAGCACGCTTCAAGCGAGCCACGATGAGACCTGCAATGATGGCGTCCGTATGTTCATGGCTACGAATCCTCTTATCGCCAGCCTTCGAGAGACGATATGGGCGGTAGTCAGTGAGGTCAGGCTTGTGGTCCCAGCAGTTCTTGTCGTAGTTCCAGTAGTAAGGCTCAGGAGATCTACGAGCTCGAACCGCTTCGGCTTTCTTAGAGGTGTGAAGAACCGCGCCATCGTAAGGCATAGTCTTGGTAACGAGAGACTTTGGAATGCTGCTAACCGCGAGCCACTCGTTCATATGTGACTTTGCTGCCCACACACGCAAGTCTGACTCCTTGAGCTCGTTCACAGAAAACCAGAAGAGACCTCCGGCTTCCAGTACATCGTCGACTACGCAGTCCGGACGCTCGCGTGCGCGACCTTCGAAGGGGGTTTTGTCGAGGACCCAAATGGGGATTTCGATGCCGCGGTAAACTTTAGTCTCAGTTGAGTTAGAGTCAACATTTTCGGGGTCGTGGGTATCGATGGTAGTCGACAAGTCAGCAGTTAAAGTTGCAGGGACGATATCTCCGATGTTGATAGCGGTGACAACTAGACAACGGGGTGCCTTTCTGCTCTTGTCGTGAAGGTGGATTACTCGCTTCTCGGCAGTCTCTGATAATGGTTAGTATTAGATGTATGTTACTTGCAGGTTTGACTTACTGAGGACGCTGGTTGTAGATATGAACGGAGTCGGGTTGGCAGTCATCTTCCCGTTGAAATGTCTTCCGAACCGTTCGTTGGTAAAGTCAAGGTTTGGTTTGAGCGTCCCTGAGGCTTCGAAAGCGTTGCGCTTCTTGAGTTTGAGGCCCGTGTTGTCGGGATGAACTCGATGCTTGATACGGGATACGTTGCTGGCTAAGGTACCGTTGTGTTCATGCGACCACCTATAGACCTTCTTGGGGCGTCCATCCTTGGTGGCGCGATCACATGTTGCTGAGTCTTTGAAGCTTCTTGAAGGTGTTAGCTAGCTAGTTCTACTCGCTTCAAGGATACCAGACACTTACAGACGCAATGGACCATGAAGGATTGAGGTGGTAGTGGTGTTGTCCTTCGGATCTCCAGGCAAAACTTTCTCTTTCTTACTCGAACTCTTCTTGCTTGAATGCTTCTTGCTGGAGCGCTTTGTGATGTTGGCTTGAGCATTTACGCTTGAGGGAACTGAGGCTAAGGAGAGCGACATTGTGTGCTTGCGGAATGTTGGAGATAGATTGTATCGGCACGAAAGAAAGGCTGGTATGAATGGTATCGACTTGGGAATATATGTTGCTGATACCAGAAGGCAGAAGTAGTTTGTTGTAGTGGTAGAGTTTGGATGAGTGTGAAGAAGTCTTTATATATCCATAGAAGCAGTGGCATGCTATGAGACTAGACGCTAGCAAGCTGCCACATGGCGAAAGGCTAAGTAAAGGCAGATCGGGTGCCATGTACAGTGGTGAGATAGGACGATGGCATCTTGAAGCCAAATACTCCAGTAGACGTGAGGCTTTTTGGGCCTGGCCGATACGTCCGAGCGTATCAATGGTGAGAGTATACCAATATCTGTTATGATGCAGCTATACAAGAAAGAAAGAAAGTCTCTCGATTCGCGTAGTATCAAACCGGATTGAATGAACACATCACGTTGATGGATCTCTATACGATGATGAGTGGTGAACTGTGATGGCGGCATGGCTATGCCAAACAACATGCCTTAACGTGGTGTTAAACCTTCACAACAAAATATGATATGAGTGACAGATTGATGTAATGGCCAGGCCTCAGTCGGAGTCAAAAGCGTGGTTTGTGATGTTGGGAGATGCAGATCAAGCTCGCTACAGATGGCCCACCTTCCGCCAAGACCTCTGCGCGCTTGATTGGCGGTCGCAACCGCGTCTCAGCGAGCTGCCACTTGCGACACGCAGCATTCCGAGGTTGCACCACCACATTTTTAAGGATCGTGATCAGATAGCGCTTGCTGCAGCTGCAATGAGTTCCTCTATAGAAACAGAGATCCTGAACAAGTACAATCTCACGACACTGTACCCCGCAACCTGGCCGCAGGAGAAGGACGAAGCCGACGAAGAGGATACATTCGACGAGCCCATACCCAAAGCCACGAAACAATCGATACGGCGGTCCAAATCACGATACTCAGTGTTAGAGCCCAGTGCAAGATTCTCGCGGCAGGTTCCGGGAGCAGAGCGCTCGAAAGATGGCGTGGAAACGTTGGTCCAGAAGGACGAACAGGACCCATTGGGCATGTATCCAAGTGTAGTGCAGGTGCTGCGGGCGAAGAACATCCAGGTCGAGGATGATATCAAACTGCGTACGTTTGAGCAATATAGCAATACACACAAGGCCTGTCTAATGGACATACAGGCAATCGCTTCCTCTTGAGCTCCACCACCTTCTCGCCCTCCCTCTTCCTTTCGCAAGTCCACAATGAAGCCTCAACCGACTCCCTCCTCGCCGGTCTTGACTTCCTTTCCCGGTCAATCGAGAAGAAGTCTGCTTCGCTCAAAGTCCTCGTCGAATCCAACTTCGATCGCTTCGTGGGCGCCAAAGCTACCATTGACCGCGTATATAATGAGATGCGAGACCAAGGGAAGGAGCAGGTGGAAGCGCCCAACAAGGATCTACAACCTGGCACCGGCAGACCCAGGGCTCGATCGAGCTTCTCAGGCCGAAAGACTAGCGCATCTCTGACACCAGGCATGGTCGACGCTGTGCCTGCCGAGAAGAGGAAGAACGCGCTCGTCAAAGAGAGCGAATACGGTGTGCATGGTATCAAGGTCCCGCTGACCGAAGTCGCTGTCAAAGCTGAGGAGGTCTGGGGCCCTGCGCTGAACGGACGGGAGCGGGAAGAGACATTGAAGTCCATCATGGAGTCTGTGGAGCACCATCGGGGTTTGTTCGAAGTCAGTTCAGCCATTCAAGATGCCATACGCCGGAAGGATCACGAGACAATCACCGAAGAATACAAGCGCGCGAGGAAGTACGCAGACGAAGCTCGATACATTGTAGAACAGGCAACATCCAATCAGAGGCCGCTGACTGATGCCGAGATACATCAGGTCATTGTGACGGCTAGAATGTGGTCAGACGTCGAACGCCAGATTGAACGTTTCAAACGTGAATCCTGGAAACGCCTGACCACAGCGCATTTCACGCATCTTCAGACTGGCACCGAGGATACCAAGTCCGACGAGTACCTGAGCATCATCTCAATCATGCTTGAGCTTGGTGTGGAGGAGAACCCGATTTGGGTATGGCTGCTCTCACGCTATGAACATCTCAAGTTCCAGCTCAACTCCAAATGCCAACACTCGCTTGTTGAGATCGAGATCCTTCGTCGTCATCTGGCGAACGGCGAAAAGCCGAGCATGCGCATGCTGCAAAAGCATCTCCGCTCAGTCCCTACCAGCAGCAACGTCAGCGCTGAGCCTTCAAAGCTTGACACCCCAAAGGTGACCGAATTCTGGGAACACGTGTATGCCTCTATGACGACCCTGCTCTCACACAAATCCGGGTTGCTTGCTGAGCTAGTTGAATACTGGGAGATTGTCCAATCGTTCCTCTCCGGTCGCGCGCAACGGAACTTGCCAACAGGCCATCACAATCAATCGTCTGTTCACCACCGGCTCAGTAGTGAGAACAAAGCTGAGCTTGAGAGAGGTACGACTGAACTCATCAGTATACTGCGGGATCATCTGTTCTCGTTCTTCTCGGACCCTCCCATTGAGGATGTATCCATGCTCATGTCACCACTGCCGATGAGTCCGACGCCGACCACACCAGGAACACCACTGAGCGCAGCTTTGAGTCCAATGTCAGCGTCGAGGTCTAGGTTCGATCCTGCGAAAGCACCACCACCATCTCCTAGCCGCGGAGAATCTTGGGAGAAGTACGCTTTCTGGCCTCCTAATGCGAATGCGCTTTCGGGATCTCACTATCTATCCAAGATGCTCGTCTTGATTGGCACTGCAGCCAACGAACTTGCATCGCTTCAAGTTCCTGAGTCTGGAGGTAGCGGGCGCATTGACGAAGCACTGCGCCTGCTTCTTGGCGGTGTGCGCGAACGCTGCATTCAAGCTGTATGTGCGGCTTGGAACACGGATGCGGAGAAGTTGAAGGTGCTCGAGGATTGGACTCGTCACGTTGACCGCAAAGACACTACGAACCTACCTCAGCGTTTCCTAGCGGTACAAAGCTTTCTGCTTAACAATCTGCAAAAGATACTCTACGTTGAGGCGTCAAGCAAGACAAGAGTGGATGTCGTTGTACCGCCGAGCAATAAGCTGCTGCAGATGGTTAGAAGTCAGTTCGTCACAAGCTTGTATAGAACGCTCAGCGGAATGGTCGAATGTGCGGAGCGAGGCAGACAAGCTTTGGGTCCTGAGTTTGAGATCAAGAGTGATGATCTGACCATTGACGAGCAAGATGATCAGAACGGTAACGACTGGGGCAGGGTCGATGCTAACAAGAAGGTAAGCTATACGAATTGTGGCTTCATCTTCTCCACTAACACGCACCAGTCCATCCGCCTTCTCCTAACCCTCGCCAATATGTCTGCCTTCCAGTCAGAAATAACCCCGCAACTTCTCTCCCTCTTCGAAACACTCTTCAGCGTCCAACTAACCGATGAGACAAACCGCATCCGCGACGTCCTCTCACAACTCGACGCCCAACTCTTCCGCTCCTACACAAAACCGCACGCCACAAGGATCCACTCCACAATCGAATCCGGCATCTTCAGCCCCACCTGGGCACCTCCTCCAGACACACGTAAAAGCGTCGCAGACCGCGACCCAAGCCCCTACGTCTTTACGGTGCTTCTGGATCTCGTAATCGTGCACACAGAATCCAGCACCACATCCGCACCCTTAACACCCCGTATCCTCCGCTCACTCTTTGAATCCACAACCTCCTCCCTCATCACGACCTTCCAATCTCCCAATCTACCCACCATATCCCTCCCGCAACTCATGCAAGCGACACTAGACGTAGAATTCATGGCACAAACACTAGCCTCCTACACCACAGAGAAAGCATCACAGATCCAGACGGATATCTACCAAGTGCTGGACCAAAAGACGGATAATGCGGCGAGAGTGAGACTGCAGGAAGAGTTGGGTAGTTTGAGGGTTAGTCTCAAGAGGTTGAGGGAGGGGACGAAGGTCCAGTTTGCTTGCTTTAGGAGGATTAAGAGGGGTACGCTTGCGGGTGGTGGGGCTGGTGGGGAGGGCCAGGAGGAGAGGAGGGGGAGGTAGATGGGGTTTCTTGGGGTTGGAAGGGAGGGGGGGATGAAGATGGGTGTGTGATAAGGAATGCATTCAAGATTGTTGGAAATGTCACAGAAGCTGTGCGTGCGTAATATGCGTTGACGTATTTGATCTTGAAGCCCGGTATTGAAGAGACGAAATTGAATGTATGTCAGCATAAAACCTGCCTTTCCGTGCCGCTTCAGTAACGATGTTTCTTACACACCTTTCGACATCCGCCTGAGCATAAAGTATCCAAGTAACTGTACATTGCACACACTCTGACATGACGCTCGACAACATGCCTACAGCGGAGCCTCGCGACGCGGTCGAGGTCGCCCTCGATCCATTCCGCCGCGCGCGACATGACACTTCGCTACACCCGAGCGTGTGGGACGAGGTCGTCGACACGTTCGATGAACAACAGCGCTCTTTGATTGAGGGCCGCAAGAAGGGGTATGCAGATTCTGTAGCCAAAGGCAGTAGTGCGATATTAGAAACAGAGAGGAAACTTCAGACTACCCAAGACAAAAAGGTGAAGTCGGAGCTCATCAGCAGGGGAAAGAAGGCTGAAGCTGCACTCAAAAAATTGGAGGGCGCGAAGAAAGAGATCAGAGCCAACATGTGTGCGCAATTGGAGGAGGAAGTAACGGACATGTGTGAGGATGGGTTGAGAGACCTGAACGAAATCATCGACCGGGCGATGCCTTTTAGAGAGGGTAGCAATGCTTGAACGGTTCCAATATCATGAGTGTAAATGTCTTGGTAAAGCACAATTCTATCGCTTTGAAGATTCGCTGTTGTTACAGCGACACGTATATCTACAAGTAAACGCCGCTGAATGCATCTATAATCCTCCATATACGTATCCTCATTCATGCTCTTCTCCCTCCCTATCTTTACTCTTACAAGTCGTACAAATACGTTTGTTTATACATCACCGCCCCCTGACAGCGGATGTTGTTCGAAATACCGCAGTAGCGTTTGGTACAGTACCAACATAGTGCCCGACTGCACGCTTGTCCAGACAGCGCGCGGTCCGACACCTCTGAACCACCCCGCCATTCCTTCTGTCTTGTATATTATTTTCAGGCCGGTCATGACGGATGATGTGTCGAGGGTTGCGGCACCGTGGGCTTTGAGGGTCGTGGAGGGGGAAGATGTGGATATTGGTCTACTTTGTGTCGATGGCGGCTTAGTTGTTTGCGAGGGGGTGGAGTGTTTTGAGGTCGCGGCAGGCGATATGGAGGCTTTGGGTACGGTTGGAGAGGCGGGGGATGGGCCGTTGTGTTGGGTTTGGATGCGAGTCTTGACTACATCGAGAGGGGTTGTTATGACGCCTGCCATGCCGCCTGCGGTCGCTGCGGTTGCGATTTCTAGCGGTAGTCCGATGTTGTTTGAGCCCATGTACTTCTTCGCCCAGTCCCGCTCTTCTTCGTAAAAGGCAAATTGTAGTGCTGAGAACGGGAGGTCGCGCCAGAGCGTGGCCTTGTACCCATGGAAGAGGGCGCTATAGCCTTCAACCCTGGCTATTGTTCGCGCGGCGTCGATGGTTCCGCGGTAGTTGTAGCCTGAGTTGAAGTAGGGGTTGTTGTAGCGGCCTTGTAATTGCAGGCGAGTCTTGAGGACTTCAGAGGGGACGTATGCGGGGGCAGCAGCGAGATCAGCGAGTAGACCTAGAAGTTTGTCAGTACATGGCGGGACTGTACCGATCTGTAGGGAGGTGTACCGGCTGAGAAGTATGCGACCGAGGGCGCAACCCCATAGTCAATCATGGTCCGCTTGGTCCACTCATATGCCCCGAAGAAGCACACAGTGCCTGAGAACGACCCAAGAAACGCCGGCTTCACTCCCCCGTACAATCCTTTCCGAAAGCCTTCTTGCCGCCATATGGTGTAGTATGTGTTGCCCATGGACGTGTACTTGGGTGGCATGTGCGGGTCGCCCTGTTGTCGCGTCTTGACCGTATCCAGCGAATGCATCAACATGTCACCCGTGGTACCTCCTATCCCTCCTGCCAGCATTGCCTGTTTGTGATCAATTGGCATCCCTCATCTCTGCAGACTAGGCATCCTCACATGTAGGTAGGGCGGCCGCGCTGCTTCCTCGTCTATCTCGTCTTCCATTGCTGTCCGTTTGGTATCCTCCATGGGAAGTTCCACTGCGTGTGCTGTATTTGCGCCATGTCTCCGGCTACCGTCGGTCAGGTTGGTGGTAGAGTCTCCGTTTGTGAAGAAGTTGGCCACGCGGGCAAGTACCATGAGCGCTTCGATGGCAGCGGTGCACTGGGGGTAGATTCGTGGGTGTTGTAGTGAATAGACACGAGTATAGAGAAGAAGGATATGCGCAAGGGTATCTTCACAGAGTGACGTTGCTGCCGCTGCGGCCGTGCGATGATGTTGCGTCTGGAAAATTTCGGCCAAGACCGGGACTGCGCAGCCACATCCCTGCAAGCCCTGGCTATCAGCTATCAAAAGCACGGGGACCAGACGACGGCTTGATGCAGTTAAGACTACCTAAGCTATACCTACGCGAATGCCACCAAAACGACTGCAGACAACGCATCTTGCTCAAAGACAGCGTGGTGTTGCTGCAGATCAATGTATTTTGTAGGCTAAGCCCTGCAACAGTTAGCGCCCAGATGACCCACGTGAGCCCCAGCCATCGTGTTTACATCTTGAGTCTCTCTGCATCCGATCAACACCACATCGCCCCCACCTTTTTCGCCCACGACGCTTTTTTCTGCTTGTATTCTTGATTCATTTTGATCGCAAGCTTTACGCGACTTGATCTATACCACTCACCATGTCCCACTCTTGGCTTCAGAGGAAGCGCAAAGCTGACTTGATCGACCTTGCGCAGAAGGCTAGACTTCCCGAGTAGGCTGGAATTGATCATGCGCGTATATGCGATACTAACGGGTTGTTTGCAGTGCAGATGGCCTCTTGAAAGATGATCTCGTGGAGCTGCTTGAGAGCCATCTCAACTCCAATGAGAGCACCTTTGCCAAACTCCCCGAGTTTAGCGACTATTATGGCCGAAATGGATCGCCTGTAAAGCGCGAAAAGTCTTCGCCAGAGCCCTTTATCACGAAGACGACGCGCCGCCGAACTCTTAACAAGGACCCTTCGTATGTCAAACTTGGAACGCGACGCGCGACGCGCTGAGGCTAACAAACGCGCAGTCCAGAGTCCACCCCCATCATTACACCAGAGATCCGCAGCGTTGTCGCGCGTACACCAAAGCCGAGATCCGTCTCTCGACGTGTCTCCGAGATGGTCGCTGAAGCCGAACCCAAGGCACTCTCGCGTCGCGTTTCCGACGTGGTCGCTCAAGCTGAACCCAAGGCCGTCTCCCGTCGCGTTTCCGAACTCTACAATCAAGTGGATATTCCCGCATCGCCTGCCCAACTCGCTGAGGTCGCCGACCAGTCCTTCCAAGTAGTCCAGACAAAGGCTGTCGAGCTGTGGGACAGGACCAGGATCGATGAGCTGAAGGAGTTTATTCGCGAAAACGCAAGCTCGGTCGCTACCATCCAAACCATCATCTTGCTTGTCGAAGCTGTAGGACTACAGTACAACACACTCGACACAACACCCTTATTCGCTACACCTGCCGCCTTAAGCTCATACACGAGCAGCCAAGATGTTCGAGGACCAAACTTCTGGGCGCTGCTCTCAGCGGAGTGGTGGGCACCAGCTACCCTCTGGTCGCTTACGAGCTGGGTGCTACCGTTGATGTTCTCATACTTTTTCAACTTGACTCTCCGCTCCAACACCTCGCGCAAGTCTTCCGAGCGCCAATATCCTGCTGACCCGCTCATTTTCAACATTGCGCGGGCAGTCCTGTCGTACAATGCCTACCGGGAAACTGTCAACATGGCATTTGCGCCAAGTGCCTGGGGTCCCTTCTCCGAGTACGCGGTTGCGCGCGTAGGAAACAATGTCCCGGGAGGATACTATGGCCTGCAGATTGGCTCGCTGGTTGGCATACTTGTCAGTCTATACGATGCCGCTTTGAAGAAGTAGATATCTGTTGGGTTAGAACACGCAATGTGACTGAGTCTGAGGACGTGAATCTGGTGATACTTGTATGTTCATTGGCGTTTGGATATACGATACCTTCCACCCTGGCGAGCTGGACACACTTTGCATCTGGATGCGGAGTTCGAGACCGGCGTTTATCAGAATGGGTCTGTTTCATTCGAGCTGCTACGCTTCTTCGTTACCCAATATATACCTCTGTCAGAATCTGTTCCTAAGCTTGATTGTCCTTTGAGAAGAAGCGACCCGAGTGCAGACCAAACGCTTTGAGATACCCCAGCTGCCAGACCAGACGCGACTGCGCGTTGCGGGTGAAACACGTGAAGTCGCGTGTGCTATCGATAGCTCCAAGCGCGAAAGGGCCACGCCGTCACCCCTCCGCTCCAACATCCTGCCGTCCAAAATCACTCTAACACAGCTGCGCCCACACACGAACTCTATCCAGACCTATCAATTGAACAACATACAACATGTCGGCTCAATTCATGCAAATGTTGCAGAATATGCAACAGCGGTCGAACCGGTATTTAGCGCAAACATCCTTTGAAGCTCCAATGGGTTACTAATGTGTAGCATTAAGTACCCTGGAAGACATGATCAATTCCGATGACCAACTTGCTGGCATGGACGGCATGGAACTTCGTGGTTGGAGCTACAAAAACCCTACGGTGCCCAGTCGTGACCTCAAGGACCCAGTCGGCCAGACCCTCCTCGCTATATTCAACCAAGAATTCGACGCACTACAAAACTACGTGGAGATGATGATCAAACAGCTCGGCGGCACCGAGGAAGCTCGCGAGACGCTTAGGAAAGATCTATACGCCAAACGATGGGGCCCCACGCGTACAACCATCTACGGTGTACTCTTGCCAGCGCTGCATATGATGCCAAACAAGAAGCAAGAGTTACTGGGCGTAGCAAAATATCTAGCCAATGATCTCAAAGTTCCCGTCGACGGCAAGGACGTCGTGGGCAGCACCGCCCTCTTCTGGGCCATTTCCACGAAACCCTACGTGCAACCCGAATTCGCGCAGGTCCTCTTCGACGCCGGCGGTTCAGTCAACACGAAGAATCGTTTCGGCGCTACCGCAGGTTCCGAGATAGCCCAAGCCGATCTCCACGGCGACACGAGCAAAAACGTGCAGATGCTGAAGTGGTATGTTGAGCATGGCGGCGACGTTGACAGCAAGGACACGGATGGTATGAGTATCAAGATTTTGGTCGAGATGATGAATATGAAAGTGCCGGCTATGGCTGCGGTTCTCAAGGATGGGAGGGGGCCAAGAAAAGAGGGGGACTGTACGAATTGCGGGAGGAGCCCGAAGGATGGGAAGGTTTTCTCGGCTTGTGGCAAGTGTAAGAAGCCGAGGTATTGCTCGCAGGAATGTCAGAAGGTGGATTGGAAGGGGCATAAGAAGGTTTGTAAGGCGTCGTAGGGCAGGGTGTAAATATGATGGTGGGACAGGTGAGTAGAGACGGTACTGGGGATGAGGGTGCCGCGTGGAAGAGTTGGGGTGACCCACGAAGTTGATTTGGGTTCGTCACCCATGGCAAAACTCTGGCTTCCTGGCTTCTGCGGGCCCTAGGTAAGGAAACCAGCCATGCACATACGGGTCGTTCACCGGCAAGACCGGCCCAAAGCGACGCTGACAGAGAAGACGAAGCGAACACAGTGTTTCGATAGCATGCGACATAACCATCAGTCTACTGAAAGAGAGTGTGCGAAACGACTGTTGCACATTTGACTGGTCTGGTAGTTGATGGAACATAATGCACGTCATGAGATAAATCCAGGTGCCTACACACTTTCCATCGTCTTCACTTCCTCGCAGCGTCTACAATCTTTCCTCCAAGCTTTTATCAAGAGCTGGATATGGTTAAAGAGTAGGGTGGGGCGGGGACACGCGAGCATGCATGCACGACGATTACCTGACGTCACTGGTAATACATTGACCGCCATCTCCCAAAACGACTATGTCCACCTGAAGCAGTGTCCCTAACACAAGATCACCTTCCCCGAGAAGTTATCTCGCTACCACAAGTCCCTTCAAAATGAGGCTAAACCCCAACGGCGACGCATTGACCTTCCCCAAACGCTCAGCCTTACCTCACATCGCCGGTACACCAAAAGACAACGCGTGGTTCTGGGGCGGAAATGATGAACTAGGGCGTCTAAACCTCCTCACCGCTCAGAGAATAGTGAAAGCCACACAAGAAAATGTCAAAACGGGAGAATCAGTGTCACTGGATCTCCCCTTGAACGTTCCCGGCCCAGCCTTCTTCGGACGAAAAGGCCTAAGACACCGCATCAAGTCTATCGCCCCAGGCGCCTTTGACGACGAAGTAGCTTTCAACACTCAGAGTAGTTCCCAGTGGGACGGCTTCCGCCACTTCGCACATCCAAAATATGGATGCCACTACAACGGCGTTCTCTCAGACGACATCATGGCCAACCTAGACGACGATGCCAATGACAGCGAAAACAACGAGACATCACCCCCCGCGCTCACGTAAACTCGGCATCGACGCCTGGGCCAAGAAAGGCATCATCGGCCGCGGCATCCTCCTCGACGTGTACTCCTGGTCCCAAAAGGCCGGCAAAGGATACGACCCCTTCACCGCCCACGGCATCACAGCCTCTGACCTCCTTGCCTGCGCAGAGTCTCAAGGCACATGTTTCGAAACCGGCGACATCCTCCTCATCCGCACCGGCTGGCTCTCAACCTACCTCTCCCTCTCTCCCTCTGAAAAGTCCTCCCGCAGCACCCTCCCCCACGACCAACACTTTTACGCCGGTCTCGCCGCTGACGATTCCATGAAAGATTTCTTGTATGATAATTACTTCGCGGCTGCTGCGACTGATAATGCGAATTTTGAGGTTTGGCCCCCAGAAAGTTTTGAGGGGAGTTTGCATGCGTGTATGTTGAGTATGTGGGGGATGCCGATCGGCGAGCTTTGGGATCTTGAGGGGTTGGGGAAAATGTGTGAAGAGAGAAGGAGGTGGGAGTTTCTGGTTGTTAGTAAACCGGTGGATGTACCTGGGGGTGTGGGGAGTTTGCCTAATGCTGTGGCGGTTTTCTGAGGACATGTAAAGAGGAGGGGAGAGTGGTTTGGTGGTTTGGATACCCAGTGAACTTGTCAGCGTTTCTATGACTCTGTATGCGTCAAACCCCGTTTACTTGATAGTCAATCTATTAGTTCTTAGCGAGCCGCGTTGTATCCATGCCGCGTTTCCCGCTGTTGGTGGCATAGCTGATGATGACGGCGGCTGAGGAACGCCACACAATGAATTTTTGGATAGTGAAGTGTGGCTGGTAGGGATGCGAATCTCGGTCTACATGTCTCGGTATTGCGTTGTCGGGGTGTGGAGCGAGACACCGCTAGGGCGAAGGAGGCTGCCATCCGATACGCGTCCCGATCGCGACTCCTTTCACACGGCGCCATCGTGTACCCAGTCGCGTAATTACTTCTTCTTCGATGAACAATTCGATCGTTCGTCTTGATGTAGTGCGTTTCATGCTCTCAGCCATCTGCCTCGGTTGGGAATCCAACTTCCGACTGAAGTAATACGTCATCGATGTTCGCGTCCGAAAACTGTCTTCTGAGAATCCTTATCCTCCACAGACACGATCACATCGCATTGCATCATTACACCATCTTGTCTATCTGTATCAACCAGGCTCGACGTGCTTGCGTCGTCCTCGGTGGACACTCCCATCGTGCGCGTCTGCCAGTCGGTGAGCCTACATCTACACGGTTTCTTCTTTTCGTCCTTTGCTCCCTCCGCTGAGACGGTAACCGTGCTATATCCGGTGTTGGGGGGCACCAGCTTCGGTCCTATACTGCCTGTCTCCTGTCGACTCAAAGACGCGTGAACGTCGGAGAGTTCCGTCTCTTGGATTTCAGGATAGACGATGCCGCTGCCGCCGACACCGAGGAGGCGCTTGATGCGCGGAACGCTCGCTGAGATCAAGGAAAGGCTGGACACAGATCTGAAGTGGTCAGCTTTCGAAAGATACTGATCAAGTTCAACGTACTGGGTAAAGATCACAAACTCGACTGCATCATCTACGTCTCATTAGCTCTGCGCTGCTCGGTCTGTGTCGAGCTCACTTACGTGTGGGGTTTAGACTGGATACCAGCCTCAACGTTGCCCATATCTGACCTCCAGCAACGAATGCTACACTGTTGAGTTAAGATTGGAACGTGCAGAAAGGGGAGCCGCGGAAATTACATTGCTCGAACACCGAAGAGCATCGCCACTGCAATGCTTTTCTCTTTGTTCAGAGACATCTCCCAGAAGGTCGGAACGATCCAAAAAGCCAAGAGGAGATCTGTGGTAATATTGATCGCGGTGGCCGCGATTGAAAGGCCTCCATTTCCACATTGCAGTGCATGCATAGTCCACTGCGGAATCCCGCATTGGAAAGCCACCGAAAAGGTCGAGAACATAGCAAAAAGCGCAATGCTTCCGAACAGGGCCACTTTCGCTCTTCTGGATTGTGGGAATATGCGCTCGATGAGCAAAGCCGAGGACAGTTTCGCGAGCGCCATTGCAACGATACTGAGTATACCAGCAACATAGATCGCCTGCAGCTATTGATTAGTGGTAGCTATATGATGTTGTTGGAGCTAGTAACCTTGAAGAACACAGTCAGGTCCTTCTCACTCAGGTCATCCAAGTCCTTCCCTAGGCCACCATCGATAGTAAACTGCCAGCTAACAGTCGCGGCTAGATATACAACCTAAGGAATGCTTAGTATCACTTACATCCATGGAAGTGGATTACATACTGTGGCTGCAACAATTGCTACATCGTCGAGACCGAATTCGATTTTGTGCCTGTGACCCTGCGCAAATCGTCCGACCAGCACGCCCACCGTTATGATCGTCCATGAGTAAGTGGAGACAAGGACGAAGCCGCTTTTTGTTGGCACACTATTGCGACGACCTTCATCCGAACCTGCGGAAATCATTGTACAAGATCGAGAAAAAAAGCAGCAACAAAGGAAAAATAGTGTGACATTGACGTTAGGGAAGCATGCGGCTTATGGCGGTCGTTAAAGCATCATTCCACACGGTTCGGCCTTATACTGATCGCACCGACTCTCACATACTCATCCATATACGTCTTGTCTTGGGTACGCATCTGGGGCCGACAACCCAACCGTGGTCCAAGCTTGGGTCTTCAGAGCATGCCAGGATCTCATTCGTGTGTTTTCACGGGGTTTGAATCTGCCGCATGCTTACTGTCTGTGCACCTGTCTGGCCGCTAGTCCGTTCTCCGTAATGCCCATGTTCATCCGCTGCACCTCTCCAAGCCGCATCTCACTAAATCATCTGCTGTATGGAGTCAGCTCGAAAAAATGCCAGGAAGTACAGCTTGCCGTCTCCTTGGCCGATAGTGGCCTGATTGGAGAAGCATGAAGACCCATGCCGGACAAGTCTGGATTCCGCGTTTCCATTAGGAAACAGAACGTTCGTCCAGTCCTGCGTCGATCGCTTGTCCAGAAGTATCAAAGCCGGGGGTTTCGAGCTCAAACCCCGCCTCATGTTACGCGTAACGACGATGAACTGCCGTTAGTGGCGCCGGCTACCATGCGGATGGTACCGGACAGCGCGAGCTTATTTGATGGAGCGACAATCAAAATATCATCCATGCGAAGAACGACAGGACTGTACCCTTACGAGGCGATTGGTGCGTTGGATCTAACCACTTGTGCGGCGGAGCGCGCCGGAAACATGACCCTTGCACGCTGCTGGCCGTAAGAACGGACTTGCATACGACAATGGGGTTTGCAGCGCTTGATAGAGACACTGCATACGATGTCGGGCGCCTTTCGTGTTTCATTTAGTCAGACAAGCCGGTAGGAGAGCTGCCAACTTTCAGGGTTCCTCACGCAACGCAGTCCGCAGCTCCCTGGTCGTAGCGTACTTTTCCGGTGTATTGATAGGATCGCTGCGTCTCACGAACACCATCGACATTTCAGTCCCGCACGTCACCCGCCGACTATTACTTTGGGGTTCTTGCGCCAATATGGAACTCAATGCCTACAAGGCAGATGCTAAACTCGATGGTTTGGAGCAAGGATCTGGCCAGAGCGAGAAGACTGCAGTAAATACACCAGCCGCGCCGTCGGGAGGGGGACGATCGGTCTATCAGCTCGAGGTAGGCACCATTTGAGTCGCTTCAGCGAGCGGAGTATTGACTAAAGAAGCGGTATATCAACCTCTCAGCTGTGATCAACTTTGCTGTGATCATTCTTGCTTCTTGGGAGTCGTTTGCAGTGACGTTCCAGTTCGCGTTGACCAACGGTGGCCCCGCATCCATCTTCTATGGTTCTATTCTGGCTGGCATCGGTGCCTGTGCCGTTGGCTTCTCACTGGCTGAGTTGGCTTCAATGTATGCACATATCATTCATTCTAGGATTTTGTTGACAGTCCGACAGAGATCCTACTGTCGGTGCTCAGTATCGCTGGTCAGCCAATCTCGCCCCCGCTGCGCCTCGCTTCTGGGGCCTACTGCAAGGTAGGTCAACGTACGCGCTGAGAGGCATCGTAACTTACATTCTCAATAGGATGGATCACTGTTGGTGCCTGGTGCTTCGCTTGCAGTGGACCGCCTTCCATACTTGCCAACATGATCACGTCACTGGCGATCTTCAATAACGAAAACTACGTTCCTCAACGGTGGCACACCAGTCTCATCATGGTTGCGCTCATGATAGTTCCCTTCGTCTCTAATCTCTGGTTTCGTAAGCTTCTTGATGCTTTCGAGATTACTGGTGGTATACTTCACGTCTGCCTCTTCATTGTGGTAGTCGTTGTCTTCGTGGTGTTTGGACCGCGCAGCGACCCTGACTTTGTTTTCAAGACACTGACATGGCAAGAGTCCGGTTGGAACAACAAGGGTGTTTCTTGGGGTCTCGGACTTCTGAGCATGACGTTCTCCGTTACTGGAGCAGATAGCGTTCTACACATGTGTACGTCCACAACTCCTAGTATGGCGCTATCCTACTGACTAGAGATCTAGGCGACGAGGTGAAGAAGGTGCGCACACGCGTGCCACGCAGTATAATTATCACCTGTGTCGCGAACTCAGCGATGCTAATAGTCTTCGCTACCATTCTTCTCTTCTACATGGGCCCTCTTGACGATGTCATCGCCACGCCACTACCAATCCTATGGGTTATCTACAACATCACCGGTTCTTCCGTGGCAGCCAATGTTATCACCTCGCTCATAGCCCTTATCGTCTTCTTCGCTCTCTTCAACATCTTTGCTTCCGTCTCGAGACTTATCTGGGTGTTCGCACGCGACAACGGTCTGCCCTTCTCTGACTTCTTCTCTTACGTAGGTTGCCTTTACACTTCTTGTATTGCATTGGCTGACGGTCTCAGGTGCACCCCACACTGAAACTCCCGGTGAATGCGCTTCTCCTCGTTGGAACCATCGTAACGTGCCTATCCCTCATTTACATCGCCAGCGCGACTGCCTTCAATGCGCTTATCTCACTCCAAGCCCTTGCGCTGCACGTATCGTACTTCTTCCCGATCCTCTTCATCCTCCTGCGCAAACTTCGAGGCCCACCTCCACCTTACGGACCGTTCAAGCTCGGCCCTGTCGGTCTGCCCGTCAACATGTTTGCACTATGCTACCTGGTGTTCGTGGTACTTTGGATGCCGTTCCCCCAGGTTCTGCCAGTCACGAGAGATAATATGAACTACGCAGGACCCATCTTTGGTGCGGTCGTGATTGGGGCTTTGGCTCATTGGTTCATCAGTGCGCATAAGACGTTCAAGATGCCCGTCATTCGTTACGAGTAGATCAAGGTCGGAAGTAGTAGTATGATACATTTTGTCAGTATACTATGGCGGAATTCTCTTGTGCATGTAGCTCGCTATGAGTTCATCGATGCATATGTCACGAAAATCGATGGACCTTGATATGCACCGTAAATGCTGATTGCAAGAAGGTTAAAGCCGCCTTAACATAACAACAGCTTTGCGGAAGAACAACTCATTCCTGTGGTTCAGCGCCCCGCATCAGCAGTTATCCGGTGTAGGGAAAGATCTCCAATTCCCTCATCACGTTCTTGACCGACTACGCCGCGCCCCTGCAGGTGATTGCACTGCTACGTGATCGGAAGATTCAAGGCGGTCACACAACAATGAACGACATCTTGGCGGTAAGCTTGTGTGGCTTAGAAAACACCCGGGGAGTGCTGATTGGTCCGGGATGACCAACGATTACCTGTGCGGAAGTTGTTTACTTACGTTACACTGGGCCTGACCGGACGACGTCACAGGCTGACAGTTTCGTGGTATAAGGAGATAGAGTGTTAGGGTGAGTGAGAAGTGACAACGGGCCTTAGATCCAGGAATTCAAACTAAGCGACTTCATAACATATCTCACTGCTTCCTGAGTCAGTCTGGAGCCTTCTCACCACACCAGTCTCACTTTACAATGGCTCCAACTCTTCCACCGATGCCGCTTCCAGGCCTCGTCATGGTGCCCAACTGGACAGCTCAGAAACACGAAACCTTCATCATGAAGACCGAAGGCGTACCCCAGCAGAAGGCCCAAAGCCTTGTCAGCTACTGTACGTCTGATGGTAAACCTGGAGAACCGTTTCTGAAAATACATGAGGAGGAAAGGAATGTCGTCAAGTTCATGACGATGGATGGACAGGAAGCTATGCGGATCAACACCCATAGACACACCCTCTCGAGACCAAATGCAGAGTACAAGGCAGTGAGGAGCGCAGATGCGAAGCCGTTGTGGGATCTTGAGTTGAAGGCTGCTTGGAGAGTACCTAGCTACAGTGTGTCTTTTCCTTGTCCACTCCTCTCCTTGTTGAACATCGAGGTCGCCTACTCTCCACCTCTTCTATTGACTAATACACACCACTCTTAGATATCACCGTCCATGACACATACGTCGAAAATCAGAAGATCGAATTCGAACGCAACGTTGCCGGAGAAGAGAAGGGTCTCGTCGTCAACGGCAATCCAGTCATGACCATCTCTCGACACGCCAAGTGGGAGCACATGCATGCCCACTTCGTTGTGCATGTCGCGCCGGGAATGGATCTCCTGTTTGCACTTGGTGTCGCATGGATCCGGTCAGATAAACAGAGGCAGGCTGATGCCATCAATACTACGGTTATGATGGCGTAGAGGGACGAATCAGCGGCTCTTGCTAAATGTACGAGTTACAATGGCGATGGAAGATGGGGGTTGGGAAGTGGAACTGTGTTGTGGCTGCAACAGGATGGTTTGAACATATAAAGAATATTTAGCGTCTTGATTATACAGGCTCGTTTCGACTCCGCTTCTGCTTCTTGAATAACCACTTGGACCCTCTTGTACGTTCATGCTCATGTGAGTATGATCGCTCGGGTAGACACCCAATCTTTGGCAACGCCGTGACTTCGTTGGCAATGTTCACGCGTACACCCTCAACTTCAATCTCATCTCGTGGAACCTCGCGGAGTTCCATAGCATTCTTCTGAGCTTCCGCCTCTCGTGCTGACCAAGCCCGAATCCGAGTATCAGTTTCGTCATGATCGCTCATCGCTGAGCTAAGGAGGCGAGAACCGTTGCGCGGATGCGAAGAGAAGCGTGAGGTGAGAGGTGATGTCGCGACCCACGGCCAGCGTCCGCTCACCATACTCTTTCTGGTTGCCAGTGGAGATTCACTCTCTTCGGCACCCAGTGAGACCCAATCCCAGCCTTGAGGCTTGCGCCACTCCTTCTTCCCAGAGTCTTCTACTGGAGCCGCATGTGCGTGTGCGTTCTTCGGGTCCGAATTCTTCTGTTTTGAGGAGTGGGTGACTTGGGAAAAGAACTCGATGATGTTCTTGGGCAGCATCTTGACGACTAGTATCCGGATTGATGGTAGCGATACGCAAGCGAAGCCTGCCGCAAGTTCCAACTCTGTCCAGACAGTGACCTTCACGTAGTCCCAGGTAGGATCCACCGAGATCTTGAACGTGAGCAACACGAAGAGGCGGATGATGGTCGCTATGCATCCAAACGTGCCGATAGCGAACATGAAGAATACAGCAACTTTTCGATGGCGTCTCATTTGTAAGTTGCGGATGAAGAACAAAGGCAGGATCAAAAGCAGCACGTCTTGTACGATGGCGCTTATCGAGTTTGCGAGAGGTACTGCCTGAATGTCGAGGCACTTCCCTTTGATGTCTCGGTTCCAGAACGACTCGACTGGAGTGCATATGAAGATTGTCAAGAAGACGATGACGGTCGAGTTAATGATGATGCCAGCTCCAAAGATATAAGCAGTGATCCGAAAGCTTCGCGTTTGGAAGATCTCAAGGTAGAAAGCAATGAGAGAGAGCTTGATGAGACCAAGAACAGCGATATAGGTCGACCAAGAGATATAGACTGCTGCATATTAGTATACCGATGGTGGTATCATAGGACACGGGTGGTACATACAATAGCGAAGGATGGGCGAAAGGGCTCCGTCTTCGAGATTCCACAGGTGCTCACCGAAGCCACGTTCCGTCACTGTGTTGTTTTAGTTGCAGTACGTTTTGGACAGGAGATGTGCGAACTTACTAGCCAAAGTGCATCCTGCAGGTACTGCGCACAATACCAAAGCAAAGACCGTTATGTAGTCGTCCATCGCTAGCCGCTTGTTTACCAATTTGCCGATGATTCGAAGAACAACAAAGACGACGGCCATGGAGTATATGACACCAGTCCACATAAACATGTCCAGCCGTTGCGATTCATCGGAGAGATTGCAAAGATCGGCTTGTACCCTGGCAGTATCCAGACTGTCTTGCATCGTACAATTCGCGAGCATACATGCTGGAATGTCTGCCCCAAGCTGAGCGTTGTCGCAGATACATGCAGTGTCGTCTAAGGTGCAGCCACTTTTGGGAACAATAGCAATCATGCAGACAAGCTGCGTATTGTCAGCAAAGGTATCCAACAACGCGGTTGAGCACGAACTCCACAAGCGGGAATGTCGGCAATGCCTAATGCCCTTGCATCCAAATCGAGACCCGAGGCGCTGACATGACGAAACGTGAAGACGAAACAAAAGACCGAGAAAAACGCAAAAAGATGCATATTGTGAAAAGTAATCGACGGAGGTGGTGAGACGGGCAAACCCTGGAGTTTGGGTCGGCGGCGCCGATAACTATTTCACCAAGGATAGATGGCGAAAGACTCTGGAGTTGCGACATAGTCCAACGCTCTCGAACTATGCTGTGAAATTCCCCATCGTCGGCGGCTTCCAAAGCGTGTTTGAGCTTACTGTAGTACTCCCGCTTTTGGAGCCAATCAAGCGACATGGCCGTTAGACCATAGCGCCGTCATGGCGCTGTGAAAACCGCCGTAAAAGCGGCTTGACTCGAGATTATCCACGGCACGTGGGCCATTAAACCAGACTTTGCGTTGGGTAGTCGTTGGGTCTATCGCGCAACACTTACAGAATTCTAATTCTATACTACGGCGCAGGGAGAAAGCTTGCGTGGCCGGCGTGACGGCGCTTTTCGGCCATTCGCATCTTTGCCACGTGGTAGCTGTATGGAACTGTCGTTCCGCAATAGCACTGACGTGGTTCTGGGGGTGAGGAAGGTTTTCGTTCTGTTGGATGGAGAACGCAATTCGCCATGTATGACATCTCCGGGCAATGAGAGGCGTAGCGACTGCTCGCGATGAGGCCAGTCGAGTGGGATGCGCCACAACTTACGAAGTCGTGGTAAGTATGTAGTATGCGTGATTGAACTACATAGTCGGCCAGTTACAGCAGCCTCACTCGCAGGCGCGCAAGGAATATGCGGTCTGCTGGAAAGACTCATCCAGGGGCGTTGGGTGAAATCAGGGTCGCAAGTGGTTACCTCATTACTAGCGCCGATCCGGGTCGTATTGTCCCGCCCCACTCGAGATGGAAAGGGCAGCTTTGCCATCCAGTCGCGACAAAACACGGGAAGAAGAGTTAATTGACGTCCGCTAGCTGTGGTTTCCAATACAAACCTTTGATATATGGATCTCCAGATCTCCAGCTGTCAGAATCCCGACAAGTTAGAACGATCGGAGCAGCTGATCGCTTCACAGCCCGTGCTCATTCCGCGCAGGCTAAGCATCCAAAAACACTTGGGACTCTCCACTTTCACCATGCTGATCTACTATCGATCTCCAAACGTTACGCATGTCAATACTGAACCATCACATCTTCCTTACAAAACAAGTTTCCGTTCGTGCGATAGCATTTCAGGCAGCTGCACCATCGTCGCTCAGCCTGCCTCATCGCCAACTGGAAAGCTTCCCGACGCAGGGGAACCGGCGACATCCTGAAACTCAGCCGACGGACTGTCCCGCAGGCACGAACGACATCGCTTAAGCACGCAACGCTCATGTGTCTCGACCCGAGGGATACCCCACCAAGCAACGACGCGAAACTTAGATCTGAAGTCTATGTCTGGGGTTTCCAACGGTCTCGCAGATTGAGACGACGGCATCGACCTACACATGCTGCTATGACTGCATCTGAACCAGCACAAACTGAATCCACGCATGTGGGGGCCTTACTTCGTCCTGTTCATTTGCTCCAGGTGTGATGGCTGAGATAGTGTTGCAGATCGTCTGCTTCCAGAGCTACAAAGCCCAACGCCTCTCAACTTTGGACAGCCGGACGCCCGTACTTGTTGTCGATCTCAGCACCCTGTCGATCCCCTGCAGCTCCTACCATATCGCAACTTTGTTGTTGGAGTCACTGGTTCACGTCCGCGGGATTACACTTCCATTGGTGCAGAGCGGTGATGTCACAACAATCTCATGCAGACTTTGCGATAGAGAAACAGTCTTAAAGAGAGTTTCAATAATTAGGTTGAGTCATCGCTCGTCCTATAGCATCTTCGTGGCAACTTGAATGCGCGCCAGGCCGACACCAACACAAGCCCGTTACGATCTCACCACACTGCTTCACCACGTACCCCGAGTCCATAAACAGCGCGTCTCCAATAGCCAGTCTACTTCCAGGTTCTGTGCCACTCCCCAACAGTGAGTAGAGGAACATTAGGTTGGTCTTGTTGCCAGGTGCAGGCAGTTATGCTATCCTCCAGGTATGCAGCGTTGATGAAGCCTACATAGTTGATAGAAATCTCGTAGTGCGTAAGCTGGCGCCGACCGAAGTTTCTAAAGTATGCTAACGAGCACAGCTCGTCTAGCAGCAGGGAAGGTGCAGATTCAGAACTGAGTAGAATGTCGACTGCAGGCGGTGCAGATGCTGCCGTCACGACACCAATAGCTCTCCGCCATCGGTTCAGCACCAAGGCCGATCTTGCGACCCAAGCACAAACTTCGTCAACATCGTATATTGAGAGATAGCTGACACGACTGATCCGCTCCCGAAGGTTTGTCTTTGCATCATCGTCTAGGACTTCCGCAGAATGCGTCAATCGCGGCTTCGAAAGCTAAAGTTATCAGCCAGAGTCAATACCGGTAACCGCTAAGTCGTCTAACACACCTCGATATCGGAAATGTGGAAGAGCACCTGCAGGAGCTTCTCTAGCGCTGTCAAGCCGTAAAGTTCTGTCGTACTTATGATCTTGACGCCTCCATTCTCGACCCATTCACGTATGGCTTTGTTGACAAGGGGAAGCGCTTCTCGATGAATATGACGACATCTACCGAGGATGGCAATGGACATGGAGTGCGAGATCAGCGTGATCCATCCTTCATGCGACTTCTTGTTCATCGCCGTATGTTTAGTCGAGCGCGGCAGACGTTCATACACCATCAAACGAATATCCTTTGGAAGATCGAGGAAACGGAAGAGTTCCAGAGTCGACGCGCGCGATGTCAACGCCATGTCGACGGTTGCCTGGAGCTGCGGCTGCTGGCGAGTACTTTGGAAGGCAGTGGGTGAGGTCGTGACAGTATTTAGGAAACCGCCCGAGCCATGTTTGCGCTCACTAGCGCCAATCTGGTGCCTAACGCACGGGCGGCAACCACGCGGGTATGTCTAGTCATTTGACAAACGCTTCCAGTCTCAAGAGCACCGAGCTGTAACTCTTCAGGATCAACCTTCGCTTTCCTTCTCAAAACCAATCTGCGCCGACGAAGTGAAGCCTGAAGTAAGACCATCGATTTGCTAAGCATGACTGCACCGAACCCGTTCCGATTCCTCGACCTTCCAAAAGAGCTTCGACTCGTGGTCTACGAGCGCCTGCTACGACAGATTAAACACCATCATGCCATTGATCCTTCCCAGTCGGAGGACAGCTTTGTTCTTATCACGCGGTGTCTTCCAGTCCCTATTCTCGCCAGCTACAAGTCCATCAACTCAGAAGCGACCAATATTGTACGAAAGATTCAGAATGAGTTCATTCTGAGTCAATGTCCTCAGTTCATCGCTAATCGTTACATTTTCTTCGAAATCGGCTTCATGAGTCTGTTTAACAGCTTCACCCGTAGGTGCTTCGCTCAAGGGGAAGGAGACTTATTGGCTTGTAGCGTACGCCGCAGTCTCCAAGTGCTTGCCAGAGGCTGCTTCAACGAATTGGGGGTCAAGACCGCGGCCGCAAGTTTCAACGCTCAATCTTGTCGTCAGATAGCTTACAAGTATGACACGTTAGGCCCTGACGAGAAGACACATATTCGCTTCATGTTATTGGATGATGTGAGAAGCACATTGGGTTGGGATGGAAAAACCGAGAATTGCGCGATGATCTGTCGTTGGTTCAACGTTCTGTATACTCCGGAGCGCATTTCCGGTTTCGTTTGCGACGGCTTTTTGCCAGCGGATGCGTAAACTTCTTCAGGATTTGCTCAGGACGTCATCCCTACACTTATAGATGTGAGATGTTGGTGGAAACCCAAGGTTGATATTAACGAGCTTTCATTCGACGGAAGAGTCTGGCGTAGTGACTGGATGGAGTAGTTGGTTGTTCGTAGTATCCAGGTAAAGTATGCCAGCCTCAAAACAATCGTCGAATGATAGTATTAGCACGGCAGTAATGTAATGAAGACTCTTGTTAGCCACGTTGATTATCAACACGGCCATCCAGTGACATACCAGCCGCATCAGTGTCGGCTCGGCGTGTGCATCAGAGCCCGAGAGAGTTATCTGATTCTCTTTTCCGTCGTTCTTTGTCCACCAATCTCTAATGTGAATTCACGTTGAAGGAGCTGCCAAGCGCTCCGTTCGGGCGACCGTCCTCCCGGAATCCGACAAGTCAATCTGTTCGCTCGCAGTTACGCCCCGATGCAAGGGTTCGCAGTCCATACGCTATCATACATAAGTCGCGTTCGCTCTCAGTCGGGCCTACTTGCCACTATCAACAGATAGTTCTACTTATTCTTGTGCTCGAACATATTCCAGCTTGCACATCGCTTTACTCAAGCACCGTCATGCCTGCCAAGCTCCATAATCTCGGAAAGAATGGCCCCAAAGTGCCTGCCGTGGGTTTCGGGCTCATGGGCATGTCCTACATTCCGTACGGCTCAGTGCCTTCTGACGAAGAGCGATTCGCACTCCTTGACCGTGCTGTTGAGCTCGGAGCTACGTTCTGGGATACCTCTGAGTGAGTCGACACTGTCTAAAACGATACATCTTCACAGCAAAGCTGACCATGCGCAATCATCTACAGTCTCTACGGCGACAACGAAGCGTTGCTCAACAAATGGTTCAAGCGCACTGGCAAACGCTCGCAAATCTTTCTAGCGACCAAGTTTGGCTTCGTCAAGAACAGTCCTGCTTATGACATCGACAGTTCTCCCGAGTACGCACAGGTCGCTTGTGCGGAGAGCTTGGAGACGCTGGGCACTGACTACATCGATCTTTACTACGTGCACAATGCCAACCCCTCAACGCCTATCGAGGCGACCATGCGTGCGTTGAGGAACCTCAAAGAGTAGGTCTTGCTATTTATTTCCACTGTTCAAACGCGATGCAATAGAACTAACGCCTCATCAGACAGGGAAAGATCAGGCATATCGGGCTATCCTCCATCTCTTCAACGACACTCCGACGTGCCGTCGCCATCGCACCCGTCGCTGCTGTCCAAGTCGACTATTCCGTCTTCCAGCGCGATATCGAGGGCCCTACCGGCAGTGACATCCTGGCTACCTGCCGTGAACTTGGCGTAGCCATCGTCGCAGCCACACCCCTCGGTCGCGGCATGATTACGTCTACCTTTGCCCAGGGCGAGATGCTCGGTGACGGCAAGGACATGCGTCCTGCAGTTATGCCTCGCTTTCAAGAGGCAAATCGAGAGGCTAACGAAAAGGTTGTAGTCCAGTTCCAGGCGCTCGCTGACAAGCAAAAGTGTAGTGTTAGCCAGCTTGCCCTAGCCTGGCTGCTCAAGCAGGGCGACGATATTATCCCCATCCCAGGTACCAAGCGCATCAATTATCTCGAGCAGAACCTGGCGAGCATGGATATTGAACTGAGCGACGAGGACGAGAAGAAGATCCGTGCGTTTGCGTATGATGCGGCGGTGAAGGGAACGGCGCAGCCTGCTCAATTTTCAGGATATTTGTATCGCGACACTGTTGAGGAGTAAGTGACTAGATACTACATACATGCGGTGCTTGAATATTTCATATACCCATATATTCTGACTTCTAATCTATGCCTACGTACACATATCATCGGCGATGGCAATGGCACTGGCACTAGCACTGGCACGATGGTAGAATAAGATATGCTCTTGATAGCTACGCATATTGGCAACATGAAAACCTCAGTGAATTGTCGTCTGTCGTGTATGGGTGGTATCATTTTTATTGAAAAGTACATCAAGATGATCTCGGCGCGTACATGGATACTGAGGACAATTTCCACCCTCACCGATCTTCACCGATCATATCATACCATCATGACACCACGCATATTTTCCGGAACAGCACTCATCCGCCTGCTACGCGCTTTGTCGGGTGTCTGCGTACCGTCAGAGTACTGCTCTCCACTGAACCGATGACGACTGAAAAGTGGTGGGAGTAGAAAATTTTGTAGTGAGCGGACGCGTACGTGCGTGCCATCAGCGTGGTATGATGACGGTGTGCGAGATGAGGACACTCGGATTGGCATTGCAGCCCCGAAAGGCGACGTTGGAATGAACGAGTAGCGGAAGGAGGGGTGCCGGTAATTAATTGGCTCTGCTTCGAATAGTTTGTCGTCGTTGTCAGCCGGTCGGGCATCTCGCATTGTGAAAGTCGCGCTTGTGGAAGACTGCTCCAAGCTGTCTTTGTTCTCCCTTCTCCTGTTCATTGATCAGTAGGCTTCTTCGCTAGTAAGTGGACACACTCACTTGCACTTCTCGCAAGGGCGTGAGTTGGTCTTCAACCTGAACGGATACATTTCCAATGTAGCCATGACACCAATGCAGGTCAGTGCCATCATGATTCCAGGATGGACTCCATAGAACCAAAATTCGAGCCAGGAATGCTTGTCGAAGGACTTCATTGCAATAACAATGTAAGAGCGTAGTTTGCGTCTCTAGATAGAATGCCAAAGTGAGCGACTGGGGCTACCGGTATGATTGAGAAGCGCCAAGTTGACATCGTGGGGACCTTGTGGGTCCCTTTAACTCCTACGATCTCTACAACAAACAGTTAGGCGACCTCTTCATCCCGCAAGGCCCCTTCCGTACCGCGCGACGAAGATCCATCACGCAAGGGGGGCTTTATGCGAGGCTGAGGCAGTGTTCCATTGCTACTTGGGGACTGAACGAGTCTGCCGGCGTCGCCGATGTCGTGATAGGCTAGATATCATGGTGATTTGGCTCTTGATTCGTCAATGATTAGGCGTTGAATTAATCAAGCTGATCCAACAGTCCCGGTTCGCAAGGTTGATGAAGGGGTCCGAAGGCTTTGAAACACCACCAGAATCCGTCGTGGGGGACAGCACTTCAGACACTCGCTATCACCGATAACAGGCCACTCGAGTTCGCCCGAGCAATGGGTGCCAGTCAGGTTCCGCGGACTGTACGAGTTGTTGAAGTCTGAACTGCGATTTCGTACTTGTCGAGATCATGGTTCGTGGCGCGTCAGTCAAAGACTGTTGTCTAAGACCTCTTCCCGTTTCCTGGCACTCGTACAAAGCCTTCAAAAGAGGAGTCTGGACGGAGTGCGCTCACAGCACGAAGTCATCGGAGTGCTGCGATGTCGTTCTAGATCGAGTCGGAATGAAAGCATAACACGATGATCTACTCCAATCCCGTCCTTGGACCATTCTTCTCCGCGAATGATGACGTTCCAAAGGGATATAATACAGTAGAGTGCGCAGCGTTGACGTCGGCGGTCGCTCTGATGAAATGGGTGATGTGCCGTCCAACAGCATACCAAGTCGTCTCATGCGTCGGGCGTACTGGGGGTGTTGAGTTGGCCTCAACACGCAGTCAGGTGCATCACCGGTGAACCGCAGGTTTGCTTGCATTCAGCACCTGAGTATGATGATTAGTAAACCTAGCAAATATGAATTGCTGTCGTCAAGATTGTAGGCAGCCTCAAAAGTCATCGACAAATGTCATGAGCTAGAGCCCAAACGACGGCGAAAGTAAGCATCGCGCATTGGGCAGCCAATCAAACTCTGCTGCATAGCACATGTCATCTTCCACGTTTTTGACATGTAACTCTACTGCGTGCGTATCTCTTGATCGCGGGCGCGCTGCTGAAGAGTCGAGACTGCCCCAGCATGAGATCTAGGCAAGGCGTGCCGTGTTGACGTGAAGATTGTGATGTGACATCCAGAACGTCGAGAACGACAGGCAACTGGTGTGGGTTGGGGTGGGGTAACTCCATTCAGGGTTAGTGCCAGCACCGGCGGCGGTTGTACCCGTCTCTCCTGCATTCTTCATCTCTTTTCACACTGCACTGACGGCCTTGTCAATAATGCAGCGAACATTTATCCCGTCACAATTGCAATTTCATCCTTCGCCGCGATCGATGATCGCAATACCTGGCATATCAGATCCCACAGCTATGACGCACGCCCACTCAGCGATACCTGGGGGGCCTCTTATTGTTACTTGCACACGTTACGCGATCCAGCAAATAATTACCATGTCACGCATTAGGAACACACATATGTGTAAGAATGGAAGTATTATAGTTGTGTACCTCTGTCGTATAACAATCTATCCGCGCTGACCCGAAAACTCAGTCTTCGTAAAAAAGATAGACCGAGTCGCAAAGTACCGCTGTAGCGCTTACAGCGAACAAACTACACCCGTCTTGCCCTCAAAGCACCGAAGCACATCCAAGGTGCGCAAGCCGCACAAGCTCAAAAAACCCTAGCATTTCCAATTCGCGCAACAAGCCTCCATCTATATCTTCGTGCAGTACGCGCTGTGAATCTTGTAATCGAACGCGCCCAGATCTCCAAGCGTGGAAGCCTGGTCCTTGCTGCCACATTCCATCTTCTCGCCGTTGGAAGGACAGTCGTGCGCACTAGTGGAAGTTAGTTTCCAACGGTCTTTCCAAGTAAAAGGGGACTCATGAATATGACGTACGTGTAGAACTTGCAGTGGTAGCCCTTCTCGACTGTGACGCTGCGAATCTTGCCATCGAAGTTGCCGAAGATGTTGTCCATGTCGGTGCAGAAGTCGTTGGCGGGTATGGCTGTGGAGCGGCCATTGAAGAGTTTGCTGGTGAAGATGGTGGCTCCGCGACCGTCCGCTGCAGCCTGTGAGATGTTAGTATGACGAGTGAAAGGTAATGTTGGTGTGCTAGTCTTTGTTACGTACGGTCGGTACGGCAGCGACGAGCGTGCTCAAGAGAGCGATGACGGGGATGAAAAGCTGCATTTTGAAAATCCTATTGTGTTGATGGTTCCCATAAATCGAGAGATCGTCGAGACTAAGTAGAGGGTGGAAGTTGCGGGTTTATTTCGGCGGAGACGTAGGTTCTTTAATATAGGGAGGGCGCGGGCAGAGAAGGAGCGAAGCGTGGTCATGACTGCTTATGACGCTAGCCCTGTAGTGAGATGAACAACATTCTTTGTCCCAGATGAGTGAAGCGGCTGGGGCCCAAGCTTCCGAATCGAGCGGAGACTGCATTACCTATACTTGTATCATGAAAGCTAACGATTTTTTTGGTGCGCCTAGTTGTTTATTTTGCGGCGCAGGTGTTCCCATAGTTTGGTAGAATAGCCGCATTAGGAAGTTTGTAAGATCCCTCGTCCAACACGCACTAGACGAGGCGCGGGTGTGCCCAACACAGGCAGAATAGCCTACTTCGGGACTAATGAATCCAGCTTCTCGAAAACAGGATACATAATCCTACTGTTTCTTCTCGTTTCGTTCTCGTGCCCCCTCCCTCGGGTAACGTAAGTTATGTCTAGGACAATGTCTCCACGACCAGGGCAAAAGTATATTGGCGCTGTATGGCCTGCGACGAAGGCCCTCGGTCACGACATATGGTAATGGAAGCAATTGAGTATGACGAGATCATCCGTTGGAAGATTGGCGAGTGTGCGCTACCTCGTCTCGACGACCTAACCTTCGTATTGATACGAATTCTAGATAAACGGTCCAACTCACTCTATGTAGACAGTTTCCTCTTGGCCTCTGCAGTCTGGATGTGGCGTTACAAAACCACTGGAGTTCTCATCGTATAGCCTGGTTGCCTTTGTTTGAAGCCAACAGCCACCTCGCGCAATCCCAATTCTTTTGTAATGATCTCCTACAGCCTGAATTATCATGAACTCGGGCGGCTCATGGCACTTCCAATCGCAATCATGCCCCAATGTACTAGCAACCGGTACTGCTTTTACAGCCTTCACCGAGTCTGAGTATGCGATCTCTGTGTCAAGCCATAGATTGAAGACAATCTGAACCTCATCGCCATCGACAGGGGCGTGCTCAAAGGCGACGAATGTTCTTTGTACTTGTTCATCTTCATCTGTCTCCAGCTCGTCAGACGTTGAGGTTACGATCAATGAGGCTGTGAAAAAGGTGCCAGTAAGCCGTAATGTAGGGCCAGAGTCTGCGGGCAAACAATCAGTTCGAGTGTCAGGCTGCTTCTCCAGAGGTGACCAAGCTCCATCAATTGTGCGTACGTAGGTAGCATAACCTAAGTCGTATAAGTCCAAAGCGGGTAGGATCCTTTTGGAACCGGTAGTCGCTACCCAAGACCAAGTAGGGAAGCCCTTCCTGCGTTGTCCAGGATGTAAGCTATGCCACCGCAGACAGAGTACGCTATGCATGTTCGAATGATAGTGTAGCGCTATCATGCCCCAATAGTGACAGTCCGCTAGCTTATTGAGCACTCCAGTGCAGGCGTCGAGGATGTCGCTCTCGAAAGACAAATCCCTTGTCGAGTAGTGAGAAAGAACCTCATAGACTGCGGACCGCGCGTTGTAACCCTGCGGAAAGCATGGATTGATGGCGCCTAGATCAGCGAGACGATGTTCTATGGGCGGCCATTCTACGGACTCTTGCCACCATGCTTCATCACACACGTATAGGACTTCATTGTTCGTGAAGATGAGTCCACGTGTTGCAACAAAACCCTCCTGGTGGGTCCAGCCTCGCTTTGCCCAAGTGCTTCTGTTCAACGCCATGAATGGATCCAGGAATTCGATCAATCGAACATCGACATCTATTTCTTGTGTTCGTTGTGCTTCTCGAGGTCTAACGCTAACACCTGGTAGTCCATAGTTGGACGAGTCGCCGGCTGCAGCAATAATAACCAGCTCTGACTCAGCGTAGATTCGGCCCATGAGCTGTATTTGAGCCGTTTTGTGACTCTCGTCGAGCTGGTTGATGCACTGAGCCTGGCTGTCAATAATTTGAACACAACAAAAGTATGATACGGTTACGTACAAGTTGGTCAATCCAAAGATATCTGTATCCCAATTCGACTGTGACGGTAATGGCATCACTGATCGTGGCTGGATGATCAACTTGATCTTTTCCCGTAGCTTGTACGCCACCCCATACATATGACAAGGCTACGTAACGAAAGATAGCATCCTTTGGTGCAGCGACAACCTTTCCAGTGGTGCAGTCAACGACTCTGAGTCCCGATATGAATGAATAGTGACTACGCTTGGTGTGCGTGAGATGCCGCTCTTTACAGCACTCAAGCCAATGCCGAAGGATATCATAGTCAATGGCTACAGTGTCGAGCTTGCGGAGCAAGGAGTCATCTTCAGTGTGGTATAGCTGTTGTAATGCGAATTCGCGATATTCTTTCCCTTCTCTGTGGCCCCCTTTAAAGCTAATGACTAGCCTGCATTGCGTAGGGTCATTGCAAGTTCGGTGTATAGAATGGTCTACAGAGGAATAAAGATCAAGACGATCCCGAATACACCTCACAGAGACAAACCGGTTAGGACTCTCGTCGAAGCCTTCTCCATAGCTCAGCAGCCGACACAATGAACAAGACGATACCGAGAGGTTTTGACTTGTCTCGGGGAAGCAGATCAATTTCAAATCGATCGGTGCGCGAACATCGAAAACCCTGTCGGTAAGAAGACGTGACCAATTGATGCCAGCACAACGTTCGCACAGGTCACTCTGGGGGTGAGCTTTCTTGTACGCAGCGTAGGAGTATGGGCGCCGCAGTCTTTCCAACGCAGCTTTCCTCTTCGATTCTTGATCGCGTCGATCCTCTTTTACTCTCTCCCAAGGATCCTCGATCGCTATGGCAGAGGGACTGAATGTTGTGGATGGATCCAAATCACTGCCGGGGCTTTCCATCCCGCAGTCGTTCGCCCTGCTTGCAGGAATTTGTCACCCGTGGTATCGTGGGGTCAGTCTGAACTGATATAACTAGGGAAGAGTTGCGGCTGGTAAGTTGTTGGGAATGAAAAGCAAGGCACACAGCTTCGTCTATAGGTTAGGCTACCACGTTGCTGACAAACCCCATCGCATGGTGGCTTGCATGCCAATGAGGCGAGGGGCATACCGAATTCGGTAGCCACGAAGAAGTGCATATTCAACACAACGTGATCTGGGATCAGATACAACATGATATCAAGTGAATATAACTACTATACTAGCAGTGTTGTTCGTGACTGTAAAGGCTGCGCCATATATCCAAGCACGCCATGAACACGAAGGTATCTCAGAAAGCAGGTCATAACCGAACACCTCCCATGCACTCCGTACCCTACACTTCTGCGCCCAGCGCAATTAAAAGCCATGCGTCTAGCCTACATCGTCCGCCAAAAGTAGTTTGTGTAGAAGTGCCGCGAGAACTTGGGATCGATATTGACAACATGCACATCTCCCTTTGCCGCATTGCGCACAACAGCCTTGTTGTATTCGCCGGTAGTGGGGTCAGCTTCGACATCGATGCCGAGAGTGCGGTAGAGCTTAAGCTTCAATCTGTAGTCTAAGTCAGCATCTGCGTCTACTTGCGCATCGAAGGGTAGAACTTACACTGTCGCATCCTCACCCGCTCTAGGCTCAACACCCCCTTCTACGCCCTCCTCTTCCAACTCGCCAGCTACACCCCCTAATCTCGCGAGATCGCTCTGCAGCCTCTCGCCCTCGATCTCCAGATCACTTGCCTGCTTCGCGATCTTGAACTTCTCGGTGTCTAGTCTCAATATTTCTGCTGCGTGATTTGTGGGGTTGTGTTGGCTGAGTGTGTGGTTGTGGTTTGCGGAGAGGGTTTGGTGTGTCCGGTTCAGCGCGCTGAGAGAGGATTGGATGGAACGTAGGTGTTGGGTGCGGAATTCGCTGAGAGTGCTGAGAGACTCGTTTATGCGGTGGAGTGACGTTTTGTCGTTGGCGATTTTGAAGTGGGATGTGCATTGCGCGATGAGCTGGATAGTGTTAGGGAGGTTTGTGGGCGTGTTTGGAGAGGGTGCGTACGGCAGCGGGGTCTTCGTCGAGAAGCATGTTGGCTTATCTGGTGTCGCGTGGAGTTTGCGTATAGAGTGTTATATTCCTGAGCGTTTCTAGATGTTTGCGCAAGTCGTCTAGTCTGGTTTCTGGTGATGCTATCGCAACAGGACCTTGGTGTTGATGTTCTTGTTTGGGTGGCCCGTGCCAAGTCGCGTGCATGGCAACCGCGACCAAGTGGCGGAAGGCACAGGCGTAGCGTGGCGCATGGCCGGCAGCCACGAGGCGGCGGCGTACGTCACGGTAAAAGATCGCCTGCTCGGCCTGCAGCTGGAGCTTTCACGAGACAGCCCGTAGTTTGACGCTTACCACTTGCACTAACCCTATCCCCACGATACCAGCTTCCGCCTCCATCGAAGACGACTTCTCACATCTCTCTAATTTTCTCGCGCAACACAAACAGCCGCCATGCCGCCGTCATTACCATGTGAGTGGGATAACGACTTTTGGGCCGACGAACGCTCATTCCCCTTAGATGCCGCCGATGTCGAGTCGCCGCTCAAGCCAGAGGAGCTGCAGGTTCTGCGCGCGCAGTACGAGAAGGAGGGCGAATATGTTGGGCTGCAGACGAAGTTCAACTACGCATGGGTACGGCTTCCCCGCGCCTCGTCACATTTGCACATGCGCACGGCACCACCCGCAACAAGCAAGCTCATGGTATTCTAGGGTCTGATCAAATCCACCTCCCGTCCCGACCAGCAGGAAGGAGTGCGACTACTCTCTGAGATCTTCCGTAACTCGCGCGAGCGCCGGCGCGAATGCCTCTACTACCTCGCCCTCGGCAACTACAAGCTCGGCAACTATGCTGAAGCCCGACGGTACAACGAGCTGCTGCTTGAGTTGGAGCCCGCAAACCTCCAGGCCGGAAGCTTGAAGGGACTTATCGACGAGAAGGTGGCAAAGGAGGGGCTGGTCGGCGCCGCTATTGTGGGAGGAATCGTAGTCGCGGCGGGTGTGGTGGGGAGCCTCTTGCTGAGGGGTGGCCCTCGAAGATCGTGAACAGGTGCCGTCGTCGCGAATCTATGACATGCGCAGTGTCTTTTAGACCACAGGTCATGCCAGGTCCGCAGTCATGTTGATGAGTACATGCATAGGCGTTTGTGGTTTCTATACCTTTGGCAGGGATCGTATGGTTAATAGCAATTTCTGATGTTTGTAGTATATACAAAACTCTCGTACTAAGCAAGCGATAGCACTGACCATTCCATCGCACGTTGTACTGTTGGATCGCTGCAGGCGACAGTGTTTGGCTGATAGAAGGCCTCAGAATTAGATGGAACACGGAAGAAGCGGGCAGAGACAACTGGTCGGACAAACGTAGAGTCAGAGCAAGACAATCAACCGTTGCCGCGTTCAAGAAGACACGCAAGCGACTTTGCCTCCGTCCCCATTCCACTTCTCTCTCCATAACTTCTCGACCCAAGAGGCAAAGTGCTAGGTTAGCTTCGCCCAAGTCGAGATACCGCGGGACGAATTGCTAGACCCCACCACCCCTGCACACCGAACAACGTCATTCCGGTGTCTGACAGCTTTCGCGCGAAACAACCTTGGAACTATCACCTTACGGGTAGCCTCGCCTGAGATCTTCCTTTACGCCAAACTTCCCTGATTTGGTCTCTCCGCAATTCACTGCGATACCCCGTACCTGTCTGCTGTCGCAGCTCGCCACCATCACCTGTACTGGCAACGGCGCGTGATAGGTTCTTGACTTGAATTGATCTTCTTCCGCGCCTGCTCCCGACACAAGGCCGTAAGTAGGCTCCTGTTGCTTGAATGTCACTTCCATGCTTACATACCTCACCCAGTCTCCTTGAATCTCGCCCTACTACCCTACATCTTATCACACGCCTCACACCTGCGACCATGGACCAGGCGGCCAACCAGGATGCGCAGTCAGGGAACCCGCGGCCCGGGCATCGCGACATGATGTTTTGCCACGAATGCGCCGACGAGTGGTATCGAGACGAGCACGGTCTCTCGTGTCCAGAATGCGGCTCAGACTTCACCGAGATTGTGAGTTTAGCCGCCAAATCCACCCTTCAGCCCGTCAAACACGACGTGAAGCGGATGTGCACCGAATTCCGCTGACACCGACTAGATTGAAGACAACAACGACCCAAGAGATGCTGCCCCCGGAATGTTTGGTCATGACGGCGACGACTCCGACTCCCTCCCTGATCTCGAGAACGCCCCACCTCAATTCAACCCTCACCACAACCCATGGCAGACTGACGACCCGGAGGAGGGCGACATTAGCAATGTGAGATTCACAGAAACCGGTCCGGGAAGGTACAATCTGCAAGCTACCGTTACACGATCCGTATCGCCCCAGGGCGGCATGGCGGTGCCTGGGTCAATAGGAGGATTCATGGCCATGTTGAACGGGCTCACTGGAGCAGCAATGCGACCACAAGGACAGCAACCGGGTCAGCAACCGGGTCAGGGAGAGGGTCTGTTTTCTGGTGCTGGACCGGGCGGCCCAAACCAGTCTGCTTTCCAAGAAGCTCAAAACCAGGGCCATGAAGGAGGACCTCAGATCCGCGGAGGAAGCTTCACGTACCACGGTGGCGCTCGATTGTTCCCCAGCAATGGAAACGTTCCTGGTCGGGCCGAGCCTGTGGACGAGATCACTAAGTAAGCAGGAGCGAACCATTATCTTCGGAAGTCGCTAACAAGCCAAACAGTGTCATGACCGGCCTCATGGCTGCCTTTGGAGCACCACCTCCTCGTGTCCACGCCCACAACCACCCACTCGGTGGCGCTGAGGGTACTTTCCGCGGCGAACATACCCACGGCCCTGGCGAACAATTTGCGGGCCACCCTATCCTACAACTATTCTCCTCAATGGGCATGATGGGCGGTCACGCTGGCAACATGGGAGATTTTGTCTACTCTCAAGAAGGCCTAGACCGCATCGTCTCGCAACTCATGGAGCAAACCTCGACGAGCAACGCGCCCGGCCCGGCGACACAAGCCGACATCGATAAACTCCCGCGTACCCACATCACGGAAGAGATGCTAGGCGACGAGCACAAGGCCGAATGCAGTATCTGCATGGACGAGGTCAACATCGGCGAGCAGGTGACACTACTGCCATGCAAGCACTGGTTCCACCACCCATGCGTCTCCGCGTGGCTGCTCGAGCACGACACCTGTCCACATTGTCGAAAGGGTATTACCAAGGGTGGCGAGGGCCAGGCGAACAACCCTGCGTCTGCAGACTCACAGACGGATCGTACGTCCCAGATGCCGGGTTCCTTCACTCCTTCCGGCTCGGGCACGTTCAATGATCCCTACGTCGTTCCCGCAGGATCCCCACCCCCACCGTCCAACGATCAAGCCAGCTCGTCTGATAACGCAAATGCAGGCTCGGGCAATGGTGGCATCAGTGACCGGATACGCAGGGGTCTGTTTGGATCTCCGCAATAAGGATAACACCCTTTTGTCGGTACTATCAAGCTAATCTTCATGTATATGCCAGGGCGGGACCGGTTCAGGAGGAGCAGAGAAGTGGTGCGCGAGGCAAGACAGGTCCGCCGTGAGCTTGCCTTGCGATCTGAATCGGCCGAGCTTTTATCACCGGAGATTGTCCTCAGTGGCAGATCCAATACTGAAGGGGCCCGCCGCGTATCTTCCTTTCTTAGTCCACGGGCTCGGACGCAGCGGTCAACCTCTGGAGGCGGCCCTGAGAATCCAAGCGAGTCCACTCCACAGACCACGTTTCCAGATGGCATTGCGCAGCCAAGCGGGCCTTCGACGCGACGACACATACGGCGATCTGCTCGTTCGTTAAGCACAAGGCGTCAACGGTCCGCTTGAGTCTTGCGTTGGTGTCGGTACATGGGTTTAGTGGTGGGCATTGATGTGATTCCTTCCCCACGTGTTTGCTCAGTGGATGTTGCATGTACATAGTTTTCCTTATCCTTCCTTAGACATCAGGGTGTGCATAGTCATGGCGTTAACAGTTGGGGTACACATTCATGGATGGGAGTTTTCATAGGTCGCGAACGCCAATACCATTGCTATCATGAATGACCTGAGCCTAGAGAATCTGAGAACATTCTCATACAGTCGTCCCTCACAGATCGCCCATGACTGCAATTACCGTTGCCACTTTACGATCACATGTCAAATCAAAGAATCCCCAACCGGCGGTGTCGCCTCGACAACGCAGCCGGAAGACTTTTTCTGCCGTGATTTACCTCTTCACGCGCCACGATACGACGTTGATGCGAAGAGGCGGTGGAGCACAGCGCGCGAGTGCTGACCTGGCTAGCGCGCCGCCTTGTCAACGGGTGGGGTGCGGATATGCAGGGCCAGTCCGTGAATGACTAGGTTCTGGGGTGCAGTGGTTTTGCGGTGAAGAGACTGCACGACGCAAGGTGATATGAATTGCACTCGAGCTAAGAGGGGGAGGAGGTTGGGGAAACTACGATCACAGCCACTTTGGGGCTTTGACTGTAGTCTTCGGCGAAGTTCCCGGAGGTCACGACGATGGGAAAGTGACGGTCCGAGAGAGGGATTGGCGAGGCGAATGGACTGACTGGGCAAGAAATTATTCAGCGGACCCGATCGAACAACGCATCAACGCTTCGACCGCCCATCACGGAAAGGCCCTGCATGACGAATTGCGCGCGCGCGCGCGTCAAGAGTGTCCTTGTCTCAGAGTAGGGGTCGAATGTCGTGCTCAGTGGTCGCCTCGCCTCTGCTGAGACGAAACGTTTTTTGCAAAAGGAAAAAGACCGTGTTCCTGCAAGCCATTGGGGTTCGCATAACATCAGATCATGCCGAGTCACACGTCGACGCGCCCGTGACCGTGCGCGGGGCCCTACGCTGGAGCCCACGATCACCGACGATGATGTGCTGGCTAAGGCTTATCGATTGCTCGCCCAACTTCCTGTAATCGAATGCCGAAGACATGTACGTCGTGATACTACGTGCATGGCTGTGATTGGCACGAGGAAACGCGCTCCGGTGGGGTGGACACGTCGTGTGTTGAGGGCGTGGGCGGGTACAAAGCCTCGAGGACCTCATCAAACTGGTCGTCGACGTGCCAAAAGCAAGGACGTCGTCCTCAGCGACGTCGCATGGCTGGGTAGTCAGCACACGGGTTGTCGTCGAGGAAGCCCTGGCAGACCCTAGTCAAGGCGGTAAGAAGCAAAGTGGAGCCGCTTGGGAGCTTTGACAGCGTCGG